ATTTTTTTCGATCGAAAAGACGAAATTTTTACCTCGTTGTGTCCGCTATCCAGATCTTCATCCGATGAACTCATTTATGTTCGTATATCACACCAATAAGTATGATTTGTGATCAAAATCGTCTTGAGAGCGAAATTCCAGATCTTCATCCGATGAACTCATTTATGTTCGTATATCACACCAATAAGTATGATTTGTGATCAAAATCGTCTTGAGAGCGAAATTTTTTAGAGAGAGAGAGAGAGAGAGTCTTTGAACGGTAAATAGCAGTTTTCAAACGGTAAAAAGCAAATCCCTTAAAAAAATATACTATTGCAATTGAAATTATTGTCTCAATTTATAAAACACACAAGTTGTGAACTGGGATCCTGGTTAAGGTTAAGTTAGTCAAACAAAAGACTCCACCAAAGGCACAATGCGCTAAATGCGGATTGAGGTGCTGTGTTGTCATTTCGAATCCACTTCTTTCTTTCAACCATGGTTAATTTTAATTTTATTTCCCGATAAGACACAGCCTCCAATAGTAATACAATTCTTTCAACATTTTAGATGGATTATAATTATTATTATCTGTTCACAATTTAACCAGACCATACAAGTTGTCAAGATGGGCCCAACCCAACCCATTATCTGGGCCCACATCGACCCTGTCTTCCTAACCTTTATTCTTCATTTTCTCTCTTTTCACTTTTCACTTTATTCTTCTTATTATGTCATTCCTATTTTATTATTAATTATTATTTTTATCTGATTGCATTTTAACTGTCCAGTAACTTCCATTTTTTACATCACAAATATGTTTTCGGTCCAATCCGGTCTCCCAAAGCAAAGGTATTATTATGTTTAAAGTAACATACATGATGTCCCAACTCCCAAGTAATTGCTAACTTGCACGCTTTCAAGCTCATCATCCTAAAGTAATTACGCCGTCCTGCACGCTGTAATAACATCTTAACAGAGAGAGACATCGCCAAACTGGTGAATTATATAATTCATTTTCAAATGCAACTAGTACTAATCAAATGAAACAAGAAATAAATAAATATAAATAAATATTACGAGTAAACGGAAATTACCTCGGATTGAGAGAAGCAGCAAACAAGATGGACGGCTAACAGTCACGGCGAACGGACAATTAACGGAATTGTTGAACGGAACGCGACGACGGGAAACACGTACTGAATACCTTGACGAGAATGGATTGATCTCTATAATCTTAACAAACCCAAACGCCAACTCAAACAACAAGCCGAAATCCTTTTAGTTTTAGCTTGAATTATAGTTTTTGTTTTATAGAAAACTCAATTGATTTTTTTTGCAAGCGCTAGAGAATTACTGATTGTTACTTAGATTCATATATATGGATGAGGAATGCTATTCTAAAACGTCCTTCATTTGCAAACAACATATGTACAACGGAGACAGATCCTGTTTCCAAAATTGCTTAGGTATTACCACTCGCCGCCCCGCCGGTGTACAAAACTCTGCCGCCGTGGAAGAGAAAACTTTAAACAATACCAATAGTCATCAAACCTGCAATCTCCACTTATTTTATCAGTCAGAGATCCTCGGCTTTGGTCATGACTGAAAGACGGCTCGGTCGCGCCCGAAAGTTGACTCGACGGCGCTGCTGATGGGACGACGGACGAATCAAGGACGCTAAAGCTCGCTTCACTAAATCACCTTCAACGGTCCCGATCCGGACCAGAGAATTCGTCATCGCCGATCTCCTCATGTTCAAACGATTGGGTACCGAGTGGTTACCGCCGACGCCTCCGAAACTGCTTTTGTGAAGAGCGCATCGAAACGAACCTGGATGCGTCGAAGGCGAGCACAAGCACGTCCTCTTCTGGATGTTGTTGTTGCCGCCTTTCCTCTGAACCACCTGATTGCGCGGCGTAGCCGCAATCGAACGCCGCGGGGATATAGATCTGTCGATAGAGAAACGAACAGACGGCGAGGGAGGTGGCGGTGATAGCGCGTGAAGGTTGACGCGCGTCGGGGAAGCCGCACGACGTTTGTTGAAGAAACCACCAGAGGCAGAAGAAGAAGAAGAAGAGTAATAGCTGGTGGAAGAAGCAAATGAAGAGGACGACGCAGACTTAAAAGACGACGACGACGCATCTGACGTCATAGTCGTGGAATTATAGAAAGGACCTGCCCGTCGGAAAGCCGAGCCGACGGGTAATACCGATCCGCTAGACCTTCTAGAAGATGTAGCCATCAATTGATGGAATTATAATAATATATATTTTTTTCTTTTGGGAGAGAGGAGAGAGGAGAGAGGAGAGAGAGAGGGATGAGAGAGAAGAAAGGAGGAGGGTTTGTTTTTCTAAAGGGCCCTCAGGCTTTTCAGTTGGGCAAACATAGCTGGTGTCAAAGAGTTGATTTATAGGAGGGGAGGGGGATGGCACATTTCGGAAATAAGATGTAATTGAGGGGTAGATGGGAAAAAGGTAGGGGTAAGATTGGGTAAAGTCTGGTGTGAGGGTGGGGTCCAGTGGGGAATCTGATCCAACGGCTGTAAAGTAATATAAAAAGTGGTAAACGACGGAAGAGGGAGCCGTTTCAAGCAACGACTTGTTCAGAGGATGAGGCCCCGATGACACGTAATGTATGCAATGAATTCCATAATAACAGCTACTGTTGACCTACTCAAATATACGACTAATATTTTAAATTTATTTTAATTAATGGAATTAATTAATTTTGAAAATTTTGGGTGAGACTATGATGGGCCCTCTAACCTTCGGATGCATTATAAGGCCCAAAATGTATTCAAACAGCCATCTGCACCAACACATTCATTTCAATTTTTAATTAAAAAGTGTTTACAATAAAAAATAAAAATGAAAAGTATTACTCTGGTAAGATATTTATGAATAATATTTTCATAAATTCATAACTATCTGTAGAAATAAGAGTCTAAATGAGAATTTAAATTAGATTAGGAATAATAAGTAGCTTAAATTGTTGGATCTATTGAATTAGTTATTAGACAAGTAGATTTAAATTGAACAAGTTTGATCTTATCTGAAATGAGATGGGAGTAGTACTGGAACATTATGGCCTACCACCCCTCGACATGTACCACAGCACTGCATTAACTGCTTGTCCATTTTTTTTTGGGCATATTACAAATAAGCCTATCAGTGGGAACTTATTCATAAAGAGATCCAGACAATATTTTCCTTTACCAATAAGTCCACACATGGTCCAGATTTATGTAAAGGACTAAAATAACCCCTCTTACTTTTATATGCTCCAATTTCATCATTAACTTAATTTAACTTCAATTTGACCCCAAATTTCACAAATTATTCAATTTTGACCCAAAACTTTTTTTTTTTCACAAAATTTTTTTTTTCAAAAACTTTTTTTTTCCGCCGGATTCCGGCGTTGACTTTTTTTTTTTTTTTTTTTTTTTCTTCCGGATTTTTTTTTCCGGATTCCGGCGGTCAACACCGGTCTCCGGCGTTGACTTTTATTTTTTTTTTTTTTTTTTCTTCCGGATTTTTTTTCCGGATTCCGGCGTTGACCGGCGGTAAACACCGGTCTCCGGCGTTGACTTTTTTTTATTTTTTTTATTTTATTTTTTTTTTAATTTTTTTTTCTGTAACTTTTTATTCCGTTTAAACAACAATATTGCTTTGAATGACAGTAATATTAACTATATTACTGTTAAACACAGTAAAAATAACTAAACTATAGTTTAACACAGTGATATTGCTATATTAATCTCTAGCACATTAATATTAACACAACAAAATTCATTATTATTGTATAATAAAGTAATATTACTATGTTTTCCGTTCAACAAATGTAAACAAAATAAAAAAAACCAAAAGAATTAATATTACTGTGAGTGACAGTAATATTACTATAGCAACAGTAATATTACTATAGCAACAGTAATATTACAATAGTAGACAGTAATATTATTACGTTACTCCGTGAATAACTCAAACAAACAAAATATCCAAACAAAAGAATAATATTGATGTGGTTGACAGGAATATTACTATAACAAACAGTAATATTACCGTCAACCACAGTAATATTATTGTGTTTACAGTAATATTACAATAATAGACAGTAATATTAATACAAACACCACAAAAAAATAATAATATTGATGTTGTTGACAGTAATATTATTGTGTTTACAGTTATTTTACTGTCAACGACAGTAATATAATTACGTTGACTAGTCAACAAATCAAAAAAAAATAAAAAAAAATAATAATAAATAAAAAAATATAATATTGCATTAATTTACTGTCAACGGCAACACAATTACATAAATGTAATGTCAACGGCAGTACAATTACGTTAATTAACTATCATTGACAGTATAATTACGTTAATTTACTGTCAGTGACAGCACAATTACGGTCAACGTTTAGCGGCGGACGTGGAAAAACAAAACAAAACAAAAAACTTAAAAAAACACTAAAAAAAGAGACCGCCGGAAACCGGCGAAAAAATCCGGAAGAAAAGAAAAGAAAAAAAAAAAGAAAAAAGCAAAAAAAAAAAAAAAAAAGTCAACGCCGGAGATCGGCGTTGACCGCCGGTCAACGCTGGAAACCGGCGAAAAAATCCGGAAGAAAGAAAAAAAAAAAAAAAAAAAAATTTAAAAAAGTCAACGCCGGAGACCGGCGTTGACCGCCGGTCAACGCCGGAATCCGGCGGCAAAAAAAAAGTTTTTGAAAAAAAAAATATTTTTTGAAAAAAAAAAATTTTTGGGTCAAAATTTAATAATTTGTGAAATTTGGGGTCAAATTGAGATTAAATTAAGTTAAGGATGAAATTGGAGCATATTAAATTATACTCCAAAAAAAAGTCAAAATTGAATTTTTGTGGTCAAAATTGAACTTTTATGGACAAAATTGATTAATTTGGATTACAATTAAGAATTGGGTATAAATGGTTGAGGGTAATATTGGGATATACATGAATGTTTCCTTTAGTTATAATAAATATTAAAGGGATGGGCTTATTGGTAAAAGAGATATGTCCCCTAAACCTAGAATAATAAACATGCTTGGTTGGGGACTTTTGCATAAAAATCCTTTTTTTTTTTATCATCTTTTGGATATATCTTTTTATTTATTTATCAATATTAATTATATTTTGATTTATATATAGTGCATTGTGTTTGTAATAGAGTGAAGTATATTAACTGTTATTGTTGGACTGTAAGTAATTTTGTAAGAGGCGACAAGTTGGTGAGTCATTAGTAGTTCACCAATACATATAGACTTATAGTACTGCAGTTGATGTACACATATCAAACCATCATCAACTACTAATGTTATTATTTGACCAGGAAAAAGAGTTTATAATTTGAGATTAAATAATTAATTAATACTAGCTAGTTGATACGATAATAGTTAACGTTACTAATGACTAACGACTAATGACTAATGAGAAGGGAAGGTAATTTGAAAAACGTGTATCCATCTAAATGGTAATATATATATATAGCTGACATTCAAAGACTGAAATCGCATAATATACGGAATCATCACTTCTTCTATTAGTTAAAAAATGACATTTCTTTTACTGCAAATTAACATTATATTCAGTAATAATAAATAGTTTGTTGAAGGAGAATATATATCATGATTGGAGAAGATAATCGAGATCTCGAGCTTGAGTAACAATTAAGAAACACATTTGACTTTGCTTGCATATTTAAGAAATTCAAATTAAACATATTTTGTGGATCCAATTAATTAATAAAATATAAATTTGGCCCATTCAAAGAAGTAGAGTCCATTATGAAATGAGTCAGCCCGAATATAAAGTAAAGAGACTTGTTCCCCGCTGCAACAACTTGGATAAAACTATGTCGTCTTGGTCACTTCTCCGTCGTTCCTCCCCCTCGATCCACCGCTTTCCTGCCGTCCGACGCTTCTATTTCCGCCAATTCTCTGCCTCACCTCCACCTCCCGACTCTTCAAAGTTTCTTAATGACGATTTAGAAACCAATATACTAGGACGAATTTCAGCCGGCATAATTACCGCCTCTGCCCTTGTATTTTCTCTTTACTCCTTTTCTTCATCTTCTTCCGATTCCCCATATGTATCCTTCGCCGATTCTTCAGCGCCTGTCCCCGCCCCCACTGCCGCCGCGCTTTCCCCGCCTAGTCAAAATAATAAATCTGTATTTCTATTTGGAGGTAAGGAACGATGTATCTTTTTAGCGACAGATTCATTATGATTTCAATCAAGGATTTATCATTCTACACGTTTTTATTGTGGTGTGCAGAAGCATATAGAAGGAAAATATTCTTTAACTACGAGAAACGAATCAGAATGCGGAGTCCACCGGAGAAGGTATTCCCATTCCCTTTTCCTTTTTTCAGCTGGTGTTTTAGTTTAACTCAAGAACAAGAATTAGTCTTCATTTGTTTGGGAAAATAAAAGTAGCTCATTATTCTGGATTTTGACTAATTATAGAGTTTGATCTGTTTGTTGCCCATCATTAATTCAAACAGCTATTTTTGGAATTAGAGAAAGATGTCACAGTCAGTATTGGTTTTTCCATTTCTGAAATAACTGAAAAGAGAAGTGAAAATGAATAATGTTGGCCTTTAGTTGGATCCCTTTTGTGGTGATTCTTCGTTTATAACCATATGTCTGTTAAAACTTCTACCCTCAATAATAACTAGCAACATGGTAAAATGCTTGTCCTCTCCGAAATAGAGGGATTGCTGGGGACTAACCAAACTGAAGGTGGCCAAACCTCTTTATATATCTATCGTTATGAACCGCAAAAGCACATGTGCCTTGCGTACCTAAAGTTGGTTTATTCCATGCTTGCCAAGTACAGCGGGTATATCTTCACCACCATTTATTCACACACAAAATACACACATTATTAATGCTGATGTGTGTAGTGCAGATTAATGATGATGATATACCCAATGTACACTTTGCTGGGTGTATCTCAGATTTGACGTCTATAGTTTAACCATCTTCGGGACGTATATATAATTTAGTAACTTCTGTTTGCTCGTCTAAGCTTTATTTTACAGAATTTTGATTTTTATATCTGACTGAACATGTTCCTCCCTAAGGTGTTTGAGTATTTTGCATCTGTTCGTGCCAATGATGGAGAAGTTTTTATGACACCAGCTGATCTGATGCGAGCACTTGTTCCTGTATTCCCCCCTTCTGAATCCAACCTTGTAAGAGACGGACATCTCAGAGGGGAAAGGAGTCCTGGTGAATTGCACTGTGCCCCATCACAGTTTTTTATGCTATTTGACACAAATGGTGATGGTCTCATATCATTTAAAGAGTAAGTTATCACGTCTAGCATGTATTCTTTGGGTGAGATGATCATATCTTTCTTTGTTTCTTAATTGATTCTGCCCTTAGATTGTTTGGTTCTGATTTCAACTTTCCCCCTGGTATACTTTTTTCCCTCCCATGTAATACTATATGAGAAAGTTGTCATGAGAAGAACTAAACTTTTCCAATGCATTTCCAACAGGTATCTATTCTTTGTTACAATTCTCAGTATACCAGAATCAAGCTTTTCAGTGGCATTCAAGATGTTTGACCTTGACTGCAATGGGTAGGTGTCAATCTAACATTGTCCGTCAATGTGAACTGTTCAAATACCCCGAATTGATTAATCTGTCTTTGACATTTCAAGTAATGATTCTTTGTTCTAGTGTTCTGGGAAACACACATCTTTGGAGAAACGTGTAGATTTGGTCTTTGCTTGTTCAGTGTCTTAAATTGATCTAACGTCTGTGTTTTAAGTGTTAGCTTGATTAATATGCTATTTGCAATAGGCACAAGAAAATTCTTCGATGTCACCCCCTTCTGAACTCTTATTTACTGTTCAATTTTTGTTGCCTATATGGCTATATCTATGTAAATATCAGAAATATTTTCCCTAGGTTCATTGATTTGTATCGTCACTGTTATTATAATAGAGGACCTCTCAATTGCTTCCTGGATGATGCAAAGTTTCACTTTTTCACAACAGGAAAATAGATAGAGAGGAATTTAAGAAAGTGATGACATTGATGCGAGCTCATAATAGGCAAGGGGCTGTCCACAGCGATGGATTTCGAGCAGGAAGCAAGCTCGGCGGTTCAATAGAAAATGGAGGCCTATTAGAGTACTTCTTTGGGAAAGATGGCAAGGATCTTCTTCGACATGATAAATTCGTCCAATTCTTGAGACATCTGCACGATGAGGTATGTCCATCTTATGCTTCGTCCAGAAAGTCAGCAACATAACTATTTCTGATTTATATTTAATTTTGAGATTGATAGTTGGTGGAGTTGGAGTTTGCTCACTACGATTACAAATTACGAGGAACCATATCTGCAAAGGATTTTGCACTCTCAATGGTTGCATCAGCGGATTTGAAACACCTGAGTAAGCTGCTTCGTCGTGTTGATGAGTTGGATAATCACCCAGGTCTTGGTAATATTCGTATTACACGAGAGGAATTCAAGAGTTTTGCCAAGCTGCGAAAAAAGTTGCAACCCTTCTCTTTGGCACTTTTTAGTTTTGGGCAAGTAAATGGGTTGTTGACAAGGAAGGATCTCCAACGTGCAGCTAATCAAGTTGGTTCCGTTTCCTTTATTACAAAATGGTTAATGAGCGAGTATTTTTTGGCAATAGTGTGTTGACGATGATATTTTGTTGATGAACAGGTGTGTGGGGTCTCGCTGACAGACAAAATGCTTGAAATAATATTCCATGTATTCGATGCGAATAAAGATGGACGTTTAAGTGCAGATGAGTTTGTTAGAGTTCTGCACAAGCGTGAAAGAGATATCGCTGAACCTACAGAAGCTGGTTTCTTCAGCTTTTTATCATTCTTTCAAATGTCCAGTCCATTTCTCGGTGGTGGTGGTGGTGGTGGTGGTTATCCCCATGAACTCCCAGTTCACCGCAGCAGCACCGAAGCTTGACTCCGACAGCTAATATTCATAATTACCTACTTTGCAGTTGCTTTTGGAGATACTGGCAATATTGTACAAATGATATCATCAATCTATATTCTCCAGTTAGTAACTTATATAAGATGAATAGACCTCATTTTTCTCTTGTGTAATTGGTTTACTAAGGATAACATGCCTCTGCTTCAGTTGTCTTCTTTTTTTGTTCTTTCTCAAGGTGTATGTATGTATGTATGTATGTATACAAACCGCAGGGAGCTTAGTAATTAATATACTCTTCAACTCTATTTTAATTTTCTATCTTATGTTTATATTTTTTTGATCTGATGATTTTGAATTTTGATGAACTAAATTTGGGAATGAATGATATTAAACTAATTACAGCTAATGAGGGTCATCTCATTTGTATCTGGAATATTCGATTTTCTCATTCGCTGTCAGCAGTGGGTCCCAGGGTACCGATTTCCTGGCTTTTCTGTCAGTGGGGCTTCTCGACGCGTGTTCTCCACGCCCCCCTTCCTCGTTGAATTTTTGCTAAATTGTTGAATCAACAACATCAAGTTTAATAAATAAAATAAAATAATAATAATAATAATATGTTGACGGCTGCTAACTCGAGAAAGTAGAAAATGGAAATTAGAAACCCTAGTGACATTTTTAATTCCCCAAAACCAGACATCCTTTAATTTCTCGCCTCCCAAAAATACTCTTGCCTTTCTTAAACCGCTTTAATACTCTGCCTTTTTGCATCTCAGACGAACATAATATTTCGAAGCGTTATTTATTTCCATATTTACATACGTTCAATAATATATTTCAGTTTCTCAGCTCGGTAACCATCATCACCGATTATTCTTGATTCGCAAATACCTCTCTATCCAAGGTATTTTATATATTCTCTTTTAGCTCTGATTTTTCCTAGTTAATTATTTTACGCAAGGTTATTCGTGTCTGTAATCCCTTTCTCAGGTGGATTTGGTACGAAAAAATATTAGAGCCATGAAGAAAAATCTAATATTTGGTTTTCATTTTGAGCTTTTAATACATTTTGCAGATTGTTTTCATAATAATTTTTTTATTCATATGCTGTCCTGATTTATATTGATTACTTTGATGTTTAGAATGTATTGTTAATGAGCGTTTTCCTTTGACAGAGCATAAATCAGATACTTTGTGATTTTATTGGAGCAAAAATATGGGAAAGCCTACTGCAAAGAAGAAAATTCAGATAGGGTCAAAATCCAACGATGGAAACCAGAAGCATACCAAAGCTGTGGAACGTAACTCAAAGGCATTTGATGAAGATACTGCTATCTTCATCAACATGTCTCAAGAATTGAAGGAAGATGGCAACAAGTTGTTCCAGAAACGTGATCATGAAGGTGCTATGTTGAAGTATGAAAAGGCCCTTAAATTGCTACCTTTAAACCATATTGACGTTGCATCTTTGCGGAGTAACATGGCTGCTTGTTACATGCAAATGGGCATCGGTGAGTACCCTAGAGCTGTAAATGAATGTAATTTGGCACTTCAAGTGGCTCCCAAGTATAGCAAGGCTTTATTGAGAAGGGCAAGGTGTTACGAGGCCCTGAATAGGCTTGACATGGCTTTAAGAGACGTCAATAATGTGTTGAGTATGGAACCCAATAATTTGACTGCGTTGGAGATTGCTGATAGTGTGAAAAAGGCAATCGAAAAGAGTGGTGGGCAGATCGAAGACAAGGGTGTTGATTTGCCCCCAAGTTATGTTGAGCCTACTTATGCACCGGTTCCTAGAAAGGTTGTCAAAGAGAAGGGAAAGAAAAAGAAGAATACCAAGTTTGACAGGAAGAATACCGAGGAACCTGAGGAGAAGAATGTTAATGAAGTTGAAGAAAAGAAGGCCGAGGAAAAGGTGGTTGTTGAAGAGAAACGAAGTGTCACGGAAGAAAAGGTACTAATGAAATCTGTGAAATTGGTTCATGGAGAGGACATAAGATGGGCGCAGTTACCAGTGAATTGTGGTATTCGTCTGGTGAGGGACATAGTTGTGGACAGATTCCCAAATCTGAAGGGTGTCCTAATCAAGTATAAGGATCAAGAAGGTGATTTGGTAACTATCACTACAACTGATGAGCTGAGAATAGCTGAGGGATTGGCTAATCGTCAAGGCTTTTTGAGATTGTACGTTGCTGAAGTTAGTCCCGAGAAAGAGCCACTTTACGAGGGGATGGTCATTGAAGAGGAATTGCACAAAAGCAAGGAGAAACCATTGCTGGTCACGAAAAACACTGATGTAGAGAAAAATCCACCCTGTGTTGAGGACTGGATTTTCCAGTTTGCAAAGCTGTTCATGAATCATGTTGGATTTGAATGTGACTCCTACCTGGATCTTCATGAAATAGGAATGAAATTATATACGGAAGCAATGGAAGATGTTGTTGCAAGTGAAGATGCACAAGAGCTGTTTGATATTGCTGCAGCCAAGTTCCAGGAGATGAGCGCTTTAGCGTTGTTCAACTGGGGACATGTTCACTTGTCCAAGGCAAGGAAGAAGGTGTTTGTTCCTGAAGATACCTCTGCTGAATCCGTGCAGATGCAGGTTAAAGCTGCTTATGATTGGGCACAAAACGAATATGCCAAGGCTGGTATGAGGTATGAGGAAGCTTTAAAAGTTAAGCCAGACTTTTACGAAGGGCTTCTTGCTCTTGGACTGCAGCAATTTGAACAAGCAAAACTTTCTTGGTCTTATGTAATTGGGAGCACGTCTGATTTAGAGATAGGGCCATCGGCACAGGTATTGGAGCTATATAACAAAGCCGAGGATAGTATGGAGAAAGGGATGCAAATGTGGGAAGAGATTGAAGAACAACGCCTTAATGGACTCTCAAAATATGAAAAAGATAAAGCAGAGTTGCGTAAATTTGGGTTGGATGGGCTATTTAAAGATATATCACCAGACGAAGCTTCTGAGCAGGCAGAATCTATGAGGTCTCAGATTTACCTGTTATGGGGTACGATGCTGTATGAACGCTCTGTTGTAGAATATAAGTTAAGCCTACCGACTTGGGAAGAATGCGTGGAGGTTGCTGTTGAAAAGTTTGAACTTGGGGGAGCATCACAAACAGATATTGCAGTTATGATCAAGAACCATTGCTCAAATGAAACTGCTTTAGAAGGTACAGTTTATTTTTGTGTGCATTGTTTCGTGAATGGGCTTGTAGATTTGACACTTGGTTACTGTTTTCGTTTTTGAATTTGTGACAACGTAGGATTCAAAGTGGATGAAATAGTACAGGCTTGGAATGAGATGTATGATGCTGATAGGTGGCGAACTGGTGTGGCATCTTTCCGACTGGAACCACTATTTAGAAGGCGCTCTCCGAAACTTCATTCAGTTTTGGAGCACCCCTGATAAGAAAGAAAAGAAAACAAGTATTTCCAGATTATTTTAGGTAATTTCATGGAGCAAATTTATTATGGATATTAATATTGACAACATAGTTTATAGTTTATGGGTGTGTTGCTTTTCACTGACAGTATTTACAAATCATCTTGCAGGTCCTTCTTGATAGTTGTTGTCAGTCATCTTGGTTTGCTCTGCTTTGCTTGTCAAGTGAAGAAATTCACCATTACGCCCACTTAATTTTGGATTAGGTGGCGTTTTATTATTTTCAATTAATTTTTTTCAGAGAAGTTTGATTTGTTCTTTCATCTTTGGGATGATATTCTTGTACCTGAGGGAAGGGTGCTCATTTTTTTCTTTTTTGGGTTTACATTATTACATACAACATAGAATGGTATGGTTATTTGAATTGAATTGAATTGAATTGGATTTGTAAAGTGTTTTTTTGTGGAGGTATACACATTAATACACTATTTCTTGTATTATTGTTTGTGGGGGCGATGCGAACAACTTGTTGTGTCAATCTTCGATGATTCTTTGGCTTTAATCTGTTGTATGTGTCACCATTAACCAGTCACTACTAGCAAAGAACAATTCTAGATAGTTGATAAACAACATATAATTTATTACTTACAAAGAAATAATTTGGTTTGTGTAAAACTTAAAAAAAGAATATTTATAGCATAATAAAATGTTTGCAGAAGGAAAATGGTATCCGGACCAACAAAGAGTTTAAAGTGGGTGGGGCCAACAAAACAAGGCCCAATTATCCGGCATTGGGTCACTTTCTCTGGCGCACTTTGCGTCTGAATTTAATCTTCTTCTTCTTCTTCTCACACTATTTTTTATATATATTAATATTATAACATATCTTGTACCAATTTACAGTAGAAGAAGAATCTATCATCATCATCATCATCATCATCATCATCTATTAGGTTTTGGAATGGACAAGATCAGGAGAGCATCTCACGCTGGTTCATGGTACACCGACAATCGTAAGCACCCAATTTCGCTCAATTCTCAATTCATCTTTCTTTACTTGTTCATTCAACTCAGTCAGGACTCTATTGCTTATTAACTATGTCAATAATTCAGAACAAACAAAACTCCGGTCTTGATGAAAAAGATTAGTTTTTTATTTTGTATTTTTCGATTTTGTCTCTTAAGTTAATTGCTCAAAGATTTGTTTTTTTTTAATTAATAATTAAGATCATCATCCAGCTTAAATAAATTATGTTGTTAAAAGTCTGTTTGAGTGTTTCTAAGAAGAATTATTGATGTTCCATTGGTAAAGCTAAAAAGTTAGGGGAAGAGCTTGATGGGTGGCTTAGGGATTGCGGGGTTGCCCAATCTTCAGATGTAAGAGCTGTTATTGCACCGTAAGTCACCACTGACCACCACCACCATTATTATCCTTGTATTGAAATGGTGACGACGACACCTCTAACACAAATCTTGGTTTTCTACCATTTAGTCATGCAGGTTATTCATACTCTGGCCGTGCTGCAGCCTATGCCTTTGGCAACATTGATCCTGAAAACATGTATTTTCTAATTTACATGAATGAATACCCAAGTTTTCTTTTGAAGACCTCTTTTTTATCTTTATCTTTATTATTATGCAGCTCTAGGGTGTTTCTTCTTGGCCCATCTCACCACCATTACACTCCCAAATGTGCTCTTTCAAAAGCTACACTCTACAAGACCCCCATAGGTGACCTACCAATTGATCTACAAGGTACATGCCACCACCACTCACTTTCTCTGCTGTTTCTGCATTGCCAATTTGTTTCCAAAACAAACTTTCTATGTATTTCTACAGTGTCATTCGCGCATCCATCAAAAATAGTTTTTTTACTTTAATATTTCCCGGGTAAATAGTTTATGATTTACCTTTGTGCCAGTCAATGAGGAGCTTAAAGCTACTGGGAAGTTTGAATTCATGGATCTTCATGTTGATGAGGCTGAGCATAGCATGGAAATGCACCTTCCCTATCTAGTTAAAGTATTCCAGGGGTATGTATGATTTGTTTTTCTTTGCTTTACTTTTCTTCAACAATTATCTTTCTTCTGGCTAATATGTATTACAAGTTAATACAGGTATTCTGTGAAAGTTGTGCCCATTCTGGTCGGTGCTCTCAGTGCTGAAACTGAAGCCATGTATGGTCGACTATTAGCCAAATATGTGGATGATCCAACAAATTTCTTTTCTGTCTCTTCAGATTTTTGTCACTGGGGTTCACGGTATGTCATGCTCCTCATCTTTATTCAGAACCTGTCCTCACTGTTTCGGTTATCCATTTCAAGATTAATACCTGAAATATCACACGAGTTTGATCTTCTTTTTTGTTTAGATTCAACTACACGCATTATGATAAAAAACATGGAGCTATCCACAAGTCTATTGAGGCATTGGATAAATCGGGAATGGATATAATAGAGACAGGAGATCCAGATGCATTTAAGCAGTATCTCTTGGAGACGGACAATACTATTTGTGGACGACATCCAATTAGTGTTTTTCTTCATGTACATATCTTTAACGTGCCTCTTTTTTCTTCCGTTTTTCTTCTTCTAAAAGAGCTACCTTACTTTCACTTATTGAGCTATGCGTTCTACTTATTTGCTTTATCCTTAATTGGAGGATTTCCTAACCAAAGTTTGTATTTGAAATTCCAATAGATGTTGAAGAGTAGCTCAACAAAGATAAAGATTCGATTTCTGCGATACGAACAGTCAAGCCACTGCAAATCCATGAGAGACAGCAGTGTAAGTTATGCCTCTGCAGCAGCAAAAGTTGATGCTTGAATTTGTGAGGTGGTGGCACAAGACCTTCCTTATTTGATAAATTAGCATTCATGCCTCAGTTGAATGTAACTTATAACTTGTGATTTCTGGCAATAACAAATTTGGTCTTAGTCTTCCTTTTAAGAAACAATTCTTGATAGTTTGTGTTTCTTTAATCTGTCAATGTTCTATGGTGGTAACAACTCTTGTTCTCCAAAAATGAAATATTAATACTCTTGGTCTTTAATCTCTCACTATTCATTAAGCAAAAAAAACTAATGGACCAAACTCCGAAAGATAGTGCCGAGTTAAACAAACACGATCGTTTGATGAAGTAACAAAAACATTAAAAAAAAAAACAACGGGCAGAACTCGGAAGGCTAATTTATTTATGAAGCAGAAACCATAAAGAATGGTATCAGCAAGAATATCATCAAGTATTACAATGTTCAACACAAAAAAAGTTTAGTTAGTTGTCTGAGTCAGTCAAAAATCCTGTCACCTGTGGATAACAAAAGAAAGACGAGTGAACTGAAGATACAGAGTGAGCCTGGTATTACAAAAACCGCTCTCCAGCTATCTGGGCTTGTCAGATCCAACTGTGCCGCCTTAGCCGCCTCAAGAAGTCTACCGGTAAGATCAACCCCAATCACCCCTGCTAAAGTGCCAGCTGTATTAGATACCCCCATAACAATCCCTGCATATCTTGGAGCAACATCCATGTGATTCACTGCAAATCCAGCTCTTGCAAATGCCAAGAAACCGAGAGCCACCGAAGAACAAAACACAGCCCCGTTTGGTGTTCTGAACAACGGAATTGCCATCAATGCAATTGAAGCCACCACAAATCCAACCGTGTTTAGAAGCTTCCTTGTTCTAGTCACAGACATAATTCTCCTGGTGATCAAGTGATCCGCTATCACACCACCGATGTTCGAGAACAAAAACATGTTCAGATAAGGTATCATTTTAGAAGACCCCATCTCTTGAAGGCTGTGCTGGAGCCCCAATTCGAAATACGTCGGAAGCCAATTCATGAGTACATATAGGCCGTAGTGGAAAGTAAAATTATTTACCACAATCGCCCAAATAGGCAAACTGAGCATAATTCTCTTCCAAGGAATATTTGTTGTTGTTCGAGTTGAATGTACTCCATTTTCTATTTTTGTCTTTTGATGATTTTCTTTGATTGGAAGCATTGATTCACCAAAACCAGCAGCTGTAGCCTTCGGATGCTCAGAACGAGGGGGGTCGCTGGCGTACCTAAACCAAAGTAGGGACCACATAGCACCTAAAGAAGCTTCGGCCACAAATACTGATTGTGGGCCCCGAAACTTGACCAGTGACGGGAGCAAAAGCGTTCCTACAGCTGCACCGAAATACATACCAGAGGTTGTAAGAGAAACTGATCTTGATCTTTCATGTGGTGGGACCCACTGTGCAAGTACAGTGTGGATGGAGGGAAAGATGAAGCCCTGTGCCACTCCAACAAGCAAACGAGCTAGTACCATAAGTGTGACCCGATTTGGATCCAAGGGTACGAAAGCACAAGTCAGAGACCACAAGAGAAAGGAAAGTAAGAGAACAGTTCTTCCACCGATTTTCTGAGCTGCCCAGCCGCCAGGAACTTGTGAACAGGCATACCCGTAATAGAAGGTTGAGAGAATCATGCCTTTGCTAGACTGGTTAATTCCAGCGGCATCAGCGGCTGCAGTGTATGCAATGGAGAAGCCCACTCGTTCTATGTAGCAGACGCAAGTGCAGATGAATGTCAATACTACAATTATGTAGCGTTTTGGGACATTTGTGATCTTCATTCTCTTTTGGTTTCATGAAGGGAGAAACCAGATCTTTCTTTCTTGGTGGAGGATTTCTCAAGTCGTCCTCCTCCTCCTCCTCCTCCTATAAGAATTCGGTTTAATAATCTTGATTGATAAGATAATAATAGACCAGAAACACAGAAGACATGTCCAATGAAGTACATACGATTTTACCCAAACATCAGATGAACTTAAGATATATCATGATGCACAAGATACATTTGCCATTCAGTGTCACAAAACTGTCCTAACAAATATGTGTAATCAAGTACGACACATTTTTCTAGCGGAAACAATGCAAAACACAAGGTAAGAACATTGTATCAAAATCATAAATTTATCAGGAAGACAAGATTTCCTACCATCATTTAAAGTAAAAACTGTATATTCTCTATATTAGTCGATTTAAATCTCTGTCAGAACTCAGAACCATTATTATGCTAAGAAACTAAAAATCCTTTGACAAGATTATCATAGCAGCAGGCATCATTTTGATTGCATTACATACAGAACAAACAGAGAACAAAATGACAACCAAAATAAAAAAATCAAGATTACTCAAAAAAAAAACAAGAAGAAGAAGCCAATTAAGCTGCAAATGAAACGGGAATCGATAAGAAAGATTCAATTGAAAACCAAAGATGAAGAAAGAAAATTGAAGTCACCTCAAAAGCGAAAAGGGTTCCCCAGCAGCAGATTACGAGAAAAGAAATGAAAACGGGGGGAGTTTGACCCAAGTGAGCGAGCGATCGAGCGATAAGGAGGAGGAGGAGGAGGTTGCTAATTACCAATTACTAATTACTAATTACTAATTAGGCACCGCTACCTCCTACTTTGACCTCCTACTTTGACACAAGGAGGTAACGGTGATTCAATTTCTAATTATTAATTACTTTTTTGTTAAATAAATCTACAGAAAAATTGGGTCAATAAATGAAGTTGACTATTATTCCCAGAGGAATTAATTCCACATATTCAAAGTGATAAATTATTTTCAACTCTGTTGTATAATATATCAGAAAATTTAGAAATTGAAATAAAAAACTTGTTCAAATATAAGAAATTTTGTAATGGTTGGTTTATCCTTTCTACTTGTATTCATTCCAAGTGTTTGTTTTTGGCAAGGGAATTTTCCCATTATTTACTCGTGTGATTTAAATTTCGTCTAATGATTTTAATTATAAAACAAGATAAAGAGTAGACATATATTTGTTAATTCAAGAAAGAAGGAAAAATAGCAATATATATATTTGTACTAGAATGATGATAGACGATAAATAATTCGGTCCTCAAAACGAAATACTATATGAAAATGACATATTAAATGTGATTAAAACTCCATTTGTCTGTACTAGTAGTACTAGGTCTTGATTTTCAGAGAGACGACGCCAATTTAACTTGAGTCGGAAAAAGGGGCTCAACAACTACAACTTCACCATTTGATAATCCCAAAGCAAACTGGTTTTTCTTCTTTGGATGAGCAGCTATCACTACTGGATCCACCACCCCCACCACATAACAAGGCCTGCATGCGTTCGTTCGTTCACAAATATATTAAAACGTAATTACCAGCTTTTAATTAATAATTACATTCTTGCTCAATAAAATACTCTTGTCATTAGTCATTAGTACCTGAGACGAGATGGAAGATATGCAGATGGATCAATCTCGTATCTTGGACTAAGATCCGAAGCATCAAGCACTAAAATGATTCCATCTCTCATTGCAGCATATACCATTTCACTATCACATGAATACGTCGCATGCGATATCCTCGCACAAAAGTTGGCAATCGTCCACTGTCGATTTTACAGACCAGATATCAATAAATCATGAATGAGAGAGACAGAGAGAGAGAGATTTAGCAAAGAGAGAGATATTTGACCTGCTTGACACGTCTAAGTGTTAATGTTTCATAAATGGCAAGTTGAGTCTGATGAACAGCAAGGAAGTGATTATGATCCTTGTCGAGTTCAATACTGGTTTCCGATAGCTCTGCTGACCCCAACAAACCACCTGAAATCTGCAACACTGTGCTTTTCTTTTTCTCCCATGTACGACTATCCCACACAATAATCTAAACGGAATTCACACACTATTAAGCAGCCAATCAAGATATATATATATATATATATATATATATATATATATATTGAACAATAAATTTGTATAACACTAACCTCAGTATCTACGGCACAAGAGACGAGTACATTTAAGGTGGTCGAGAAGGCAAGCCCAGTAACTCTTTTCGAGTGCCCTTTAAGCTTACTTATTAACTGCCAAAATAAAGGGCATGTTTAATTCTTGGGTATTAAGAGCAAAAATAATAATATTTCGATACATACCTCATCAGTACGTATGTTAAAGATGAGGATTGATGCGTCATGGCGGCCAATAGCAATTACGTTGTTATCTGGCGGATAGAACACAATACATGTTGCAGCAGGGGGTGGCCTCATCACACTTCTTAGTTCCTACGTTCATTCATCGAGCATTATCTTTTTTAAGTGAACAAAAATAATAATAATAATAATAAATAATGAATTAAGCAGCAGCACGTAAACACAGTTTTAATGGATAATTATATTACCTTGAAAGAGATGGCGTCGTATAAAGAAATGACGGCTCCAGATGATGAGATAACATAAGCGTCATTTTTGGACAATGTCAAGGTAGATGGAACTTGATCATCCAAACTGCTATTTCGAGGTGGAGTATCGTTTATCATTAATAAACCTCTCTTTGGTTGATATAGTGCAGGGGTACTCTTTGTACTTGCCTCCCCGTTTATATTATCATCATTTTTTTCCCATTTCCAGAGTAGATGAGTCCCATCTTCTGCTAATGCCACAACCCCATTACCTGAATGACTGTACAGCAACCTCCTTATCTGAAAACCCCATCAAATTAAATTAATCAATGTTGTTAAAACTGTGTTTACTCGGTGGTGATTTCTCACATTATATGATAATATGGGGGATTTGTGTTAATCGTACCGTATTAGTCTGAACTAGAGAGGGGAGGATAACATATTCGCAGCTTGAAACTTCAACAACTTTAGAAATATGGGGTATCTCCATTTTCATTAATTCATTATTAGGGCAAACCCCTCTGGCACTTATGTTCTGCCACATAACCAGAGATTCTTCCTAAAAAGTGTATTAATTAGACTATTAGAGGAAGACATAAAAAGAAAATACTCAATGTTTTAAGACAACTTACTGAAGCAGCATTTCTTGCCGGAACAACAGTTTGAAGAGGCAGCACAGGCATCTGATTTACAGAAAGCTGAACATGACACAAAGCATTAACAAAACAAGCAGGGGGAAAAAAAACATTTTCCCACGAATAAACTGTACAAGGATAGAGAGATGCTGACCTTTCTGAATGATTCTGTTAGATATCCAGAGGAAGAATCGCCCGAAACACAAGGGGAAGTTTGAAGCAACTCATGGCCTTCAATAATTGCTAAAATTTCATCTTTTTCGACATCATTTGCTGAATCTTGACAAATGCTCGAAGAATCTGTGGGTGATATTACCTACATAACAATATTTGTTTTGAAATATATAATGACTGTACTTATCAACAAATATAATAATAATTCATTAGCACGGCGATTACTTACTTCATTGAGAGGTTTTACAGCTGGGGTGGTACCGGTGAGAGGTGATGCAGACAGTTCGGTGGACATGGTGACCTGAAAAAAGCATCGAAATTTCCAATATTAGTGCAAGAAAACAATGAAGCTTGATTTAGGTTTCAAAGGACAAAAGATTAAGAAAAAAAAAAGAACTTACAAGTGAAATTTCGTTTTCCAATTGACTCTGTTGCATCATATTATCTGGTCCAGGACACTTATGATCTGTAAAGAGGGTGTCAATATGTGGTTGTGGATGAGGATGTGCACAGTGCTTATGCTGCCAATTCAAACTGCATATTGTAACTTCACAATCAGTATTATATTCATCCAATAACAAAAATGTCCATCACGGTAAGTATAATTGCATATCGACTTAACGAGAGGAATAATGATTTCAAATTTAAACTCAAAATCATAAAAAAAGGGGGCAGAGAAAAGAAGTGCCTTTGGTTAATGAGACGCCTTAGCCTTGACTTGGTAATAGGGGGAAAGTTGGTTTTTCCATGGAGAATTGGATTTGCCTGAATGACAGCCCTCAATTCATTTATAATGCTTCTTCTGACAGATAACGTATCTCCATACGAGGTCAGTTCACTATGCTCCCTGCCAATTTATCACAGAATTACCATTACATATTTTTTTAAGTTTTTTTGTTGGTTGAAAAGTCCAAGAGATGTTAAAAGGCAATAGAAACATGCCTAAAGTTGGGCATAGTTAGGAGCAGAGTCATTTCTTTGTACAATTCTTTGTTTGATTGCTCAAAAACTTTGAGATCTTTCACAAGAATGTCTAAAGCCGCAGCAGATTCATGTCTATCACAAAAATATAATGTCAGAAATAAATTAAACCAGGGAAGTTTTCTATTGTTATTGATTATTCATAAAAAATCGTACTTGTCGAGGGCCTCAAGAAATTTTTGCTTCCGAATCTCAAAATAAATCTTAGTTGAATATTTGTTGTCTTCAAGTAATGTGAAGCTGGACAGATAATCCTCTGCCTCATCCCAGTTACCATGGAGGATCAGCTCTTCAAAATGTTCCAAATCGAAGAAATAACCACTTTCCTGCTCAAGCCTATTATTATCATACAATACATCAAAAGTAAATTCCACAATTATTAAAAAAACAAAAAGAAAAAAAGAAAAAGAAGAATTGGAAGATGAAGATGTAGAGAGAGAAATAAAAGACAAACATGTGAGCAGTCCTTTTGAAATTCTCTTCAGCACAGAATTGCAACATCAACAACACCAGATCCTTACTCAGAGACATTTTGCCCACACTACTATCCTTCAAACACCAAAAATAAAAAAAAAAAAAAAACATTAGAACAAATCATACATATATACATACAGGTAACTTCAATTTTTCAATTCAATTGATCAGTAAATAAGTTTGCTTCAAAAAGGGATTCTGATCAACATCTTTCATTATTCACAACAATTTGACAAATTTAAATAAAAACTTACAAAAGCATGCAGAAAAAACCACGGTTCTCGATTAATAACAGTACATTAATGTATAAATAAAGGCCACAGAACAAACAATATAGAAAACCAGAGGATTAAATATTTTTTTCTTAATTTAATTAATTGAAAACAGGGTCACAAAAATCAAAGAAACTTGAAAAGTCACAGTAATATAAAAGAGAAAAGCAAAAGAAAAGGGCATTGGGAGAGAGATGCTTACCTTTTTTTTTATTAGAAAAAATAGAACGTCTGAAAACAAAAGGTCTGAACCGTCTCTCTTCCTTTCTCTCTCTCTCTCTCTCTCTCTCTCTCTCTATAAACAAAACAAATTTCTGCCTGAAAATTCTTTCAGATACAGTGAGAAAACCGATGCGTCAAAGGGGAGATAAGTTGTGCTGCTTATCTGATAAGTTGTTGAGGAGATGGAGACCAGGAGTACTCTGTATGTACTTATATATTTATACGTACAAAAGTCTATCCATAATTATGGACATTTATTTTATTTTGGGATGAAAACTCTAAATATCGACTTTGTAAATATAAACATGATTTGAAATACTAAAAATATGGTTATTCTTTTCCATTATTGCAAATATACAATCTTCGTAACCAAACCATGAGATTTAATTAATTGCGATAAAAACAAAAACCCATGAGATTGACCAATAAATAACAATTAATTAACTATTTATTTAGAAATTAGATTTTCAAAAAAAAATAAACATAGGCCCAAGAAAAAAAGGCCCTGATAAAGTGGGCCGGTTATTAATCCAACAGCTACAATCGGGCCTCCGAGACTTTTCACGGTTCGTTCTACCAAGCCCAAGCATTAATAATTCTTGAGAAAACAGTTTTGGATGGATCAATTGGCTCTACTGTCTGAAAATCTTTGTATCGTAACTTGGTCACACCACACACCACACCATTTGCATGATTATATATGTACAGCATGTATGTATGTATGTATGTTGACATATTATTCGATCCCTAATATAGTATTATTATATATATATAACTTATCTAATTATACACCTCCAATCAACTTGTAATGTACCTGTAATCAAATCTGGACTGGATAACATACTCAAATAATACAAAGCTTTTGTACCTAATTAATTAATTAATTCCACGAAAACCAATGAATAGATCAACTGCCCCTAATGATGGATGAAAAGCTTTTGATTAATTATTCCAATATAACATAATATGCTGCCAGTTAATTAATATTGATTGATTTTTATATAGGGGAATGCGTCGTTATCATGAATTATTACATGAACTGGAAATATATAGAGATAGAAGCAGCATGCATTGTGATTGATGAAGTTGACTCATTTTTTAATTTGGTTGGTTTAGAATATTATGTTGTGTTGCCTTTGATTCTTAGCATCATATTATTAATCAAACGATCATCATCTTTTTTTATTCAGATAAATAAATTTAAATACTAATATTTAGAAAGCAGCCCACTGGCCACATCTTTCTTGTTCACATGTCAAACACATCATAATTAACTATAAATACCCCTAGCTATTTTCTTGATTGCCCTTTTTCTTATATATATATATATAATTCTTGATCTTTTAAGAAACAGCTTCTTCTTATTATCCATCCAGCAGAGTTGAATATAATGGGTTCTTCAGCGAGTGATGCTCGTAATTCGGACACACTACTATACGACATGGCTTCTGTATTAAAAATAATGGGGCTAAGTTTGTGGCTGTACTTAGCCAGCAGCCAAGGCTCAACAAGTAGTGTGTTTTCAGAGGTTAATGGAACAGTGCATATTGATGTTTCTTCTTCGATTGGATTTACAGATGAAGACTTCATTTGTGCTACTATGGATTGGTGGCCTCCTACTAAATGCGATTATGGAACTTGTAGTTGGGGAACTGCTTCACTTCTCAATCTCGTATGCTTTTTTTTTTAACTCAAATTCCTCATATTTATTTTCCTCGATCGCTCGGTTTCTTATTACTTGTTTCTCAATTAATGTTCTTGTCTTTAATATCATCGCTTTAAATTTCTGTATATTAATGAACTGCTATATATATATGTATTGCTCAAACATGCCAATCAAACATATGTTGAATGTAATGGCATTTTGTTCCATAAAGTTTTCCTCCACTCAACGAGTAGTTGACTAGTTGAGTGCATGTCCAATAACAAAAATTCCACAATACAGTGACACAGTGAAAAGGGCTCTTTGTCCCTTTTGAATTTATCTTCATATATATGTAATTCTTTTAATTTTCAAAAAAAAAAAAATGTAATTCTTTTAATTTTTTTTAATTTATAGGACCTAAGCAACAAGATTTTGGTAAACGCAATCAGAGGTACATTTCCCACCTATAAACAGTAAAAAAGAATAATAATGTGTGAGTGATAAGTGATATCTGAAGTGCAGCATTTTCACCCCTGAAAATCAGAATTGGTGGAACTTTGCAAGACAAAGTGATCTACCAAACAGCAGATGATCCGACACCATGTTCTCAATTTCTTAGGAATAGTTCCGAGATGTTTGGATTTACCCAAGGTTGCTTGCCCCTGTCTCGTTGGGATGACCTCAATAACTTCTTCAATATGACAGGGTATATATATACTTTTTTTTTCGTCACGAGCAATGATTTCTGCAGCCTCGTGACTTTTTATTTAAACGTTTACAGAGCGGAGATTATATTTGGGTTGAATGCATTAAACGGGCGAACAATTGGATCAGATGGGAGTTGCACTGGAGCTTGGAATTCAAGCAATGCAGAGTCCCTCATAAGGCACACGGTCAATAGTGGCTACACTATCTATGGTTGGGAGCTTGGTAAGAATTCTCGATAAAATCGGATAAAGAACCTATGCATGTCATTCCTTGTAATAATAATAATAATATGTGGTTGCTTTTTTGGAATATCAGGAAATGAACTGAGTGGCCGTGGAATTGGAGCAAGTGTTGCAGCAGAGCAATATGCATCTGATATAATCACTCTTCAGAAAACAGTGCAAGATATATACAAGGGCTTCGAGACCAAGCCACTGGTCCTCGGTCCAGGTGGTTTCTTTGATGCAAATTGGTTCACAAAATTCGTTAAAGGAGCAGCAAACTCTCTTCAAGTGCTCACGCACCACATTTACAACCTCGGTCCAGGTATCTTTTAGTCTTAATTCATCACATCAGATCGATCAGATGATGGAATGGAATTATTAATCAGTAAACTTATATTGCAAACAAGGGGTGGATGATCACCTGATAGAGAAGATACTGGATCCATCGTATCTTGACGGTGGAGCACAGCCATTTAGGGATCTCCAGAAGATTCTCAATAGTTCTGGAAGTTCAACTGTTGCATGGGTTGGTGAAGCTGGTGGGGCTTATAACAGTGGCCGCGATCGTGTCACTAATGCATTTGTCTTCAGCTTCTGGTAAGAAAAAAATTCATAAATATTCTTTGTTTTGCTTCAGTCATAAATGACTCGATCTTATTTTGTTTGGGGATTGGAAAAGGTATCTGGATCAGCTGGGGATGTCTTCTTCTTATGATTCCAAAACATATTGCAGACAGAGTCTTATTGGTGGAAACTATGGTTTACTCGACACTAACACTTATCTCCCTAATCCTGATTACTACAGGTGATTTTTAGTTTCGTGCTGCATTACTTTAGTGCTATTTATAATGCTTAAAGTAGAGAAGGAAATTACACAAACTCCCCATTGATGCATTCCTGTAGTGCACTTCTTTGGCACCGTCTGATGGGAAGAAATGTCCTATCGACAAGTTTTGAAGGGACGAAAAAGATACGGGCATATGCTCACTGTTCAAAGAATTCAGTAAGCAAATTATCATAATCATATATATATTTTTCAGAGACGAGACCTAATTAATTAGATCGCCTTTGATCAATGAATGAATGTTACACAGATTGGAATAACGTTGGTATTGATCAACCTGGACAAGGCGACTACAGTTGAAGTTGGTGTTTCAATTGAAAATTTCATATCAAACAAGACATTGACAGTGGAACAAATAGTTGAACAAACACGAAATACAAATCCCACGAGCAGATACAAACACAATGGTGAAAACGAGATGATGATGAGAGAAGAATACCATCTTACGGCAAAAGATGGTGATTTGCATAGCCAAACAATGCTGCTGAATGGGGAAATAGTAAAAGTAAATACTTCTTCAGGAATAATACCTCCATTAGTACCTAGAAGAGTAATCTCCTCAGAACCAATAACTGTTGCTCCTTTCTCCATACTATTTGCTCAGATACCCTCCATTCAGGTGCCAGCATGTAAATAATGCATTGTCAAAGTGCTGTATTTGTATTGTATATATGTATGTACTCACCCCAGTCACTGCTGAAACCTGACAATAACTTTATAAATGGAACAAACGGAAAATATAGAAGAAGCCAGAACCAAATAAATGAGGAAAATTACAACTTATCATGTTGTTGATGTGAAAAATTTCAACCATCAATTTCGACGAGAATGATGAAATGGTGACATTTTGTTGGAAAGTTGAGTTTTCTCAACTAAACTCTAATTTCAATTGAATAATAATCCACCCCAGTTAAGCTTTTTTTTTTTTTCAACATATGATCTAGCTCAAGAGTTAATAGTGGAATTTTACAATAATAAGGTATCAAGAAGTTGGTGGTGTAAGATGTTGGTCTTCCTGCAAAGGCAGAGGAATAGCTGGTCTCCAAGTCGTACCCTCTGGGCTATCCATGAGAGCAATGCCCACACCTGCCAATTCTTTTCGGATTGTGTCCGATTTTTCGTATTCTTTATTTTTTCTCGCTACATTCCTTTCCTCAATCTTCTGCATAACTTCATTATCCGTCAACTTTGCACGCTTTAGTGCATAATCACTCAGCTGCTTCAGTGCCTGGAATACGTACAACAACCAGCCATTTACATTTCCGAAAAAAAAAGACATATAAAAATGTTATTTGGTAAATAAATGAAGTTAATCACAGCGAGAGACTAATTAATTTATTTTACCTCAGAGTAACTATCTGGCAAGAGCCCCAAAATATTAAGAATATTTCCGATTGTCTTTCCTAAAGCTGCAAGTGACTCTATTCTCAACTCTTGCTTCTTTCCCTGCACAAAGTACTCAGAGCTCATAATCATGCTCCATAAACGAGCCAACTCTAACATTTTGCAACGAGACGTAAACTTATGGTGCATAATTTAAAAGGAGTTCCAATAAGCTGAAACCAATACTACCTTGCGAGTATGTAGAAGATCGTTGAGGTTTTTCAATGGTTCAGACATTGCAGCCAAAGCTACAGTAGTATGAAGATCATCCGACATGGATGTCAGACATTCATCATGAAATTTGTTGATGCAAGTCTCTGTTTCTGATGGAATCGAATCCTTCAAACTGGCCTCGTCATAATTGGCCGTGATACTCTCACAATCATGTAAAGTCTGCATTCAGAATGCGCTCAATTCATATAGGCGAAAATCAGGCCTAACTTCAGCATTTGACGTATAACCATGACGTAATAGAACACCTAATACTATATAACAAAATATCTAGTCAAGGGTTGAATAATTGTTATACCTGATAAATGTAGAAAATACGGTCGGATGCACTTTCAAGCTGTAGGTCTGAGTAATTGATTGGGGAACGATAATGAGTTCCCATAAGGAAAAGCCTCAAAGCCAGTGGATGGTACAGTTCTATAACCTGAAAGTTAATTTAATGAGGCCTGACCACTAGAAAACTATATTTAAGACTACCACAGATAATTGGCAATAATTAGTCTTGTAAGCAAACTATCAACAGAGTAAATGGGTGTATGTGTGTGAGAGAGAATGAATTCGTTACAACTGTACCTGTCGAATGGTGAAAAAGTTGCCAAGAGACTTTGACATTTTCTCAGAGTCGATGGTCACGAATCCATTATGAATCCAATAGCTAACGCTGCTTTCATGGCAAGCAGCACAACTTTGAGCAATCTCATTCTCATGATGGGGAAAAACAAGATCCATTCCACCACCATGTATATCAAAAGAATAACCTAAGTAAGCAGCACTCATTGCACTGCACTCAATATGCCACCCAGGCCTTCCAGGACCCCACGGACTTTGCCAAAAAGGTTCTCCTTTCTTTGCTGCCTGCACATTGACTACAAAGTTAGCGAAACCCTCCGGTAAATTTAAATCTTATACCCAAAAGAGAGCCTAAAGAACAGATACAAGATACAACACGTGGATGGCGTTCCACACAAAATGCCATTTAACATAAATAGAGCAGGCAGCATCATCTGGGAAATGTATAAATAAATTAAAATCATAGTTAAAACTAAGGACTCACTTTCCATAAAGCGAAGTCAGCTGGGTTTTTCTTCCTTGAGTTCACAGCCACTCGTTCACCTGCTCTGTTGTCTTCTAATTTACGCCCAGATAATCGACCATAATCAGGGAATTTGTCCACAGAGAAGTAAACATCGCCATCTATCGTGTATGCACACCCATTATCGAGTATCTAACGAATACAAAAATAGAGATTTTTATATCCATGGATGAAAAGGAAGAATGAAAGTAAATCAAAGACGAGATAAATACCTGTTTAATCATATCAATAATTTGCGGCATGTGATCAGAGACACGAGGTTCGACAGAAGGAGGAAGACAGTTTAGAGATGACATGTCAAGATGGAATTCTTCACAATATCTTCTGCTTAAACTAATTGGATCTTCACCCAACTCATTTGCTCTGGCAATAATCTACAGAAATTGAAAATGCAGACTCAGATGTCCTATCAACATACATAATAAAGAAGTAAAGAAATTAAGCTCTTCAAAAGAAGGCCAAAACAGTTTGTCATCAAGAAGAGGCAGACAAATTCCAAGTAATGAACTCACTCACTCACTCACTCACCTTGTCATCAACATCAGTGAAATTACGGACATAGTTGACCTCATAACCCAAGTAGTTGAGGTATCTGCCTAATTTGTGAAAGGAAATGAAGAAAATGTAATTAGTCAAAACAGTTTGGCATGAATAACTAGGAAATCCATAAAACAGATATCAAACATAAATACTAAGACGTAAAACCCCCCCAAAAAAAAAGGAGAGAATTATAGATATACCTGTAGAGAAGGTCAAAAGCAACGTAAACGCGGGCATGGCCAATGTGGCTGAGATCGTATGCGGTGACACCGCACACATACATCCCTACTTTCCCTTCCAATTTCGGCTTAAACAACTCCCTCTCTTTACTCATTGTATTATACAACCACATCTCCTCCTTTTTCCTTTTTCCAGAATAATTGCTGCTGCAATTATCTTCATCCTTGACATGATTTTGATTTTCACAAGGTGGCTGAGTTTTATTGACAGCACAAAAAGTTCGAAAGCGGAAATTGGTTTTGGAATGGGCATATTTAGAGGTGAAGATTTTGCGTTGAAAGAGTGAGCGGCGAATCGGAATGAAGGGTTTGCACCATTTCTGTACAGTCGCCATTAGATTGGCTCTCTCTCTCTCTCTCTCTCTCTCTCTCTCTCTCTATATATATATATATATATATATATATATATATATGTATTATGTGGTGCTGTGATGTTATCCGACGAACGAGAAACGTCGGTCAGGGTCCGGTTCCGGTCTGTCCTATTTTCCAATTTTAATATTATTCGAAAACGCTCTATGCCAAGTGAAGATGCGACTTATAATGGCCTGGGTGATTTAAAAGGATTAAACTAGGACTGCAAACACGTTTTACTGCGTACATGGCTGAGAAAAATTATCAGTCTCTACATTGTCAAAATAGTATTGAGCAACTAACAATTTAGCAATGTAAACAATTGCTATTACAGTGTTTTGTAAGAATTGCTAACTAACAAACAAACAATATTAGCAATGTAAAGAATGATCTAACTAATACTCTCTCAAAATGAACCTTCTTCGAATATTGGTCCTCCACCACTACAACAGATTCATGCAGTTGCTCTTTCTTTTCAAACCAATGTACAAACCTTATCTGCAAACACCACCACCATATTTCATCAAATAACAAAAGTATACTGTATACATAAGAAAAGAATTAAGAATGAATATACTACCTTGGCCTGAGTAAGTACAACATAGACTAGTGTCGTCTATGTAGGTTGCTTGAAGACCCATCATCCACGAACCCACTGAAATATCGTCATGTGCGTATGCCTTCAAAGATGCACTGCATTACACCACCATTAGTACCTACCCACATTATATTTCAAAGAATAACTCAACTTGCAAACAAACGCATTTACGTCGTCTAACCTGTTAATGTTTACATACTGAGCCAAATTTTTGGAAAGTATAATGACAGGACCAGCTGCATGCCGGAAGTACCTAATGAATAAACTTCCAAGTCATTCACTCAACAACTATTAACAACAAAATACTCTTCTTAATCTCTTTTGATGCACTCACGATTTCTGATCACCAAATTTCCACCAGTCTGGCTCATACCATGGTTTCCCCCTGAAATAAATCACAACTCATTTTACGGCTTCCGATGTTGGCAGTGTTCATACTTCATACCAACAATCATTAGAATAACCAGTATCTTTAAGCACCACCATTAATGTAAATAGACGATTCTCAAAACCAACTTAAGAAAAATCAAGATAAAGTGCATTACTCTTCAACAACTACATCACCGGACTTCATGCAACCAATATAAGCACCATCTTGATCACGACGGTTTCGGAGAAGTTCAACCAGACCATCTGCCAACTCGACATATTTATCATCTTCATTACTCAAATAAAATTATATAATTATGACTTTCAAAGTCCCAAGTAGCATATTTAGAATATACCAAAATTAATATCAACATTGTCGTCCACTTTTACATAAAAATCTGCATCCCACATCTGGACAGCTGTGCCAAAAAAGAACTTTGCTTTCTTGGATAATTCCTCTTGAGCCTCCTCGTGATTATCCTAGCAAAACAGTAACTGTGTTCAGTAATACACATGTTACAAGTAAACCACCTCATAGGCAACTAAATTACAAATACATAAATTCCATGTAACAGTTATCAATGCAAATAATATAATTAGGGATTGAATAACTTACCAGAATCAAAAAGTCTTCCGTTGCACGGTTTTCTTCATCAATATTGCGGTCCAAGCTGTCACCACGATTAGGACTGCGAATCCAAGCAACTGAATGAGCAACTTCTAGTTGATAGACTGATCAATATCTAGTGTGATTGTGGGGATTTACTAAAGAGACTGGAATCAACGTAAAAACAAGTGTCATGCGGTACTTTTAAGAAAGAAAATGCTAAAGTAAGTGGGAAACCTTCGTCCAATCACAAATCGCACAACAATCCCTCTTTTCTCAAGATTTGATAAAATATCAGCTGCATTCACAATAATTTAAATATAATATTCAGACCTCGCACTGTATGAGTCAATAGTGCAATATAGCATACTAAAGGCATCATAATATGAGAGCTTAACGAATAGAAAATGAATTTTGACAAACCTTTGGACATCCAAGAACCCCTGATGGTATTGCGTCGCAAACGACCCCCAAAACCAGTATAAACTCCAATAACAGCAAGCAACTTTTTACCAGAAGAAGATCCGCTTTGCTGCAGCTGGTTCTTAAGATAACCTTGGCTCTTTGCTAATGTCAATTCCATCTCAGTTTCAACAATTCTCCTCTCCAAATCCCTAAAATGTTCATCAATATGAGTCTAGTATTCCTTACTACAACCACAAATAACTTACGCATCCGGTAAAATATTTTATGCATATGCATCTGGAAAGAAGTGGAGCCATGATAATACGTACTTGCATCCGAGGACCATTAGTTTGTCTTCCATGGTAAGCACCTCCGGTCGCTGCCAGCATATGGACAAACAATTACTCATAGTTTCTCTTTTTCCATTTCTTGGTGCGTACATGGACGTAAATACATATTCAGGGACACAGATAGATACATACACATTTTATGAAGGAGTCAATGCTAGTTTATGTTTCCGAATCCACTATAACATATAATAACAACAGAAAAGGACAAAACTTGATGAATCTCTTACATCGAGCACAATAAGTGGAAAATTAAAATAAGCAGAAAGATGTGATTGGTCACCACCCATTCCCGAGCCCCTAGTCTTGCCACAACCTGAGATGAAGAATCACTGAGAAAGAAACAAAAAAAAAATAAAAATTGTAGCGATCAGAAAATGAAGAAAACATACCGGCCAGCAACATAAACCCAGGCAAGGCAAGAAAGAAAACCCATGAGAAGAGAAGATTTGGAGGTGTTCTGAATATTTTTGGATTTCGATCGCCTCTCCGATTTCGTCGTCACCGGTAAGCTGCTTTCCATTTTTTTTTTTTCAGTAAACAAATTTATGTGAACTCTTGATGAGTGAAGTGGGTTATAAACTCCAACAAAAGGTAACTGAAAAAAACAAAGACTAGTAAAATTGACGTTGCGAATTTTGGAGGTAAAAAATGAAACCGAGAAGAAATAAGAAGAGAGTGGTAGAACTTGGGAGAAGAGAGAGAGAGAGATGTTTGCTGTGCTGGGTTGTTTCTCTCTCTACTCTCTATGGACCAAACAGATATGCAGTTGTGCTTGTTACTTTACTTCATGGCCCAGCAAACCCAGCCCGCCCCAGCAAACTTATTTTGCTATTTTATATCATTTTTTTCTTTTTCTTTTTCGCCTTACCAATTTGATCTTTTTCTAAAGGAAAAATAAAATAAAATAAAAAGGGGTGATTATATTAATAAATTTCAAAATTGATTTATAAAATTTATATTCAAAAGTTGAAACTTGAAAGATTGACACAAGGAAATTCGAAATTCACTAATTGTCCTTATCAAACTTTCTTCAAATAAAATTAAACAATCAAGTCTGTGAGGATACAACTTCAGAATATTTGAATTCATTCATACAAGTGTAAGGAAAAAAATGCGAACAAATAGCTAAGAATTATTGATAAGAAACAGAAAATCCTATCATGTCATGTCTACTTCTTCCGATATTCTTCTTGAATGTCTAATTTGCACGCTGTGCAGCTCCGCCTAGAAAGTTTGCAAGCGACGGAACACCTTGGCTTCCCATTTCTTCTTGTGCTTTTTTCAACTCTTCAGCATCTGCACCACATATATTATACATTATATGCTAGATAGAATACTTGGAATATATCATCAACTAAATACATGAATACCATATCTCTAAACTTTATATACTAATGATAATCAAAATCAACTGACTCAACACAATAAAGTTATAGATAGCCAAAGGATAAAGTTATTGATCGGAGAAGAGAATGCATAAAAAACTTACCAACTAATTTAGGCATCAAAAACATGACAATCACCATAAATCCCATCATCAGACCCATCGGGCTTTTAAGTATGGACATTACATTGAATGGTTCTCTCCTCTGCAAATTATGAGATGAAAATCAATCATGATTAACTTTCAGATTATGAGATGTCAAGTAATTCAGAATACAGGTCTAGAAAGTCTAAATAACCTCATAATATTGTTCGTCTCTAAAAGGCTCCAAGACAAGCTCACTCAATACTCTCCTGTTCTCTGTCAAAGCTGCTTGGACCTTACCAGGATTCCTGGCACTGACATCGATTCTCACCTGAAACAAAACCAACCAACAATTTGCCATCATGTTTGATAATTAACCACGCTAAACAAAGAATTGAAGAAGTAAATATCTTACTGGAGAGAAGAAATAGCCAATAGAAGCCACTTCAATAAGATGAGTTCCTGCTGGCACGTTATGGCTTGAAAGATAGTTAAAGAATTACTCTTTTTATTCATCAATTACCATGTTTTTAACAACTTAATTTATAGATATAGTGATTCTACTATTCATTCTTTCAAATCTACAGATCAAGCTAAACAAAAACATAATACTAAACCAATACATCAAGCCCCAAATCGATGAGCAAAGAGACAGAGATTGCAGGATACAATGAAAAATATCCATCCGGCCTCAGAAAGGTGACTTGTTGACCACCATTAAGTATAACTTTGACATTTGAAATTTTTGCTGGGAGCCCTAATCCAGCTGCACTGAACCCTTTTGGAACAAAACATTACACATAGGAAATCAACAATTAGGATCACAGCAATATTTATGCTTGAATAAAAGAAAAGAAATAGAAAAACAACACCAAATTGCGGTGGGAAACTCCCTTATTGAATTACTATAAATGCTGGAATAGGATCTTAGGAAAAAATCGAAACTTTGGAAGCAATTATAAGCTCATCCGTAGAAAAAATCAGATGTAAATAGTAGAAGAAAGAGACGGTACCTGGAAATCTAACTTTACCATTTATACTATATCCCTCGACATTCCTACAGAAACAAAAAAGTAATAATTCAGCAAACAATAACACAAAGGAACCCAGCTAAGGGTATCCAAAAGAAACGACGTTGAAGATGAAATACTAAAATACGGTACGAATTAAAAGGGGGAAAAGTATGGTTTTCGACCTATAATTTAGCAAACAGAGAAAGAAAATTGAAAAGGGAAAGCCGATGTATTACCCATCAGAGATCCCGAGTGCGGAAGGTAGAAGAAGTAAGATCAGCGAGAGAAAGATCATCAAGTAACGGGATGCCATGGAATCGAGAGAGAGAGAGAGAGGGAGAAGTGAGGTGAGAAACAGAGAATAACGACAAGTACAAGGGTTGGACTTGAATTTATTTCTATTTGGTACTAATATTTATCCTTATTTTCTTTATGCCCCCGCCTTTTTCTCGTCTATTTCAATTAGGCATAATAATACTCCAATTAGGATTGTTTTTGCTATTTTTTTATTTTTCTTTTCTTTTTTTTTTGTTTAATCAACTGTTAGTGGGCCTCGTACTAATGGACCTTTCGTAATGGATCTTTCCTTATCAAATCGAACAACAGCAAAAAATGAATTATATAGAATCATACACACATGGTTGCCTGAAGAATAACATATACAACAATAGCCAATCAATGAATACACATGGAAATATGGAACCAGATAACGGGATCGACGAGCCTAAAGATCAGCTAATAACAACTTGAATAACGGTTTACTACATGCTACATCCGATACCGATGATGAGGTTCTCCAATCGAAAATTCCAAAAATCAACAAGAATCAATAGGAAATTGCTCTCAGATTCGGCACTTGCACAGTTAGTACATTTATATCTCTGTTCATCGGAACCCAATATCGATTCTTTTATAAACCCAAAATTTTCGAAAACCAGTCCGAAAGGTTGGCTATTACAAATCCTGCAAATACCTGCAATGTAATCCCAAGCAGAGAAATAAGGACCAAAGCTCATATATGTATGTATGTATGTATGTATGTATGTATGTACGTATTTATTTACCTGAACAGAGCCAAGTACGTATATAGCAGAGTAATGCCGTCCATGAATCATCATATCAGCCACCATGGCAAGTGGAATGGTGAGGGACATGCCCAACGTAGCCACCACGGGTGTTGTCCACACAACAGATAACGCCCTGTCGGAAACATATATCTATTAAGATTAACTAACTGTCTTGGCTTTCAAGTTCCAACTAAACTGGAAATATTTGTAATTTTCAATTTCACGCACCAAAAATAGTCGGAAAGAACGCTTCCAACAAGACCATTAGCAATAACAACTTCATCCATCTTAGCAGAGTGCGGAATTGTGAATTTTGGTTCTATACCCAAAGCAGTCAATGGCCATACTGAAATGAAATTTCAAAATTTTATTACCAATTAAATAACCACGTCGTCACAAATCTGAGATAATAAAGACAAAAGACATAAGACGAGAAATCATGTAATATAATTACCAAGCCACCAAAGTGCCACAAGTGTAAACAGTCCAATATAACCAAACAACCTCTGCACATCAACCCTTTCCCCTTCCTCGCCCGAAAACTTCTTCAGAAGTACTGCACACCATTATTATTATTACATACATAAAAATATGACCATTGAGTAATAATATAATATGGTTATTAGTTAATTTCATTAATTTATTACCTGTAAAGAATCCATATGACACAGCTGATAGAAGTCCGAAAAGATCCCCCACGAGAGAGCGTTCCCCACTTCTTTTTAACAGAAACAAAAAGTTGAACCATCAGTCAAGTCAATTCCCTGAAATATACAATTACAAACGCAAAACTGAGGAATAAACATGAAATCGAAACATCAAGTGCTAACAGTGAAATATACTTACGAAGAGATATTTAGTTCAGACTCATCAGTTGCCCAAGTTTTTCCTAGGGTTGTCATGGCAACACCAGCCATGCTGACAAACACAGCAACAACCTTTGGAATGTTCAGGGAATCTTCGCCCAAATATGCACCAATAAAGAGAGTAAACAATCCTGAGGTAGATGATAAAACTGTAGTACTTGCTACACTTGTACGTGCAAGAGCAGCATTTGATAAGTACTGCAAGACAGGATAAACCGAAAATGTTTTAACTTCTCTAATAATTCAAAATATATTTTCAAAGAGATATGCAAGATGGGAATTACCTCGGTGATAAACCAAAGAGGGGCAAGATAAAATCCGTAAGTAGCGATTTCTTTGGTTGTGATTTCTTTTTCAGGTCTGATAATTCTAGCATCATCCCCTTGTTTAGCAACCAAAGGCTTTCCTTCTTGATGTTCTGAAAGGTCTAAATCACTGTCTTTTCTGTTTAAGGATCCCTGAATTTCGATTTCAAATATTTGCTGTCCCCCGATGTACTTCAAAGGAGAGCCAATTCCAGGAGAGGTGTCATTATTTAGGCATTGGGAGCGTCTCTTCAGAAAACGATATATCCAATCCTTAATAAATGCTATTGGCAGATAAATCACCATCAGAGAAGCTCCCAGATATGTCACTGCAAATGGTTGCTTATAGTCTGTGAAAATACCCTGTTTAAACAACAATATTTAAAAATAAAACGACATATGCACTACTTCTGATTACACTGATTAAGAATAGGCTACCTAAATGACATCAAATAATAACTATTTATTGACTAAATATCACAAGAATCGTTTTAGTTTACCCAAGGCCGAGGATAATAGTTTTGCAATGAACAGATTTCAATTGCTTTATATAGTCCAAGTCTCCTCTTTATATACACCCCAAGATGTCTCACTAATAAAGGAAAAATAAACCTACACATGCTGAAATTCTCGACGAAAAGTAAGTAAGACTTCAACTTTGTGATTGACTTTCAAACATAGCAATTTAGAATTTGAACACAACCCTGCAACGAATGAGGGTGTGAGGACAACAATCTGGTATAAGAAGCATATACGAACGCGTTACAAGCAAGAAAGGGGAAGACATGGTTTCATCGTACACACACATCATATTTTGTCAATAAATGGACTCCGAAGACAAACTGTCGAAGAAGCAGGTCATACTCAACAACTGTGATTGGTGTATTATGAAGCAAGAGGGACAAAGCTTAAGATTTGTTTGCTAGTGTGCAGGTACACAGATTTGCCTCCAGAGAGAGGAATTGAAACATGAAACAATGAAATTCTAACTAATGATATGCTAGGCGTGTTCATACCAAGTTTCCAGAATACCCATCCGAATAATATCGATATAATCAACAGAGACAACTTAAATCTCAGCTAATATTTAATACTCGAGAGTCGAGACCTTAAACTTGAAAGAGAGAGGAGAGAGAAGAAAGGAGACCTGTGTAACCTCAGCGGAGGTAACCCAAATAACGACCACAGCAGCAATTAACAGCAGACCAGCCTTGTACCTCAACCCCATCACAGATTCAACAAAAATACAGATGCCAAAAATTGATCTTGTTCAAGATCTTGTAACCGACAAAGGAACAAGCACCCACCCAGTAAGAAACCACCAAAAAGAAAAAAAAGAAAAAAGGTGTATCAGTATGAGTGAATATGGGTCTGTTAGGTCGGTCGAATTAAGCAGAGGAAGTAGATCGATGGTGAAAATGGAATGCGTAAACAAACAAATAATTAAGGTAAGGAATTAGAGATGAAGATTATAAAAATGAATGATTTTGATTATACTGTTAATAATCTGTTTTTTACGTTATTCACATTTATTAATGGTCAACCAACCAACAAGAACGTGTCAATTACAAACTTACCCTCCATTTCTTAATAATGGCCAATGGGAGCCCTTCTTCCTTCTCTCTCATTTTATTCTTGCCTTGTTTTTACAGTCATATTTATTTTCTGTTGTGACGCTCTATTATCAGAGGTTGGTTGGTAAAGGTAAAACAAACACCTGTTTTCATCAATTTTTTTTTTTATTTTTTTATTAAAATAAAATACATCAAAGTTGGTCGCTACCTATCAATCAATCAATATGCATGCATTAAAAGAATATTCAAGAGGAATTAGGAATATCTTTCAAATTAATTTATTCCCACTCCTTTCTTCTGTTTTCATCATTTAATTTACACCAAAAGAATAATAAATAAATAAAAGAAATGATTATATTATTTGATGATAGCTTGAGAAGTCCATTTGAGATGCAAATTAAGCTTTCCTTTGGCGGTTCCATCTACGTGAAAAATGTCTGTAAATTCCCCCTCTAGTATTGCCCTTGTCAGTGTCATTATGCATCTTCCCATTTTTTCCTGCACAATTCATCATTTTTTATATATACATATATCTTTCAATAATATAAGCTTATGATGATGATATATATACCTTCCCAAATGTGTCGTGGTCGTATACTTCGAGGATTAGCAACTCGTGCAATCCATCCTCCACCACAAAATCAAACGTCTGATTCCAAACTGGATTCAATGTGTCATTCAACACCTGCATGCTTTTTTCAATCAAAAACTAATTTGGAGGATCCGGGAATTAATTAGTAATTAATAATGTGTTTGTTTACCCTTGTCTTGTTCTTTTGGTCAGACTTTTTCATAGTCAGTACGACAAAAGGGTCCGATTTTCCCATGAAATCAGTAGTTGGCAATTCCTCTGCAGACATCACTGTCACAGACAGAACTCCTCTGATTATAATATCCTTCTTCTTCGATGCAGCTTTTGGTGGATCCTCATCTGCTCCATCATCTGTTACTTGCTTAAGTGCCTTCTCCAGAGATGTTAATCTGAAATCCGGGTCGAACGGATTCATAAACGCACTCTCACTGCTCATTGGGCAGTATAACAACTCCAAATGCACCTAAGATATGAAAAAGTAGTGTCGTAAAGTTACGTTGAAGATATCAAGAATGAACAATGCTAAATGATCATGGGAAAACAAAACTAGCTATGTGGTCCCACCTGACCGCGGTTCTTGTTGTCTCGTTGGATTTCAAGATCCTTGACCAGTTTGAGCCACACGTCTTTGACCTTACCAGGCTCAAGCTGACGGAGTGGCATTTGAGCACACCCAATCAATTCAGCAGCTTGGATTCCTTCATCGTCGTAAATCTTTATCGTCAGGTTTTGAGTCACCACATCCTCAACTTCAAACTCAAAGTGCTCGTTCCATATTGGATTTATTTGATTATCCTAAAAAAGTACATTTAACTATAAACAAACTAGTGAAAAGGGGTGTGGAATATAATAAAGAAGCCAAAGAAAATTGTTTACTTTTGTTTTGCTTGTTTTTGTTCTGTCACGTAAAGGACGGATGAATATCTTTGCAAAGGGATCGGATTTTCCGATCACGTCTTTATTTGTTAACTCCTTTGCTTCAATGAGCTTCACTTCCAAAATTCCAACCGGCTTTAATTCTAGGTAACTGTAACATGAATCTTTTTCTTCATAAGATACATGCATGATTCAGAGAAAACAATAAATGATTTATTTTGATTTGTAATTATTGACCTATAATCTCCAGGTATTATGGGTATAATTTTACGGACGGGCCATGTGATAGAATCTTCAATAGCATCTCGTATTGTATCCTACAAATGCACAACATAACAAAAATTAGAAGCATGATGAAAACATGGTTAAATGCATATTTGTAAGGACAGAGTAAACCTCAAGGGCAGTAGATATTCCTGGAATTGATGATATATCACCACCAACCACTTTGAGCGTAAAGTCGAGATTTCTCTGCATGTATATATGAACATATCAACTCCCATTAATTAAACAAAAGATCAGTTTTCATGTACAACAAACAAATTAATGCTTAATTTAATTAGGACTCACGTACCTTCTCTCTCAAGGAATAACAAACAGCTCCAAAACATGGAATCTCGTCGACTAGAGGCTTGAATATTAGCCTGAAAACCCCCGTAAATCCAATATTTTTTACCTACACCCAAAAAGATACAGAATTCAATGTAAGATGTAAGCTTCTTTAATTCGTAGCATTCGAAAGATGGAAACGTACCTGTATTGGTAACGCTACGCCAACTCTAGTCTTAATATCGAGTACAATATTTGGATTTCCGTCCCACTGCAAATCCAATTCCATTACAATCTCTTTAGGTTCACCTTCAATGATGGTAAATCCTATTTAACATTAAAAAAAACAAAACAATAGATATATGAGAATTAAAGAAAGAAATGTGCTGTATTTATGATGTGATCATGTATATTATAACCTGTGAATTGTGGTGCGACAGTGCCTAGAGTCAACTTAGAAAACTTGAGGGAAGCCAAAACTGCTGGTCTGTATTGCTCCAGAATTGGCTCCACCGAGCTTCTTATTATCTCCGAAGCAGCCTATGCAACAACACAACAAGTTTCCAGATAATCACACAAACCTAAAACCTATCCAATAATCGAACAAGTACATTCGAAAACGGAACGAACCTCGTCAACGTAAGGCCATATTTTCTCAATAAGGTGATTAAGCCAATTCACCTGCATAAGAAAGAAAATCAATACAAACTCCCTGCTAATGCGTATACAGCAACATATATATGATATGATATGTAATGCAGCTCAACTTCTGTCTTTGTGAAAAGACAAGCCAAGAAGGGTAGAATTGATCTGGAAGAAGTTTCCTCGAATCTTGGACTGTCATCCTCGAAAGAGCTGCTACTGCTGCTGCCTGTATTATTTACATTCATTCATTTTTCCAATATTATTTTATTTTATTTATCGTCCAAGAATAAATCAAGAAGGTTGACGTAATTTCGATAAACCTAAAATCATGGATACATTGACATAAAAAATGGATACCAAATCAGTTCGACTCTTGGATCTGGTATTCTGGTATCGGGCAAAGCCCACCATCAAACCGAACCCTAATGCGAAACCAAGAATGTAACCCACTACGAATCCCATCTTCCAATTATTTATTCTTGTCGTCTCCAATAATCTGCTGCTGCAATTTCTTCTGCATGCCCTATTATATATATATGTTGCCACAATAATAATAATAATAATAATAATCCATAAATAATAGGATTAATGCACTGTAAAAAATATCATCTTTTTTTAGTAATTAGAAGAACCAAAGATCGGTGTTTTTTTTATTTCCCCCTGGATTGAAAACAACAATTAATGGTGAAGCTGATTGGAGAAGAAACGATACATTGTGTGAATGGAGCTGCCAAACGGTATTACCGGTAAAATAGTGACGTGTCCATTTACCTAAATGGGCTTAAATGGAGCCCGTAATAAAAGCCTCGATTACTTATGGAAGATTATTTTCCTTGTTTATTTTGGCCCAAGCTCATTAACTTTCCATGCATAATTTTTTTAAATAAGGAATTACGGAATTAGCGGAACATATTTATATGGTATTCCATATACTATATATATATTATTATGAGATGATAAATATGTGTAAACCTAGGAAAGTAGAATTCTCCGTTGTCAATAAGACTTGTGCACTGCGTCTCTCTCCCTCTTCCCCTAAATATATATCTCTCTCTCCAAATCTTTATATACCTACTTATTACCAACAATATAATGGAGACGAGTCTTCTTAAATTTCAGAAAAAAATAAATATATACATACATAGCGATGGGTAGCGCGGCCAGTTTATCATCTCCATTGTTATTATACTCTTGTCTTTTACTCATCCTCATCTTCTCTTGCCTCAACGCCCACTTCCACTTCCTCCCAATTTCTTCTTCTGTAATTTCCACGCACAAACAGGTCGGTGAAAATACACGCACACAATCATCGCCATATATGCATGTTTTGTTTCTGATTATACTATTTGCTTTATTATTAACATACATTTATATTTATTTTCTCCATCAGGTACATAAAAATGGCAATTTGGAGAAATTAGAACAAGGGTTGGCTAGAGCTCGAGCAGCCATTAACAAAGCAGGACGAAAGAATGCGAGTTTCATTCCAAGCGGCTCCATTTACAGAAATCCTTATGCTTTTCATCAGTACGTTGAGCTTCTCTCCTCACTTCTTCATTACCTTCTCTTATTTATTTTTACCTTTTCCTGCCTTTTTTTTAATCTATAAATATCAGCGAATCAATTCTAATACTTGTTAGAATAATTAAAAATTAAAGAATATAATTAATTAAATTTATATTAGTTAAAAGATTATTAGAATTGTTGTTTATGTTGTAGCTTTGGTTGCCATCCCTTCCTTACCTTAAACCTAAACCTAAACCTAAACCACCCATTATTTTGGCAGGTTAGAATATTGATTATTTTGGTTAGGCAAATACATGTTACTAGGCACATAATCATGGATTAAGAAGGAATAAAATAATAAAGAATGGCAAATCACATTAACTAGTATTAATTAGTGTCCAGCTGTAATTGGTATGAAGATCATAATTCATAATCCCACTAGGCCAGGATTTCAACAACTTATTAGCTATATAAACCAAGGGAAATAGTGGAAAATTTCTTTAGACTCACATAGTATTTACTATATATTCATTAACATATATACTCCTTTTTAAACGTTTGTTATAATTCACACGATATATCCCTATTTTTAATTTCCTTATTTTGGGAAAAGTAGCAAATAATTGGAAAAAAAAAGGAAAAATAACACACAATGGTAGACCTTATTATTGATAGTACATGAATACAAAAGGAAGTTTAAATCGATAGACGTGTGTGGTAGAAGATGACGAAGTAAACTCCACCGGTTGTAGCATAGAACAAATTGGTGAAATATAGACCTATAAAATTATTACTACTATTTGATAAGATTAAATTATTTGGCATTGTATCATTTTATTTAGTGTGGATTCATAAATGCCTGAAATTGCAGCTATATATATGTTGTCTTCTTTGATCTATTTTATAGAGATTTTTAGACGGAGAATACTTGGAATCATCTATTTCAAATTTAAATTAGTATGCATACTATAACAGGAAAAATAATATTATATAAAATAGGAATATTTTAATAATTACTAAAAAAAAGTAAAACAAATGATGTACACATGCAGGAGCTACACAGAAATGGAGAGGAGGTTCAAAGTATGGACGTACAAAGAAGGTGAGCCGCCATTGTTCCACATGGGCAGAATGAAAGGCATTTATTCAATGGAAGGTCACATGATTGACGCTCTTGAAGATTCTCACAATCAGTTCGTCGCCGCCGATCCTGCGGAGGCGCACGCCTTCTTCCTCCCAGTTGGGGTGGCTGAGATCATCCACTTTCTCTACACACCCAGAATCAACTACAACCGCAACCACCTCCACAGGGTTGTTGCTGATTACGTCACCGTCGTCGCCAATAAATATCCCTTTTGGAACCGCAGCTCCGGCGCCGACCACTTCTTTCTCGCATGCCACGATTGGGTAATTACTACAAAATTCATTCATTATTATATTCTCCGTAATGTAGTTAATCAATAAATAAATTAAAATTAATTCGCAGGGACCAGATGTTTCTAGTGCAAACCCAGAGCTTTATAAGAACTTCATCAGAGGCCTCTGTAACGCGAACGTCTCCGAGGGTTTCCGGCCGAACAGAGACGTTTCGTTGCCGGAAATAAATGTTCCACCAGGCCTGGCACTCGGCCCGCCGGATCTCAACAAATCCCCAAACAATAGAACAATCCTGGCATTCTTCTCAGGCGGGGCCCACGGACACGTGAGGGAGAAACTGTTCCGGCACTGGAAGGAGAGAGACGACGAGATCCAAGTGCACGAGTACCTCCCTAAAAACGAGAATTACTTTGAACTGATGTCGCGCTCCAAGTACTGCCTGTGCCCTAGCGGTTACGAGGTGGCGAGCCCGAGGTTGATTGAGTCGATGCACGCCGGATGTGTGCCGGTGATCGTATCGGACGGCTACGCTCTGCCGTTCAGCGATGTACTTGATTGGAGGAGGTTCTCGGTTCATGTACCGGTGGAGAGAATAGCGGAGATAAAGAAGATACTGAAGGGGATTCCGATGGATGTGTATCTGAGAAAGCAGAAACAGGTTTTGAAGGTGAAGAGACATTTTGTTTTTAACAGACCTTCTCAACCCTACGATTTGATGCACATGATTCTTCATTCTCTCTGGCTCCGGAGGCTCAATGTTAGGTTACTTACCTAATTAATTATCACACAATTAACATTATATATATTTTATTTTTTAAAACAAATCTTGTAGTATTTCTGTATTATAAATATATAAATATATAGATTACACAAAAAAAAAAAAAAAAAAAGGAAAAAGAAAAAGCAAAAAAATACATTGTCATTCATTGCATAAAATAGTAAAATACAAGACTCAATCCAATGGATATGGTAGCCAAGAAAAAATAAATTAATGAAATCTGGTCAATATTTTATCATTCTAAATCCAATTTAACACACATAATCCCCTCCTATAAATACATAAAGCTAAGATTTTCATAACAAAGTAACAAACGGATGGGATTTTGGTAACCAGTAAATTTTCTTTTTATATTATATATAATATTATATTATTATGTGAATCGGTAACCAGGAAAATTGATTATATTAATAATATCCCGTTGACATGGGTCAAAACAGTAAATTCACATTCACATTTTTCAAGTTCATAGCAGTACCCCACACACACGCATGTACAATACACACAGTCTATAATATATTCCCCCGCCTTTCCAATTCCACCTCCATATAACCGTCTCTTCAACAACTTCACACACTCACCGCAAGTGGTGTGTGGAAAACATATATATATATATACTTACACTGTATTTATACGTAACCATCACATCATAAATCAAATACACACAGAGGGGGAGATGGCGATGACGAAGAACGGCAGCGGCGGTGGATTAACTTTGTCGATCGTAATCTCAGTGGTTTTAGCAACATCTGTAGCCGTTATTTTTGTCATCGGAATCTTCTTCTCCGACGACGGAGCTAACGGATTCGGGTCGTTTAATAATTCGGGTTCTGATGAAGCAGATCATCAATTGAAGATACCAATGGTGGAGTTGATCACTGCTGCTGCGCGTGATGAGTCCATAGCTGTGCTTTCTTCTGAATTCTCATCCAAATCCAAGCCAACTGTCAAAGTAAGCATTTCCCACACACACACACTAAAGTGTGTTTGTGCGTTTTTCGTAGAAAATTTTGAATGTGAACATTAAATGTTATTTGCATCAAATGAGGTGTGTGTAAATTGAATTTATTTTCAGTTACATAATCTGCTAGCTGGAGCTAATTAAGTATAATGTTAATTGCCTTATAATTCTCCTGGATGAAGTTTAATTCAGCACCCAAAATTAATTACTATTAATTAGGCTGAAATAGTAATTTAAGAGGTTTTTGGAATGGGTAAAGTTAGAGTATTTATTGGTAAAGCTGTGAATTGATTGCATGTTCAATTTTTCTAATGACTATATATCATTTACTGTTTGATTAGTAGCTAGTGTGTTCTTCTTCTGTGTGTTGCTTATAAATTATAATAATAATAATAAAGTTGATTGCCAGCAGCATGAAATTATGATGATCTATTAATAATAATATTAAATAAATATGAAAAATGCAGAGAAGAGCAAATAGTAATAATAAAAAGGAGCAAGGATTAGCAAAATCAAGAGCAGCAATTAGAAAAGCAGCTTCTAACAGAAACCTATCATCGGCAATCATCAATATCAACAGTAATGGCAGCAGCATTCTCTCCTCATCAACAATCTATCGAAACCCCACTGCGTTTTTCCAGTAAGCTATTTAATTTCATCATTATTAATATCAAATTCCCTTAGTATCAAAGTTATGAAAATTATTCATTAATTTGATTAGCTTTGAAGTGCACGTACTCACTCGTTTAATATTCAAGATTTTTTTATCAATCATGAAATCGATTTTTACGCATAGAAAAAAATGGCTTTTGGGGAACTTTCCTTGGAAGGTACGTAGCTTGAAAATTATAGAATATGCACTAATTTTGAATAGCAAAATTAAGTTGTGGTTTAGAAGAGGGGTCCGGGGGAAGAGAGTCTTCCACCTGAAGCATGGGAGTGCTTTAGTGCGCACACTCATTGTTCCCTCCTCCACTCTATTATTATTTTCTTTTCTTTTTTTGTCAATTAATTTTGAAAAAAACACTGAAATCCGCCGTGCTATACTATTACTCATTGCTTTTTCTTTTTGTGTCAAACATAGCTCATGGTTAACTCTAACCCTTTTTGTCTATATTGGTGGTCCTTTTTTTTTTTTTTTTTTCTTTTTTTGTTTTTTATTTCATATTTTTCTTTGGATCAACAGTTTGAATTCATAGAAAATTACAACAATTTGTCTTTGACTTACTAATGTTACAATAATTGAAAGAAAAAGCAAACACTCTTTCTTAATTTCTGTTTATGTAGAATTGTATCATATGATAAGTAAAAGCTCAACTCCTTTTGCACAGACAATACATGTTGACATTCACTCCATGTATATTTCTGAATTTGGTCCCTTTTGGACATAATTAATAATCATCCTCCTTTAAGTATTCCCTATCGATCTGAAATTCACTTCATTTTGAGATCTTTCCAAAGAACGGGAAAATTAATTAATTAGCTCCTATGAAACATTTAATCTTTTAGTTATTAGGCTATAAACCTGCTTAAAACAGCTGTATTGTATTAGTCTGTAGTGATTGTGGCGTAAACAAGTAAAACTCATAGTACATTATGCTATCATTTCATCCCTTAAATCATTCCTCTTGCTAATGCATTGCCATCACCTTGCCCGTTTCTTCAAGCAGACAAAAGCCACTTTTAGCATATTACTGTTTTTATTTCTAGACTTTGTTGCTCGTATTAAAGAAAAATATATTATATTATACTGCAGGAGTTACAAGGAAATGGAAAAAAGATTCAAGGTTTACGTATACGAAGAAGGGGAGCTACCAATAGTACACGACGGTCCATGCAAAGACATATACACTAGTGAAGGAAGATTCATACACGAGATGGAGCATGGTAACAATCGGTTTAGGACAAACAATCCACGAGCAGCCCATGTCTACTTCATGCCTTTTAGCGTAACATGGATGGTCAAATACCTGTACACCCCCGACACGTACAATCTCACCCCACTCAAACAGTTTGTTTCTGATTACGTCAAACTCATCTCCGTAAAACACCCCTTCTGGAATACTACTCAAGGCGCTGACCATTTCATGCTCTCTTGCCATGACTGGGTATTATATATGCACACTATTTATTAATGAAAAAGTTGATCTTAAATCACCAAATTTATATACATATATGTTATTATCCTAATTGAATTTTATTTTTTTAATTTCCAGGCACCTCATGCGTCACGAGGAAATTCATTTCTATACAACACATCGATTCGTGTACTGTGCAATGCAAACTCCTCTGAAGGATTCAATCCACAGAAAGATGTGAGCCTGCCTGAAATTCATCTCTATGGCGGCAATGTAAATCCCAAGCTGATTTCACCTCCACCCTCCAATCTTTCGAGACCCTTCCTTGCCTTCTTTGCTGGTGGGCTCCATGGCCCCATTAGGTCAATTCTCCTACAGCATTGGAAGGGCAGAGACTCCGACCTCCGTATTTACGAATACCTCCCTAAAGATCAAGATTATTACGATTCCATGTTATGGTCAAAGTTTTGCTTATGCCCCAGTGGTTATGAAGTGGCTAGCCCCAGAATTGTTGAGGCCGTTTACGCTGAGTGCATACCTGTCATACTATCCGATCATTATGTACTGCCATTCAGCGATGTTTTGAAGTGGGAGGCTTTCTCGATACAGGTTGATATTTCTGAAATCCCGAGATTGAAAGAGATACTTTTAGGGGTATCGGAAGATAAGTATCTGATGCTGAAGGAGGGTTTGAGAGCTGTAAGAAAGCATTTTGTTTTGAACCAACCAGTTAAGAAATTTGATGTGTTTCATATGATCTTGCACTCTGTATGGCTCAGAAGATTAAATCTTAGGGTTGGATAATTAGTATTGGAACGGTATAGTACTTCAGGTTAAAGTTATGAGCTCGAATGTTGATGCTGTACTTGTATACTGCCCTGTATTCTTTTGTATCCAAAGGTAAGCAAGTTTTGTAACTAGTTGTCTTTGTTCACATGATTTACAAAGTTCGATATTTTTGCGATAGCAAAAATCTATATACATAATACTAGCTAATAAGATTATCTATGTACATTATAAAAATTATTCAAACTGTACAAAAAGAAAGCAGAAAAAAAGCAGCTGTGCATCATCTATTTACATGGCAACGAAGCCGTGGGAGAGGCGTTCGATCTGAAACTTCAATCTCTCACCGATAGACATAGAAGTAGGTGTAATTGGTTGAGAATGATCGGTTGTATATTCCATCACTTCAAGATCAATTGCACCAACTTCTGTCTTGATAGACTTGATGAAGTCCAAGTCTACATTATTACCTGAAATATCCCTCACATAGAAAGCATTCACCGACTTCTCTCCTTGTGTCGCCACATCTGCTCTTACTACTGCAAGCCCGTTTTCCCTTAGTACCCGTGTTATGTCCGAGAGCAATCCCACCCTGTTATATGCACACAGTTCTAACCTCACCCCCTGCATTATTCATCCAATACACCATAATTAACTTATAATAATGACATCATTAATATATACAAATTATAATAATAATACCTCACAAACCCTGCGTTCTATGGCTGCCTCTAAGCATTTCGCAACTCTGTCTTTCTCGCCCTCTGTGTTTAATGCACAGCCATCTGCATGTCTTATAAAGTACTCCTGTGAAAAGGCAAATTCAATATTGTTTTTCTTCAATTTGATTATTTTTTAAAAGAAAAAACAATAAGAAACAAACGTACTTGATATGCATAGCCTCGGCAAGAATCAACGGAAGCGTGAAAGATGACATACTGCATGTCCGTAAGCGTGCATACAGTATCAAACATGAGCCTTCTCCTGTCCTTGCATTCAATGGTGACGATTGAATACCCCTTCTCTTCACAACTCTCGATCGAAACATGGCAGCCCCCCCTTCTCTCCTCATCATCACTGTCTGAAATCCTCGTTGGCAATCTTGCCTGCTGAGGTGGCGGCCCATCGAAGTCCCTCACAGAAAGCAGGAGCTGGTGCAGTCTTCGCTCCACCTTAGTGGTGGTGCTGGAATCCCCCGTGGGAAGGCCCGCGGGCTTCACTTCTTGCTGCTGGTTATTACTGCTGTTCTCTTCTTTGGCTGTGGTGGCCCGCAAAACGGTGGTCAAGTGGTCCTCAATAGCGTGGAGCCTGTGATCGTCTATGGGAGTGTCGGTGGATTGGTTTGAGATGTGGGCCACGCATGCCAAACGGGCGTTGTGGGTCCATGCGTGGACTTCGATGATGTTGCAACCAAGATCTACTAGTGCTGCTGATATCTCTGAAAACAGGCCGGGCCTATCTTTTCCGGTCATTTCAATTGCTTTAGTATCACCGAGAGGCAACTCCGGTGAGCTTCGGGCCTTTGCATTGGGGCTGGTGTTACTGTTTGAGCCAAGAGCCTACACTGTCTCTCTCTAAGTCAGCATTCATTAAGTCAACCAACAACCATCAGAAAGAAGAAAAAAAATAAGTTCTAATCTGATTGATTGTATGATGATTTGCCAACTCACAAAGCAAATCCTTAACAAAGAAAAAAGAAAGAGAGCAAGGTTGAAACAGATGTCATTGTATTAACATATTAATTACCTTCTGGATGTAGTTGATAACCCTTTGATCAGTAACTTTTTTGCCTATCTCATCTTTAACATGAAAAACTGCAGAGCACATCAGATCATAATTAAGTACCATATCGAGCTTGTTGTTTACGTTGAAATTTGATTTTTTTTTATACAAAAAAAAGGAATGCAAAAAAAAAAAATACCATCCATAAACCAGCCAGCATCAGAAGAGATGTAGCCTTTAGATATGGTGAGATTCATATCCGTAAGGGCTTGCACGACTTCAAGGAGGAGGCCCTGCCTATTTACGCTGTCGATCTGCCATTTTTTCGATACATATGCTTAGAGATATTAATATTCACAGGTTGTCTCATAACAAAAGCGAATAATATGCATTTACCTTTACAATCGTGCAATCTTCTAAGCTTTCATTGTCTATGGTAACTCTGCAGCTGCATATCAAGAATGGGAAGAAATGATAAGCAAAGGACATAAGGTCTGGAGAGAGAGAGAGAGAGAGAGAGAGAGAGAGAGAGAGAGAGAGAGAGAGAGAGAGAGAGAGAGAGAGAGAGAGAGAGAGAGAGAGAGAGAGAGAGAGAGAGAGAGAGAGAGAGAGAGAGAGAAACTTACGCTGGACCAAATATTCTCTCTGGAAGGCTGTCAAAATCAGGATCACAGTAAGGTGAGCAAACTGTATTCATGTGTGCAAACTGCATGCAAATAGGGCATGACAATCAGATTAAAGAATTTTCATAGTCAAAATGTATTTCCTGTTTAGACAAGATAACTTGTTGTTCGTGCTGGAAATGTTGGTACATTCCAAGAATGTTTGTGGAAGAGAGACAGTATCTGCGAGCAAATTACCTAGAAATTAATATATTGTTGTTCCACTTTACCAATGGAATTACATCATCTGCAGTCTATGAGAGAACATAAATATGCAACAAGGAAATTAGCTAAGCCCGTCGACATGATCATCGCCTTGCAATCTCCCAAGGAGACAAAAATGAAGAATAAAGATTATTTCAAGAAGAACAAAAATAAAAAAAATGAAAAAGAAAATAATTGATAACATAATAAAAGAGAGAACAGACGAGAGAGAGAAGAAAGGAGTTTGTATTAATGAGACAAGTCTTAAATTGGATGGTGGAGTTTAATTTGCTAAGAAAAGTAAAGATGAATTTAATTTCATAAATCTATGTTTATGTTGTCCTTAAATTATGGAAACTGGTGACAACTTTTAATGGTCGGTCTGTCGTCTTTAACGTTATTCTACTACTCCATTTCTAAGCTTTGTCCCTTCATTAATTATTTCTTCATCTTCCAACTTTCATATTTTCAGTTCCAACTACACGTGTAATCCCATATGTCGTCAAACGTAATGATTCATTCTTCATTTTTTCTTTTTTTTCGGTTTGTTTGGATTATATAATAGTAGAAGAAGGTTCTGCACAGATTTGCAAGCCAACAAGTACACTAGATGGAGAGTGCAGTTTTCAATGTTACACTTGGTGAACTTCATTGAGTAGCATATTACTTTATAGATTCTCAGATTTTTATTATCCAAATTACACTTCTGATATCATACATACACTTGCTTTATCCTCATAAACTCCGAGTAGTGAAGACCAACGCCAAGAGCTACTAGATATGCAATTGGAAATTACACGTAAAAAATATACCCCGCGAGGAACAAACGAAAAAAAAGTGGGACAAATAAAGTAAACTTTCTAAATTGCCTTTAATAGATTGAACCCCACAAAGAACAAAACTCAAATGTGGCATTTATAACTGTTAATGATATATTGGATAAGCATGCCCAATAGAAAATGGATGAAGAACATCTGCATGAACTTTCTCCTCTCTCTATACCTCTATTCCAACAGTTAAAAAATGCCAAGAACGAAAAATACAAAGTGACACCACCATTACTTGGTATTGTCGTAAAACTTTTCCTTTAGTAACCACCATTGTTGGGTGGGTGGGTGGGTGGGTGGGTAACCTAGTGGTTGAACCAGGGGCCAATGGCACCATTGACATGGCCATTGCTATGAATCCCAACACCATTTGGAATGACAAGTGGAGGCAATCCAACGGCCATTGGAGGTGGAGTCGAAGGATAGATCCCATGATTTTGAGAAAGTGGATGTGAACTTACAAGAGGGCTGCCAGCTGGACTTACTTTACACTGTTGGATTGCGTGTATCTGCCTCAGCCCTTCTTCGTGGATACGTGATATAGTCTCCAGCTCCTTCATTGATAAAGCTTCCAACCCAGCACCATATAGAGGAGCATGCCTTGACATTTCTTCTTGAATTTGAGACTCTAGGTGATGTATGTATTGCTGCAACCCAACCATATTATTATTATTATTAACCAATATTATATTATAATCATAAATACAACAAATCCATCTCCTAAACCTCATAGTTATGGAATTTGGGTTCAACTACAAACCTCGAACGTCTGCAATTTGGATTGCATTCCATCAATATATGCCTCGCATCGAGCTACTTGTTCCTCCTTCTCACGCTTCTCTCCTTCTTTTTGCCCAACTGTTTGTGACAGCCGACGAATTTCATCCTCCAAGGATTTTCGTATCTCTTCTCGAGTTACATTTTCGGTGGCAATTTTTTTCAATTCTTCATCATACCTTTTCCGTGCTACTTCAGCACTCTTTAATCTCTCAGCAAGAGCATTTTTCTCCTTCGTTAGCCTCTGAAACATGCACAAATAGTTGTTAGCTACAACAATAATCATGATTACTACATTCCATACCTCAAGGTAATTTGAGAATGACGAGAAATCAAAAGCACAAAAGAATTATTAAAAAAAAACATTCAGCTGTCATATTTGAAACTAGGAACCACTGTGAGACAAACACTATTGAATCTTAAGACAATTTTTTGGCAGAAAATAATTCAGCAAATTCATTTGGAAGGAGAGGGTCACAGAAAATAATTTGTTCTATTTAACTTTTTTCAACACTTGAAACTCAGGAGTTCATAGTTAAACCAAATCACGAGCAAAATATCAGAAATAAAAAAGTCGATAGGGTCTAGTTGATCAAATGCTGGACCTTCAATTCGTCATGTTTTCGAGATTTCAATTGGGAGAGTTGTAATTCTGCATCATAAAGGCGATCTTGAAAATTTTTCTTCTCGGCCATAAACTTTGTGGTTTCTTCATCCCTTTCTGAGCGAACCCACTCAAGTTGACTCTCAATTTCTTGCATCTGCTCCATCAACTCTTTTCTTTCCCGAGTAAAGCGATCCATTTCAGCCTTCATATCAGTCTGTCATTGCATATACAAGCATTAACCATAGTAATGATTTTCTGTGAAAAGCATAAATAGAGGAAAAAAATTACCTTGAGACGGCTATTAGTAGCCTCAGATTCACATAACCTTTGAGATAATGCTGCTTTTTCTTTAGACATACTAGCAATTTCAGTGTTTCTTTCTTCACGAATTCGAAGAACTTCATCTTCACTGGCGCATAACTGATGCCAAAGGGCTGCTCGATCAACATTTGCAAGTTCAGCAACCTCCCGCATCATGCTCAAGACGGGTCTCACTATTTCCTTCTCCTCACACACTAACATCACCAAAACCTCCATATCTGAATCTATCTCACGACTACCATCTGCAGTAGTTGTAGCACGATCAACAAGCCTCTTCAGCATCCTTAATCTGTGAGACTCATCGGGATACTGTTTGAACAATATAGTATAAAGGATCTTCACAAATCCTTTCACTCGCAAGTCCCTCGAAAGTGCCAACGTCTCGGCAAGACCAAGAACCGAAGTGAAATCATCTCTTTGTGAACTCATGTTCTCTATGGTTTCCCCTTCTATGACTGCATCAGGCTGCTCAATATTCTCAGCAACATATTGTGAAGTAAAATTCAATCGTCCCGCAAGGCGTCTTTCCAACACCACAGCTACAGACTGAGGATCAAAGGCCCCACGAGCTACAGCTCTCTCAAAAATTTGTGCGGCTTCAACCGCAAAACAAGGTATAGACAACATCTCAATTAAAATGTAAATATCCGAAAAATGAGAACTACCATGGAAAGTTTGATCTTCCCCAGCATGTAGTCTTTCAGAATTAGGACCACTTTCACCAAATACAAAAACCCCGCGAGGGGTTGGTGAGAAATTATCACCAAAATCATCATCGCAGTCGATATCTCGAAAAATAGATTCAGCAATATCTGCACAACTAGTTACAGTCCGACTTAAGTAATCTAAGACATACGGAGAGACTTCTGTACCCAAATTCCTTAGTCTTACTCGTACAGACCTTACCTGCAGCAGGAAACCAACAAAAATGAATCTCACGACCACAAGAAAGAAGCAGATAAAAGGATCAAGAAACAAATTAACATAATTTATTATCTCATTACTTACTGCTTCAGGAAGATGCTGACAATGTAATGCCGCTTTAAATATAAAGTCCACTGTGGCTGCAAGAGGTTCGTCATTAGAATCAGCCAAGAGCTCCAGCGTTTGGAAAAGGACACGTTCCCATACTTCAGTACTACATTCCAACTGACTAAGTGCCCCAAAAACCTGGAAAGTAAATGTTTCACTTAAATGGCGAACATGGAGTTAAAAACAATTAACTGATGTTACTTGCCAAAATCTTATCCAACATGCATAACAAAACTATTCAATGCAAGCAAAGAAACAACAATATACAAAAGTCCTTAATTATCTTACTGGCAAACGTAATGAAGGTTCAGCATCAGGCTTCTGCAGCCGATCTAAAAGTGCACAAGCAGCAAGAGAATGTTCTGAATGCTCAACTAATTTCGGAACCAATGCCACTAGGTCTGGTTGAAGATGCTTAGGAGCTTTATCCAACACAAGAGCAATCTTTTGAGCAGACTGCGGCCGCCTTCTTGGTTCCGGGCAGCCTTGAGGGACAGCTCCATCAAGAGCTCTCAACGAGTTCACAATCAACCCAAGAAGCTCCTCCGACTGCTCTGGCCACCTTGTCTAATTGAAGGTTTCCTTAATTAATTAATAACCCAAGCAGGCGATACGCAATATGTTCAGGAAGTTAGAAGAATATAACAACAATACCTTGGATCGAAGAGATGGGTTTTCGGAAAAACCAGCGGCAGATGTCACCGGGGGACAAGTAGGCTGTCCAGGAACAGTTTTGACATGTATGCTAGTACCATTCAGATCAGAGCTTTGCACAGCAGATGAAGATGTACTTTCACCAATCCCCAGTTCTAATCTCTCCCCCATGGATAGCTGTGTGGATTCTGTCACTGCAGCGTCTCCATCAAATTCCAGTGGGCTAATTGCTCCACTGCCATCTTGGGAAGGTTTGGAGCTAATATCGGAGGAATCATCACTTGAACTCCCTTCTGAAGGTTGGCAACACTCAACCATTATATCTAAAAGTAAATCAATGATTGCTTGTTGCAAAACTTTGACTCCCATCAACAAATTCATCAAACTGGGAGAAGACTCGCCATTTTTATTAGATATCTTTCCGTCATTGCTACCAGATATCTTTGTAGGAAGCAGCAAGCGTTTCACTTTTGCAGGGTCATCAAGATAAACTCGGAGTCCGGTAAGGAAACCAGCTATTGCTCCAGCGTCCATCAGCAGTTTCTCTCTTAAAGTGACCTGAGGTTGAGAAGAATTATCTCCATATGTTAGGTGAAAGCCGGCCCTTGATAGAAGATTTCTGAAGATGTCTTCTTCATCTCCACTTAGACCATCACTGTCATCAGAATCAACGAGTTCATCAGGGTCAGTTGTCAGGGCATCTTGATCATCTTCAGAAGCTAAAACCTGACAACAGATATACCAAGTTAAAACAGCAATTAATATTAAATAAACGATGTACGCGTTAAAGTCAGAAAAGACACTGTTGATTCACAAAGCCAGCTATTCACGAAAAAGAAATATCAAGTTCAAACCAAAATGAATCACTAGGTTCAACAATTAGATTGTGAAGGCAACATAACTAATAAAGTTGAGTTTTAGGTTTCACACACATATATGAATTTTGGGGATATTAGGAGGGACCAGGTGGATACTTTGAGCATAAACTAACCTCCAGGTCGGAAAACTCAAACCACGGGCAGCAGTCCAAGATCTCACAAACAAACACAACTGTGTCGCGGAGCAGAAACCCAGCATCAGCTTCTAACATGTCAGATACCTTCATAAATTGAAGAACAGAATTGTTCCATGTCTTTGTACAAATGGAAGACTCTTTCCAAACCGTTTTCGATGTGTTTTTTTGATTCACAATAGCCATCCTGTATCGTACCCAAAAGTTCTTCTCAGCATCAGTGCTAGCTGATTGATCACTCTCCAAATATATACATATGGTGTCAAAGGACTCGTAAACTCCTGTACAACCGAATCGGGGTAGCAAAACGTTATTAGAATTAATCACCAAACATAATTCTAGTAGCGGTTGTAACTATTTGAATTGTAATAAAGCAAACTATTAAAGAGCTACCCACCAATCCGAAGCTCACATCCGCCAGCTTGAAAGAATTTGCTAAATATTTTTCTAGTTTCCATTATTTCCTTGAAGGAAAAGAAATTCTCAACTTTCCACGTGAATGAACTCCTCTTCCCATTTCCCTCTAACTGAGAACTGGTACTTCCTGAGTCAGTTTCTTGATCAGTCAACTCCTGCATTATGGATGTTTCTTTCAGTATAAGAACCTCAGCAGAGAAGATAACAGTATCCTGGACTAGAAATCCAGAATCCTGATCAAAGAGACTAGTGAGTGTCACAAACTCGCGCCAACCCCAGTCTTTTGCAGCCTTTGAGTATCGATTTTGAGATTCTTTTGTCACAGACTTCTCCTCCATTTTTTGGTTCACAACTGACAAACGATGGCTCACAAAACAACTCCAGTCGCTGTTAGTATTTCGTGAATCAGTAACCTCAAGAAACACTGAGAGGTGGCATGGAGGCTGAGACTGCCCTGATACCAGGAAGCATGAGTTAGGATCATCGTGAAGAAGCACAAATTTGATGAAAGCAAATGTTGTAATCAGCTCAAAAGCAACTTCTAGCAACTGAAAAATAGAAACTACTAGAATCAGGCAAGCTTATTCCGTTTCATCACTCTGTTCAATTTCTATGTAATTTTAGAATTAAACGTAATACATCAAATGCAACATCAACATGTCCAGAAAACTGGAATTTGTTTAGACTAAATTCTTCACTCATGTAACCAATCCATTGACTTGGTCAATGCATCCAGCTAAAAGACAGAGAAGAGCGTCAACCTATGAATGACAATAGATAACTAGTTCTGCCTGGAAGTTCTACCAAAACTAAAACCTCGCCATAACTATATGCCAAACAACATACAAAAGCAGAATATGAAGAAAGATGAATATTGATCTTAACTAGTATATGGATTGGTTATGTACAGTTTTCAGTCACTAAAGAAAACTGCATCTCGACTCTATAATTCCATAATAATAACACAACTTAATCACAACTATTCCTCTATTTGTTAGTCACTTGTGCTCAAACATATCATATCAGTCAAATTCAAGGCTATTTTGACAACATAGAGAAATAGAAAATGAACAAATAACATCAATGCATTCCCTCTCTATAAAAAATGTCTATACAAGAACTTCAAATTCCACAATTATGTTATCCTTGCCTTTAATAATTGCTTTGCTCCAAATAAGCGTTCAATTTTGGTGCAGTACAAGGTCAAACTATCTAAGCATTTGACTAGCTTACCATATTTAACATTTTGCCAAATACCATCAAATATTTATGTTTTTAAGTTGATTGATATTATTCAACTATATTTAAGAAATTAACAAAATAATTGCATCATACAACTAGTCAAGTTCGTGGCCAACAGCGGCTAAGGACATTCTTCCTCTCATAGAGGCTGTAACAGAAATGAAAATAAGCATTCATAATACAATTCCATCGATTCTCCATTACTGTTATATAAAATACCTCTGGGGTAAACAATAAGGCGACAATCCCGATTACCAATTTGAAACCTCCTACTTTTAATGCAAAGTCCAGTAATTTTCCTCTTTTTCAGAAGATCCTTCAACCGGGTAAAGTTCTCAATTCTCCACGTAAACTTTCCCATATGCCCGTCCGACTTCCGCACATTTCCTCCATTCCTCGCACCAATCAAAGTTCCACTCTTCGAGAAACTGCTCAATTCCTTAATAACATGAAAAGATGTGGTAAAAACTGCCGTGTCTTCCACCAAGAAACCAGCTTCTGGCCCCATAAAATCTGACATTTTCATATAGTCATTCCACCCCAAACTTGTGTTGTCCCCACTCTTATTGTCCGCAGCAAAACGCCCATAACTATCTCGATGGACATGATTCAAACCATTACCCAGTTTCTGGTTCAACACTGACATTCTAAACAAACACCAACAACTTCTATCTGACATCAACGAGTTTTTCTCTGTGTCCTTGCTCTCCAAACACATGGACAAATACTCCACACCATTCACCACGCTCTGATACACACTAATGCGCAAGTTACAATCTCCAGCTGGAAACACAGGGCTCATTATTTTCTGAGTCTTGATCATCTCCTTAAACAAAGTAAAATTAAGCACTTTCCAAGTGAACTTCCCATTCAAACCATCCCCAGCCACAGGACTGCTACCCACTCCCCCGCCCGTAACAGATGCATTATTTGACTGCAATTCATTATCTCGCGTGAATGAAACCGCCTCGTTGAGTATCAATATATCGGCGGTGATGAGAATACAGTCATTGGACAAATGCAAGAACCCAAGCTTGGGGTCTAAAAGAGAATGAAGAGAGGCAAAATCGCACCAGCCGTGAGACTTTTTCTTGGAAGAAAATCGATGCCAGCTGTCTCGGTGCACTGATTTAGAGGAGTCAGAGATGTTTTCAATGGCGAGACGATAGCTTGCGAAACAATCCCACTTGGAAGAAGCTAAGATTCGAGGGTCCATGATTTGAAGGTAAATGGATAAGTATCCGGGAAGAGCTTGGGAATCACCCTTGGGGTATATAAGCAAGCGGCAATCGAAACCCCCGACTTCAAAGTACTTACTCCAGAGTGCCCGCGATTTGACTTTGGGGAAATTGGCGATTGTCCATTTGCAGAGAGCGGAGTGTTTATCCCGGCGGTCGACAAGGAGGGAGTCGGTGGAGGGAGTGGTGGCGACGGAGGCTGAGGAAGAAGTGTCACGCAATGGATCCTCCACCGCCATGTACGGCTTCTCCGATGAAGGATGAGATGAAGAACGCACCGTCACGGAGGCGGGATAGGCATCGGAGGAGGAGACAGCGACGTCGTTTTGGGAGTGGTGATGCTGCTTCATTGTTTGATGATATGTATGAGCTTCTGTTTGTCTAGTTAGGTTTTTGGGGGTGGTCTAGGTTTCTTCCTCTCTTTCTTTTCTAATTTTATTACCAAAATTTACTCTAAAATATTTTAATTAATAAGTATATATATTAGTGAACTTAAACAAATATGTATGTATATATATTCTCTCCCTGCGTTTTTATTGTTGATTGATCGATCAACAGATGTTAGAGAGAGAAGTGTCTTGACTGTGTGTGTGAGAGAGAGAGAGAGAGAGAGAGAGGGATGGAGACGGAGAGGGGGAGAAACAGATTATGTGGCGGTGTTGGTATTGGTAGTACACCACAATGTTGAGCGTGCATCATACCTACTGTTTTATTTTTTTCTCTCTTTTTTATTTTATTTTATTGGATTATTATTATTACTCTTCGATCTACATTAATTAGTACAATATATTCCATATTTACGCTGCAATTGCATTACTTAATCATTATGTTTCTGACTAAATAATAAAAGTAGCTAATACACCTACAAACACAAATATATTACATGAGAAAATATCCTATGCGTCCTCTCTCTCTCTATTACTTTTGTTTCATTCAAATAATATAGATTTATTACATTCTATTTATAAAAAAAAACGATACAATAATAAAACATAAGAAATTTAATAAGAACATCGTGAATTTATATTCATTTGTATATGAATTCACAAATAGGAATTCCCATGCAAGACTCTTGCTCAAAAATTTATTGGATAACACGAGCCATAAATATCCAATTACTCGGGTTGGGCAAAAGCTTAAAAAAATAAGTAAAAGAAAACAAATGATAAAAATATCTACGGAATTTCATGAGTTAATTAAAATTCAATAAATTGTGCACCTTTGATATTTGAATTGCAATTCCCCAAAATAAAATGAATTAAAAGGATTTTTGTATTTATATTAGAAAGTAATTATTTTGGGCTTACTAACGTGTATAAGAGGTAAACAAACAACTTCAGCTTGGTCCATAAATAAATAATCGCAAGTCCACTTCATTTCTTATGAGCTATATGTTGGGCCATTTTCTTTTATATTACCAAGTAGTGGGCCTTGTGGCGAAGCCTGGTTACAATATGGGCTATATTTTGCCCCATAATGTTTCTCTGTTTTGGGTGTTCGCAACAAAAAAATTAGGGATGGCCATGGGGCGGGTTTTGCATTCCCCGCACCCGCCCCGTTTACAAACCCGTTCAACCCGCACCCGCAACGGGTACAAATTTTCTCAACCCGCACCCGCCCCATTGAAAACCCGCGGGTACCCGCCCCGCCAAAAAACCCCTAAAGATGAAGAAAAAAGTAAAAAAAAAATTAAAAAAATTAAATAACCCTAATGAAAACAATAATTCTAAATAAAAATATCAAATGTATTATAAAATAGTATATATATATATATATATGCGGGGCGGGTACGGGGCGGGTCTGCAGGGCGGGTATATACAAACCCGCACCCGCCCCAAACCCGTTTTCGGGTGAAAAATTAGAACCCGTACCCGCCCCATTTATTTGTGGGGCGGATCAGGGCGGGTACCCGCGGGTCGGGTAAAAATTGCCATCCCTAAAAAAAATCAAGTAAATATAAATAGACTTAATTAAAATATATTATTCAAATAAATATCTATGAGTAATTTGAATTTGAGTGTGACATCTCACCAGTCACCGCATAGCCTAAAATGGCTCCCAGTCAAACAAATAATATTGATATTTGACAATAAGCCCAATTTACGGATCTTCTAAAATCACAAAACGCTTTTCTAAACTGAATCACGTTATTAGCTTTTCACCACAATTATTATTATTATTCCAACTTTAATTCGAACAAGCACGACACAGAGACTTTCTGAGAGGCGTGGGGATGGCGATTTTGTACGCGCTGGTGGCGCGTGGCTCTGTGGTGCTGGCGGAATTCAGCTCTACATCTACCACCGCGAATGCGATCGCGCGGCAAATTATCGAGAAAATCCCTGGTAACGACGATACAAACGCTTCATATTCGCAGGATCGGTACATTTTTCACGTCAAACGCACCGATGGACTCACTGTTCTCTGTATGGCCGACGACACCGCCGGAAGTACGATGCCTTTTCTTTCCCCTTCTCTCTACTCCTATTATTTTAATTTTGCTCTGTTCAATTTTCTTTTTGGTGAAAATTGGTATCAAAGACCGAGTTTTGCATAATTCGTATTTGATTTGAATTGAGTTTGACCATGAATGTTGTCTCTTCCAATTACTGAATATAAAGGGGGGATTTATGCAAGGAACATTAATTATGTTATTGAATTTGGACTTTACTAGCTTTTAATTGTGAAGCTTTGTTTATGGATCTGAGAACGATGTCTTTTTTTGCGTGTGTCTGTGTGTGTGTGTGTGTGGGTGTTGGGGGGTTGTAACTCTTGTTTAATTTAACAACTTTACTTACTACAAGCAGCCATATTTGCTTTATGCGATTCTTCATCAATTACTTCATTTTTTGGTTATTTTATTAAGTCTTTTGGTATATCATAATGGTATGGACTTTGGGTTACTCTATAGTACATCAAATTAGTCATATGTCATGGTAAAGTAGCAAGTAGCCACGTCGAGTATTTCTTAGATGGTGTTTGTGAGGGGTGCCATCTATTCTGACTTATGTGTCCCTGTTTCGACTATCATGCCATCATGTTGAGTCTTCTTGTGTCATTGAGCATTTGTTTGATAAGGCCTTACGTGCAGTGCCATGTGTTTGACCCAACCTTTTTGTTGTACTTTCAAATCTATACAGGGAGAATTCCGTTTGCATTTCTTGAAGAAATACACCAAAGATTTGTCAGGACTTATGGCAGAGCTGTATTGTCTGCACAACCATATGCAATGAATGATGAATTTTCAAGAGTCCTCGGCCAGCAAATAGAGTACTTTTCAAATGATCCAAATGCTGACAGGATAAACCGACTAAAGGGTGAAATGAGCCAGGTGAATATTGACCTCTAGCAAACTTTTGGCTTGCCTTTAATTTTGAGTCCTTTCAGTTTCCAACTAAAGTTTTAGATACAAAATTGTTTTAGGATACCGTTATATCTCCAGTTTGGCATGTTTTTCCTAAATGGGAATGTTTAATTGTTTTCGGTGGTGAAGTGCATTACATCTCCATGAACCTAATAAGATATATACTTTGTGCTGTATGTTTATATGATATGTCACCGGTTTGCAACACATAAAGTTTTGCTTTTAATAAACTGACTGTTAACAGCTGGATTCTCGTGTGCTACTACTATTCAAGATACAGATGACTAATAAACATTAAATGTTATTACAGGTACGAAATGTCATGATCGAGAATATTGATAAAGTTTTAGAGAGAGGTGATCGGCTAGAATTATTGGTTGATAAAACTGCCAATATGCAAGGAAATACTTTTCGCTTCAGGAAGCAAACCCGACGTTTTAGAAGCACTGTCTGGTGGAGAAATGTCAAGCTAACGTAAGTTGGTTGAACTTAACACCTATGTGTTTTGAATTTATATAGAACTCTTTCCCAAAATAAACGTTGGTCTACAAACCGTAGTTTGAATCAGTTATTAATTATGATACTTGTTATTTTAACACATGAACTAGCATCTTCTAAGGGCTAAAAACGTATTATAGGCTGTAGGAACCTAGGAAATAATTTAAATAAGCTTTAGGTAAAATGTTCTTTATTACTTTTCTTTTTCCTGGGCAATATTTTCAAATGGCTGTTATGGTAATTTAGAAGATTTTGCTGGTTCAAAAACCGTGGAGCATATCAGAAAAATTTAGATGTTAGTTGCATTGGCATCTATGTTCTGTTTGTTTCTAAACTAGTGATGACTGTTTTTTTTACAGGATTGCATTGATATTCCTACTCCTGGTAATAATATATGTTGTTGTGGCTTTTGTTTGTCATGGACCTGCACTTCCATCTTGTCTGAAGTGAGGATTTGATCAAGATAGATCGTTGCCATTTCCCCTGCTTCTTATTTTTTTCACTGTTGAGTGACTTGCAATTCTTCTATTATTCCACATCTTACCGGGATGTGTGGATAACTTCCATATTTATTGTGTGTGGTGGTTTCTCTGGCCCCAGCTCCATTTTACAGGACGTATAATGATTGGTACATATTGTGATCATCGTTTCTGGATATTTATATGTGTATTTTATAATTTGTGTTTTTTCTCTGAAATAAGGCAATGCCTTTCAGAGAGTAACAAGGTTGAGTTATTGTTTTTATGACTCGGTTGATTTGTTGAAATTAAGTTTTACAGTCGTTGTTGCTTTCGTGGAACATAAGTGTATAATTATTTGGTGATGCTATTGAAGCATCTAATTCCCTTTTGGTGTGCTGCTGACTAATTTTTTTCTTGCTGTAAGAATTGGGATTCGTTCCAATGCTGTAAGAACTATAGTACCACATAAAACCATTACACCAATTTACAGTTACCAGAAGAACATTTTGTTATGTAACTGGAAAAGATATGACTGTTACCAGAATTACAAAATGTAGAATCAGTGGCCACTCATTGTTTTCACTCCGTGGCTGATAGTTTTTGGAAGTTCCTTTTGACTGTTACCTAATATGAATATATACATACATTTATGCATATAAGATAAAGAGAAGTCACATGTTGTTGAATCATTGGTCCAGGTTTGCCTCTCTAATAGATTGAGGGCTCCATCCATTACTTGTTTTTACCAAAACATATCCCACATCATTCAACACTCTATTGGTCTACATTCAACAGGGATTAATATTCTACAATTACTGTATTTCAACTTGCTGTTCAATTCTTGCTACTTATTTGTTTTAATACCAATAATGAAGATGAGCTTGCATCAATAATTCATATATATATGTATAGTATATATCTGATTCAATCTAGACATACCACAGGACAAGAAAACATTAAAGCAATTGTACATTTTCCTCCCACATGAGAGAATTCCTACAGCTCATACGCTCGGCCTTATACCACTTCTTCATCTACTCAGAATATATATATATGTGTGTGTGTGTATATATATATCATTACGTACATAATGTGCAAATACATACATGATGATGGCCATTCTTTTTTTAACTTTTGCACAAGCATACAAAAAATACAACTTGTACACACACTCTCAGCTCTTCCACTCCATCCATCCATCTCCAAACATCAACCTCACATTCCCTCTATATATATCGGCGTTCCCTTCCCACTTAACCCTAACCCTACTCCACCACCACCACTAAGAAGCTAAGCTAAGTAAGCTCTCTTCATAGCTAGCCATGGCCGCCACCAAACTTTCAGCCGCCGTCTTAATCCTGTCCTTCTTCCTTTCTGCCGCCTTCACTACCGCATGCGGCACTTGTGAACCTGAGCTGCCGGCGCCGGAGCCGAAGCCAAAGCCGCCACCAAAGGTAGCTCCGGTGAACCCCTTTTGCCCCAGAGACACACTGAAGCTAGGTGTATGTGCTGACCTGTTGGGGCTGGTGAATGTGGTGATTGGGGCCCCACCTTCAGGGGAGAAGTGCTGTGCGGTGCTTGAAGGACTGGCTGACTTGGAGGTGGCTGCTTGCCTCTGCACAGCTATTAAGGCTAATGTGCTAGGCATTAACTTGAACATACCGATTTCACTCAGCGCTCTTGTTGGTGCTTGCGGCAAGAAAATTCCACCTGGATTCAAGTGTGTATGAAAAAAGAAAATGGAGTAGAATGCAATGTACAACAAGAAGGTTCAGCATGAGTCACATTGTCTTGTGTTGTGTTTTTCTTGGTTCAACAATTGTTGTTGTACTTATTGGGAGTGTGTTTAGTGTTTGGTTTTTATGTTTTGCTCTTTGATTTCCTCCTCTGTAAGGTTATTTGTTTTGTTTGTTTTGATGGCAATAAACAAGGCAAGAATGTTTGCCTTTTGTATTGTGTAATTGTTTGTTCATGTTATGTTCAATTATTTTTTGTAGACTAAATTTGATTCAACTACATATTACCTGCATATTGTTGCCAATATCAACACTCAGGTGATATAATTTTTTACCCAATAGTGTATGTAATACATCATCATTATACTATCTGCAAAGGAAAAAAATGATAAGTTGCAGGCGTATATTTATAAATATGCTATATGAATATATGTAAGTTTTTAGGGCAAAATACACTTTACCCCCTTGTACTATTTCCTATGTAACACTTACCCCCTCGTACTATGAAAAATACATTTACCCCCTTATTTTAACGGTCAACATATTTAACTCTTAACGGTGTTAGAAGTAAAATATATTTAATATATTTTTAATAATCCTTACCAGAGGACACTTGCTAAAAGAAAAAACTAAAGGACACATTTTATTTATTTAAAAAAATATTACATGTACTATGAATATATTAAATAAATATTTAAGATAGCAATTCTTTTTTTTTTTTAATTTTGAATTAAATATAATTTACTTGTTAAATATTTATATTAAAAATTAATATTCAGATAATATATTTTTTCATATATTATTTTATACAACCATGTAGCAAGTATAATTTTTCATATTTTGTAACATTAAATTTCGTATAGTGAATCATAAATATAAAAGGAGGCTTAAGTGAATTTTGATGTTACAAATAAATAAATAAATCATTAGCATATATTGTTAAAAAATATTACTGTAGAATTACAATTTTAAATATAAATATTTAATGAGTAAATATTTTAATCCTATATTTAAAATTTTATACATGTTAAATATTTATTTAATATATTTATCCACAATGAAAAGATATTTTTTTTAATAAAAATAAGGTGTCATTTCTTATGAATTATTAAAAAGTAATAATATTTTTCTTATTTAATTAAAATTTAAAAATATTATTATCTTAAATATTTATTTAATTTAGTCATAGTACATGTAATATGCTTTTAAATAAAAAAAATTGTTATTTAGTAAGGATTTTTAAAAATATATTAAATTTATTTTACTACTAACACCGTTAAGAGTCAAATAGGTTGACCATTAAAATAAGGGGGTAAGTGTATTTTTCATAGTACGAGGGGGTAAGTGTTACGTGGGGCATAGTACAAGGGGGTAAAGTGTATTTTGCCCAAGTTTTTATTTATATATAAATTCTTTTTATATATTTTCATACAAATATATTCGAAATAAATTTTGCTAGCAATTATTAATTTGCAATTGATAATTAAATCGTGTTAATAATTAGATAAAAAAAATGAAAATATTCTATTAAACATGTTTCTAGGTTTTTAGAAATTACAAAATGGCCCATAAGGTGTCCGACACAAAACGTGTTCGAAACCCAATAAACATTAAGAAATTGAAGTTTTCGTGCTAAATATGTTGCCCAACGTTGCCTTATTTTTTGCTAAGTTAATAGAAAATTATGCCCCAAAAAAAGGAAAAAAAAAAAAAGAAAAACATTAAATAATGTCAATATTTTCCACAAATAATAAATCAATGAAACAGGGTTACATTCTCAACGACTTTAAGGGTCTGATTGGTTCTTTGAAAACAATAGGTAAAAAGATGGAAACGTGGAGTAAATTGACTTTCCTGTTTGGTTACACGGTAAAACATTGGGTAAAGTGATTTCATGGAAAAAGTGGCAAAAGAAATACACTAAAAGAGGAAAAATACTTTTTCCTCAAAAAAAGTGATGAAAATGTTGAGTAAAATCTCAGATCCCCTCTTCTCTGCCTTTCTCGTCCCTTCACTATCTTCATCATCAAATTTGTTCTTCTATGATTCCTCTCCACCCACCAGTGCCGCCACCACCACCACCGCCACCGCCGCCGCACACTCATTATTCTCCTCAGCTCTTATAGGAATCCTGTCCACCCACCACCACCGGCCGCTGCCGCTCACTCCTCATCTGCACACATAATTTCTCCACTCAGCCCGTACAACCACCGCCGCCGGCGACTCTTCTTTTTCCTCTGCCTGCAAAATTTATCTGCTCCACCCACCACCACCTCGCAACCCACTCTTTCTTCTCCTCCGCACGGATAATTTCTCCGTTACACCCACCACCCCCACCACCGCCGGCGACTCGTTCTTGTCCTCTGCACCACCCACCATCACATCACCTCCGCCTGCGGCGAATCATGTCTTCCGCTCCACCCACCACCATCGCGCCGCCCATTCTTTCTTCTCCTCCGCACCGATAATTTCTCTGCTCCACCCACCACCACCACCGGCTCCACCCACCGCCACTGCCGGCACTCTTATATGAGTTTCACTGAATCAATGTGATTCGGTTATTTGAATTTTATATTATATATATTATATATTATTATATATAATATATATAATAATTTCTCGCTCCGCCCACCACCACCGTTGCGCCGCCCGCCAACTCTTTCTTGTCATCCGCCAGATGATTTCTCCACTTCCACCTATAAATTGCCCATCGTGTGTGTGAAGTGGGAAATTGAGATTCATTTATTTTAATTTTATATTTCCTTATTTTTGCTTTAAAATTATTATTATTATTATTATTATTATTATTATTATTATTATTATTATTATTATGTTTAATTTTTATGTTTATTTTTATTGTTAGGTGGGTGGTGGGGTGGGGGGGGGGGTGGGGGGTGAGGGGGTCTGGGGTTAAGGAGTAATTTAAAATAATTTTGAGATTTAATTTAGTTTTTAGTAATAATATCATTTTACTAGGTATTTTTTTCTATTATTTTTCCTTAACAACCAAACAAAACTAAAGAAGATTATTTTCCTCAAATTATTTTCATCACCATTTTTCTTAGGAACCAAACACAATTGAGATTTCAAAAGTCCTTCATTTCCTTTTCCTTTGCATTTTCATTTTCCTTATATTGAAATCCATGAACCAATCAGAGCCTAAGAGAAGCGTGTAATTGAACCAAAGAAAAGACAAAAGAGGAGAAATCGTCAATTGGACCGTGACGCACCCTGCACTTTGTAGCCACGTTCCACTTTCTCCCTCTTCATCTTGTCACCCACCCACGCGCCGGGGAGATACCAAAGAGGAGAAGGAAAATTCCTTTGCACTCCGATCTCAATCCCCGCAAAACCCTATCAACACTCCAATTTACTATCAATTTATACCTGATTATCAGTCTCATCGTATTTAACTGCTGGATATTAAGTAATTCAGTAGCATTGTAGTAATTTTATCAAGTGATTGATCGTTATCGACATACTAGAATAAACTGATCGAAATCCAAAGGTTTGGAGATGCAGAGGCAGAGTCCACCAAAGCATAGGCACGATGGAACTTCGCCTTTGCCTTTGGGAATGGATTGGAGCCCTCCGCCTCGTAATTGGGTATGCTTCTTATTGTTTCATTGTTATTATTTTTTTTTTGAATTATGATTGTGTTGATTTTATTGCCGATTGATCGATTTAGCTCACAATCAGTTGAGAATCCCTGATCGATTTATATGTTTGGTGATTGGATTTAAGTTTTTGATGTGTTTAGTAAATCATAGATATGCTCAATATGGGTACAAGTTTTAGAGGCTCAAATTTTCTACTTCTCATTCTGTACATAGAAAGATCATAACATTTCTTATTGTTATACTTAGAGCTTGATCCTTATATTAGATTCGGTTTACTGTTTTACTGAATTAAGTTTTGTTGCTGCACGGATGACAAATGACGTTGTAGTCTAAGAAGGATAATGCAATCTTGCATAAAATGTAGTGCTGTAAGAGGATGAGGTTTTAAGAGGAAAATATTATTACTTTATAAAAGAAAATCCAATTTTTTTGTAGTAATCTTTCTGTTATTAAAATTTCTTAATTAGGAGTGGTGATCTTAAGAAATTGTTGTTCAAAACGCTGATCCTCTAACCTACAATTTGCATTAAACAAATTGGTTGAGTTACAGAGCATGACGACCTTGGGCCCCACGAGCTTTCAAATTTCATTATGGTTCATGCTCAGACATGGCTGTTACTCTTATATTTTGAGTTTATACACTATATGTGCTTTGCAGGCCGGGGGAGAAACTGTTTGGCCTCATGATCCTCGCACGGGATGGAGTTACTGCATTACATTACCTTCCTGGATTGTACTTGCAAAATCAAGAGATTCTGACCCTACAGTGGTATTATGTTTTGTTTATCTGTCAAATGTACATTACATGATATAGTTCGTGAGTTATGCTTGATTGTGACTATATACAATTGTAAAATAATTTAAGAAAATGCTTTGTTTTTCATCAGTCGAAAGGGTAGCTAGATATAAAGTCAGTCAAGTTGGTTCTTTTTCACCTTGATCACTCTGTAGAACTTTCTAAAGTGCCAAGTAGATGATAAATTGGTAAAATATTAGTAGTAAATGACCAGTGTAAATCGAAGTTTTTCGTGTTGGTGGCAGCACATAGGCAAATTGTGGTATGATAGTTGATGGGAAATTCTTCATCTCACGTATTCATATCAATCAATCAGCTTTTGCTTTTCCAGATACCTCCCTCTTTATCTGCACCTATGTGTGTGAATCAATGAGCTTATCTCCCTACTTTGATTGCTATTGATTGCCGTTTAGTGAATGTTATGTTTCTCTTTATTTGTGATTATATTATACCTTTCCTTGCACACAGATTTTTTTACGGCTTTCCTGAATTAACATTTTATGGGGCAGTTTTACAGGGTACAAGTCGGCATACAATCACCAGAAGGGATTACAACCACAAGAACTATCCTGAGAAGATTTAATGATTTCTTGAAGTTGCATGCTGCTGTAAGTTCACATACTTAAATTGGAGTTTTGGGCATCATCATCATAGATTTGTATGGGAAATATGGATAGTTATTTACTTTTTTGGACATTGCTTGAGCCATGTTTATTGCCCTACATACATTGTAATCAATGATGCCGATATTGTTGCCAACTTTCTTTTCTACAGCTTAAACGAGCCTTTCCTCGGAAAAACATTCCTTCAACACCTCCAAAGGGACTCTTGCAGATGAAAACGAGGGCAATGCTGGAAGCGGTAAACAAATTTTATACCTTTGGACATTAAAGCCATATTGTGATTGAAAACCTTGGATTTGTTTTGCAGTTTACCTCTTTAAGAAAAAGGTTTTATCTTAATACACTAGGGGACTTCCTAATAATAAATACTTTCCTGAATTGTTTTCTTTTCCACGCATGGTAGAGCTTGGTGTTGGACAATAGTCTTGCTTTGTAGTCTGATCCTTATAGATTATTTACTTGATTAGCTTTGGACCCACATTTTCTTGTTGTTTTGGGTTGGGGGTGGAGATTCTTTTTAACTGTTTGTAATTTCATTCTCCTAAGGAGTGTGGCCCTGGAGGATGTATGATGCCTTCAAATGCTAGTCTATTTATGAAACAAAGTATAATTTCTTCTGATGGCATGTAGACTGGATTCTTCTTATTCATATTTTACTTATCCAGTTTTCATGGACTGTTAAGATTATCATAGGCTTCTTTTTTATTGCAGAGGAGGAGTTCTTTAGAGGAATGGATGGCAAAGTTACTATCAGACATTGATGTGTCAAGAAACATTGTTGTTGCGTCATTTCTTGAACTGGAAGCTGCTGCTAGGTCATGTATGTGTCAGCTCTGGCTTGATATTTTTTTATTTGTAGTTTTATCATATTAACTTGATTTTAGTAGTATTGAATCTGAATTTTTCATTTCTCTTACGATTTTCTGGGATATGCACATTTTCGGGTGTTATAAAATTATCTTTGTTACGATTGTTTTCAGCATTCCAAGAGGTGGGTCAACAGAGTTCCGATTCACATATTTCTGTGAATAGCACAGACTCATCTCTTCATGTTCATCCAAATTCAAGCATATCCGTGGTAGCAGGAAGCTCATCGCGTACATCAGACTATGGCAGTGATACAGCTTATGAGACGTCTGAGATTGGTACTCCACGCCTTGGAATGGATAACAACTCCGAAGCTGGGACAGAGGACCAGTCATTTGATGATGACATGACAAGTCCAGTAGACAAGTTTGTGAAGTATGGAATGTCGAGCATTGATGAGGGTTTGTCCATGGGGCAGGCTATTCTGGAGAAGCTCGAAAGTTTTCCTACGCATAAAATGCATGCTAGAGAGACTCATTATAATTTGGACCGCAACATGAGTAACGGAAGTTCTTCTAAAGCCTCTCATCATACGGAAGGTACATTGGAGAATCTTTCTGAACCAGACATTGGCAGAGATCATGTTCGAAAGCTGTCAAATGAGAGTATTGGAAGCGACAGGAGTTCTCAAAGAGGTAGTGATTTTTCAAACTTTGCATTTCCTAATTCAGATGGGCATGGAGTTTTTGATTTGAGAAGTGGGACTGAGATCTCAAGAACCATTGGGACTGTTAGAGACCCAGATTATGAACTCCCTGATGATATACGCCTGTTGGTCCCAATGGATCAGCGCCAAAAGATGAATAGATTAGTTGTCACGTTGCAACGGAGGCTAATCACAGCCAAAACTGATATGGAGGATCTTATATCACGGTTGAATCAAGAAATTGCTGTGAAGGATTATCTTGCAACAAAGGTATTGGAATGCTGAAATTTGGTCTCAAAGCAACCTCATTTCATATTCTGGCTTCTGGTATATTATTGAGAAAACAAAAACCTTCAATATGATATATTAATTAAAATTGGTGTGGATTGATTTAGAAATTATTTACTCATTTGATACTGTCGAGACATTGTAAGAACTAGTTGTATTACAATCTCACCACCAGCCCCGAATTCCACAACAGTGAACTTTGCTCTCTTAACCAATTTCCAGTTTTGATCCCTTCATTTGTTGCTTCTGTTGATCAGATTCAAACATTGATTAAATACGCTCATGTCTGGTCAATTGATATTGACGTCAAATTTCATTCTGTTCTTTACTCTTTACAATCCCAGTTGATTTTCTTCTCTCCAAGGATTTGAAAGGCCTATTGCAATTTATAGTAAATTTTCCATGCTCAATATTTTCTGCCTCATGCTTGTATATTCACATATATCTATTGGAAATGAAATATTGACTTGTAATTTCTTCCCAGGTGAAGGATTTGGAAGTGGATCTTGAAACTACCAAACAGAAAAGTAAAGAGAACCTTGAGCAAGCTATATTAATTGAAAGGGAAAGAGTGACCCAAATGCAATGGGATATGGAAGAACTTAGGCGGAGGTCCATGGAAATGGAACTGAAGTTGAATTCTCAACAGGTTATGTATCCAGTTTGCTGTATGTTGCAGTTATAGTTTATATATGTTTGTGCAACACATATTGATATGAAAACTTCTCTAGGCCCAGAGGACGGACACTCAGTCCACAGATTCACAAGGCAATCAGCAGAATGATATTTTATACCAGGAGTTGGATTCCGCAAAGCAGCAGTTTGAGGACTTGTTGAAGCGACATCAAGAGCTAGAATCAAAGTCCAAAGCTGATATCAAAGTTCTTGTGAAAGAAGTTAAATCTCTAAGAAGTTCCCAATCAGAACTAAATCAACAACTTAAACTGTCACTCAAAGAAAAATCTGAAGTGAAGGTATACTTTCATTGCTCATCTATTTCAAAGCAAGTAAATCACCACAAATGTCATCTGTCGGTGCGCTCTAACCATGTAGCATGCGCTCAGCTCTGTTTGTATCTTACATGTAGAGTCGAACCCTGTCATTGTTGAGGACTTCGAGGCTGATTAGTTTCTTGACGCAACATGTGGTTTCTTATCTGTGCTCCTCTGAAAGTATTGCCCGATTTTTGTTTTCAGAAATGGAATCTTTATTCTTGCTTTAGTTGTGGTAGTCCTTGTATGTTGCCTCTTTTATTGCATGTGTAATTGTACTTGATGTGGCTTTCAAATCTGAATGCATATAGTCCAATTGATAAATCCATATTTTGATTTTGAAACAACTTTTGCAATCCCAGGAACTTCTTCAAGAAGAAAGAGAAAGAAATGAGCAAACAAGAATCTCGTGGAGGAAGCTGCTACAGAAATGCAAGATTCTTCATGATCAACTTCAGGAGTGCAATATGAATAACATAATGCACAGAAAAGGAGATTCTCTGCAAAGAAATATTCCATCAACGTTGGATCCTTCAGATATTCTAGACACATCTGGCAATCAAATAGGCCTTCTCCTTGCGGAGGTACTCCCTCAAAATTCAGATTGTTTATCCTGATTTTTCCTTAAACTCAAATTTCTTGCATTTCTTATTTGTATCTTGCAAATTGAGTTATAACCAGAATTTGTTTCACAAACAGCAATTAAGCTGAAAATGGATAAGTGAGACGTACTTGTATCGTAGCATGAATCTTTGATAAGTAATTATTGCTTATGAATGTATGCTCTGGTTATTTCGATTGACAGAGCAGTAACTTATAATAATTCATCTATTGACTCATTCTTAAATGTCCTCCATTTCACTGCAAGTTTTTTAATTCCATTGAACTAAATGTGACCAGGTTCAGCATTTAGCGGAGGATGATGATTATTCTGCGTCAACCACTGATAGAGTTGCTGAGTCAGATGAAGATGTGAGCTCTGTAGACGAGGAGTTGAGGCAGATGCTAACAAGAATATTAGTCGATAATGGTGAATTGAGAAAACAGGTGAACTTGCTTACTGTTGATGCCCTTAAGGTGAACAAAACAAATGAGGAAGTCGATAGTGATAGTGAACCACATTCAGATGTAAATGTAAAAAAGTGAGATTTGAGTTAAAAGACAACTTTTGAGGAATGTTGTAAAATTAGTATAGGCCAATATACCACAACACAGCAAGGATGAAAATAATGTGTAGAGTGCGCAATACAAAACCATGGGAGTTTTTCTTCTTGCACTTTGTCAGCACCATCCCCCATGTATGCAATTCATTCATCAAACTCTATTCGGTTTCCTAATTTTTATAATTGATGATATTGTTTTTGTTCAATCAAATTGTAAAGGCTTATACATGAAAAACAAACATTCGGCCCAGGATTTGGTAGTAATTGTGAAGCTGAATAATTACAAATTATGAACAATTACGCATATATGGGGTTTGTTCTATTTCGGGAAAGAGGTTCGGGTTCGAGTTAGTAATAAAACTATAATGTAAAAAAAGTGAAACGAGGAAAGCGACATCGGTGATCGACATCGAAAAAACGAACGCATGAACAAGAAGAAAATTGGGGTGTTTGCTTCTAGTGGTAATCGGAAGCTACACGTGGTGATGGATGTCGGCCCTTGCTTGTTTCCATTTCCAAACAAAAACAAAAAGATATTTCACTTAAAGAAAGTATCGATTAATATTAATATTTAATATCATTAATCAAAGATTTAATTTAACTTTTCCTTGCAGATGACACATCATCACTAATTAATGTATATCCACATTAATTAATTTGGTTGGGCCATAGATGTGGGCCCCATTATTCCTATGGATGTGAATCTCCCAGATCAATAATATTTCAGGCCCCCGGTGAGATTGACTGACGGGCTCGCCCATATGCCATTTCCTAGGTTCAAGTTATATCCTCTCCCTGAATACTGCTAATGTGCGCCTCTCTTCGTCTTCTTCCATTTCCAATTCCTTTCCCCACCTTCAAGTTTTCTCTCTCTCTACTCATACAACACATACTCTATACACCTCCAACTGCATTTGTTTACAAGAAATTTTCTCATTCATATCATGGTAGATGCAATTTCTCTGTTCCGGTTGAGATCAGATGCGGTCAGCAAATGAGCATGGCGCTTTCTGCCTCTTTTTCCCTCGCTTCTTCTCATCAGCTTTCTCAGGTCTCTCTCTACGGCTCTATGTCTAAATACGTGCAAATACATATGCGTATTTACATATTTTGAATTTTCTATGTTATTCGGTCAATCATTTTTTATGTAATTTTAGTTTTGTTCATTTGCGGTTACTCTTTTTATTTATTTTTCTGAATTTTTACACAGAACTATCTTCTAATAGGTGGTGAATTGTCATTATTTGTGGTCAATCGAATACAAGTGCTTTATGTCATGTAGCTTTTGTTGTTTTTCTGGTTAACTGTTATTGGAACTTCCTCGATTGACATTGATATTTGTTTGTTAGAATTTGTACAGACAGGTTTAACCCTGGAAAAGAGGCATAATTATTACTCAATTGTATATTATTTTTCTGCTTTCATTTGCGATTCAGGTTATTATTGCTTCCTAGCATTTTAAATTTTAAAATTGCGGCTGAATATCTGATTAAGTGACTTCAATTATCATCTGCAGCTTTGCTGTTCTGGTCTTAAATGGAAGCAAACGAGATTAGAGTTTCTGAAGCCGCATAGAAGAAACTCTCAGTACTTGTGGATTGTCAAATCAGTTTTAAATCGCAGGAGATCATCTAGCGTCAGTGAAGATGGAGCGACTGAACCAGCTAGGATTCTTCTGGAGAAGTTGTTTGATCAAACACAAAAACTTGAGGAACAGATAGGTAGGGATCCTTATTCACCCCATGTAGCTGAGCTGGGATTTAGTCTTGGTAAGCTGGAATCGGATCTTCAGATAGCTCTGGCAGCTTTGAAGAACAAGGAAGAAGATCTGCAAGATGCAGAGAAGAAACTCTTGTTGGAGTACAATGAAATTAATCTTGCCAGGAAGGACTTGGAGCGACGAGAAAAAGAAATAGCAGCTGCTAACATGAAGCAGGAGAAACTAGAAGGGGAGCTAAGACTGGCAAATTTAGACTTAGCTTCTCAAGCCGCAGAAATTGGTGATCTTAAACTTCGTCTGAAGGAGAGGGATCAGGAGATTTCAGCTTCTCAGTCAGCACTCTCAGCTAAAGACGAAGAAATCATAAAGATGAAACATGAACTGGAGAAGAAGAGTGAAGAAGCTGCCAAAATTGAATCAGAACTCAGATCGAAGGCCATTCTCCTTGATGAAGCAAATAAAATTGTGGAAAAGCAAGTAGTCGAGCTTCAGGAACTTCAGGGAGCCATTCAGAAGAAAGACGACGAACTAGAAATGTCGATCAGCGTGCAGAAAAGTGATGCGGAGAAGTTGAAAGTTGCTGAAGCAAAGTTGGAGAAGCAAACTACGGATTGGCTAGTGGCTCAAGTGGAATTGAAAAAACTAGCCGGGGAAACATCTAAGCATGTTGGGGATGCAAATGAAGCCGAGTTTGGAACAGTGAGGAAGCTTCTCTCTGATGTGAGATCTGATCTAATTTCATCTCAGAAAGCTTTGGCTTCATCTAGACAGAAAATCGAAAGTCAAGATCAGCTGTTGGAAATGCAACTTGCAGAACTTGAAGAACAACGGAGGAGTATTATGTCGTACACGATAAGTCTGAGGGATGCCGGAGTAGAAGTGGAGGGTGAAAAAGCGAAACTGAGGGTCGCTGAAGCACAAAACAAGCAGCTCGAAAGGGATTTATCCCTGGAGAAAGAGCTTGTCAGTGAGTTACAGAAGGAATTGGATAAAGAGAGATTGTCTCTGAAAGAAGCAATTGTGGAAATCTCGACTCTCAGGGAGGATATAGACCGTAAAAGTGCTGCATTCGAACAATCACAATCTTTCCTTAAGTCTAAAGAGTCGGAATTGGTGGAAGCAAGGCTAGAGATCCAGCATTTAAAGTCCGAACAGGCTTCCCTTCTACTTATTCTGGAAGAAAAGGATTTGGAACTCTCAAATGCAAAAACAATGTTGGAGGAAGTAAATAAGGAGATTGATGAACTGAAGAGGATTTTGCGCAGCAGAGAAGAAGAGCTTACTAAAGCAAGTTCCATGCTGAAAGAGAAGGATGAACATGTCCAAACAATTGAACACGATCTCAGCAATGCAAAATCAAGATTCACTGAAGCTGAGATGGTGGTGGAAAAGATTGTAGATCTTACTAAGGAAGCAGTTCTGTCATTTGATGATGAGGAAGGCTATCACGCACTGGGCCCGCTTGATCAGAACAATGACAGTTTAACACCTTCGTGGCTAGACGGATTTGGTGATAGTTTTAAATGGCAGAAAAAACAACTGGAAGCTGAACTGGTATTTACCAGAGAAAGCCTGAAAACAAAGGAGATGGAAATTCTTGCAGCACAGAAGGATCTGACAATCAAGGATGAAGAGCTAAAAATGGTCATAAGAAAATTGGAAGCTAAAGAGAAGGAAATAACAGAAATGAAGGGAGATAAAGATGGTATCAAACAACTTTATGCTTTGGCACAAGAAAGAATTGGTGATAAGAGTGTAGGTGACCTCGCAATTGAGAAACTTCAATTCGAAGTAGCTCAACTGGAAGTTGAAGCTGCCACAAGTGCGTTGCAAAAAATCGCAGAAATGAGTCGAGAGCTTCTGAACAAAACTGGTTTATGTGTTGAACTTGAGGCTTCTGATTATGATATGAGCCTATATAAGAAAGATAACACTGAGGCTAGGATAAATACGATCAACGCGAACAAGTGCTCTGTTGAAGTTCAATCAGAAGTTTCTCGGCTTCTGACGCTGACTCAGCAGCTTGTCGTAGAAGCTAATGTTACTGGTTACATGAGCCAGTAGAGCTGATTTTGAGTTTCTTGCCATACATTGAGGTTTAGACATCAAGCCAATTCCTAAATGTAGGAGACAAAAGTTGTGAAATCTGCTCCTGTATTATATGTACACTGATTTGTTTGAGTTTATTTCTACTCTTGTGCTTGGTGTGTTGCACATAAGAAATCTTTTCAGCTGCTACAGTTCACTTGTTTTTCGTTCCATTTGGTTTTCAGACCTTTGAATTAAAAACAACATACGTGACAAGTGCCAATAGATTGTCTGAGTATTTATATACATGAACTAAAAGTAGAGACATAATGAAAACCATACATCTATTTACACAACAAGTCATCATTTTCCAGGTTCAGTTGTTGATGTTCGAACGCTCACTGTCGATTTCGTGGGCATTTCAGTCAATTTTCAAGCACTTCACACATCATCTGAAAATGTCAGTCACCTTTGGAGGACGCCAAGCACCACCGCTGCTGCCACCCCCACCACCGCTGCTGCTACTCTGCCCCTCCACATTCTGATTATCATTTGTTACCACCACTATATCATGATTCTTTCCCTTGGATCTCACTCTGCCGACTTTCTTACCAACAAAAAGGCCCATCTTCATGGCCGTAAATAGGCCCAATGCAATCAACAGCGGCCTTACAGCCCAGTGAAAATCTTCTAGATGCTGGTACTTCTTCACCACAGTAGGACAGGTGTCGAACGATACCAGCTCCACCTCAGCAGGATCACCCAAGAAGCTATCACTATTCTCACCACCAATTGTCAGTCTACCCGGAAATTTCACAACAAGGCATCCATTAGGCAACACTTGACAAATCCTCCCTGCCATCCACTCACCCCCTCTCTTTCGAGGCCATTCAAATCGAGGGCTAAAAACACTCGACTTCAGCTTCACAAACTGCCCCGCGCAATAAGGTTTCGCCATGTGGAACTCCGAATAGTCTCCCTTCCAAAGTGTCTCCATTCCTATAAAAGCCACAGTCACGCTCCCATCACGGTTAATGGAGTGAAGAACGCCCACAGGCGAATGCTTCTTGCTGTCCTCTTTCTTCAAACGAACCCAATCACCTGCAGCCAAGCCAAACGTGACCCTCTCTAATGTTGACACGTGGACTCTTATTGGGTCGTGGACCCCATGCACCCTCACTAAAACAAATCCATCTTGATCTGTGTCCCTTTCTAGACCAACCACAGTTCCCTCGGGTACATCCATATTTTTAGAGCTGCACGAGTTTGGAGCTTTCCTCGATCGAACCATATCACCAACTTGGAGGTGATCTTTTGCAAGAAACCACTCAGTATAACCAACACCACCTGCTTTCTCTCTGATCATTCTACTTCCAAGATCTGTCCAGCCCCCATCCTGGTTGACTACATTCTGTGAACTGCAAATTCCATAAAAGTCAACTTAACAATCTTGAAGAAACATAACATGTATGCTTATATAATAGACAAAATAAACATGAACCTCTTAAAAGCATGTAAAATATCTGCCATCACAGGGCGGCTTCTGAAATCATACTCGAAACAACCAAGAATGACATTCTCAACAGCAGGGGGGAGCCCATCAGGAATACGAGGTTTTTCTTGCTTAGTCACAACCAATTTGTATATCTCGTCAATTGATTTACCACTCCAAGGCTGTGTACCAGTCAACATCTCCAATATGCTGCAACCGAATCCCCAAGAATCAGTCTCAACAGATATTGGCCCTCTTAATTCGGGTTGCCATTGTTCTGGAGCCATATAGTTGGGAGTACCAAGTCGTCGAGCCATGTCTGTACTGGGCAACGGAATCCCTAACAGAACGTAAGGAATGCCAATATCCCCAACAACAGCTTGGTCATTTATATTCAAAAGGAAATTAAAAGGCTTAAGGTTTAGAATAAGGATTTCTTTTGCATGCAGGTCCATTATTCCCTGAGCCAGATCTGCCCCATACCTGTACACATAATCACAGTGTCAGTACTCAGTAAGTTATGCTTCTAATGAAATTATAAGTTTACGAATGTTCAAAAGAAAAGGCTACCTCAGAACATCGATTAGTGAGAGCTTTCCCCCTTTGAAGTTAGCCATTTTATCTCCAACCGAGCCTTCGTAAAATTTCATAACAATGCATATCTAGAAGAACAAAATACAAGAACATCTTTTTTTAGATAAAGAGTAGATTGAAGCATATGATAATAAAAGGTCAAAACAGAACACTCACTTTCTTATTTATAACCGAAAGTCCATTGAGCCAACACACTGTTTCCAACCCTCGACACTTGGAAACTATAGTGTCCAGCCTATTCAAGACATCTCTAACGTTGTCTTCTTTAATCGGATGCAACATTTTGACAGCAACTTCATGAAACTCTTCGTAATCTTCAGATGCACGATGATGAGTTGCCAGCCAAACATCGCCAAAAGGGCCTCGTCCGATTCTGTGCCTGAGCTTAATTGTTGAAGGGTCGATCCATGGGCTGATCTGGTTAGATGATCCAATAACGGTACTACTGTCACCAGAGTCTCCTACTAGCACAAACTCAAATGAAGATGGAGGCCTGTTAGCAACAACTTGTCCAGCCATTTTCCTGAAATTTCCCAGATGAAAAATACTATTACAGTGAAATCATTAATCAAGTCAACAATAGTTACATATGAAAATAATAACAGATCATACAATCACTCCATCCCTATATTGATTCAATAATTTCCAAATTTCATTTCAATTTGGTGAATCTAGATCATCTGAATTTACAACAAGAATAAGTCCAATTAGGCGCTTTCAGAGCTCATAGTTACTAAAGACCTCCAGACAAAATTTCAATCTGACAAAAAAACTAAAAAAAAAAATATCATGAATCCACAACCAAAGCAGAAAATAGAAACCCATGATTCATTTTCAATTCTTCACCCAAATTTGCTACACGAGAAAATAGCCCCACAGAGACAAAAACAACTGAAAAAATTCATGTACCTGGTTGTAGAAGCAAAAACAAAAGGAAGTATAAAGAAGAAACTTACTGATAGTCCGTAGCAGGAAAAAGATTGTGATGAAATTTAAAAAAATGGATGGAGGAAAAAGTGAGCTCGATATTTCGACGAATTAAACAAGAAAATAATAATTATTAAGCGATCATTTGCATAGTCTAGGGGATTGATTATTCAAACAATTATTTACAGAAAACGGAAGAGTGAAGAAGAAGAAGAAGAAGAAGAGAGAGAAGTAAATAGAATAAGACTGAGGAGAGAGAGAGAGAGAGAGAGAGAGAGAGGAGAAATGAGTCATCTTCATGAAACGGTGGCCTACGTGCGACATTGCCTTCTGTACATTCAATTTTTATTTTGATTATCATTTTCTTTTCCTTTCCCTTTTGCTGTCAATAAATAAATAATTAAATATTATTTGGTAAATCTTCAAAATTTATTTTTCTATAATTGTATATATTGAATGTTATTTAATATCCGTGCCTCTCTCTTGGATTTTCTTGTTTAAAAGTAAATAAATTAATAATAATATACCTCTATATTGTCAGTATATGTCTAATTGTCTACGGTTGATTGTTTTAAGCTCTAACAAATGCGTACAAGAAAGAAACTAAAAAGCATATAAACTTACTTGCTATTTATTTATTTATTTATTTTATTTATTAAGAAGAAAGAAAGACAATTTGCAAGTCACTGTACCTTCTTAATTCATTCCACATGACTGTTGACCACTTCTTCTAATTTCTAATCCATTTGAGTTTTTGCTACTATTTATTCATTGTATTTAATATTCTCAATTTTCCTGCATTATTGTATGAATTGGAAACTTCAATTAGAATAGAGGTTCGATGCACGGTGCAATTTACGTCTCTTGTATGATTTGTAGATTAGTGCAGGAGGGTGAAGTACACACATTAGACGCCATAATAGCTGCACATCTTTTTTTTTTTTTTTTCTTTTTTAGCAAATAAAAAAGAATAAAAAAGATGTAATATTGCAGTAGTTGTGTTTCCCTACAAACAAAAAATAAAGTCCAGATGCAATAAAAAGATTCCAAGAAGGTCCAATCACACAAGTCACAGTTTTCTCCCCCAACCTATCATCAATAATTCAAGGGAATAGATCCAATTACTAGAGTAATTTTGAATTTGCAAACACCCCTTTTTAATTAATCAAATTTGAATTTGCAAAAACACCTCTTTTTTGGAATCAAAGAAGCAAAAAAGCTGCAAAGTGAAAAGGAAAAGAGGTGCCGTTGAAGTGGGATTCATCACTTTTGTGCAAGCAACCATCACCAAGTCCCCCTTTTCTTTTTTCTCATATCTTGCTTGCCCCAATGTACTCTCACTCCAATGGCACTGCTTTTTTAACTGGCATTTACACTTATACAACACAACACCCCAATGTATATATATATATATATATATATATATACATTATACACTCTCTTTGATATATGATGGAAAAAGGAATAGCTTTTCTTTATTATCCAGCAAAACAAGCTCATCATAGCAAATATATATGACTCACATCTTTTAACTATACCCATTATTCTAAAACAACAGACACCAGATTCTGATATGGATCAAACTTAAATATGGTTTATTATTAGTATTACTCTGAATTATTTTCAAGTCATCACCACCACCACTAAATCATCCATTCTAGAAACATTTAAGGAAAATAAGAAAAGATCAATGTCACAGATCATTCATTCATTTGATTATACAGTAAAGTAGTATTTAACATAATTGCAAATAAACCAAACCCCAAAACAATGAACAAGAAATAAAAAAAAAAAAGGAACTCAAATTAACTTCAAATCCAAATGGCTGCAGCAGCCAAAGATTCCTTTTTTTTTTTCCTTAGAAGATTGTAAAATCAAGAAACAGGGAGCACCTTCTTGACAATCTCCTGACTAAGATTGGCAATCTGTGAATCTAGTGCTTTCACTGTCTCTTCCTTCTGATTCTCCAAACTCACCAGCGCCTCCCTCAGCTCTGCCTCCACCTTCTTCCTTCCCTCTGCAATCTTCTGCTCCACCTCAAGCTGCGTCTCCTTCTTCATCTTGTTCAGCGCCGCCGATATCTCAGCCCTCGCCGCCCTCATTATAGCCGACGCCTGGTCCTCCAGCTGCTTCACCTCCGAGGAAGTGTCCTTCACGCTGCTCAGCTTCTCCCTAATGGCGGCGTCTCTCTCGTCCATGAATTTCCCGAGTGGGGTGTAGTAAACCTTGTCCAGGGCAACCATCAGGAAAAGGAATTCAAATGCTATGATGGGGAGGGTGAGGTTGAAGTCGAAAAGGGATGCCTTTTCCACTTCCTCCGCGAGTGACGGCGGCGCGTGGAGGAGAGTGAAAGTGGTGGCGGCGGCGATGAGGGAGGGTATTTGGTTGAGTTTGGGGAATTTGACGAGTAGGGGTATCTTCTTGGGAAGAGAGAGTTGGGGTTGAAGGTGGAGTTTAGGTTTAGGGGTGGGTGGAATCGAACATGTGATTACACTTTTCGAAGAGGCCACCATGATCATCTTAGACATGGCTGCTTTCCGTTGTCTTCTTGATTTCCCTTTTTTCTTCTTGATTTCTCGCTCTGAATTGTTTGGGTATAGAGTAGTATTACTGTGTTTTTTTTTCCTGTAATAATTTGGGCAAAATGATGATACCGATGAGAACCAATGAATGAATATCTTGCAAAATGTTATCTCTTCCTATGCCACATAACATATGTTGAGGTGGAGATTCATTGAAATGATTTTCAAGATGTTAAGCAGGGGCGTGCCGCTCACGTGCTTCTCTATTTGTCAGGCTTTTTTTTTTTTTTTTTTTTTTTCTAATTGTGATCTCTCACACATTCTATTGTAGTGTTGCTTTATAATTTATATATAGTCTTCCCCAGTATGATTTGTTTACATTATACACCCATGAGATCAGAGGACTTGATAGATGTGATACCATTTTGTGAGAAGAGTACTAGCAGCAACTCCTTTTTCACATAACAAGTAAAAATACAAGCAATTATGAAAAATCAAAAGTTAAACTACAATAAGTAGTCCTTTTTGTTCCATCAGCAAACAGCAAACAGCAAACATGAAGAGATGGATGATGATGATGATGATGATGAATTCTTGACTTTGGCAAAACTGTTTGTCCGAATGGAGTAGGCTATTTTCATAACTCTGTATACAAAGTGAAGGGCAAAAATTTGTCTATTCTAGTGCCCAAACTAATCGGTATCTAACATACATCATAATGGAGACCATCACCCGCTTGACCAACTGGGACTCGCATGGAAGTTAAGTTCCAACTTAGCTTTGGACCCCATTGTTTAATTTGAGCAGCGAGTTCCAAGAATTACCTTCCTTTCCAAGTTTGTCTGTGAGATACGTATTTATTGCTGGAAGGTGGTCGTAAGCAATTCTTGAAACCTCCAAGCATGTTGTACGAAAATCTCGATGAATTGGTCCTCCTCTCTTGGATTCTCATGTTGGAGCTGGTCAATTTACGATATGGGAACCAACCCCTGAACAAGTGAGTAAGCCTGTACTCACGACGTGATATGACATCATCACCTCGATTGTCATCTACAATCTCCATACGATTACTGTCATATTTCTCACCATTTTTCCCTCCACCCCTGTTGTCGTTTGAACTGCAAAATGGGTTCACATCGTAACATGAGTCCTGATTTTGTAACCATGATATCCTAGCAGAATTATTAGCATACGGATACATCCCTGAATGAATATCAATGCAATAGACAGATGAATTTTCAGCTTAGAATCCAAAATCTCTTGATTAAAGGAAAAGGAGATTGAAAAGAAATAGTATTCCACGTCAACTTAAGCTATATCACACCAGAATATGTTTTCATGCTGATATCCAAGACTTGTTTCCCACCAGCCTTATTAAACATGTCTATTGAAGTAGTCTAGGTCATCTTCACTAGTCATAAGGTAATAAGAGATGCAAGCATGGTCAACTTACATGACAGGTTTATGATCCGAATCAGAGTCCTCTCTCTCTGATTGTATCCTCACCAAATTGGAAGCATGATGAATAAACTGCAGCTGAAGGTGCCAAACTTAAACTTGTTAATACAAAGATGTTTCTGGTTCAACCAGCGTAAACAAGTGTGGTGAGAGAGCATCAGCAAAATGAAGAGTTGTGAGCAAAGTAAACGAAAAAGTATGTTTTACACCTCGATCAACATCTCACTTATGCCGAAACATTTACCAGAACTGTCAAGCAACATGCCATATGTTGCTAACTATTCCAACCAAAAATCTGCTCATTAGACATATCTAAGGCTTGTGTGACTAAAATTCATCAAATTGTTCAAATTGCCAATACCTCCTAGCATTTTCAGTGAGCATAGACTTCTCTTTTGTAAGGTTCACCAGTACTACTTAAGCTTCTGTTATTTCATGCGGCAATTTAGGCAGGCACTACCATATATTCCGAAAACTATGACCAACCTGATCACCATCCTTAATGCCGAACATTCTGATACATTCACTGTCAGTCAGTAACTTCTGGCCCTCGTGACAAAGACAAAACTGTCCCCATACATGTTCCCTGCATTAAAATTTATCAAATTTAAAATACACCAGAAAGGACCACATAAGATAAATTCATTAGAAACAAGTGGGAACTACGACAATACTAGTGAATAGTGATAAGAAATTAAAATATCACATCATGATTTATTTAAAGCACTTTGTAATGAGTTAATAACTTAATTCATTCTTCAGATGATCTCAAAACTAATCCCTCTTGCATGCATGATACAGAAATCCAAGATAGGAGAACTAAGTTTCAACTGGAATACCAATATTCAGCTTCTTACATACATCGAAACTGGATTAAAAAAAGAAGCGTTTCATTTTCAACAAGCAAAATCATCTTCCCTCTTCAATTCCTTCCATCGAAACCTCCCATATATGTACACACAGACATGGATCCACACACACACACACACACACACACACACAAATGTATCAATGTATATTAAACATATAGATAAATGTGTATGGGGTTTCAAAATACAAAGCCCATTACCATGAAACTCTACCAGGCCCCTTCTTCGGCAAATGACAAAATGCTGCTTCCACTGCCTGCTTTACGTCCCACACTGTTCCCGTCTTTGACACCTCAATTCCTTTAAAACAGGGCATTCACATTAATATTTCAGGCATTCAAATACATAATCTACATTATTATACATACATGAAATCCTGCCCCCATAACATATCTAATTTGTTCATTTCATACACGCACATGTAGATAGCTTACCATATGCATCCTGTCAATCCTACGTAATATATAGTAAATAAACACGAACACGAGCGCCTAAGAGTATATACAGGTAATGTATTAATACATAATTCCAATCACCAACAAATAAATCGAAATATACCGAAAGATGAGCCATCCAATTTGAAAACAGTGAGCTTGAGTGGCCGCTGATGAAGTTTATTGTAAGAAATGCTCTTTCTCGGGCTCTCGATTTTTGTGAGCGGGGGAAACAAACACAACATGGATACATTTGAACACCGAGGCTCATCATAACAGTCATCCTCCCTCTCCACAATCCGAATCATTATAAACCCAAAAAGGGAAATCCAACTCACCGTAACCCTAAAATTGAAATTCTACCTAGAATACAAAGTAAAAATCATCATTTATAGCGCTCTTGTCTTCCCCGGAGAAGGTTGGTTTTCGGAATGTGATAAGCTGCTAATCTCTGATTCTTTCGTGAAGCATTAGAACTAGGGTTTGGCTTGTGTCGGGAGAGATTCTAGAGAATCGAATGTGACTCTCTCTCTCTCTCTCTCTGCTTTCCCTATACTCAATCGAGTGATTGCAGTTAATTTGGTTCGAGCGGGAATCAGAGACTCATACAATTACACGCTACTTCTTCTATTTATGGCGCACTGTAGAATTTCTATCCCAAAAAAAATTAAAAATGGCGCACTGTAGAAAACTATTATTGGGTCGGGCCGAATCAAGGCTTACTAAGTCGGATCCAATCAAGGCTTACTAATGTTGGGCCCACTGAATTATGCATAATAAGATTGTGATTATCCATGGACTTGGTTAATATCTTTCATTTTGCAAAATTAAATTTCAAATTCGTTTTTTATCATGGGCTTCAAATAGTTTTATAATTACTAATGAGTGACAATTATGTAATTAGTTCGTTGAATGACAGTTATGTAATTAGTTGATGAGTGACAGTTATGTAATTATTATTGAATCGTAGTTTTATAGTTACTTGATGAGTGTCAGTTCTGTAATTACTGATAAATGACAATTACTGATAAATGACAGTTCTGGAAGTATTTGTTGGGTGGCAATTTTGTAATTACTTACTAAGTGGCAATTATGTATGTAATATAAGTGTTTTAAAAGTGTGTTGGTGAAAAGTCTGTTGGAGTGTGTGCCGAAAGTGTATATGAGTGAGTACATGTATGTCAAAAGTGTGTATGTGTGTGTTTGTGTGTGAAAAGTGAGTTGGAATTTGTGTATATGTGTGTGAAAAGAGTGTTGGAGTGTTTGTGTGTCAAAAGTGTGTACGAGTGAGCGTATGTGTGCCGAAAGTGTTTGTGAGCCTGAATACGTATAAGTGTGAAAGTTGAGGTTGAATCACATAAATTGAAATATTCAACTACATGAGTTGAGATAATTAAATCATATAACTTTAGTTAAAGATGCAATGAATCCAAAGTTATTCAATAAAAAATATATGCTACATAAACTATACAAATAATGGATTCTGATTCTGAAAGACAACTTATTATTTACCAGCTTATGTATAGCAGTTAAAAAAATTCCTAATCGGCAGTCATATTTCCAGTAAGTTGTGAATGTTGTTAGATGAAGCAATCTGTCATTTCCCAATAAGCTTAAAATAGGCATACATTACAGAGCCGATGAACCCGAGGAGTTGCCCAAATACATTCACCTGCAACACAGTTAATAATCGCATCGGTGTTGCATGAAAAACACAACCCTCAACGAGTACACAATATAACTATAATAATTACACTTACTAAATCGAACGCCAGTCCACCAAAAATTACCCAGCCGAGTGCAACTGTGAAAAAGTCCTATGCAAACAGGATGATATAAACGCAACGTCATACAGTAATCAGAATGAAGATTGTAAAATTGCGTTTCAGCTTAGGATCATGCTTTTAGGCTGAAACAGTTTTGATGACATATTTAATTTTAAAAAAAATGGGAACAAACCTTCATATTACCACAAATTGTCTGAGTGAGTGCAGAATTGAGAGTCGTGTTGAGGAATACAGTATAGTTGAGGAAAAAGGCCAGTATGCAGGACATAACCAACACCCCCTGAATAAACCATAAATTAACTGTCAATCTAAAAGGATAATTTTAAACTGGACAGACGAGATCATAACAACATAAATGCGCTGATCTACATTTTGCAAACTAATTAATACCATAGCTAGACTACACTTGACAACCGGATCGGTACATTAGACATACTATTGAAAACAGAAAGAGAAAATTATAAATGTGTATCAGGCTTGAAACAAATATCAACGTTAATCTAGTCAGAAGACTTTACTAGGAATCCAGGAGATAGCAAATACGGGAAATTCATTGTCATTTGCACGTCATTTTGGAAAATTATCCACATCAGTAAAATGGGTGCGCACAAAACTCCTGTTTCGAGAAAAAAGTTAACAGAAATTTTAATGAAAGAATTGGCAAATACATCCAAAGAAGCGAGCACTCACCATTGCACCACATGAGACCAAAGCTATTGAGGCCACTAGATTTTCCTAGGTAAATCATAAAACATGTATCAGAGCAAGAAAACTCGGAGAAAAAGCGACACACACACACACACACACACACACACAAGAAATAGTACCGATGCGAGCTATGGTAGTGAGGTATACTGCAGTGGCGATGTTGGATAACAAAACAACTGTATAGCCATAGGAGTCAAACGACAAATCCCCAGCTCCAGCTACGAAGGCACCTACTAGAATTAATGCCACACTGCCAAAACCTAAGTTATTCATCACCCAACGTAAACATGCCTTGCTAAAAAAGACTCCATTTAACTACATACCCTAAATTAGTGCATTTTTAGTCTGTTCGTTTCTTTAAATTTGTCTGCAGGCAAGTACAATTAGAGGTACCCTGCTGCTTACCTTCCAAGAATAGGGCGTGTATACCTCTGCCTCACTAGGATATACTCGAGCATCATTGTAAATACAACTGTAGTTCTCCTTAAGGTTGTATACATAGGTACATTTACTCCCCGGACAGACTCCATAGAGGCTAGCTTTCAAATAAACCAAGAGAGCGCTCGTGAATATACACACACACACACACACACACACACACACACACACACACACACACACACACACACACACACACACACATGTACCATGAAAAGACATGCAAGTTCAAATATAAATGAGTTGAAAGTGTTATTACCATGTAAAGCAAATAGGTTAGAGAAAGAGGGGAAGTGTTGACCAATGTCTTGATTGGTACCGATGTTTTGGAAGTATCAGTGAGAGCCGCGACAGGTTCGTTTGTACTAAAAGAAATGAGATTTAAGCGCCTTAGAGCATAAAGAAAACAGCTTGAAGAAATCATCTGCATGCAGCAAATACATCAATCATAACAACGAAGCTTCAAGATCCCAGAAAACGCATACGTGTGGTCGGTATTCGAATACATGAGTAACAAACTAGGATTCAAAATAGCAATTAGCAAACCTCTTTGGTTGTGACAGTGGCCATACAATGTGTGCAATTCCGACACGAGATCAAGTTGCTTATAAAAATACCTGACAAAGGGTGATGACATTTGCACAAGGGAAGTTGTATGAAGAAAGAGCAGCCTTATTGAACATCACCAAGAACACTGCAAAATCAAAGTCCCAACAAGATAAGTCCTTTTCGCATTGAATTAATGAACAAAGTATGGATTTAATTTCGCATACCTAAAGGAACATTTAATCGTCAATAATCACACAAAAATTAATTATTCCCTTTAACTATTAAGGGCAATACTTTTCTATATTAACAAAAATGATTTATTTTTTCCATTCCAGGAATCATTTTCCAGAACCCAAACATGTTACTATTAGACAACACAGAGTTGAAAAACTCAAACTTTACCAATTCCGATAAACATGGAAATCAAAATCATGGAAACATTTTCTTGAATTCCAACGTAGAATTGTTTAAGAGAAACCCATGAAGAAAACCCAGAATCAGCTATAATAGAAAATTGAACTACATGAAAATAAACGAAATCAAAATTCCGAGCGAAAGAAGTAAATGACGGTTGACACACAGATTATAGGATTGAAAAGAACCAATTTTTTTTGAGAAAGTACCAGCACAAATCATATAAGAGATTGCGGCATACGCGCCGCCCTTAGTCATGGCGGATCCATTGAAGAGTTTCTCTTGAGCCCTCGACGGAGGATCGGTCAACGTAATTGGTAGAAGGGCGTCGCTCTTCGAATTCATTGCCATTGTTTAATTCATTCGCTGAGAAAACAAAAAATAAAAATTAAAAGATCAAAACTTTCCTACTTTCGCAACTGATCAATTGAAAAAACCTACGTCTGTGTCCTAACGTGGGTATTATTAGTATGTAATTTCATTACTTTCTAGTTTCTATGTTAAGTAAAGTCGGATGACTAATTACTCTTAATTAACGTTTTTAATTGTTTCTTGAAATTTTATTTATTTATTTCACCACAACCTTTGTTGTACAGACAAAATTTGATAATGCCGCTAAAACACCTGAGAAAGCAGCTTATTACAAGAATATTTCGATGGGAGCTCACACACGCAATCAATGTGGGGCCAATCCGAAATTTTTAAAATTGTTTGTAGATTCTAAAAAAAATCAAAATTTTGTTGTGACTCAAATAAAATTTGCCCACTTGGTTTCGTAGTGTCTGTTATATTTAATGCTTTGAGCACAAATCAAATGAGCGATAAGAATATAAGATTGCACTAAAAACATGGTTCAGCCGGCTGCTATAACTTTTAAAAGAATAAAAAATGGTTTATATAATAAGACATATTAAACCTTGTCATAAAAAAGTCTAATTTGCATATATAATGAGGTTGAAGAAGACTTGCGCGAGTAAGAAAATCAAGAAAATCAATATCCATGGCCTTACACTATTGTTCTTTTCCAAAACATCAAACTTTCCCCAAGTTTTTAGTATGCCCACAACTTCATCACATGTTTCAGTTCGATAAGCATCTGTAAAAAAAATGGGGTTTTTGAGCTTCGCTTTGTTTATGCTGCTGCTATTATGCGTTCTTGAATTTGTTTCTGCCCAACCAAAAACTGAACCCCTTGAAGGTAATTCATTATTTCTCTGTTAGTCATACTATTTGGATATTTTCTTGCAATAAATTCATGTTTAATCACTCCTTCTAAAATTGGTAATCAGTGGATGCTATGAACAAGATAATTGATCATTGGAATCTAAGAAGAAAGGTGAATTTAAATATTGACCCCTGCATCCAAAATGCTAGCTGGGCACCTGAAACTGCTAATCCAAGAATTGCCTGTGATTGTTCTGCTACTGTTTGCCATATAACCCACTTGTTAGTTTCTTTTACTTTTTATACATGTTTCTTTTCTTTTCAACTGTAACTGTAAGAGTGCTGTGTGTGTGGTGCTCACTTGTAATATATATATGATTCAGGAAAATATATGCCTTGGATATCTATGGTGAAATTCCTCAAGAACTGTTTTTGCTTACTGAATTGATGGATTTGTAAGTCATTGATTGCCTTTCTTTAACCATTTTTCTTCAATAAAATAAATAAATAAACGGTGGTCGAATTCTAATGTTCTATGATGTAGGAATTTGGACCAGAATGTGTTGAATGGATCGATCCCACCTGCAATTGGGCAGTTGTCGAAAATGCAGTACTTGTTAGTATCATTCCGAACCTTAACTTTATACGAATGCACGTTTTTGAGGTTTCTAGTGAAGTGAGTGTGTCCCCTAAAAAAACTGCAAATTTATTATCGAGGTGTTGAAAATACAGGGGTCTTGGCATCAACAATCTCACAGGTCCAGTGCCTGCAGAGCTTGGTAATCTAACCAAGATGATCTCTTTGTAAGAAATTTGCTGTCATATGTTGTGTCTTCTTACAATTGATATATCATAACCATGCATAATTTCTCTATTTCTTGTGTATAATACAGAAGTTTTAGCTCTAACAATTTTAAAGGAACCTTGCCTCCAGAACTAGGAAATCTAACCTCCTTACAGCAGCTGTAAGTACACTTATCTGTCCACTTTCTTAATTATATTTGTTATTTTTACTCGAAATTAGAGATTAATTTTCTCCATTAACTATGTTTAAAACAACTTGATTTGTTTATCTTTCAGGTACATCGATAGCAGTGGATTGACTGGACCCATTCCACAAGAATTATCGAATTTGAAATCCCTCCAAACACTGTATTTTCTCTTTGCAAAAATACACTCTCTTTTTTTCTCAGTATGCTTGAATTATTAGTTATTACCATTGATTTAGGTCAATTCACCAAGTGACGTTTGCTCTCTTTCAGATGGGCATCTGATAATGGTTTCACCGGAAAGATTCCAGACTTCTTGGGAACTTTTACTCAACTCAAAGTCCTGTATGTACATTCTTTTCTCTTCTATATTTCGTCACGTTAATGATTGAAAGCAATTCTTTTTATTTTATATTTGTTGTTTAAATAGGAGACTCGAAGGAACAAATCTTGAAGGCCCAATTCCGAGCAGCTTTGGTTCTCTAACAAAACTCGAAGACTTGTAAGAATTTTCATTTGCTTCTTCTGATTCGTATGAATATTATCATATACTTTCTTGCATGTATGTATTCCATTGTTTTTAATTTATTATTATTATCAGGAGAATCGGTGACGTTGGTGGAAGTGACACTTCTCTGGATTTCTTAGAGAATTTGACTAGTCTTTCCATATTGTAAGCTCTTGAATCTCACTGCAAACAACTTTTTCTTCTTTATATTCATTTTTCTTATATTTTACTTCCAATGACAGATCATTGAGAAACTGTCGAATTAGTGGTCAAATTCCAGAACATCTAACCACTTTACCCAACCTTAAAATCTTGTAAGTAGAGTTAATTTATATTTCGTTTCAAGTTAAAATTACATGTTTTGAGACTTTAATAGACTTCTTTCATCACTCGAACAGGGATTTGAGCTTCAACAAGCTGACAGGTCCAATTCCAGCTTCATTCAGAAACTCTGCTTCGTTACAGTATCTGTAAGTGACGCATTTCTTCTTTCATTATATGTATCAAGAAAATGATGTATATTTCACGGCTTCTTATTTAGTGATATTGCTTGAACAATTAAAGAAAATAAACGTCGGAATTTGCGTATGCCGCTGCTAATTTCAGATATCTTGGGAGCAATAACCTAAACGGAGATCTACCTACCGACATCATAGGTTCAGCACTCATTGCCTTGTAAGCCCAAAACTTAGATATATTCTTCTCTTGTAATTGAATTGCACAAAATGTAATCTTGATTCTTGATGAATTTTCTAAACATTTTTTATTTATGCAGAGATGTCTCGTTCAATCCTCTCACGGGAAACATCCCTACGTACCGAAAAGATATATCTGTGTAAGTCGAGCTCCAATTTTTACAAACATGTTCAAGTGGCCGTAATATATTTTTTTTTTAATTTTTCTTTGAAATGCAGAAATGTAGTTGGGACTTCCATTAACGATGTCAACTTAGACAACGAGTAAGTAGCCTTTCTCATCGTTATGCATGGAACAAATGCATGTATCTATAGTTGTGCTAATATTTATTTAATTTAGCAATTAATTTTGTGATTTGCTACAGAAAGGCATCCCAAATGTTGCATTGCCTTCAAGGCAATAATACCAACTGCAGAACTAAAAATCCATCAAGTAAGTTGAGATACAAGAATGATGAAATAATCGATCAGTAATCTGATTATTGAAAAATAAAATTATATGTTTACGAGTTTTTCTTGTAGCTTCGTTTTCGGTCAACTGTGGAGGTGTGGAAAAAGTGTCTGCAGATGGCATTAAATATGACGATGATTCAGAAATGATGGGAGCTGCCTCGTTGTACACGAGCACTAACAACCAATGGGCAGTAAGCAGTTACGGAATATTCATTTCAAATCCAAGCGGGCCCCGTTATATTGCTCAGACGGACTCTCAAATCACCAACACATTAGATTCCGAACTGTATAAAACAGCTAGGGTATCACCAAACTCGTTGAGATACTACGGCCTAGGTTTGGAAAACGGAGTGTACAGAATCGAGCTTCATTTTGCCGAGATACAAATGGATGATGATTCTACTCCTTCTTGGAAAGGTCTTGCCCGACGACTCTTCGATGTCTACATTCAGGTACTTTTTGTATTATTAGTTATTACAACCTTATTTTACTAAAAAATGATGTTTTTTTTGGGTAAAAAATCGTAATAAAGGGTGAAAGAGTTATTGAAGATTTCAATATACTAAACGAAGCTGGGGGATCGAAGAAGGCTCTGATCAAGACTTTCGAGGCAAACGTCACGAATACTGTGATCGACATTCATTTATTCTGGGCTGGAAAAGGGACTTGTTGCATTCCACTGCAAAGCACGTATGGCCCTTTAGTATCGGCGATTCATGTTTCTCAAGGTTTATCTTTCTTCAAATCAAACCATTTATTTATTTCGTCACGTTTTTTCGATGCATGAATTTAAAGTGGAAATCTTGATGAAATATTGAAACATTGTGCAGTGTCTGAGTTTAAGGTTTCATCATCGGAGAGTGACAGGAAGCGTGTCGGAAGAATAGCGGGGATTGTGATTGGATGTGTGGCAGTATTTGTGGTAATAGGTTCTGTTGTATACCTTTGGCGGGCAAAGAAAGAGCCTGCTCATATGAGAGTTCACAATGAATCTCCAAGGAAAGATTGATTATTATTAATCATGATTGTTTGGTTTTCTTGATTGTTTGTTGTCTGTGTCAAATATATGCATGAAGAATTGTAATAATTATTAATGAATAATTAGTACAAATTACAACCTGTAAGCCGCTGGCAGTTTGGTTAATGTATCTTAATCCTTCAATTATTGGTGTTGAATCTGATGACGTGTCATCAATTTAATTTGGAGTGGTTGACCTCACCTCACAACTGATATTGACTTCAGTCAACATTTCACCCTCCTTACATATTATTAAGACTACAATAACAGATTTCCAAGAGCTGAAGAATTACTAGATTGCAAGCTCCATATTCAATATATAATGCTAGTCCCTTTCTTCATACTGTATTATTTCCACTATTATATAGCAACTAATTAAATTGGATTAACTTCACCTCAACCAATCAACCATTGTACAACTATTAAGTTAATTTGACATGTTCTAATCAACAATGAGTCAGATACCAGATATTATGCTATTTATCAAATCAACTTGGCAGCTAAGTTCGACTACGACAGAAACCCGATTTTTCAATTAAAAAACAGTCAAGTTGTTAATCGGAATCAATTAGAAAAGTTTCCAAGATAAACACTTGTGCACAAGAAAGTCACTTTCGGTAACAAATTAATTAGAATATACATATACATTCATGATCAACACAAAATTCGTACATCAATTCGTATAATCACAAAACCATGCAAATAACAAGTACAAAATCGAAAAACAAAAAGTAATCTAATTAATGTACAGAAAAATCAATCGTGGAGAATTAATGATCAATAAGGAGAGTAGTGATAACCATTTACCGCGTAAGGCACAATCGGTTGTACACCATGAGCGTAATATCCACCTGTGCTAATCTTAGCGAAACTAGCTTGGCCTTGCATGCCATTTGCGGAATACTGTTGCCATACAATCTGCTCCTGCACGAGCAAATGCTGCTTCTTCTCCATATCTGCCATCTGCACATACGAAGGCGGTGGAATGCTTAATGATGCCGCAAATGGATCTCCACCAACTATCTCCATCGCTCCTCCATCTGGTGCAGGGAGTGCCAACACTGGAGTTTTGCTCTTTTCCGGCAATGCCACGCTGCTGGCACTGCCACCGCTCAGGTGGGCCATGCTCACATTCTGCCTCACCATTCCTTGGTCATACATTCCATTCAATAACAGAGGATCAAGTCCACCACCCAATGAAGCCTTCTGCTGAGACAAATGACTGGCTGATTCCACCAGAGCCAATTCCCAGTCAGCCTTACCGGACTCTGCAGCCGGATTCTGCCAAGCAGAAGTCACCTCCGGTGAAACACCGTTTGCCCGGGCCGGTCCGGCAAACAAGGCCAAAGCAAACTTATTACCTTGATCATCCGCACTCACTCCCTCATCCCTCAAATCCAACAAATCCGCAGTTTCTTGAATGGCTATCTTAGCTGGCTCAAGCTCAGGCTGAGGTGGCAGTGGTGGTGGCGGCGGCGGTGGGGGGCTATAGTTCTCAGGTGGCGGCAATGCTATAATCTCAGGTTCCGCCGGCTCTTCCACCTCCTTCTCCACCTTCCTTACAGGACTTTTCGTTGCGTTCGCTCTATCCCTCACAAATTCGTCCAAAGTCTCCAATAATTTGCTACTTACCTTCTGAATTTCTGGAAATTCTGAAGACCTTGCAACACCAATACCTTTACACCAGTTATAAAACCCAACCAACTCATCAATCTGCTTCGCCGAGGTAGCGTAGAAATCGAAAGCTTTGACACAATCTTGATACTCCATATCGAAAAACTTGTCCAAAAGCACAGCTAAAACCTCGCATATATCAGCATACAGATTGAAACTGTCCTTCACAGTATAGTAAAGTGCCACCAGAACCATCCTCTCGTTCTTCGCCAAGCCAGTCGGCCGACACGACAAAAACCGATCCAACAGCCTCTGCAAATGATCCATCTTCCCAAAAATCCGACCCGGTTCCATTTCCCTCAGAGGAGGAGTAGCGGCTATCATCTCCTGTGTTGAATCTCTCACATCACCCGAAGATCTCGATCTTCGAATTCCGCTACTCGATTTATGGAATCGATACATGTTCATATAATCATAATCTCTAACGCCGAGTTTCTTGATTAGATCACTTCTCTGCTCCCGCTCGTAAGCCATGAGCTCGAGCCGCTGATCCAAGTACATGGCGTAAGCCCTCACAAAAGCCGAATGATCCCACGAATTCGAATGCGCCTCGTCGCGAAAATCGGACAAATTCAACAGTCTGGTTCCCCTCCTCGTGGCGTACGTGAATTCGTGTTGAAAAAGATGGTCTCCGTCATTGAACAGGCGGTGGACAAGCATCAAACACTTGAGGGCCACGATCCAATCGCGGGTTTTCCCCAATCTCTTGGACACGAAAACGACGCAGGCGCTGACGTAGCCATGGGACGAGCTGAGGTGAAGAATTTCCCTAATATGCTTCTCGGAGGCCGGGTCGTCGTCGTGGCTGGTGGCTTTGACGACGGCAACTTCAAGCTCCGGCGCCGTGTTGCTGGCAACTTTCGCAATACCGATGCTGGTCTGATCTTTCACAGCCCCAATCGCCTTGCGTAACGTGCTCGGAGCCATGGTTAATCAACAGTAACAGTAGCAGATAGTACAGTGTGTATTATATATGATGCGTGGATTTTGGGGGTGGATGAGGAGGACTGCTTGCTTATCTATCTCTTTCTCTCTCTAGATTTGCTGCTAGCTAGCTAGCTTAGGGAGGAGAGGAAGGTATAAAAGTGGAAAGGATTGAAGAAGTAGATTTAAAATCCAGGGCGTAGGATTTGGTATACCGAGAATTTTTCCAAAGTTGAGCTGTCGGAACTGTGATCACAAAATAGGCTGGTTTACAGTTGGATTCCGAGTCACGCTGGCGGTGCGCCTTTTTCGTGCTCCACTTACGCTGATTCAGATATTCCTTTTTCTCGGGCCATGCCCATTTACACTATTGGGCTCGTATGACCAAAAAAAGCCCATCATGGGTACTCAATCTGCTACTGCAAATTTGGCCCAAGCATCGCTTTGTTAATTAATTTGTTTGTACTGTAATAATATTCCTTGCATTGTGTGTGAAAAGGGTGAGGGGAATTTGAATTTGTATATAAAGGAAAAAGGTAATAATGAACAAAAAAGTAATGGTGGGAAACAAAAGCACGGGTTTGTCCCGTCTTTTACTCTTTCTGCTTTACTAATTATATATAAATGAATCACACTCTAATTAATTAATTCATTAATTAATTAATACAAATTATTACAAAAAGAAAAAAAGAAAAGAACAGGATATGATCATCCATCATCTTTGATTAATCTTTAAAGATGACGGCGTTAGCTATACTCATCAAACGGTGCAGTGAACCCGGCGAGAACTTCCTCGCAAACAAAAACGGGTCATGCCTTCTCCTCACAGACGAGTTTGAGCCGTCCGATCTTTCTTCATCCCCGTATCTGGGCCTATACTTTCTCAGTGTCCGTATCAACTCCGGGCCCACTTCACTTGTCTTGTACATCCTAGGGTGGCCCCCACGGCTGCCATTCCAGTCCACGTGGGTCAGTGTGCACGGTGTGCAACCCCGCTGGTCCACCATGCTCAGCAGCGTAGCGAAGTAATGCTCCTCCGGGTAACACGTGTCGTCACGTAAGCACGGCACCTTGAACTTTGACCATACCCTTCTGTCACGCACTATTATCCTAGCATGCTTCCGCTTCACCGCCCAAAACTGCGACCCGATCCGGAATTCTGAATACTCCACCTCTGGGGCCATCGCTTCCACCCCACGCGCCGCCCATCTCTCGTACGCGCCGGGCTCGTTCTTCAGTATCTCCACGAAACTCCTCCTCGACTTCATCAGAGTCCTGTACGTGTAACTGAAGGAGCGTATGGGGATGCAGGATGGGGAGAACAGCGCAAACATGGAGTTGGACTCGTCGTGGAGCAGCGCGTGGGCGAGAAGCCTACGCGCCGCGGAAATTAGAGTGGGCGTGTGGCGGCGGGTCGGCTTGGACGGGATGACTCGGCGGGCGAACACACCGTGGAACGACGTCGTCGTGTGATTAACACTACTCGGATCCGCATGCACATATACGTTGTACAAATTCTTGGGAGCGCGTGCGAAGAACAGTTCCCAGAGAGGAGCGAGTGGGAGTGGGGAAGTGGTCGTCAAGAACATGAAAGCGAGTTTCTTAACGGGCTTGGGACTCAGGTTGACCCGGGAGGCAGCTTGAAATAGTGACCGATCATCATCACCGTCGATGTAATCTTCAGATATTACTTGAGTTGTTGAGTTGGCGGTGGTTTGGTTCTTGATCAGTAGTACTACTTCATGAGGTTTTACTTTCGGTAATATTATAGGCTCTGGGTATATATCTTCAGTTGTATAATTAATATATGAGGCTGTGATGGGGAGTAGTGGGGAAGTGGTGGCGGCGCCGCTGGATAAGGTGGTGGTGGAAGGGGCGGTGAAAGTGAAGATGACGGCAAGTGGTAGGCAAAGAAGAATAGCACAAAGAAGGGATAGTGGGGTGGGTGGAAGCATATTGTTTCTAGAAGGGGCTGAGAGTTTTTCTGGTTTATTTTATATGATTGGAGTAACAACACACAAATAATACTCAACAGATAAATGATGTAGCTTTAATCATTAATTAGCACCGAAATAAAATATTATTTTGCAAACAATTAATATTAATGCATTATTAGATATTTAACAAGTACTAATTCAACTCTAGTGAATAGTGATAGATTCGGGTATATGGCACTAAAGAAAGATTTCTCTTTTATAACCAGCTAAAGCAGAGATATATTAGGATAGTGATAAATTTGAGATTAGTGATGAGATTATATATTAAGCACAAGTGGTTTAAAAGATTGGACGGTGGGGATTGAATAGACAAATGGCTAACATGCAGATGGTGAATAAATGGGACCTTACTATTGAATAATAAATGTGTGTGTGGTCACGAGGAAAGGCTTCGTCTTTCTTATATGCCATTTTTCTTGCTCCAATTTTGGTAATTGTGTGGGTGAAAATCGTGATTATGAGATGTTTATCTCGTTCAATCTTAACTAATTGCGTAACCCCCCGGAACTTTAATTTAAAGAAGTGTGGTTATAATGTTAGTTTCTTTATTTGCTTACTAGGGAATTTTCAATATCGTAGCTTGTCGTTACTATATTTTCATTAGTATATATTATTACTATGAACTAAGTTGATGATTGAATCCGACAAAACACGTTCAAGAGCTCAAACAAGTCTCTTGTCAAAAAGTCAATGCAGTCTAAAGAGAGGAGGATAAGGTTTAAATGATTATGTTAAAAATAATGAGCTCGAGGGTATTTATTATTGGATTCGATTAAATCATTGGAGGACTACAATTAATTCCACTAAGATGGTACGTACAACTTAATTGATTTATTTGTACTTTGTAATATGAAATTTAATAGGCTTGACCGAATAGTTTATCTTTTATTGGATGGGTGTACTTTGAGTCCATTTGAATTGATCCGATTAGTTATGGCCCAATAAGCTAAATTTGACCCAAGATGATTCTCATGAGAAGAATGAGGCCCAACTAGGTCAATTGGACTGGAGGAGGAGCAAATTTCTCACTTTACTTTCCGACAACATTTAATGCAAGTCCAATCAGTCAAATTATAATTCTAAAAAAATATTATAATTACAAATCTCGTTATTTCTAATTCGCCACACCATATTTCCAAAATTTGACATGATTAATGGGGTCTTTATAATGTGGCATTTTTAATTCAAGAAAATTAAATAGTTAAATCAATTTCTTTTATGTGCTAAGAAAATGATAGCAGAAGCTCAATTATTATTTTTATTTATTTTTTAATGTAGAAAGAGTGTTTATTAAGTTGGTTGGAGATAATACTTAATAGTATGACTTATTATATCAGAGAGGGTGAGGCTGGGGTTAATGGTTAGATTGCCCACCGACAGTGACAAATTTCATAATCGTCACAGCTTTCTCCCCCACCACATGAATGTTCATCCATCTCTCACACACACACCCGCTGGGGTGTGTGTGTGTGTTTTGGGGGGAACCATCGTAGCTTGGCATGTGGCCGAGTGGGGGACATACCCCAAAAACTCTCTTAAAAAATTTGCATAAAAGTGGAAAACTCAAACAAATTTATTATATTATTATGCATTGAAAAGTATAATCCACATCCAAATCCCTTTTCTTTTTGTCATGTTTCAAACACATTATTAGTGTTCTTCTCCCCCCCTACCTAAATCCAGCATTTCCTAGACACCAAATATATATATATACATTCAAGAAAAAACCAATCTTTATTTATTTCTTTATTTCTTTCTTTATGCTTTCTGGTTAAGGAGAGGATGCCAAGGCCAGGCCCTAGACCTTATGAGTGTGTTAGAAGAGCTTGGCACAGTGACAGACACCACCCTGTTAGGGGTTCTCTTATTCAAGAAATTTTCAGGTTTTTTTTTTTGCTGTCTTTTTGTTTGTTAGTGTGTGTTTTGGGTGTGTGTGTGTGTGTGTGTTTGGGGTTAGTTCTGTTAACTTCTTACTGATTTTTGGTGGGTTGTTGGTTAGGATTGTGAACGAGGTTCATTGTCCAGCTACTAGAAAGAACAGAGAGTGGCAAGAAAAGCTCCCCATTGTTGTCCTTAAAGCTGAGGAAATTATGTATTCCAAAGCCAACTCTGAGGTAGATTTCTGCTCTATTATTAATTACTTCCAAGATTGCTCTTTTAAGTGTTCTTCTTGTGATGTGTGCAAAATCTGTTTGTTTAGGCTGAGTATTCGGACCTCGAAACCCTTTGGGATAGAGTTAATGATGCGATTAACACGATAATTCGAAGAGACGACAGTACCGAAACTGGGGAACTTTTGCAGCCTTGTATCGAAGGTACCATTCTACTTATTTACCTCTGAGAATGGATTTGTCTGTTACTTTGTTTTTGAATCTTTGATTATGTTTTGACTTGGGCTAAAAAGAAAATCGTACTAAATCTTTGTTTCGAAATGTTGTTAGCTGCACTGCATCTGGGATGCACGCCTCGAAGATCATCAAGAAGCGAACGGAACAACTCCCCAAGACATTACCTTAGGCCTGAAGGGGTAGAAAATTCAAATGATAAAGTTTATGGAAATCACACAGTCATTACTAGTAGCCCTCTAATGCTTCCTTATCGGCAATATTCGATGCTCGATCCCATGAATCCCTTGCATCATAGTAACTTGATTAGAAATTCTAACCATGTCAAGAAATTTCCAGTCTTGCCTAAGAAATTTTGTCCGAGCAACAACCATCGTGCGTCAGAACAAACTTGTGCATCATCAAACACATGGTCTGTCTATCCATTGTGCTACAATAATCAAATTCGACCCCACGAACCTTCGACTTCAAATTCTCACCTTGTGCAGAGTGAGAAGCTCGGTCTCGAGAAAAATCTCACCCCGTTGAAGATTCTTGATGTTTCAGACATTAACATTATTCCATCGAGACAGGGGCTTAATTCGAGCGAAGGGCATGGAAACGAATGCGATTTAACTCTGCGGCTAGGCTCTTATGGTGGTTCCATACAAATCGAAAATGGTAATAGAAGCTCTCTACAAGGAAAGAAGTTCATGGAGAAACAGGGAGAGTAGGGCATGAATACATTTACAAGGTTAGAAACAACAAAATCTGCTTTTATAAGGTAAAATGTAAACTGCTAGTTTGCGCATCTGAGATGCGGATTAGTATCCGGTTCATGATTTTTCTGTAAATGAAGTGTTAGCTTTTGTCTATAAATTTAGAGTATCTCTTAGATTTGCACAAAACCTTGTTTTTCTTATTTTTCTCGTTTGTGTAATTTGGATGTTGACTTGTAGACCTGAAAACACACAAGAAATTTGTCGAGACGGTTGAATGAGAAAGTATTTTCAAGTGGGGGAATGATTCATTGATTGTAGGAACAATATATTTTCGATTTTGATTTTGTGTGAATGTACATCATGTGGTAGTAGTAAAAAAGATCCCATTCAGTTATTAATATGGTGGTCCTAAGGATGATGGAGGGTGTTTTGCCAGTATATATAAATTGTGCATTTAAAGTGGGGATGAAGCTTTGGATTCTTTTGAATAACAAAAAAGTGAGTTTTCTTCTGATTTATTTGATTTTAATGGTGGATGATAATTGATATACAAGTTGGAAGCAAACAGGAATTGAATTATGATAAGTAACATTCATTACAGTGGTGCTTGTTTAGTTAGTCAGAGATGGTCCTTGTGCATGGGCATTTGTGCATACTGCATACATACTGTAACTTCTCTCCATATACCATATTTCAGAAAGAAAAAATAGTGTCTTGACAAAGAAAGCAGCTTGGCCTGATAATAATTGTCATCATCTATAAAGTTATTGCACCTTGTCCTAAAGTCACTAGTTTGAAGTTTGTAGGTCCCTACATTACCTTTGAGCATCTTTCCATTTTATTTTTTTATTGCTTTGGGTGATGGTGATTGAACAGATTATCATCTTTAAGATAAAGGACATCATCTTCATTGTTCATCAAGTTTCATCATACACTAAAATTACCAGGCATGATCAAACCATACGAGGCTGTTCTTGTGAAGGTAAGCCTTACCGACAAAACCCAAGTGAAGAAACTCAATTTCTTGTGACACACAACATATGTAGAAGGTTGCATATTCGGTTGACGGTAAAACACGGGCTTGAACTTCTAAAGCAATTTTTGTAGCTATTTTCTGCATGAGCCTTTTGGTTAGTGTTAACCATAAACCCACAAGAATCATCATTTTTTATGGGGTCATCAAAACAAGAATCATCGTCGTTCAACAGAACGTGTATAATAAAATAGCTTAATTTCTTGATGGATAGTGCATGTATACAAACTGAAATAGACAATTAACCAGCGTATTAAGCGTTGAGAAAGAATCAAACGAGCCGGGTATTTCTCATATACACAGTATAATAATTTACATGCATGCATGTTCTAATAATCTACAACCGTGGATCACACACACACACACACACACACATATATATATATACATGTATATTCTCATTCAGAAATAGGAGAGAATTGAGATGAAGTTGACGAAGAAAGAGGGGAAGACGAGTAGCTGTAGTTGAACTCTATTTGCAGCCGTTAGTGGAGCGAGAAGTGAGAAACGGCGCCCTTCTCTTCCTCCTCCAACTCCTTCAATGGTATGGCTGCACAAAATCTCTTTATAAATTCTCTATAGCATTCTTTGCCACTGCTGCATATTATCTCTTGTTCATCTTCATTGTTCATCAAACATCGTACACCAAAATGTATAATCGGACAACTTTATACTAGGAATAATAGTGGTAACCGGAACATGGAGGGAGGCGCGATTCGCTTGTTTGCCCGTTATCTCCAAATCTTCTTTTGCAATTCCTTTTTTCAACAAGCTTTTGCTCTTTGATCTTTGCCGATTAGATTACACACACACAAACACACACACACATACACACACACACACACATAAATATATATAGTTAAGCTAGCCCTAGGGTTTTTTTGGAAAGAAATTCGATCATCAGTTTGTTCACTTCGAAATTCAAAAATTGTCGTCATTATAGAAAAAGATGATGCCAGAGTTCAAGTGCCTTAGAGTGCACAAGGCAGAAGCAAGAATGTGGGAACAAAACGCAAGAAAATTAGCTGTCGATTTTGGGGTGTTTAAGGAAGGAGTTGTCCGGTCAGAACCTTAGTAATTAGTATGACAAACGATATACGACATGAAATGAATGCATATAACATAATATTTCTTTGGTTATAATCAAAATTACCGGTTTGGTTAAATTAAAATCTTACATAATAGAATACACGGCAAAATGAAAATTCCACAAGCAAGCAGCCACCATTGGCTCTAATTCGATTTAGAGGCAGAATCCATCCAAGTATGATCTAACCATACGAGGCTGTTTCTATGAAGGCAATAGACAGACAAATTACCAATGCAGTCCAAGTCAAGACACTCGATTTCCCGTGTTCGAACATCATAGAGCACAAGAGCCTTATCTCGAACCTCCCAAACACTCAACACGAACACATCCATGTAATTTAACCAACCAGCCGGTATGAGTCCGTTGAGAAGAGTACATCCCCAGTGTTTCTCTATTTTACACTTTTGAGCATCCAAGTCAATCTTGAGCACCTTCTTCCATTCCCCAGGTTTCTTCATCTCCCAAATATCCCAAGAAAATCCACGCCTCGTGGCATTGATCAGAGTCACAGATCTCCACGTCGAAAAATAATAATTATATACTATTCGATCTATATAAATATCGTGAGGAATGGGAGTCTCTGTAAAAATCTCACTCTCCAAGTTCAAACTCAAGAAACAAGTACTGAACCACCCACCCCAATGCACAAATCCTTCAGTAATCAATGGTCTATAGGCGAGAAGGTGCACAGCTGTGGCAGGTATGTGTTGGGTGTCAATGCATCTCCAAGACTTGCCAACTCCCAAAGTCAATATAGCACATCCTTGTATTCTCAAATTGTTCGACCCGGTGTAGCTGTGTATGTGGACAACTTTATACTCCTTTGAAGCCGGAGCATATCCTAGACACGAAAAATAGTGGCACACATGTTGATGAGCAGAAAATAGAGGGACTGCAATCCGTTTATTAGTCGTGTCATTCACAACGAAAACAGTTGTGTGAAGGTTTCCCTTCGAGGGGTAATCCTCCAATGCCAGGCCATTAAAAGTAGCCCAATATTTGGAATTGAGATTCAGACGGTACTTGGATTTAAACTTGAATTTGAAGTTGTTGACTTTGCCTCCTCTACTTAGTGTCACGAAAGTTGGATCTTCCGAAGTTGTCCAGTCCTGGATCAGAAGTCCGGGGATTGAATGCTTGAGGTGCTCCTGTATGAAATTATGCGTAAGGATTATTTTGTACCATCTGCGGCAAACGAGCATGGCGGATTCGTAAATTTCTTCGGCGTCGAGCTCTAGAAGAATCCGGGACACCATTTCTTCCGGAAGAGACTCTATATTTGTCGTTGAACTAAAACACTTGTATTTACATCTCCTGAAGTAATAAGGGCGACTACGAGGATTGCATTTCCCGAAATCCATCTTCTTCTGCATATTATGCTCTGTCTATATATTAAATCCCCAATTATATTTTAGAGACATTGGATTGAATTTTATGAAAACCACAATCATTAACGAATAATTTCTCAACAGAAAATAAAAATAAAAATCAAAGAACGATTAATAACATTTTCACAACACATTAATAAAAAGTAATGCAGTATTGCAATTACAAGGCATGTCAAACATTAATATAAAATCAGTTGATACATAGTGGAAACATGTACAACGAAGTACGTACCTCCAGATTTCCTTCTTCTTTATTTGCCATCGGAGTCGATGTTCAAATGATGAACCGGCGGTGGCGGCGGCTGGCGGAGTGCTGGTCCAACGAGATACGTTTATAAATTAGAAAACATCCAAAGGAAAATAGGATTTTGTTGCCATAATTAATTAAATGTTTAGGATAATAATTCTTCGAAAATGAGCAAGCGGAGTTAGCTCGAGCATGAGAAGGCTAGACGACACACGAAGAAATGGGCAGACAAAAATTATTTCTTTGTATTGAATTACTAAACTGTATGATGCCTTATATATAGATAGGTAGATATAATGACTATGCTTAATTCCTCTCTCGCTATGGGAATACAATTTGCTTGTCGAAAAAGGATTTTTGGTTGCTAAAAAAGATCTAGAGAACTGGGATTGGGAATTTTAAACTTTTGTGCTGCATGCAATTATTTTCTTAATGGTGCATGTATATTATAAACTGAATATGACAGTTAACCAGCGTATAGACCGTTAAGAAAGAATCAAACGAGCCGGGCATTTCTCATATATACGATATAATAATAATGTACATGCATGTTACAATAATCTACAATCGTAGATCACACATATATATACATGTATATTCTCATTCAGAAATAGGAGAGGATTGGGAAGTGGTTGTTATTAGAGGCGAAAATGGAGATGAAGTTAAGGACGAAAGAGGGGAAGACGAGTAGCTGTAGTTGAACTCTATCTGCAGCCGTTGATGGAGTGAGAAGTGAGAAACGGCCCCCTTCTTCTTCTCTTCCTCCTCGAGTTCCTTCAATGGTATGGCTGCTAAAAATCTCTTTATAAATTCTCTACAGCATTCTTTGCCACTGCATATTATCTCTTCCTTTTGCTCTTGCTCTTCCTTTTTTCCCTCTTCACTATTTTCATCATCCGGTTCTTTTGCTTTTTCTTTTCCCTTTTCTTTATTTTTATCTTTATCTTTATCTGCTACATGTTTCTGCATTAGGGTTTTGTCATCAAACCTCAATATGTATGCTTGTTGGCAGCCCTCGAACAGCCTCTCGCCCAAAGTGTCGATGATGTAATAAGCATCCGTTTCGGCTTTCAACACAAAGAAATGGTCATTCCAACTCACTACATAGATTCTCGGTGCTGCAGACTCATCATCATTAATATTGTTGCTGCTAATTTGATCCCATATGTCATCAAAAGACATGGCTTCCTTCAAAGATTCGAATATTTCAGCACCAAACAATCCAACAAAAGACTTATTGTGGGAGATTAATAGGGGTCGAATATCAGCTCTTAAGACAGTCTCGAGATCGAAATGCTTGTCGGGAAATTTGTTCACATAGGAAGCATCTTCACATAGTTTTCTCCATTCGGAGGAACCTTGCTTTATGAGGTCGTTGAATTCGAATCGGTTGGGCATGGCGGCACTGTTTGAGTGAAGCCAGTGGGCTATCACCGCCACTAATGCCGTGCAAGCACTTTCTCCGGCGGCCTTGTCACTTCTTTGGTCAAATGAAGCAAAGAAAACTGAAGCTTTAAGCATTACTTGTCCATCTCTACTAATTAGCTCCTTCTCTTCCCATGCACCTGCTGTGTTATTATCTGTCTGAAATAAAATACAGGAAAAGCCACGTCATTAATTACAATATGAATTAGTGTTTGCATTAGAGGTTTAATTTGGTCTTAAATGTATTTTGTGCCAATGCATGATTTGATATACAATTACCCTTGAACAAGTTGCCTCATTCAACTGTTTTCAATTGCAAAAGTCAATGAAATTATTTATGTACTTTGTCTAACCCATTGCATCTAAAACAAATTAAATATACAGATAATAGTAAGTCATAATTATATAATAAATACTAATTGCATAATTAATGATGCTGCAACAACTAGTATAACTATTCAAAGCTTTACCAAGTCCTACTATATATATTATCAAATTTTAAACCAGGTTGAATTAAATATATAATCCATTTCAATGTCAGCATAAACAGTACTTTTGTAAGATGATAAAAAATAAATAAATATGCACCTCTGAAATACGGTCGTCGAGTGTTGATTGAGGATCAACATCCAATTTAGTCTTGGCTCGCTTAAAACTGAAACGCCTATTCTTCCATGAAAACCATCCTTCTTTTGACTTGGTCATTGTTTGACCTGCATTTTTCGCCTCGAATACACTCGACTCATCCGGTTCATCTAGACTCACTTCCTCTTGACTCAGTGATCTTCTTCTTGCCTTCATGTTTTCTTTATGAGACTGACTGCCTGAAAAACGTTTTACGTCGACAGATTTCGTTCGAGCCATAGTCGCTGATTCTTGCGATTCTCTGATTTCAACAAAGTTAAATAGCACCTGCACATAGATGTATATTATATTGATGAATGCTTCATTAATTAGTTGCATATTAAAACTTCTTCAACAACTGACCACAAGACATTGTCAAAGCTGAACAGTTCGTGCAACAAGGACAAGTACAACCTATTTTATTGCAGCTAGTTACCTCAATTAGATAGATCCGCTTAATTTAATAAACCGTGTTAATTTTTTAATGTCTAATTAATGAGAATTAACTAGCCGAAGCTATACAATCAATTGTCATAATAGACGATTAGTGGACCGATAACTTGATGCTGATTTCGTATTTCGTATTTCGTATTTATTTATTATCTTTCATATATATGAAAAATGAACGCTCAACTAACTTCTCTATCGACAGTACGTACTAGAAAAAGTCAAATCACATGCCTTTCAACATTTAACTTATATTTTCATCAAAAGCCAAAAGTACACAAAACACATTCACACATGTACTTGGTCAACATATTAGCTACTCCTCGGTCAACTTTTATTGACAAAAAGAAGGAGGTTAAAAGTGTGAATTACCGTGAGGGCAGCTTCTCTGGCAAATCCATCAATATGCAAACTCAGAGGAAGCTTCTGTTCTACTGAAGAAGAAGAATTGTCCATTTTCCAAGCTATTTCTGATATATTTACCGAATTAACCCTCCCAATCACCCCCATTTTCCCCTTTGATTCCGTCTTTGAATCTGTCTTCTCCCCCCCCTGTTTCATGCATCAACATTTTAATTTTATAAATTTTAATTTAATGCGTTGACATTTACAAACTACACGTCATCAATGTAATCCACCGATATAATTTAAAAAAAAAAAAAAAAAAAAAAAAAGCGAAATTGAAACTTACATATAGAACATTGAAGGCGATTTCCCAGGCTCCAAATTTTGGATCGTGATTATTAGAAACCACCGAAAAACAACACGTGTTCTCGAACGACTGGTCATAGTCAAACTGAGTAATTCCCGGGCGACCTTTCTCCATAATTTTATTTCTGGAAACTTCCCTTTTTGGCCTCGTCTGAAATGGCGTCATCACCATCGGAAAGAATTTAGGCTCGCCTTTCCATTTTATCTTGATCGCCACAAATTTCTCAGTCATTTCATCGCCGCCGTCTTCGAACAACACCTCAAGCTTTAAAGGCTTCACCGCCACCTGAAACTTCCGCGTCGCGGCGGCGGATGACGGAGGCCACGGCGTCCATTTCCTCACCTTCACCACCATCGTCGGTCTTATTTTAAATCCGAATCGAATTAGAATTATGGAAAGTATTTAATTTTGTTAGGTTGGAATATTTTTATGAGGGGGGGCGGTGAGGAATATGGAAGGAGAAAGAAACAGTTTTTATTAATGGAAAGGGGATATTACGAAGAAATTGACCAGTATCCTCTAATACAATTTCGGAAAGGGCGGGAATAAATAAATCTGACCAATGAGGTATCGCCACGTCAGGTGCTTCCTTCTTGTAAATATACGGTGTATGACGTGTCGCGAGGCGATTGGCTTTCTGTGGAGGCACTGGTGTGCTCGGATTTGTTCCAAGTTGTCGGAATGGTCAGGTGAAGGGGAAGTATAAAGATGGTGACACGTAGACGCGGGGAAGGAATTTCCGCACGTGAGGTACGCGTGAAATTAGGGAAATCCCACGTGGAACTCGTATATATACGTATTTTGAAAGAAAGAAGTGAGATTTTGTCAAACGTAAAACTTGGTGTAGTGTATATGACAAATTTGATTTTTTCATATAAATATTTTTAGGATTGGTCCTCCACGGCTGCAGCTTTTAATCAGGATTTTAATTATTCTGAATTACAATAAAGTATTATTTATTGAGTTTCACATAAAATAACTTAATTTTGAATTCAATGGAGTTGTTGGGTCTAATATCGGATCCATAAAATCAACGTTGGTTAAAGTAATTGGATTTAATCATAATTAAGTTCAGTCAACATTGGGCTACGGCTCAATCCTGTCCATTGGATTTCAGATCTTGGCCCATAAGTGAAAGTTACTTTCAATTCCATTATTAAATAAATAATTTAATTATTTATAATGAAATTTCGTTATAATTCACCTTAGTAACAGCAAACTAAAAGGTAATAACGGTTCTTATCAAAAAAAAAAAAAAAAAAAAAAAAAGGTAATAACGGTAAGAAATTAAGAATCATTCACCAAAAATCAACCGACAACTGTTCTCACTTCTCAGCTGCTTACTCTACTCAGCAAAGATGAGGAGCACCACTGCCGCCGTCGATCCCTCGTTTCTCGGTTCCGCCACCTCCTTCTCCGCCGCTTGGGGCCACAAGTTCCCCGTCATAAACCTACAGCCGGTCAAATTAGTAGGGAAGAGGCTCACAGTAGCCTGTGCTACTCCACCGTCTTCATTTGGGAGGCGAGCTCTGATTTATATAGCGACGACGTCGTTTCTCATGCCCTCTCCCAGTTTTGCCTCTGCTACTGAGTAAGCATAGTCCTCCTTTGGTTGTACATATATTTTGCTCCAATTTAATTTCACTTATCTGGTTTCATAACTAGTGGCAATGCTTTTATTCAAATAAAAACCTAATCCTGTTTATCCAAATAGTACTATTTCAGCCAGAATTCTTTTGATTGCTGAAGATTCAATGGCATTTTCGCCATCTTTGTCGCAGTTAATTAGGCATCCACTGGATAGTATTAGCTAATTACGAATCATTTAAAACCAAATGATAGTTTGTGAAATGTGTTATTGACCTAATGGTTTTGGGCTCCAGTGAAAATGCTCTGTTACAAGAAGAGATCGGTAAGGTATTGTCCAAAGGCAGGGCTGCCGGTTTACTTCGTTTAGTTTTTCACGATGCTGGCACTTTTGACGACGGTGATAAAACAGGTATTGCATCGAGGAATCCATCTTTCTTTTCAAAGTGAAATTTTCAAAATTGCATATTTTGGGGTAATTGTAAAAGTAGGAGTTCGTTTTCCATTACTTCAAAAATTAGACTAGCAGAATCTAATTCTTGTTTTTCTTTTCCTTAACCCTTTATGGAAGATTTGTTTCCCCTGATTTTAGATCTTGTTTATTAGCCTTTTGATTTCCTGGTCGATTTCGTTATTTTAGGTGGTATGAATGGATCGATAATTTACGAACTTGACAGGCCTGAGAACAGGGGTCTTGAGAAGTCACTGAAGGCAAGCTCCTCATCTTCTTCGTGTATCCCTTAATTCGATTTTTGTATGCCGTCAATTGTATCCAGTATTTTCATTCATTCCTTCCTCCTAAGTGGGTGCATTGTTCTCAGATTCTGGAGAAAGCAAAAGTACAAGTGGATGCGGTACAACCAGGTATTTCTTGGCAAATGGAACGATGAGAATTTACTGCTCAAGCATTAATTGTATATCATATAACTCTTCTTTGGTGCCTGTTAGTATCGTGGGCGGATTTGATTGCCATGGCTGGAGCGGAAGCTGTTTCAATATGTGGAGGTCCAAAGATCCCTGTTCAACTCGGAAGATTAGATGCAACGTAAAGTGCTCTAATCTTGTTAATCCTTGCTTGTAGTTGTTCTGATTTTCTGGTTTCTCAGTATGTATTGATTTCTCGAGATGATTTACTCGAAAGAAGAGTCTTGAACTACTACAATCATGAAAAGATTAGTGGACAATTGTGGCATAAGAAAAATAACCACACGGGATATATCATTAGATTTCACGTAGTACTGCTATTTGGTGACGTCTTAATGTCGTTTACAGGGTTAAAGTAAAATGAGAAAGAGTTTTTTATCACTTCACCTTGTCTTTCAGGGTGCCTGATCCTGTTGGGAAGCTTCCGGAAGAAACACTCGTTGCAGCTACCATGAAGCAAGTTTTTCAAAAGAAAGGCTTCTCGTGAGTATCCATATATCATTTCCCAAAAAATAAAAAAATCACTTACGGTATATACATCCAATGTTTGTGCTGGAATAAATGCTAAACAAAGTTTGTATACAGAACACAGGAACTGGTTGCATTATCGGGAGCTCATACACTAGGAACCAAAGGCTTCGGAAGTCCGACAGTCTTTGACAATTCTTACTACAAAATTCTTCTAGAGAAGCCATGGTCAGCTTCAGGTGATTCACCGTGTTCCTTCTTCCTTTGACATCTTGTTTTTCAGGCGACCATTTTAAGAACTAATAACATGTAATTAATTATTTTTTATCACACATTTAGGTGGGATGTCTGATATGATTGGCCTTCCTTCGGATCGATCACTTGGTGAGGATGATGAATGCATCAAGTAAGCCATTTCCTCACAACCCTTGTCGCTGGTATTTTTGCACTTTTGTTATTTGTATCCCGATTGATATATGTTATTGTTTTCGACAGGTGGATATCAAAGTATGCGGATGACCAGAATCTGTTTTTTGAAGATTTTAAGAATGTCTATGTTAAACTTGTCAATAGTGGTGCCAAGTGGAGATCTATGTGATTCATGGAAAGCATCGGTCGTCGCTCGTGTTAAAAACATGGTACTATGGTCCATTCTAAATAATTCGGATATATGTCCAAAACCTCGTGGCCTATTTCTTTCACTGTATTTTTTCTCTCATTCATAATAAGGGAAATTTATGACCATCTATTACTCCTGTCACACACACACAATTACGTACTGCATCTCACTATCAAGCTGATAATAGAAGAAATAAAAATCAGAAAAAATGAAAATAAATGAAGCCATCACAACAAGCATTTAAATTGCAGAACTGGAAATTGAGGGGCGGGGGTGGGGGACCTAACCCCCCAACAAGACCTTGGTATGATCCTTTTCGTCTAGGCAAATTGTGTTTCATTTCCTTATCAAAATTTGTGTTGACAATTAATTAATATTAAATTAAAGTGAAATGTGAAGTCTCATTCTCATTTGTCTCTTTCAATCTTATTCCACATAATTAAACTGGACCTGTGCATGTCGCTTCAACATATATATTCCTGAAACAACTCTTCATATTATTTAAGGGCACGTTAGAATACTTGTCATATATTAACACTGCACAAAATGGTATGAGAAGAGCAGCAATCCTTTTTTATAGATTAATTTAAAAAAAAAAAACCATTTCAAATCAAACAAATACTAGCTAGCAAGAAAGAAAAAAAATTCAATCTTCAATAATGAATAATGCCCCATATCTTCTTGCCATGTCATCAATTACCCGTTTGACCTAAATGACGTGGCACAGTGTCTTGCCTTATGTTGTATATACTATTTCCATCCACAGATGAGCAATCTCTTGACACAATGTGAATTCATAGGTCTCTACATTAATTATAATTAAGTTGTAGAAAAAGAATTATTTATTTTAAATTCTCGAGGTTAAAAAAAGGAAAACTATTTTTACATTTTTCTTTTTTATTTATTTATTTTTTATTTGAAATAAATAATCCTAGAAACGGCACGTAGCCAAAGCTCAGCAGTCCAGAAACAGACACACCTTTGCCTCACAGTTTTCTTATTTTAACCAGAGAGAGAGTATATACAGACAGCCATTTGACATCATTTTTAAATTTCAAAAATAAATAAAATAAAAATCATTTTTTGAAAAAAGAAATCACAAGATTTGAAGATCACTTCAAAGTTCAGACTAGTAGAAACCTGACCAGACGAGACCCATTTAAGAATCGGTCAGATCTTTCTAAACCAGTGATGATTTAATGGCGTTCTTCTACTTTTCTTCTTGAGATGTTCTGAAAGGTAACTTTTACTACTGTAAAGCTTACTGCTTCATCGCTTGTCATTTATACATTCAAATGTGTGCTTTTGTCTTGATGTAGTAATGGTGTTGTTTGTGAACTGGAATTTAGCTACTGAATCTGAATCTTGGAATTATTAAAGATTGGATCTTGTGTGGGGGGAATTTGGAGATCTACTGTCTACTTCGTTTGCTTAGCTAAAACTTTCCTTTGTGGGTTTTTACTAATCTGAACTAGTTGGTTAATGGCTTAATGATTTAGTTAATGATTCTGCTTAATGATTTTCTTTTCGGAAAGGGTTTTTTGTTGCTTGAAAAGATCTAGAGAAGGGTGGCTTGAAAATGTTAAAACTTTTGTGCTGAAATTCTTTTCAGTGTACACAAAAAGTGCTTTCTTGTTGGTTAAGATGGAATCTTGATTGTGATTTGTTTAGTGCTCCAAATTACCTTTGAAGCCTAGTTCATTGTTGTGAGCTAATTTTTTGTGCAGCCATCTTCTGATGAATTGCTTAAATTTTTTATTTAGTGAAATGAAATGGCTTTGCTTAATTGTCATTAAGAATATCTAATGTCTGCTACAACTGATTAGCTCTTGTAGTTTAGACGATTTTTTTTTTAATTGGAGTTTCGTGTGATTTATTAGACGTCAAACGGGAGTTTCCTTTTGTTTTGTTAGATAGAATGAGCACAATGGATGCTGATTTTGGAAGTGGTCTTGACCAACAACTCGCCATCTCTGCCAATGGAGGCTTGGAGATCGAGGGATTGAACGAGAATCTTGAAGATGCTGTCAAGTTGAACGACCACAAAACTTTAGCCACCGGAAAAGAAATGGCAGAAGAACCTTCTTTAAAACCAGAAAGCCATTCAACCAGCAAATTCAAGGTAGGAGATTCATAATATTTTATGCAGTTACAAAGCTTAATTTATTCTTTAAAAGTGGTCTAATAACTGACGTATTTCTAGAAAGTTGGAGCTAAAGAATCTGGGGGTGATTCTAAGAATTTGAAACCAGTAAAGGGTATCGGAAGGGCCAAGAATCCCGGAAATGTTGGAGCAACAGTTTTGAGCAAGAGCAAAGATGAAAGAGAGGCGATAAAACCTTCTGTTGCTTCAAATGGTACCACCGGTGCTTCAAAATCACAAAAAATACAGATTCCTGCTGTCAGAAAAAATAAACCGTCTAACGAGAAGCAAGGTGTTGACAACTTAAGATCGACATCTTTACAAGATAACTCTAAGGTAAAATGTTAAAAACTGTCTGCTAGAAACTGGATATTATCTTCGTTTTTGGGCTCTTTAGCATAATTCTTTTCTGACCTCAAGCAGCATGATGGGCTTCTTCCTGATGCAACATCATCTTCCACAAGCGAAGAACAGTCTGAAGAACCATCGTATGTTTTTCTTTTTCCCTAGCGTAGATAGATTTTCATGTTACTTGATGACTGGAAAATTTGAGTGATTTATAATATGAAGTTATATCTCCTATCGTCCCGTTAACCAAATTCTTGTTCGATTCTTCATGTTTTCCTTATAATTGCCTGCCGCAGTTGTTTTTGAACTGTGATTTTCCTGAATACAGGGAGAAGACAAAGCTGAAGGCACTTAGAAAAAGTAGTCACGACAGTGAAAACGAAGAAATGTCACATTCTTCGCTGTATCCTTTTAGAGTAATTCTTATTTCCTGCATTGATATTATAACAAAAAAGGTCGTGTTTTGGTTTGTCCTTAAGTAGTTTGTAGAAGCCCTACTGCTGGAGATTCCAAGCCCCGCAAATCGGGTACTCTTCCAACCTACGGTTTCAGTTTCAAATGTTATGAAAGGGCTGAGAAAAGAAAAGAGGTTTGTAATTTTTTGTTCCATATGCAGTACCGAGTATTTGCTACTCTCTTTCGTGATTAATATGGACACGATGTGTTTTTTCCTTTCATCCTCTGTTTGGACAGTTCTATTCGAAACTCGAGGAGAAGATTCAGGCAAAGGAAGAAGAGAAGAGCAACATTCAAGCCAAGACTAAGGTGTGTATGTCTCTTTATATCATGTTATATTATTATGTGTCTTAAAAAGTTTTATAGGTGGCGAAATATCTGCATTTGAGTCGTGTTTATTCTTGTCTTTTACATAGGAATCGCAAGATGCTGAGATCAGAATGTTCAGAAAGAGTTTGGCATTCAAAGCTACACCGATGCCAAGCTTCTATCAGGAGCCTCCACCTCCAAAGTTGGAACTAAAGAAGGTAACTTTTTAATATATGGAATTGACCTTCTCGATGTTTGTTAAGACACACACACAGACCTAATGCCATGTCAGCATTGTCGTTTGATATAGATACCTACTACAAGAGCCAAATCCCCCAAGCTTGGTAGGAAAAAGACTGCAGACTCCAAAGAAAACGGTGCTCGTCCAGCTAGGTTAAGCTTGGATGAGAAACTTACACAAAGCAACGTTGCCAAAGCACCACCGCATGTTAAGAAACCGCTGAGGAAATCTCTTCCAAAGTTGCCGTCTGAGGAAGCCGATTTATCCTTTGAAAAGAAAAAATCTGTATCTCGTAAAATCACCGCTACCAAAGAAACAGGTGAATCTGTGGTGGTGGTTCAGGCGAGCGATTTATCCGAGGAAGTGAATAAATCTGAGGAACCTGTTTTGGAAGTTCAAGAAAATGCCAGTTTGGTACGTGAAGCTATTGCAGTGTGAGCGTTAAATCAGATATGAATGGATGAAGGTTGTGCATATCTTTTAACCTTAAATATTGGAGAGGGCTTCAATAAAACACGATTCATCCAACAATGGAGGCGTATTAAGGGTTGGTTTGTCATTTTATTCATAGTCAACGAAGAAAGTTTGGTTTTTTCTTTTATATGCTTTTTCCGAGCCTGGTGTGAGGGCCGAGTGTGGTGAACTTGTCCTAAGTTATGTTAAAAAAATACGAATGTCAACCTTTTTTCGTAAGTGGAAAATTTTGTGCCTTGAAATATTTAGGTGTTGTAGATGTTGTTAGTTCGACTTTGCGCTTTGTATTCCTTCGGATAATCAGCAACTTTTGCGTACTATATAATGAGCTGTATTTGTATTTGCTTGCATTGCTTTGTTTTCCAATTTTTACGTTGAAAAGATTAAATCGATCGAGACTGTCAAAAACTTGCATAATTTTCACTTGCCGATTTTACAATTCGACTTTCCTTTCGTGTCTCAATCTTGCTTTTATGGGAGTGGGCACAAATCATATTACGTAGACATCACAGATTCAACGATAAACAAAATAAGACAAAAGCTACATTAAACTAGTTTTTATTAAGACAACTTATAACACAAGAGTACAAAGTAAAGCAAATTACACAACAAGGTTACATGGGACAGTTCACAACAGGAGAAACCTGCAAAACTAGTGCTTGGCAAAATACGAAAAAACAACCCCGAGAGGTTGTCATGGCAGAGCAAAACAAGTTGCCTGCCATTGGCCAAAGCACATACTATGAAACTGCCAAAAGCAACCTTAAAATAACCTTAACAAAGACACTACAAAGATCGACCGGACAAGCTTCATCCATAGCAAGAACACTTGCAACTTCAAAAGCTTTAAAAAAAAAAACATTATAAAAGAGCCACTCACAAGAATCTTCAAAATCCAGCACCCCAGTGTCGAGTTCTCAGCTCAGTACAGCCACACAAAAAAGGATGTTTCTCAACAACCTTAAAAAAACAGTTTTCTCGCAAAAAGAAAAGCTGCAAAAAAAGTGGCCAAACTTCGCTGGGAAAAAAAGACTTGAGGAACTGAACCATCGAAGACCCATTGTGACGGACCCAAAAACTAGACCTAGTCGATAGATATAAGAAGACCTTCCACTGCAAATTTCCGATTCACCTCCTTTCGTCACTTCCACTAGTAGTTTCTGCTTAAGAAAGTATATCGCACCTCCAAAGTTTCTCCAGAAGCAGATTAACAGCACCATAACTGAGTCCAGAGCAATGCTGGATATTCAACCCCAATAAACTCTTACCCAACATTCCTAGGGAAGACAAGCTCTTGTCAGAAACCAAAGAGCAACCTGCAATAGAAAATATCTGCAAACTGAGCTGCTCAGCCCTAGCCAACACTGCAATCCCGTAATCCGTTATTCCACACTGTGAAACATCCAATTCAGACATAAACAAGCAATTCTTTGCAATTGCCATCAAGCTAACGTCGGTGACAAATCTGCAACCATCGAGATTCAGAACCTCCAAGGTCTCTCCGTGTACCTTAGCAATTTCAACAACCACATTGTCTGTCAAATTAGCACATCCACTCAGATTTAGTTTCACCAAACCAGCATCTGCCCTCTGAACGAAGGGTAGTACACCAGCATCAGTTATACCCTTTAGCCCACTAAGATCGACATGTGTCAGTTTGGGGCACAATCTACCCACCATGCCCAACCCACTATTGCCCAATCCAGGACAGTCACGAATGGTCAACGATCGAAGAGAGTTGCAAAACGAGGTCAACGGGAATACAAAGTCAACATCACGAATCCCCAAACAGTTGGCCAAATCCAGCGCCTTCAATTTCCCACCGCAGTTTGTAAGGACCCCATAAATCCCACATTGTGTGATCCTATGGCTCTCGTCCAAGTGAAGACTCTCGAGCGAAGCAGCAGCTCTGACAAATGAGACGACCCCATTATCGGACACGAGCGGACATTTACGGAGGCGAAACACCTTCAGATCAGGACAACCTCGACCAATCGCATCGAGACCAGCATCGGAAACCCCTTGGCAAGAAGTTATTGTTAAGGATTTCATGTTTTGCAAACCTTGACCTTTGCCCATCACCCAGAATCCCCTCTCGTTCACATTGTGCAGACCGCCGAGTACAAGATCGGTCATTGCAGTACCGTAATGTCCAATCACAGCAAGAGACACATCACTGATGTTCAGTGTCTGAAGGTTTGCTTTGGCCAAAACATGGCCAGCTGAAGTGAAGAGACTCGCAATTCCTTGGTCGCCTACAAGAGGGCAGTTTTTAAGAGTAACGCACTTCAGGTTGGGGCAGTTGCTGCCTAAAGCTTTTAAGCTTTCATTACCGATGTTCGAGCAAGACTCCAGTGTAACCGACGTCAGATTCGGGCAGTTCATTGCAATGGCAATCAACCCTTTGTCGGTGACAGCTGGACAATGGCTGAGGTCAAGCTTCTCGAGCGAACGACAACCCTTTGCGATTTCAGACAAACCTTCATCACCAACTGAAGATAAGTTCCACAGAGAAAGAACCTTCAGAGAAGGGCAACCACGGGAAATGGATTTCAGGCCAAGATTTGTCAACCTACGAGTGGAAGAGTTTCCTCGGATTGAAAGTTTGCCCAAACCTCCACGACTTGCTGTTCCAACTGAAATGGCAGCCAATCTCACATCACTAGCCTTTTTGCCTTCCAATGATCTCGAGAGATAACCATGGGAGTCAGTTTCTTGGCACTCCTCAGTCAGATCAATAAATTCGCCTTTTTCTTCAGCCTTCTTTGTGGAATCATCCGCCTTCGGAAGATCAGATCCAATCTTGGGCTCCTCTTTAGTGGTGCAGATCTCATCTTTGCAGATGCTGCTTAAAAGCATGAGCCAACGCTTTGAAACAGAAGCGCATGCGCTTCTTTCTTGGCCTCCTTCAAGGCGTCTGAAAACCTCGAAGAGGCATTCGTCGGGGAGAATTTCGATTGACGGCTTTTGCTTTGGCTCTCCACTAACAATAAATGGAGCGGTGATGCGAGATCTTTTGCGAGGAGTGAAGTACACATTGACATGGCTGCCAAGAGACAGAAACTGGCTCGACTCCTTGGGATTTTGGTACAGAAATGCGCTAGGGCAAAACGAATTGTCACCTGAAATTAAAGACGAAGGACATAGAAATCAGACAATATTCACACTCAAAGAACCGGATAATTTTCGATAGAATGAAAAGAAACTATGTCATTACGTCACACTGCATATTTAAGATCTACCAACAAACATGGAAGAAACTATGCATAAAAGGTAAGTGTAAAATCCCGACTCCCAAACCGAAATATTTTTTTTAGCCAGATTTTTTAACAAACCTAGCATAATTGAGAAATCAGTTACATCGATCTTTTACAACAGCCACTATTCAAGTTTCAATCAACCATTAAACATTAATAATCGTAGATTCGAAATTTCACTCACGCTATGCATGAATATTAACTAAGTTAATAAATTTGATTTCTTCGAAAAAAATAATATGTAGCCTTGAAATAAGATCCATGGACATGTGAACAAAAAAACTCAAAAAAAGGAAAAATACTGTAAGTTATAAGATATCAAATTGACCAAAACCGATAAAAGAATTGAAATAATAGCACCAATCTTATCGTTACGAATACAGAAAAACTACGATCTGGCTAAAACATAACAAGATACAATAAACATATGTTTAGATCCATGAAACAATTAGAATTAAAACACTGATGCATGTGTAAAAATCTGCATAATTTTCAAGAAAACAACAAGATCTCATCAGAAAAAAAAGGACAGCACACAGAAAGGGAAAAAAAACATGGAAATCAAAAAGTAGATATGAAGAACATCAAACCCTAATCACAACCCACAAAAGATCAGAGTCCATACCACTGAAATCAACGACTTGAGACATGTGAAGAGTGATGTAATAACACCTGAGAAGTCAAATCTAAGGCCAAAAAACCCTCTGCTGAGAGCAAAAACAAACAGATCAAGCAAGAAAAACGCTATCAAAATAACCTCAAGAAAAACTGATTGCATCAGAGGAAAAATCAAGAACAATAGATCATCAAGAAACCCTAATCAATAGGGCAAAAAAAAAAGGGGAATAAAGAAGAGATAAAAAGGGGGTGGGTGGGTATTACGAAATGTAAAATGAAAGTATAGAGACTGTATATATTTGTACATGAAACGAAACGCAGATACATATGTATGTGGGCACGGTGTCATATCTTATGCATATCTTTTGTTGTCAACAAAGTGGGGTCTGTTTGGGGGATTCTGCCTAAATTTACTTTTTTTTTTTTTCTTTTTTTAATTTATTAAATGTTTTTTTTAAAAGAAGAGAGAGAATGGGGTGACATGCAATGAATCAAGACTATTTGCTATGTTCAATGTTTCTTCTATTCATTCATTATTTTATTTTGTTTTATTTTACAAGTATTCAATCCCAATACCTTTTAGCTTTCAAGACAATTTTTTTAGTTTGTATTTATTTACTATGTAATATGAATTGCCAATGTTTTTCTTGTTTATTATGTTTCATTAACCATTAACAAGAGTTATGTAGTGGGCAATAAATTGAAAAGGATGGAGGAGAAAAAAAGGGAAACCACCAAACTAGATTTATCTTATATCTTATTTATCCTATATATTTTTCTTACATAAATATACGTGCATGTAATAAACGAACGTAGACAGGTAAAAGATGGCGATACGTGCATGTGATATACGAACATAAATGACAATCTCGTTTTAGAATACTTGAACCGATATACATACATAATATTGGAATTACTTATAAGGCTAAATTTGATGTACATATATATATATATATATATATATATATATATATATATATATATATATATATATATATATATATATATAATTACATATATATTATTGCTAATTTCAGTATACACACATGTATATGGTCAATTTGGAGAATGGTTTAGGTGGTCAAGTTGCATCAATTACAATGAAGCCAAATTCACATTACCTAATTCTAATTAATTATATGTCCAAGTGTGCTAATCATGCACTCCACAAGCCTGCCTTGAAAATAATTTCTAAGACAATTTTAAAACTATATATGATTCCACAAAGTAAGGCCAAGTGGTCAAATTCTTAATAATGAAATATTGATTAAAATATGTGTGTCACTTGTAATTATTTAATGCCACCATTGTTATTATAAGCTAAAAATTCCAAAATCATTGAACGAATCTTTCAATTCATTCAAATGTACAGATCCGCTTCTCAAGATTAATAGTACTTGTGTAATTTATCTTCAAAATAAGGGATAATTACGTAATTAAATCTCTAGGTTATTACTAAAAGGTTTAGGTGTAATTTTGTTTTGTGTGAGCAATTTGCAAGTAGTGAATTTGTTTCACACATAAATAATTTATGTGGGTTGTCAGGTTGAGATGCATGTATAATGCACGTTATTGTGCCAACTCATCCATACCGATGGCCTTATGGACCATCATTCAACTTGCATTAGTACAATTTAAAAATGTCACTATAATTAAGAATAAATTGAAAATTGAAATTAAGGTGTCAAAGAATAAAAACATGTACGACCTTTTTCCGTAATGCATGAACCACATATGGATATGAAGTTGGAATTCTTAATTGTATCAAATTGGCCGACAAACAAAAGATGATTAATTGCTCTTCTTTTCACATTTTGAATTTTGAAATGTGGGCCCCTTCACTTCTCCATGTTCAACATTATATATTTTAGCATTGGTAAAACTAAATAACTTATAAACTCTATAATATACATATTTACATATAATTCCCTGAGCTATTTCTTCATCTTACATTATTACATCAATACAGAGTTACGAGCAACAAAATCTTGAAAATTCCATGGAATATACGCATATACTCCTAGGGGGTATATATAATATTATGTCTTACTTCAGAGGGTGCCGTAATATACTCATAATTTATTTGTTTGATAAAAGAGTAATTTAGACAATTCACTTATTTCATTACGAGTTTATAAGGGGTATTCGTAATTACCGATACGCAGAAATGTGTAAGTTAAGTATTTGATCATGGAAGGGGAGATTTCCCTCCCATCTATTTAGTCTTACCTCACGAGTATCCGTAATTTACTCTATATTTTAATAAATAAGAAAAATCAAATAAACGTTTTCACATTCGTAAACAAAATAATCAAGTCAACAAAATGCAACACCTTCAATTACGTATCATCAAAATAATGGTTAAAAGTCAATTGTGATTTGTGCAGATGAACAAGAAAGTAAATGCTAAAACCTAACAAGACAAATCTATCTATAAAGGGCCTTTTGGTCATTTTTTAATTGCGAATTAATCGAAGAAAAAACACATTAGAAATGAACATTAACAGGAGGAAAAAAACAAACATTTATAAACATGAAGAAGAGGGCAGTAACAACATAAAAGCTAAGTAATTACAAATTCATTGCAAATTGAGAGACATTAAAAAATCAAAAAGGAGGTGACTGCTTATATAAGTTTATGAGAGAAAACTTAAGACGGAAGAAGAGGCTGCTTAAGTCGAAAATTGTACCCTTAATACTCTCTCAATCGTAAAGTCCCTCCTGCTCCCACACATCAATCAAGAAATCCACCATTTCCTGTTTGTTCAAACCCTAATAATCGTCACAAAAATAACGGAAGAATAAAAAAACGAAAGGTTTTTATGCAGCAAAAACTAACCGGCAACGGAATGGGATTGGGGAAAGGTTTGTTGGTCCCGAGCAAACTCTCATAAGTTGCATTCCAACTGCAAAACCATATGCCAATAAATGCAAGATTATTTATTCATGACATCATATCAAACGAGCCCTTAATAATATTCTCATCGACGACCTGTTTCAATTTGTTACCTCAATTTGGGCTCTTGTGTTTTTACAATCTTTTCAGATTCTTTATTCCCAACCCACTGCTGCCGTGTTTGATTCCAAAGAAGAAGTCCTTCAAGAAAATAAAATAAAAATTGACGAGACATAGAGAAAGGCTGGATTTGACCTTGAATTAAAAAAAAAACAAGAAAGTACTTGCCATGATTTACGAATTCAGAGGGATTGTTGGTTGTGCCAGCAGAAGTGGATTGAGTGTCGAGGGGTTGGTTAGAAGTACTAATCGATGAAATACTTCTGTGGGAAGCAAAGGCACTGTTATCCATATCGCCTGAACTAGGGCTCCAGAAATCCTCGGTTAAACTAGGTTTCTTCACACGTCGACCTTGTATTTTCAGTCCCTTTGATGGCTCGTCCACGGATATTACAAGTGGCGGCTTTATACAACATCCAAGACAACCTCTGCTCTGTTACAAATTAGGTTTATACCATATAAATGATTAGTGTATCGGCATTAAGTATTGACAGATCACATCACACCAACGAGGGGTGTTTCGATAATTTGCATATGAAATTAGAGGACGATAAATACTCAACAAATACTGAAGAAACCCAATCATCATTTATCGAGAAAAAAATTAGAGGATGCTAATTAGTCAGTTGGCCAATTAAAGATACAAAAAAACAAAAGCACACGAAGGGCAGTTGACCGTTTATTCAAGATGTTTAATGCTTGTTATACCCTCTTACGCGAAAAATATATCTGCATTTTTCTTTCAACCTTTCCATAATCGAACCAACGAGTGCTCGACAATACTTCCTCGAACACCCAAAAGAAAGAAGACAACAAACAAGCCTTCTTCCAACACAAGCTTCAGATTGTACAGCTAAACAACATCTAATCTAATATACTTAACTGCTGCTACTTCCTAATTTCGATGTTTTTTTTTTTACTTTTACACAACCAAAGCATGATGATGTAAGATAAAGAGAAAAACCAACACCTTCTGTTAACTCACACAGTTGGTGCTTGCTTGAAACACAGGCAAATCAAGATTCCCAAACAAAAAAGGGAACCAAATGAAATCTTAACCAACACAAATTTTGCACACCCATATTAAAATCATTCGAGTTACCACTTTAGCTCTTTAATTATTACACCTCCACACATAAACATCTACACAGAGAAAAGGGTAAAAAAAAAACTGACCCCATGCATGCAATTAACTGAGAAATCCGAGAGGGAGCTGATCTACACCAATACTTCATGAACAGATGAAACAGCTGTAAATTCGATCAAACAATCATCCCTCTCTGAAGCCCAGATCTCAATATCCATAAAAAAGAGAGAGATAGAGAGATAGAGAGAGAGAGCCCACTAATCTGCAGACGAGAACAAACAAAAATTAACCAATTGACCAAAAGTGTAACGAAATTAGAAGCTGTGATCGAGAAACTGATTACCACTATGGATCTGATGAATCGACATTCACAGCAGTTTGATGGTGGGGTTTGATCAGCGAATACACACACAGTAGCAGAAAAGGCGTATACAGCAGCACAGTGTAGGGAGAGAGAGAGAGAGAGAGAGAGAGAGAGTGTAGAGAGAGAAACTGTAGGTGCTTTGTGGTAAGTGGGTAATGGAGATTGGAGAGTAATGGGCTGTTGTAGGCCCACTTCTTTTTTTAGGGTGAAATTATTTCACTGCCCCTCATCAGGTTGACTACTAAATTATTATTGTTTTCTTTTGGGTGTAATTACTAATTAGTGGTGCAAATCGAATCTATTGGATCACAATTAACATATTTTTTTCGAAGAAATCTAATTTTATTTTAAATTGGATATTCTAATTGGAAATTATCGTCCCAGAAAAATTGAAAATCGAATTTTTAGAAATTGGAATTAGAAAAACATGTTCCAAAATCGAGAATTTTCTGGACCGAAATCGACACATGTTATTTTTCTTCATCTTAATTAATAGTCATTTACATGTTATTTATCTTCGAATCATCGTCCAAAGCAACTATCTAAGTTGTTCCTCTATCCGGTTTTAGATTATTCAGACTCAAAACAACTTATTTGATCATGTACTGTTTGCTGATAAACAACAGAGCTCAGTTATTTAAAACACACGAATATAAAAGAATAAGAACAATCATGCAAGTAAAATAAAAGAAAAGAGACTTTATTTAAAAACTGGTTTTATAAAAATAAAAAATAAAAAAGCATGACGTGAGAGATGATTTGGAGAGATCATGAGACAAATGTGTGTGGTTAAGAGCATAGCAGGTGAGTGAAAGCTTTAATTGTAGAGAGCCCCTCTTCAAAACAAACTGCAACAACTTTCTTAGCCCCATTAATATTACAACTTATAAGCACCACCACCACCACCGCCACCTCTTCTTATTCTTCTTCTTCTCAACCACAGCAGCCAGCTTTTTTCAGTTTTCTCTCTTATGCATATATCATAACTACTTTTTAAAAAACAATAAAACATAGTAACAACAATGGTGCAATCCTCGAACAAATTCAAAGGCGTCCGGCAACGCCAGTGGGGCTCCTGGGTTTCCGAAATCCGACACCCTCTACTGTAACTAATAACCTCATGAATTTTCATCATGTTTATATATTATATATACTTATATCAAGATTTTAAGGTTGTTTATTTGTGTGCAGAAAGAAGAGGATTTGGCTGGGGACTTTTGAGACAGCAGTTGCAGCAGCAAGGGCATATGATGAAGCAGCTATTTTGATGAGTGGACAAAAGGCAAAGACAAACTTCCCTATCCCAGATAACAATCAAGACGAAAAGACAAGAATACCCTCGTAAGTACTAGGAGCAAGGCTCAGGAAGTGCTGCAAGAATATTCCAGCTTCTTCCATCACTTGTTTAAAGCTCGATACCGACAGTTCTAACATAGGCGTGTGGCAGAAGCGAGCCGGTGTTCGTTCCGGCTCGCACTGGGTCATGAAAGTCGAGCTCAAGAAGAAGAATTCGACATCCAATCACACCTCGCCATGTCAATCATCATTGGAAAAGGATGAAGAGAACAAAGTTGCAGTGCAGATGGTTGAGGAGTTACTTCATTGGAATGGCTCAGCACCTTAGTCTACTTACTAATGTGTTCTGTAAACTCATGCAAATAACTTGACAGGATGGAGTTTCTCTTCTATCTGAAACTTAGGCTGCATGAAGTATCAAAACCAGGACTAAATTGTATAGAGCTAAATTGTACTTGTACAATACATTATGTATCTCAGGTATATATACATGTGTGTGTGTGTGTGTGTGTAATAAAATATATGTGTATATACATTGTGTTCTGTATATATATGTGTAATAATGTGTGTGTGTGTGTGTGTGTGTGCGTATGTGTTTGTTTATATTGCAGATATAACTCAGGTAAATACTAGAGAGCGACTTCTGCCAACATATGTGAGTACAGTTATAATAAAAGAAGTTGCCCTACTTTAACTTAGGTTTGACTTTTAAAAGAAGCCTAGGTGGGATGTCCAAAATTCAGGGAAATTCTGGTTGCAAAGCAATAAACCGGAACCCGATACCCGATAACCCGAAACCCAATATTTTCTTGATACATCAAAACTAATGTCACTAACTGCTACAGCCTGGTGGTTGGTTTGATCATTAAATACCAAGAAAGTAGAGTAGTAAGTTGCTTTCAACATAGGTGGATGAAATAGATTTTCATTTGAACATAATATTTGCATTTATTACAGTAATATGCTTACCTAGGACAGCATTTCTTTAACCTGAGAGTACACAAACATAAACATAAAAGTTGACAAAATATTACATAATCCATTGCACTGGGCAATTTTTCAAACCTAGGGCCAAAAAAAAAAACAGGGTACAACATGCCCATGCAACGAAATGGGACTCAGCAACACATTCAATAAGCAGCAAAGTGGCCTTGCAACTTACTTGCAAGCCATAGACAAAACGAACAATTTCGAACTTAGTGCAAAAAAAAAAAGAAAAAAAAAAACAAACGGGTAGATCATGCAAAATGGGACTTAGCAACACATTCAATAAGCGGCAAAGTGGCCTTGCAACTTACTTGCAAGCCATAGACAAACCGAACCACAAAAAACCTCGTACCTTGAAAAAAAATCAGATTTTATCAGCAAGGTACCTGCCGAGAGAATCGATGGGCTTCATTGAGATAGCATTCTCCATCCTTCTGCGCCTTATTTTAATCCGAGCAAGATAATCAGCAGCAATCCAAGCAAAGCTTAACATGACTGTCTTCCCTACTTCATCATCCACCACTTGTAAATCCTTCGATTTCTTAACCCAACTTTCATTGTATGTTACCTGGTACCAAGCTGATGCCTTTCTTTCGAACATAGTGTTTTTCTCGTCATCAGAAAGCTGATCAAATTCTGCATCCATGCTCTCAAAAACTTTCCGAAAATCCTTTCTTAGTGTGCTGTAGGCATGCTTGAGCCTCTCCTTCAATTCGCCTTGCTTTTTGCTGCTGTACTTGGGCATGGACCATATATGTCCTGTGACAACCTCTTCTTCGCTGTTGACTTTGTACTGTCCTAAAAGACCGGTCAACTGCCCATCGTAGGAACACTTGCAGTTCCATGCATCAGTAATGAAACTTTCGGATCCTGCGATCTCCAGCTCTTGGTCGTAAGCAATGTTTACCGATGTATTTTCCGAAGATTCTTCGTAGTCATAATTAGAATCTTTAATTTTACGGTAGAGCTTGCCCAAGATTTTACTGGATTTGTATGTTTGAAATTCGTCCTTCCCCATAAAGTCAGGATACAGCTTCGGCTTCAGTTCAGCGGGCATAGTCACAATCTTTCCCGTTTTTGGGAAATCAACAGCAATTGCTGCAAGCTCAGCCAGTTTGATACATTTCTCATCCAAAGCCCCGTATTCACTACTGTCGGCATGAACCACGTGTGCATTGCAGATAGCTCCTAGGCTTTCATTCACCATGTTCTTGGTGAAAAATTCAATTATATCCTGCATATATAAAAAAGGTAAAATAATGTCAAAATCTACATCAATCGTGTCCTCTTCACAACAAATATATAAATAATAATAATAAAAAAAGGTTTCGGAAAGGAAGATTGTATAGAAGAGCAGGTGATTACCGTGTGCTTCACTTCACGTGGCAACTGTTTGACTTCTCCGGGTGCATATTCCATAGGGGTCCAGCTTCTCTTGCTTGGAGGCATAAGATTCTCATCCCAAGTGACAAAGTAAAGATCCCCATCGAGATCACTCCCAGATGCTTCATTTGTATGTGGTCTTTCTCCCTTCTGAGGGAAGACAAGACAGTCATAAAGATGGTGCAACCCCGGGCAATCAACAGCCTCAAGAATCCGCACATCTCCAGGATGAAGACAAGGGTTCTTTGCAATTGCAACAAGGCCCTTGATAACTTCGAGTTTTTTCTTAGCCCCTGAAAACTCAGAACCGTGCTTCACAAAACAGTCCTCCAAAGAAGGGTTTGACACCTGGATGAAGCATTGGCCATGTTCGAGTACACCAAGCTCGTCCAAGCAGCCCATCAACCATCTCCCGGAAGGAACAAATATTCTGGCTCTTTCCCTAAGGTCACCAAGCTGGGCCACTCTGATGCTAGTTAGCATCCCTCGCAAGTGAGGTTCAGTTTGAGGCTTGAAACCAGCACTCAACATTATTGCTGCTGTGTTTCCTTGATCGGTGCATGAAGAAGTAAGCACGTCAAAAGCCGTGTCTGTGTCTTCAAGCATCTGATTCAGCCTCGAAATCATTGTTTCTTGCATTCTCCAGAAAATCTCATCTCCAACTTCCAAGGCAGAGAGTAGTGTAATTATCTGCCGATTCAGAAAACCAGGCTGAAACCGAGTCCAAGAGCAAATCTCGAGAACTGTGTGATTGGAGTCGAACTTCTTCATACTTTTTCTGAGAGATAAGCGGAATCCATCACTTTGTGCAGGCCAACATGCAACAACGCCTTTGTAACCCGCATATCTGATTTGATAAGCACTGGGGAGATTGGTAGTCAACTGCAGCTTCTCTGCAACTTCCATGGCAAGGTCAGCTGATAGCATCCCAATACCATCGGAGAAAACGTAGTCGTTCCTCTCAATATCAGGAAGCTTAGAGTTAACTTGCTTCGACGGGACTTCAACTGTGGCATAAGTCGAAGAGAAGCACTGCCCCATCCTTGCAGCACACTTTGCAACATTACGATTCGTAAACCTTCCCATCCAGTTCTTAATATTTGCAACCCCAATATCTTTGTCTTCAGCAAAAAACCAGGCTGAACGGTCCCGAAGCTGATTCGAGGAGAATGCCAGAAAGGAGTATTTCCTACCGCACAGATAAAACCCACTGTGTAAAATATCCTTTATCCGTTTGAATATAGTGGTCCTCTGTGGGTTGGAACTCGAGGTAATGCCCCTCACCATAGGGCCAACATAGTACGTGAGGGCATTTTTATTGAGAGTCGACATAGCCTCATCCGTAAAAGTGACCCTCAAGAATCTATCAGCTACGGCTTTGTAATGTCTCAGAACTCTATTAGAGAGTTCCACTTCTGGTGGAAGACAATAAGCTTTGGCTGGAGTTATGATCAGTCTTCGGACTTCAACTATATCATCCATACCACGAGGTCTCTCAAGGAGCTTAGGGTTCTTCAACAGCCATCTCTGCACGGTTTCCACAGCCTTGAAAGCATCGTAAACCGGACGCTTGTAGGAACACATGTGCTTGAGTGCAACTGTGTTTACATCCTCAGGCTGCCTTCTGAACATATCCAAAAGCTGTTCGGATATCTGATGCTGATTAATTATGCCTTTGTGCATAACTGCATTCAGCAAAAACATGACCTTGAAGGATATCCCTTCCTTGTACTGAATGCACAAGAAGGGATCCAAAACGGGCATCCCAAAATCAGGCTCGTCCTGCACCACAAGGCGCTGTCTTGTTCTTTCATCAAGAACCGGTACCCTACGCTTCCGAAGATAATCCAAAGCCTTCAAGAGATGTGGGCCATTATGAGGTCTGACCGAAATTCGGTAAGTGTTGCATCTTCCAAATGCACCGCCGGATGTGAAGTCTGTAGTGCGAATCCATGGATCATCGTCGTCCAACAAATCGCATGTTGCTGGTTCCTCAATGTCGTCATCCGCGGTTCTGTAGTAAATCAAGGGTGACGAGGCCAGCTGTATCAGAATTATCAAGGAAGAGAAATCTCTGTAGTGTTTGATCTCGATTATCTCTCTTGGAAAGAACTCAATCCTGAAATCGCACTTAATTATCGCAGATCTGGCTTCACCTTTAAAACAGAAAGCGGTATCTCTTTTAATATGCAGCTTGCATGTACCGCTGAATGGATCAACGAGAAAATCAACCCCACTTCGAGGACCTCTCCAACCAACAACGAGCTCCTCTCGGCTCCTCAGAGATCCAATTTCAACAAAAGCATCAGATAATTTATACGGTGTTGTAGTCCTTCTCCTCTCACTCAACCGGTAAGGATTTTGTGGGCCCAAGCTAACCTTCAAAAGTTTGCCCGCGAATCTAAGGTCGCCACGGCTAGCAGCTTCTACTGCCTTGTTTGCTGACTCTGCAACTACAAAGTGCACAAACGCATACGGTTGAATCTTGACATAGTCATCACTTTGCTTGGCACTGTCGATGTCAATCTCGTAATTTGGATATGATTCAGGAGGAGTCGATGAAGTCTTCAATCTACACCGCCAAACGAGGCCGATATTATCTTCAAAGTAGTCCAAAAGCATCTTGGCTGTGACATTACTTCCCAGTCCTCCAACGCTAATCTGAGTTACAATCATTTCTCTATCACTTATCTCGGACCCCATTGCGTTTTCTGTAAGTGTTGCAAGTCTTGTGGCAAAAATTCTGCATGGAAAACAGAACAATATGATTCAATGTGTGTAGATCAGTATCAATTGACATAGAGACAAACACATAAGAGCATATGAAAATTATTATACTTCATCAACGAAAACCGAAAACCAATAACAGGAAGGCATATACCATAAACATCTACATAAATACAATACTCAAACACAGAAATTAAAAAAAAAAACATATATGTCTGCATAATAGTAAAGATCAGTCAAGTATCTGCTTAAGTTAACACCAAAATGTTCAAAAAAAATTCTCATTCTTAATCTGAAAACAAGTGTTTTTGAAAGTGATAAGATGAATGAATAAAAAAACAGGAGGAGGGCACCTACATTGACCCAAGTCAATGTCCAGTGAAAATGATCCACGAGAACAACACCTACAAACATACAACTAATCTTCAATTGGTCAATATAAATGATACAATCCCCTAAATTACTGATAAAAAAATACCCCCTGAATGCGTTGAAGAACATAGCTAGAGTACTAGATCATCCAGTACACAAGTACTGAACTTGAATTGACAAAAACCACCATTTGCATTATTAAAAAAAAAAAAAAAAAAAGCGCTGATAAAACAGAAACAAACGTATCGCATCTCGATATGAAAAAAAAAAATTCCCAATTTACAGAGCGTCCACAGTCCACACACACACCTATTTTCGCGTGTCGCCCACACCGATTAATGAAGCCGAATTCAATTGAACTCAATTCAGCAGTATCTCTGAACGCGATTGTGATTCGGATGGAAGAAAAAGATGGGTATTAAAGAAAGTGAAGAAGAATGAGTAAAGAAGAGAAAAGAAGTCGATTGGGTAGCTTTCAGTATAATGCCTTGCTTTATTCTTTTCTTTTCTTTCTGCTATTCCAGTGGTATGGGGTAGGGTAAGGGGAAGGGGGTATGTATCACGCGGGAAGGCTTTCACCCCCATTTCCAATGTACGAAAAGATGCCTGCTTGATTTGATTTGATTTTAGTGGTGTGATGTTTTTATCATTACTTATTTACGCAATAATAATCAATATATGAATTTTATTTTCAAATCAATCATTAAATAAGGGGTTTTGCCCTTTTGAATATCCCATTTTTATATTATGAGAGAAAATAGTAATAATTATTTTGCTTTTATTGGGCCTTTAGAAAACTTATTAGTCCAATAATTTATTATTTAATAGTATAGTCTACAGATACTACACTACAATTTGGTCACATGTTAATATATGAAAATAAGAAGCACATCTTTTTAAATATTTTCCCTTATGTTTCTTTTATTCTTTGAATGGTATTTGCTGTCATATAGTTTTAATTGATTATTCTAACATCAAGCGCCCGTAGCTCAGTGGATAGAGCGTCTGTTTCCTAAGCAGAAAGTCGTAGGTTCGACCCCTACCTGGCGCGTGTAATCTAATTTTCTTTTTTTCTTTTTTTAATTTTATTTTACAACATTTAGGTGAGCTTCAATCTAATTTTCTTTTTTTCTTTTTTTAATTTTATTTTACAACATTTAGGTGAGCTTCAACATTTTCCCTCCGAATTTTCATGCCATGCATGCATGATATGATATACCCACTCTCCACCAAACACTATTTTCCTCCAATATATAACAAACTCAATCCAATTCCAATTTTACAAATTATTTTTATTAATTAGAAAAATGTCCATAGTTGCAGAGTCACCAGGCTTCATCCAAGTCTTCTCAAACGGCGCCGTAAAACGCTTCTCCCCTCCGACAGCCGCCCCCTCATTATCCAACAACAATAAATACAAGTCAAAGGATGTAATAATCGATCCATCCAAACCCATTACCGCAAGAATCTTTCTCCCCCAACACCACTCTTCACAATCACAATCGAAATCCATCCCAATCCTCGTTTACTTCCACGGCGGCGGCTTCTGCATCGGCTCAACAACCTGGCTCGGCTACCACACTTTCCTCGGTAACCTTTCATCCACCGCCGGAATCATCGTCCTCTCCGTCGACTACCGTCTCGCCCCCGAAAACAAGCTCCCCATACCCTACGAAGACTGCTTCGCCGCCCTCCAATGGCTCGCCGCCGCCGCCTCAAACACCGAGCCGTGGCTCCAAGATGCCGATCTGTCCAGAATCTTCCTCTCCGGCGACAGCGCCGGAGGAAATATAGCCCACCACGTCACCGTTAAAGCCATCGAAACGAACATTAATATTAGGGTTAAAGGGCTGTTGCCGATTCATCCCTACTTCGGAAGCGAGGCGAGGACGGAGCTGGAGATGGAGGAGGCCTCCGCCGGCGAGGTGGCCATGAACGACATGTTTTGGAAGCTGAGCTTGCCGGAGGGATCGGACCGTGATTACTACGGCTGCAATATCGAGAAGGCCGGGCTGCCGGAGACGACTGAGTGGGGGCTTTTTCCGGCGGTGGTGGTGTTTGTGGCGGGGTTGGATTTCTTGAGAGAGAGAGGAGTGATGTATGTGGAGTTCTTGAAGAAGAAAGGTGTGAGGAATGTGAGTTTGGTTGATGCTGAGGGGGAATCCCATGTTTTTCATGCATGGAATCCTGACTCTACGGCGTCGTTTTTGCTTCAGAATCAGATCTCTTCTTTCATACAAAGCCTGTGATCATGTTTGATTTACTAGGCCCAATGCCCAATAAATTCAAATTCTTCAATTGCCCAAATTAATAAAAGAAAAAAAGGGGAAATTTACTGTTTTCACACCTCAAGTTTGCAATGATTACACATTTGGTCCCTGATTTTTACAAAAAACACATTTGGTCCCTTATGTTACAATAATTTGACATTTTTGGTCATTTTCATCAATTTACCCTTAGTCCGTCAGTTACGACTTACGATAGTGATGGGAACATGTTTTATTCCATTAGTTTTAACAGAAAATTGACAAAAATGACTAAAAGTGTTCAATTTTTTGAACATAAGGGACCAAATGTATTTTTTGTGAACATGAGGGGTCAAATGTGAAATCAATTCAAACTTAAGGGGTGAAAAATGCATTTTCCCCCCAAAAAAGTAAAGAAATTAGACCAAGAAAAAAAATTAAAGAAAGAAAAAGACAAACTTGAGGCATTAATTCCTGTTATTGAGTTGGTTTTTAGCATTTTAATGTAATGGCAACAAATTAAGGAATCCAGTTTCCTGATTAGCCTAATCAGATTATGTTCAAAGTTTGACTTCACAACAGAAACTTAGCAGTTAGCAGTTAGCAGAAAATCCTTAGCTTCCTATATTTATGGGCTCACAACACAAAATCATTAATTTCATCAACAACAGAATAATAATAATAATAATATGTCAACTCTACTTGTACTATTATTTTTCTTGATCCATCAAACTAATTGTCTCAACTTAGTACAATCTCACAATTTCTCTTTCTCATCATTTGATTCCTCTAGCTGTGAAAATGGAGGCAATCTAATCTGTTGGGGTTCAGTTAGTTCAGGCAATGGTGGCCTTAATCTCACAACTAATCAGCCCAAAGAAACGAGCGACGTGGGACGAGTTCTGTTCCGTTATCCTATACTCGTATGGCCATCATCTTTTTCCACCACCTTCACTGTCAGAATCACATCTAATTCAACGGTATCCGGTGATGGAATGGCGTTCATCATCGCACAGGATAATAACCCCTCCCCGCCAGATAGTTTCGGTTCATTCATCGGAATCATGGATCCTTCAACCGAAGGTTATTCTTTTTTCTTTTCTTTTTATTCCTATATTTATAATTTTTATGTGATTAAATAGCTGCAGATTAATATGAAAAAAAATGCAGGTGGTGTTCTTCGACAACTTGCTGTGGAGCTAGACACGTACAAGAACCCTCGTGATATAGACAAGAACCATATTGCTATTGACACTACCAGTGTGGAGTATCCAGTGGCGGTTAAGAGCCTTACCGATATTGGGATTGATCTCAAGAGTGGGAGAAGCATTAATGTTCGAATCGAATACGATGGATGGGAAAAAGATCTTCGGATTTACGTTGCGTATGCAGGCGAAAGCCTCGTAAATTTCTTGAACAACAAGATAATCATGGAAGATATTGTTCCTCAGCTGGCTTACGTGGGCTTTACCGCCTCAACTGGCCATTTCTGGGAGGTGCATCAAGTTCTTGATTGGAACTTCACTTTGTATGAACTGCCAAACGAGTCACTAAATCACGAGATTGGTCGGAGCAAGTGGGAAAAAGCGTTGAAAATCGTTATCCCAACTGTTGTTGTTTTATTAGTATCTGTTCTGCTTTTCTTGATTAGAGTTCGAAGCAGACGAAAATTGAGTCTAGAAAGGAGAGACGACATAGAAATGCTGACGAAAAACGCAGCGAATGCTCCAAAGTTTTACACGTATAAACAGCTTTCGAAAGCCACCAAGAATTTCAGTACAGAAAATCTTGTTGGTACAGGTGGATTTGGAAGTGTTTACAGAGGAGTTTTACCTAATAGAATCATAGCTGTCAAAAAGATTAATGCAACTTCAAACCAAGGTTTATATTTTCCCTTCTTGAATTGAAGTACCCCTTTTCTTTTGATCCCTATAAAACATGGTAAAAATCATTTCTTTATTAGGTGAAAAGGAGTACTTAGCCGAAATATGCACAATCGGGCGCCTGAGGCACAAGAACTTAGTGCAACTACAGGGTTGGTGCCACGAAAAAGAGCAATTACTACTCGTGTACGAGTACATGCCAAACGGAAGCCTCAATAAATACATAGGAAAAAAGAACCCTCTCGATTGGAAAACCCGTTACAAAATCCTAACGGGATTGTCATCCGTTCTACTCTACCTCCACGAAGAATGCGAAAACCCCGTTGTTCACCGTGACGTAAAGCCAAACAACGTAATGCTGGATTCCGATTTTACCCCTCACTTAGGCGATTTTGGTTTAGCAAGATTGCTAGAAAACGATAGTGCTTTTATCACCACGATGGTGGCGGGAACGATTGGATATTTAGCGCCGGAAGTTAGTTACACGGGAAGAGCCACCACGGAGTCGGACGTGTACAGCTTCGGAATGGTGGTTCTTGAAGTGGTGTGTGGCCGGAGATCGAAGGGTTTGATGGAGGAGGAGGAGTGTAGCTTGGTTGATTTCGTTTGGAGTTTTTACGAGAAGGGTAGTTTGGTAAAGTGCGTGGATAGTGAGTTGAAGGGGGAGTTTGATGAGGAGGAAGTGAGGAGGTGTTTGGTAGTGGGATTAGCATGTTTGAGTCCTGACTATAGTGTTAGGCCTAAGATGAGGAAAGTGGTGCAGGTGTTTATGAACGGTGATGATCGGAGTTTGATGGAGTTGCCCGAGTGTAGGCCGACCGAGCTGTTTTTGTCGTTGCCGCCTTCTTCTTCGGGTTCGAATACTGCAGATGAAATGACTATGGAGTATGATATTGTGCCAAGTAAGAGTTTGTAAGGGGTTTAATTCTGTATTAATTTATAACATATGGAGGAGTTGCTACGTTTATCTTGTTAATAGTTTAGAAACTTTATAATATAATGTGTTCTCAATGGAGCAAATTCAAATGACAGAAAAAAAAGTTGAAACAGTTGTAAAAAAGCATGTTTTGTACAAGAAAGAAAAAATATTGTTAAAACAGTTGTAAAAAAAGGAAGTGCGAGAAAAAATGCGTCTGCCGGGAGTCGAACCCGGGTCTATTGCTTGGAAGGCAATTATCCTAACCGTTGGACTACAAACGCTTTGATGTTGAATTGAAAGTATTGTTTCTTCATAAACGCATATATATTAAGCAGAAACTTCCAAGCCAAAATGAGTTGGATTTACCAGTTAATCAAGTCAATCTCATATCATATATAACACCTAAATACTCACTGTTGAATAGTGTAAATGTACAACTTTATCCGACAATATATCTATAATTAACTGCAAAAAAGAAAGAGATTGTTAGACAAATGGCAGTTGAAGTCCATGTTTTCCAACTGGTGTTATACAAATGTAAGAGAAATGGTCAATAATTTGTGGCACCCATTAAAGTAGTAGGTAGTCAGTTTGTTAACACTAACCACGCACGACTATATATTAATCTTTAAAATTAAATGCCAGCTGATAAAAGAAATTAAATAACACTAAAAAAAATTAAATAATTCTGTTGCAGTTTGTACAAGAATGTTATTCAACTTAGCCTTGACATATAAATTATAATCAATTATTCATATCATGCATGTACGTGTATTAAGTATTTATATATTTGTGTATATATGTTCCCAACCCTGGTTGTGGCTGTAATAATATTATGTAGATAAGATTTAATTATATGGTCAATATATTTATTTTGTAATGGTTTTTTTGCAGCTACTCTTCTTTTTCTGTCCCCTTCAATGGGCTATATATTGTCTAAAGCCAACGACTTTTTTTTCCTACTCAAACAAACAAACAAACAAATAAGCAAATTAATTATAAAACCAGAGAAATTCTATTACATTATTATTGGAGATGAAGGCTTTCTCTCAACAACTACTTTTCAATAATAATAATAATAATATCCCTATTTTTATGGTAGCAGCAGCCTCATATTTGTCTTGTTGTCTTCATTTTGCATAATACTATTATTATTTCTTATATATGGGACTTACATATATGTTAATTTGATTTAAAGTATTAGGGAAAAATATAAAATTATTTTTTAGTAAATATATTTATTGCTTACCGGTCAAACTATGCCAAAAAATAGAAATACAATTTTGATTTATTTACCAAACAAACAAAAAAAAAAAAAATTGGAAATAGGATTTGAGATTTTTTAAAAAGGATAGAAAGAATTTAAAAATCTTAATGCAATATTTTAGAGTAGGTGAATTATATTTTGTCCTAATTTGAACAAGAGAGATGCATTGCCACGTGTAGCATGGTAGTCAAATGCACATGAATAGGTGTCGACCATGTGAACCCCATTCACATTTTCTTATTATTTATTAGTATTGGTACTTTAATAATTTAATTACACCTAAAGTAATAAATAAAATAAACAAATATTACTAGTTCTTTTTTTTCTTTTCCCTTGCATTTACATTGTTGTCATAAAATGTAATTACTGAAATAAATAAAATATTAAATTTTCCATCTACCATGGAAGATAAATTATAAATACAGAGATAAAATTACCTATAAATATGGATGATTTAATAATTTATTTCCGCAATTAATTAATAAATAAGGAAAAGTCGTCGGGCCAATCAATATATATTGTGTGTATGGACCGGCGCATATCCGAATCAGATTCTACATCCAGTCAAAGTAGCGCTTTAATAAACATCCTAATCTAATGGGCTCCTTAGGCCCAAATCGGATTATATTAATTTAAAAAAACTCAAATTGACCCCGCAAAACTCCTTAAATATCACTTTTGAACCCTAATTAGTTTGAAACCGATTAAAAGACTAGTCTAGGTGACCGGTGACCCAGTCTATATTATTATATTATTATTATTATAAAATAAAAATAAAAACTCAAAATCAATCCCCACCTCCATTAGAAGACTTTCTCCATTATTTACTCCACTTTTCTCCACATCTCCTCCGCCATCTCTCTCTCTCTCTAGACTCTAATCGGCAATGGGTAAAGGCGGAGCAGCGCTCTCAGACGGAGTGGTGAAGAAGATCATCCCATCGTACACGTACGTGGCGATATGGATCTTCCTCTCCTTCACGGTAATCGTGTACAACAAATACATCCTCGACAAGAAGCTCTACAACTGGCCGTTCCCAATCTCCCTAACCATGATTCACATGGCCTTCTGCTCCTCCCTCGCCTTCGCCGCCGTCCGCCTCTTCAAAATCGTCGAGCCCGCCTCCCTCAGCCGCCGCGTCTACCTCACCTCCGTCGTCCCCATCGGCGCACTCTACTCCCTCTCCCTCTGGCTCTCCAACTCCGCCTACATCTACCTCTCCGTCTCCTTCATCCAGATGCTCAAAGCCCTAATGCCCGTCGCCGTCTACTCCATCGGAATCCTCCTCAAAAAGGACAGCTACAAGAGCAACACCATGTCCAACATGCTCGCCATCTCCGTCGGCGTCGCCATCGCCGCCTACGGCGAGGCCAAGTACGACTCCTGGGGGGTTTTCCTCCAGCTTGGCGCCGTCGTTTTCGAGGCTACCAGGTTGGTTATGATTCAGATTCTGTTGACCTCAAAAGGGATTAATTTGAACCCAATTACTTCCCTTTACTACGTTGCCCCTAGCTGCTTCGCTTTTCTTGCAATTCCATGGCTCTTTGTTGAGTACCCTGTGCTTAAGCAGCAAACATCTGCGTTCCAATTCGATTTCGTGATTTTCGGGACTAATTCACTCTGTGCATTTGCCCTAAACTTGGCTGTGTTCTTGTTGGTTGGAAAGACTTCAGCTTTGACCATGAATGTTGCTGGGGTTGTCAAAGATTGGTTGCTAATTGCCTTCTCTTGGTCTGTGATTAAGGATACCGTTACTCCGATGAATTTGTTCGGGTATGGGTTGGCATTTTTGGGGGTTGGGTATTACAATCACTGCAAATTGCAGGCTTTGAAGGCAAAGGAAGCGCAGAAGAAAGTTCAGCCGACCGACGAGGAATCGGGGAAGCTTTTGGAGGAGAGGGAAGGAGATGGAATGGGGAAGAAGGGTGATTCGCAAGCTTAATTTGGAAATTTTATGTAGCTAGAAGAAAAAAAAGGAAGAGAAAAAGAATTTTAATTTAAATAATTGAGGAAGAAATCTTGGGTTTTAATTTGCAGGTTGACTTGTGGTGTTTATCAATGGATCTGGGATATCTAGGTACGTTGTCGAACTTGAATGAAGGATGATCTGTCAATGGTGCATTCGTTTTTGGTTGTTAATGATGGTGGTGTTTGAGATCCACATTTCTTTCTCAAGATCTACCGGTTTATCGTTTATGTATTATTATTACATTAGTAGTTTCGGAAAAAAAAAAAAAAAAAGATGCATTTCGATTCCGTATTTCCCCCCTTCGGTTTCTTGTTTATTTAAATCTCCCTTGTATACTTGTTCGATCTTTTCATTATAATATTACCGGCACTTGAGACTCAATATGAACCGATACGAATTCCATTATGTTGGGAAAGTTTTTCTGCAAGTTTTCAACTTTTTTGCAATTCGAGAGGTATAGTTCTTTCTTGCAGTAATATATATGAATATTTGTCGTCGTTCTGGATTTGTGTGCTTTGTTTCGTTGTTACGACTGTTTGGTTCTTGAATTTGAAAACAATGGAACTTATGATGCTTATACTTGCTGCTTCTTCGTTGCTTTGGTAGATTATGGAAGGTGCAATATGTGATTAGTGTTGGCTTAACTGCATTATTAAGTTGTCGTCTTAAATAGCTAATCGTAATTAAGTATCAGAAAACTGTACTTGGTGTGGGGTCAAAGGGCTAATGGTAAACAACGGGAGTTGAATTAGAATAAAACCCACTCCAAATAACAACGATTCTTGTGGCTTTATGACATATTCAAAGTATGACATACCTTCTGCCCTCGTCTTGAGTTGTTACTACGGGAGTATTTATTAGTATATTCGATTATTCTTGATGTAGTTGGATTAAACTATAGGTTCTTAGGTACTTGTTCGTCTCGATACAGTTGACTTTTGCAGAAGGGTTTTTTTGCTTAAATGGATCTACACTTAAAGAAACCTATGCACATGGTTGGCATATATATTTCACATGCATCTAGCAATTAAAAAAGAAAGAGCTTACTTATAGGCTGGATTACAAAGTCAGCTTGAATTTAATTCAAAGTTAGGCTTCTTACATAAATATTGAATTTGAAATAAATTTTGTTTGACAAGTAACATAGAAGAAGCCTATACTTGCCTTAAATGGTGTCTCTCTCTCTCGTTAATATGCATCTTCAACTTTTCTGGGCAGTAGAAATTATTGTCGATCGCGACATTTTCGACTTTTATTATTGCAGCTTTCGACACCACCTAACTTAGAAATTGACTGCTTATGTTGTGGTCCTAAAGAAATTTGAATTTGGAGAAGAAAGGTATCAAATAAAGGCTCCCCCCACTCAGTTTCAGACAAGAAGTTTGTTATGGTTCATTCTTGATTTGGTCTCACTTTTAACAAACTTCTGTTAATTAATTACAAGGTTAAGTGGGTTTAGTTAAATTTAGTTAGTGATGAGTTGGTTGTACCAGAATTGAATTTGGGGTATAATTTTGTTTCATTCAAAATTCAAGAAGTTTGTTATTAATTCCCTGTTTTTGTTTCTGATGTGAACAGCCAACCATTTCAGACAAAGCTTCTCTCTATTAATAATTACATTAATACTATTAATTATTATTATTATTGATTAGTACAAGAATACTACTACTAATTATTACACACTTATATATATATCCTGCAATAAAGAAGCTAAACTCTGCTAGCTGTGATGTATATCTGGAATGAATTATATCTCACATTCACATCAAATCCTGCCCAAAAAATCAAACAAACATTGTGAGTACTCTTCATCATCAACAAATTATAAATAAATAAAAAATAAAAAAATGGAGAAAATAAATTGAAACATACTGTATAAACTCAATGTTGAGTCTGGCATCAAGAGAGTGAGAAACAGCATCAAAGGCATCATTGGACATGACCATAGTGGAGGGGCACGGCCTTTTCGAGCAAAAATCGACCACCCTTACATCGACTGTGCCGCCTTTGCATGGCTTATTTGTGCCGCTAAGGCACCTCAATCTGTACCGCCGCCCGCATGCTGCTCCGTTATCCCACAGCCCTTCATTCACCTGTACAAACAGGTTTCCTGATGGGAATTGGTCTTGCCTATTCCCATTGCACTTTGTTGCTGCATTATCGACATTAATTAGAAACTAATCAAAACACGACATTATCGACATTATATATATATATATATATATATATATATATATAGAGATATAGATAGATAGATATGCTCACGTGTGTATGGAGGATCGTAGGAAGTAGCTGTTCCTATATCAGCAGAAACAAGGCTCATTTCTTTGCACGAAATACTAAATACGATTAAAACTGCAATGATCGATAGTAGACGACTCATGATCGATCGATGACTGAGAAATAAAAAAAAAATTATATATTCGCAAATTTCAAGTAGAGGGAAGTTTGAAAAATGATCTGCTTGAATGGATTTGCAAATTGTGCCAAATTTATAGATGGGAGATATCGATGTCGGTTGTGATGTGATCACAATACAATAGTCAATAGTAGTCACTTAGGCAGATTGAAAGATTTTCAATCATCAGTTGACGCACGTGTGATTAATTTTTAAATAATAAATTATTGGTTTGTCTGAATAAAATAGATAGGTCGATATATGTGTAAAATATAGTGGGCATTAGATTAGTGGTTAACAACAAGTTTAGGCCTTTTAATTTAGTTTGGTTAAAGTGGGAGAGGAGATATATATCTTATCTCATTTTGAGTGTATCTTATCATATTAATTTACTATTAAGTATTAATTAATTAGATCATTTTTTGATACTACAGTACTACGTTAGTGGCATTACGTAATTTATGATTCTTTAGTACAGTACTTTATTTTTGATAAAATATTTTAAATTATCCTTCAAAGGAGTTAGAAGTGTAAGAGAAGACGTAATATAAATAATAAAGTAAGGATAAAAATGTATCGTCATTATTTATACTAATAAACTAATTAATTAAAGGTGAGTGAGACAATTGAATAAAGGTAGGTGCGTATCTTAGTTAATCTGAAGCAAATAAGAATCCGTGCACACTATCAACGAGATCAATATTTAGAGCCACATTTTAGCTGGCCGCCTTAACATGCGCACATAGTGAATTAGTGATCAATAGATGAGATCTTATCATCAATTACTTGTTAATAAAATATAAACAAGGTGTAACGTTATTGATATTTGTATGAATTCTTATCGAATCTTGGATATTGGGTTTGAGTTTGATTTGATCATCCGCCAAGTAATCGAGCTCGACAAGCTTAATTTTTTGTATGTTTATATATTTTCGTAAATTTTTTTTTTTTTGACCATTTTATCCCTAGACCGAGAATGCGAGACAGTGGCAAAAGCGTCATTTCGCAAACGCCGCCCTCACACCGCCCCATTATCCCATAGCCCTTCCACCATCCGCCGCAAACTAAATAATTCCCCACCGATAGTTGGATTGGGCCTATTCGTGTGATGCAATACTATTATGGGCCAAAATATAATATTTCTAAATGAAGAGGTAGTAGTTTGGACTGGATAAAATATATTTCGGCCCAAATAGGAAAGAGAGTCCTCCTAGGTTTTACTACAACTACTGCAAAGTCAGAAATGGTCTCAAATTCTATAATTAAAAAATCATTATATTCTCACTGCCATTTCAGGTCAATCCAAATCTTGAATTCAAAGGGCAGAGATCTCTCAAAATTTATTACGAAAAAATAAAATGAAACCAAATTGGAATAGACAATATATTACATATTATAAATCATAAATCATACTCCATATTATATTAGTAATTGGAATTAAATTCAGATATATATGTAAAATCACAGCTAGCGTATATACACGAGCATTTAAGGATTTTCCCAAAATTAATAAGGTATAGTATTTTAATTTTTAAATGATTATCATAAATTAAAAAAATCTGGGGTCGAATTGAAAAGGAGAAGAGAGAGAGAGAGAGAGAGAGAGAGTCCAGAGAGAGAGTCCAGACTCCAGACTCTCTCTTTCTCTAAAAAGAAAAGAAAAGCCCTTGTTGGATCCTCCGCCTCCATAATCTGTGAGTCCATAAAATTAGCCAAGATTCGGGGCGGTCGATAACAGATTTTATTAATTCCCCATTATTGATTATAGTCTAGACTCTCTCTAGAGTAGTGTGGGTGTGGGATTTTATATCCATTTCTAAACCCTACCGAATCTTTTCTTGCAAAATTACCACCTTCACCTCACCTACCGCTTCTCCTCACCTACCGCCGCCGTCGTCAAGAATGTAAGGGTTGGAGGGAGATAAAGAAAGAACTGAGAAATTAAGGGGTTCTGTTTGTTTTTTAATTTTGGAAATCTAATGGGTGGTGGAGGAAAAATTCAGTCTTTAGAGTTTAAGAGCAATGGGGTTTTATCAGATTCTCAATTAGGGCTTCAATGGAACAACCAAGATTGCAACCTTTATCCCGGTGGTGGCTTGTTTGCGTCTGTGAGTCAAGTGGGAAACAACGACAATGGCGGTTTTAAATTACCTTATGCCGATTTGCTCGGGAAGTATGTTTCACTGCCCGAGGGTTTTAAGGTGTCGGAGGAGGAAAAGGGGTTGACGAATAAGAAGAAGAAAAATAATGGGCTTAAGCTGAAGATTAAGATTTCGAATCCTTCATTGAGGAGGTTATTCAGCGGTGGAATTGCTGGTGCGATTTCAAGAACTGCAGTTGCTCCATTAGAGACAATTAGGACTCATTTGATGGTGGGGAGTAGTGGGCATTCCACTTCTGAGGTGTTCCAGGATATTATGAAAACCGAGGGGTGGCCGGGTTTGTTTAGGGGTAATCTTGTCAACGTAATTCGAGTTGCGCCTAGCAAAGCCATTGAGGTATAATCGAACTAACTGAGTTCTTGATTTCTGTTATATTAGTCTGCCTTGTTTACTTTACTTGCCCTACTTTTTACCAGTATGTTTTCATTTGTTCTTATATTTTTGTGATTTTAGCTTCAAATGCACTACGAATAACTGGCTTTGAATTTATCTTTATTGCTGTGAGCATTCTGTTATTGTTGTAATGTGTTAAGGAACTTGAGGTTGAGAGTTGCTGCTGCACAACGTAGTCCGATTTTAGTGGGGTTTTTTTTATAGGTTTATTCTATGTTCTTGACTTTATTGGTCTTTAAAAATCCTCGGCAACTTTGTTAGCTTTGGTACTGTACAATTTTGATGGTCGTTTACTCGTTATGTGGCTGATTGCCCCTTTAATGTTTCAATGCCGACAAATAAAACCGTGTTCTTGAAAATTAACCATTTCAATTTTCTTATTACCATCAACTCTAGTCTTCGTTGGCTCATGTTGTTTCGACCGTCAATCTGTGTCTTGTTATCATCAAATCATTTTCGTATCTATACTCTCCTCATGTATTATGTTCTTTACAGTTATTTGTTTACGACACCGTGAACAAGAAACTGTCACCAAAAAACGGCGAACAGCTCAAAATACCCATCCCTCCTTCTCTAGTTGCCGGCGCCTGTGCTGGAGTCACCTCAACTTTGGTCACGTACCCTCTTGAATTAGTCAAGACTCGTTTAACCATACAGGTAAAAAGTTAAACAGAAACCTAGTTATTATCACTTACATTCCCAAACTTCTATCCAATTTTTTTTTTTTTTTTTTCTTATTTGCCTATTTCAGAGAGAAATTTATACCGGTCTAGTCGATGCATTCGTGAAAATAATAAAAGAGGGTGGCCCAGGCGAGCTCTACAGAGGCCTCGCTCCAAGTATAATCGGTGTAATCCCATACGCTGCAACAAACTATTGTGCCTACGACACATTGAGAAAAGTGTACCGAAAAGTATCCAAGCAAGAAAAGATTGGCAATATAGAAACCCTATTGATTGGTTCGTTAGCTGGTGCTATTTCGAGCACTGCTACTTTTCCTTTGGAAGTGGCTCGTAAGCACATGCAGGTTGGTGCAGTGAGTGGAAGAGTGGTGTACAAGAATGTTCTACATGCTCTTGCAACTATACTCGAAAGAGAAGGCGTACAAGGTTTGTATAAAGGGCTTGGACCGAGCTGTCTGAAATTGGTTCCTGCTGCTGGGATTTCTTTCATGTGTTATGAAGCTTGTAAGAAGATTTTGGTAGAGAAAGAGGAAGAAGAGTAGGTGGGCATGCGATAATGGATTACAAATTTTTGGCATTTTTTATACAACTTTTTTTTTTTTTCGGTTTAATTTTCGCCATTCGGAAGTTTTGATTGGGATTTTTTTGGAGACAGTGGAGTTTTGGATTAGAGTTGATTATGTTATTTTATCAAACAATTAATGTTTTTTAGTGTTGTCATTTTAGTAATAGATTGCAATTGCAAGCGCCGAGGTATATACATATAATTAATTACATTAATCGTAATATACTGCACAGCAATACGGCATCGACTGGTGAACGAGTAACAAAGATAGCTAGAAATTAGTATTAAAGTGTTAACGAATAAAAGCCTCTCGAGTTTCGACTATAATCATCACGCTATATCTCCAACCTACAAATTCAATCTACGACACCTTGATTATTATTTCACAAGAAAAACACTTGAACCAAAAATCACTACTTTCGACCCTCTTGCGAGCCTGCAGTTGTGTTCTTCAGAATCTGCAATTACATGAGATTCTCATCAAGAAGCGCGTTCGATCGAAAATATATGATTAAAAGAAAGAAAAGCAAACCTGTCTAAGCATTTGATTCTCATTTTGCAAAGTGGAAAGTCGCTCTTCGAGCTCGGAATTCTTGGTCTCGAGTTCTTTAACCCTAGCCTCCAAATCAATCATATAGGCCTTCTTCCTCTCCCTTGCTTGCTGTGCTGATACTCTGTTCCTCAACAACCTTTTTTATTTTTTTTCCCACCCAAAAAACAAATTACAATTACAATTTACAAACATGCCCCTCATCACAATTTACATTTACAATTTACAACCACCACTCCAGTGGATGATCAGCATTCAGCAGAGTGGGGACCCGGCTTTAGAGCTGAGAAATTACCTTTTTAGCCTCTTGTTTTCTTTCTCTGCAGGGCTTCTACCACTCCTCCTCCTTGAAGCGCCGCCTGATGGCTGGACAGGACCGGCGGCAGAACCTCCATTACGGCTGCCGGAAACTGTGGGACCCGCTGCCTCACCTCCCATCTCTGGTACTCTTCTTATTTCATCATCACTCTCCATACCTTCCCAAAAGTATGTAGCAAACATATCAGTTATCAGACCATCCTCTACGTTATTACAAAATGTCGAAAATCTTCTTTAATTCTTTCAAACCCCAATAAAATTATCTTCAAATTGCACAAAAAAAAAAAAAAGCAACACAGATCATGATCATGAGAATCAGACATCTTTGAATATTACTAGCAGCATGATCACATTGTAGAAATTAAATTACAAAAATAAAGATTAGAAAAGTAACCTTCTTTAACTTCAACATGAAGAGCAGAGCTAGAAGATCTCTCACTACTCGAAGGAAACGAGCTCGCCGCCATAGAACTTGTTGCTTGATCCTGCATTTCCTTCACTAACCAAAACAAGAATCTAGAGAGAGAGAGAGAGAGAGAGATCTTCTAGAGAGAGAAACTATGATGATGAGATATTTAGCAAGTCGTAGAGAACAAAAAGAGCGGGATGTTGATTTCACAGAACATAGACAGGGGAGTAAACCGTTGGATTGACTTTTGATCTGACGTATCATAAGCAGCAAACGTGGCTTTGTTATGAGCCATGAAGCTGCTGTACATTACAATGGTGGATGGGAAGTGATCGTGGTCGGATAATAGCTTTTGGATCAACATTTGATCGGACGGCTGTAATGTGGTTAGGGTAGGTTACACTTTACTACCCATTATCTCTTGTTGCTTGCTTGCAAATAAATGTTGTCTAGGCTAGTGAAAAAATGCTACTGTTTCAAAATTCAAGATCAGACCCTCCAACTATGAGTAATTCATTTTTAACCCCTTAAGTTTTGACAAAACTTCATTCAGACCACTCTGTTAAGGACTTCTTCAATTTTTTATTCTATATGTTTAGAAGAAGAGAAAAGTGTATGCATGGTAATATCTAACCAAAGACTCTGGGGATGTTTGGTTATGTTTCCAATGAGAATTTCTAGTTTTTAAAATTTCTAATAGAAAAACTAGTTTATTCGTTTTTGTGTAGAAAATGAGAATATGTTTGGATGAAGGGAAAGTTTTAGTTTTATGTAGGTGTAGAAATGAGAATATGTTTGGTTGGGGTGGATTTTCTCTACGAAAGTACTTGAAAAAGTAGAATATAATGATTGAGGATGATGATAGCGATTATTATTATTATTATTATTATTATTATTATTATTATTATTATTATTATTATTATTATTGATTATTATTATTATTATTATTATTATTATTATTATTATTATTATTATTATTTATATTTTTAGTAGTAGTAGTAGTAGTAGTAGTAGTAGTAGTAGATAGAAAAATTGGGAATAAAGAGAGTGTAGATATTAATGAGAAGAGAAAAATGAGTTGATGGAATAAAATATATAGGTTAGAAGTAGGTTGAAAATGAAAAAGTATGAATAGTGTATTTTCAATAGAAATTTGATAAGAAAAAATGGGATTTTCTGTATAAAATTGTGAAACAAACATGATCTCAGTTTTCTGAATAGTATATAGCTTGGAATATTGAGTTTTGAAAATGAAACCAAACGTCCCCTCTAACTTCATCGTATTTCAAAAAAATGTTTTAAACATTACATGTAAAAAAAAACCGAAAATGAAAACAAAATTCAAACTTATTTCAGTACATATTCAGAGATTGATTTCATGTATCATGTAAGTATTTCCTCTGTATAAAATAGACCTGTTTTGAGCTCCAACACACCACAAATGGCCTTGAAGCACCAAATCTCCTTTCATGCCTGCCGATTCCCACACGAACTTAAACAAACTCAATGCCTTATCCAATTGCTTCACCCCATTCCAAACTACCTTCTCCTCATCCACCGTCAAAATCTTCCCCATATACAAGCAAAACTTACCCCCGTAACCGATTGCATGAACCCCTCCACGCACTTCTATTTCAACGTTTTCAACGCTTCCGTAAAGATAATATAGAAGAAGCGTAAACAAACATTGAGATGGAAGGCCCAAGTTTTTCGTGAGCTTTTTCTGCACCAAATGTTCTTGGTACCTAATCTCCTTGTATCCGATGTTCTTATCGATCAACACCTCCCGAATCTGATACAACCCTTCTTTCATTCCCTCTAGCTTCGAAACATGGATTGCTAAATCCTCTTCATCGGTTAGGCAGTTGATTAGATCCATTGCCATCTCGAGGGCATCTTCCCATTTAGGCGATTTGGGGGTATTCGCCCCCTTTGTAGGCGTTAGTCGCATCCAAGAACTGGTTTCGGGGTCGTAAGATACAGCAGATTCAAGAAACTTTAGTAAGCCAGTAGTGATTTGATGAGCCAATCTTGTCTCTTTACTTGGCCTGCGGTCAATCAAAACCTCGATTTCGGATTTCAATCCGTTGAGTATTTCAACAAGTGCTCCGGTCCATATTTGGTGTTCTGTGATCTGTGGGCATATATTATGCCTTACCACCTTCCTTTGCTGTGCAGAAACGCTCAAAATGTCGGAAATCTTTGATAACGACTTCACTATGAGTGGCTCCCTTTCGTGGCATTTAGAGAAGTATTGAAATTCTGCGAATTGTGTGTCGGCAAATGAAGCTAATATATTCTTCTTCATTGTCTCTTTTGTTAGCGGGAGCCCGATAAAGACCCTAGCAACGGACTTGAAAGTATGCAGTTTCTTCTCTAGCTTATCGTCGTAAATTCTTGAATGGTCGTTGATATTGACAAGCCGTCCATCAATCAAGTCGAATTCTTTCAGAGAGTGGCTCCATTTCTTCATCTTTGAGAAAGCCATTCCACACCATTCCGAAGAAAAAATCTCTTCTTCTGTTTCGGACGATTCTTCTCCTCCTCCAGAACGATAATACGCTAGCCTCGTAAGCATCCCATTATCTTGAGTTCTCAATAAATGTCTTGATCTACACAGAAAATTAGCAACGTACTTGCAGGCCATTTCAAGCTTTATCCACAGTTTCCTGCAAATGGGTTTTTCCACTAAAGCTTACACGGCCAGAAAATACCGAGTCAGACATTTCATCGAACAGTTTATGAGCAGCTTCATTGTAGAATAATGCATACCGTAAAATCCAGATATACAGCAACAAATCAACCTCGTATACAGCGATCTATGCAGAACAATTCTTCACCTAATTTAAATGGTGAATCAGATAGTCAAATTGCTACATAAGAACAACCAAACGTCCAAATTTCCGTCTGAAGATGAAAAATAGTAGCAACTTTTGTCAAAACACGCTTTTCGAGTTTTTCCAATTTTATTCTAAATTGTAACCATAAACGCATTCTACCTTGTAACTAAATATTTTGTACATAAATGACGAATTTGACCTTCAACATTCAAAAAAATTATTAATAAAAAACGTGACCAACAATTCATCTTCCCTCCAAATTATTGCAGCTTACTAAACAACCCAAATTCGGACATCATTAAAATAAAATAAAACAAAACACACACACAAACAATAAACAAGAAACACCATTAATGAACCAACAAAATAGCTTCCTCAAAACCCATAATTATTTTATTATGATTATTCCTTGTCTTCCTGACCATGTTCGCGGTCTCGCTCCTCGCCCCAAGATCGAACACAAACACGCAGTTTCTTAGCAGCAATAATGAACTCCAAAGCCTGCACAGGTTTAAGTATTTTCACCATTTCCTTAAATGTTTCAAGCCTCAAATTATCAGCTTCCTCCATCAAACAAACCATCGCCTTTTCGATTTCGGCGATCGTTTCTCTTACATCTTCGTTCAGCTCGTATTGTGGGCCCTCCAGTTTTCTTGCTATGAGTGCCAATGGCACGTCAGCTTTGTCCTGCTGCAAGCTAGCAAATTGGCTTGTCAGCTTCTCTTCCTCAACTATTGTTCTTCTCTGCAGATTGTCTATTGCAACGAGTTGACTCGGTGACAGCTGTGGAAACTCGTCACTTTTCCCATCTGATAAATTCATACAAGAAAATTTCATCTTAATATATTGTAGCATACACTTTTTTCTTGAAATTGGCTGAAATGTTTAATTTTATAGAAGATGTTTATGCATAAGTAGTATATAAATAGTTCATCTAAAAACCTTGTTTCATTAGCTTCGAATTATCAAGCAAAATTCCAAAAAATTAATATATACTATAGCATACACTCTTTCTTGAAATGTTCAATTATTTTGTTAAAAAAAATCACACTAAAACATATGATATAGAAGACGATGTTTTTTCATAAATAATCAAGAAATAGTTTATCTTCACAAATTTTTGAATAGTCAAGCAAAAAAATTGTATAGTATATCTTATTCAAGTTGAATCAGAAAGTTATTCAAGTTGGATAAAAAAGTGAGCTAAGAGAACTACTAATTTTGTGTTTTGATTTTTGGATTGAAAAATGGTCAAAATCACCTACTAATAGTAGGAAACGTACGGTACTGATAAAATTGAAACGATATTTAACATTATGTAATAAAAGGTAATAAAAGAAAAGAAAAAGAAAAGAAAAAAGATAGATGAACCTTGGAGAAACTGAGAGAGTCTGGAATCGATATCTGAACCACAGAGCGCATAAAAGAGATTGAAGAAAGAAGAAGGTCTGCAGCCAGCTATCCATAACATGGAGCTCTCGAAGGAGGAGCACCACCGCGGGGAGAAGAAAGCTGAGGTGTCGCGGCGGGCGAGGCGGTTCCGCCTTTCGATATAGTCCTGGAAACTTTGAGTGGCTTTATCAAGAAGTGCGTTTATCTCGGCATCATTATCGGAAGTGGTGGCAGTTGTTTTGTTGAGGTTTAAGGAATGGATGAGCTCAGTGAGTTCTTGTTCTTGAAAACTCATCCATTCCTTGTACATGTTCTGCCCTTCCACTCTCTCACTACTACTACTTCCCATTTTCGATATCAGATCTCTCTCTCTCTCTCTCTCTCTCTCTCTCTCTCTATCACAAATTATATCTTTTTTTTACTAGTGAACGTGTGTGTGTGTATTATATATATATACTGTGTGTGATAAAAAATATGTGGAGAAATTAAAACAAAATCTTTATAAGTTGTTAATTGTTTTTTTCATGCATGCCACATTGCCAAACAGTCTGATTTACATCTCTCGTTTAATTTGGTTGGTATTACGAGTGGTTGCGGGTTTCTTGGTTGTTAAAAAAGAAATTTAAGAAGAAATAATAATAGGAGCAAAATGAGTTGAAATTATGGAATCAAAGCGACAAAAAAGCAAAGCATGGAATCCCACATGACAATGCCTAGGTTTTTGCAACTTGACTCCTAATGCTTAGGTTTAGTCACTTTTGGTCAATCTTAGTCGCCAAAGGTTACACAAATGTACGTCAGTTTGCTTGCCAGCTGCATCCATGTCCATTGTCGTCGTGTCTTCTTTCCCACCGTTTCATCACACATAGACACGCCTACTTTATTAACAAGACACGTCCACGTTTCAGACGCGCTTTTTGCAAAACTGCATGCTTCGGGCTTTGGATTACCCGGCCCATTTAAAGAAAACCACCACTAAAAAGAAGGCCCATATAAAAATCACTAAAAAACGTGTTGTTTTGATTTCGGCCCACTACACTGTTAATATTACAGATATCTGTGCCTCAAAAAAACTTTTGGTGGTTTCTTTCTTTCTTTCTACCTCGTACACAATTTTCCTACATTTCTCTCTCCCATATACAGACAAACAAATCTCTCTCTCTCTCTCTTTTCCTTTTTCCCTCTCTTCTTTTAACCGATTTCGTATACCATCCTCATTTTTTCAGTGTATCACGACTCGGAGGAGCCCTGCTTGTGGCTCGGTGTAGTCAAGTCTCTCCTCTTCAAGTAGGTAGTGCTGAACAGCACCGGAAAGTCTTGTTGGTGTGCGTGGACCCCTCGTCTGCTGACCTGTCCCCACATATATGTAAGCGACCAATCGTTGGTCTGCTGACCTGGCAGCATTCTTCAGCACCGCCAGCTCACCCTTGAGCACGTACATCGCTTCACTCATGTGCAGACCATGCAGGTCGATCATTCGCTCTCTCCAGTTAGCCTGAATCTCCGGATTCCTGCATTATCAGTCAAGTGTGCACAATTTACTTTCGTCTTCTCTTGTTTATCGTAAACCATTTTCACGATGACTTTACAAATAAAAAATAAATAAACCTCGGACGATAAATTGATTCTTGAGCTTTCCCATGTGCTAATTTCATCTGCATATTGTGCAACTGTCCCTTGAAAATCAACTCTTTAGCTAGGGCGTTGTTACCGGTGAGGTATGCTTGACGTGCCTTAGTTCATCGAAACGATAAATTTATTTGTTCATTCAAACAAAAATCAATTTATATTTCCAATTTATCAACAAGATAGATACATATATATACTCATATAGAACACACCTGCTCGATGTACACATTGCGTACACGTGCACGGTCACGAGCTCCCTCCCTCATTTCAGAATAAACATTCGCTGCCATCCCGATAAAGTTAAAGCATATATACACACACGCAATTAAAAGTTTCTAAGACCGAGTTAAATTATTAAATTATATTATTTTGCCTCGAAGATATTATTACCGACTGCTTCTCCTCCAGTTTCAAGCCAGACAGGAGATTCGTGATTTCCATAAACGGCCCTTTGTGGGACACCACTGTATGAGCTTTCCAGGATTTGTGAACTTGTGCTCGATCCGACATTTGTGTCTGAAGATCCATTCCTTTCGTATTTCCAGATGCTTGAATCTTGAGATGCCATTTTTCTTACAGCCGAAGCATAATCTGAACCACGTCTTGATGGAATCGATGAAGGTCGAAATACAAATGTGCTATTATCCGTTTCAGTTGAGTGATAAGGGCTAATATTTCGATGATTGTCGTCAGAAAACTTTGGCAAATCTGCCCTCGAGAGAGCGGGAAAATCCAAGGCCTTTGAATTAAGAGTCGGATTCAAGTCTCTATCAGCTTGAAGCTGCAACCAAGTATATATATTATATTGTGAAAATAATATACGGAAAATACAATCAAAGATAAACACATAGTTCTCATGTTCTTATCATAACTGCATGACTAGTTTGTCTAACTAATGCTTGTCTACGCCTTCATATGACTATCAAGAATTCGTACACAAATAGTAATTAGTAGTATCAGACCAATGCATAAGACACAGTCCAAACAAAAAGCATGCAGCATTAAAAAAAAAAAAAAAGCATTTTTTTCCGATTACATAGCTAAGATTTACATCACATGGAATTTAAAGAATTCTTGTCAAAAACAGAGGAAAATAGCTTACCTCGAGCCGAGAAAGCCTCTCCATTGTTAGGTTTAGGTCGCCTCCACTAGAGAAATACGCCTTCACAAGACTTTGATCTGCAAAACCAGGAAATCGTGAAGCTAAAAACTCAAGAGGGCCCACATCAGCATTCTCCACCAATAATTGCTCATTCGAAATTTCTGCAAGGAAACCGTTTCTTGAATTTCGATTATAAGAATGGCCTTGTCTTGCAAGAACATGATCATTGATCATAACTTGTTTGTCCAGTTTTCCAAGAGAAGGCTGAAAACCCGTATTAGGAGCTGGATAATTTCCATACGATGAGACGGGATATCTCATCTTTTCAGTATGGCCATTACCATTAATAGAGTAAGGTGATAAACCCTGTTTTTCGTTCAACATAGTATACCTTGAGCCTTCTTCATTAACATCAGCCAACGATAGGCCTTCGTTAAAGTCGGGAGTAATATCATCTGGGAGCTGATTGGACCAATACTGCTGAGCCTCTTCATCGGAGTTATTCGAAATCGAAGACTCAGATCTATCTAATATAGATTTCGAAGCAAATTTAGAAGACGTATCTGAAATGGTAATGGCTGCAGATTGTGACCTAATAGCAGAAGGAACGAATTCAACTGCATTTGGATTCAGAGTCGCCTTTGCAGCACTAGAACCTCCTTTTGCCGAAAAGTTCATTATTATTTATAAAAAACGGAATTCTGAATATCAACTGGAACTGTAATATTGAGATTGCGTTAGCCGAGCCCTGCATATCAACGAGTTCTTCCACAAGTCAGAATTCTAAACGATGTACGAATTTAATCTAATGTATTCATTGCCCCTTAAAAATACAGGCAAACCGAATGTTCAGACGCAAAATACAGATTGAGATACTTACATAATGGTGAATACACCATGATTAACTAATAAATAAAATTAGTTGAACAACATTAAAAAACACACAATTAATGACAATATAGAGCTCCGTAAACGCAATAGCCAGAAGCTACAATCTAACCAATTAATAATCAATTAAATTTACAAAAAATAAATAACAAAAATCAATCAACAACAATTCATCATCAGCAATACTCATTTATACATTGAACTCAGTAGAGAAACAGCTGTAGTGGGAGAAGAAACAATAGCCACAAATTCGAACTTCAACAACACAGCTAATATTAATAGATCTCTTTAAATACGAACCAAATACAATTTACAAGTGAAATAAAAAAAGATCTGGATTCTGTGGATATACCTTTCAATGCAGCTCTGCGATGAACGAAACCGTATCAAATAATAAAAGCAAAAAATGGGGTTTTCAATTTTAGAAAAGTGTGTGTGAGTGTGCGTGTCAATCTATATAAACACAGAAAAAGAGAAAATTTATTGAATCTTTCTACTTCTACTTTTATTTTTCTTGAGCTGTGAGCTGTGGCAAATATGTATCTATTTCTCTCTCTATAAATCTCTCTAAATCTCTCTATCTCTATTTCAGGCTTTTCATTTTTCTCTCTCCCCCCCTGCACGGTTACACCTAGACCCTAGTCTCTCTTCTTTTTTGTTTTCTTTGTTTTTTTTTTTTTTTTGGTAATTATCATTTCATTTTCTTTTTAGATTTTCCCAAGATTATTAAATTAATTTATATTTATAATTCATATATGTTCCAAGTATCTAAATAATAAAAAAAAATTGTGAATTGAGTAATCGTCCGACCATAATAAATAACAAATTGTATAATAGTTGGTAATTGAAATAATTGTAACATATTCATGAGTCGAGTTTCGGTTGACTCAACTTTACATATCATACTTCATTATTATAGGCTTGAACTTTCATATCATCGGCCCAGGCACTAAACACGTCTGAAGTAAAATTAAGGCCCGACTCACTAATACATCGAATTTTGGTTAGGCTCAACTCAATTGTCTGTCCTACTTTCAACAAACAAAATCCGCATGAGTTCATTTTACTTACTCGGTTTCATTATTGTTTTAATGTTGTGCTATTTTGAATTATTATCTCTTGTTTATTTTTTCAGTGGGGACAATAAAATCAAGACAAAGTATAATGAAATTTCAAAGTTAAAATCTACTCATGTACTCAATAATACTATATTAAACCAAGTGAATTAAGAGCCTTGGTAGCCATGCCATATCAAGTCTTGATACAGTCAACTATTTTATACGTGGAGAATTTAAAGATTAGGTTGATAAGACAGAATCTTTATCAAAAGTGTGATATGATAATTATTGACATTTCTAATGATATGATAAAATTATATATTCAAGTGGTGCAACATTGTTTAAACTAATTAAAACTCATTTTCTCCTCCTCTATGTTACTCTTCTGTGTGTGTGTGTGTGTGTGTGTTTTTCTTCTTATCATTTTTGTTGTTTTTCTTCTTTTGTGTTTTTTTTATAATTTCATTTTTTTTCACATCGTCCCCACAAAAGGGTACAAGTTGCTGCGACGCTATTCTAGGCCACAACTTATAGTCCCACATATGAGAAGATTTAATTTTTTTGATTTTTGATTTCTCTCACGTCACTCAAATCGATTAATGTTGTTGATCAAGAATATATGCGTGTGAGTAATCCAACTAAGCTCGCCGGTTTAATGATGTCAATTTAGTCTCGCATACGTTAACTTTTAGCTTTCATAGGAATTTTGATCGGACGTCACTCCTACCAAATCGATAAGCGTTTTCCGGTACATAAGCTCTGATTAAAAAGTGTTTTCAGAGTATATTATGTATTTTTATTTGGATCTGCTCGAATTTTTTGACTCAACGCCTTGCCGTAAAACCTCATAACCCAATGTTTCTTGCACTGATCAATTGATTTTTAGTTTTGGGTCACCCTTCTTAGACTTTTATATGCAATGCAATTTTGTTATCCGGACAAAGTCAATATGGGCTGTAAAATTAAGAGCCATTAATTAGATTAAAGAGCTTTAAGAGTAGTACTATACAATCTTAATACAAGAGAGTGACACGTTGTGGTGGTATTTGGAACATGCGTGACCCCACGCGTCCAATGATGCACGTGGCCGTCCTTTTTTCCCGGTTGGCTCCGACCACCCGCAAATGTTGCCGTCAGTACAGCTGGCGAGTCCTCTGAGTTGTTTTAATCAGCTGTACCACGGACTAGTATTACCCTCCTGTACCACTCCATTCATACTTTTTTTTTTTTTTTTTAATTCCACTTTTTTACTTTTTAATAAATTGACAAAAGAACTTTACTTAATAAACTTCAATCTAATGCAATTAATCGCAAATACACAAGTTCGATTGCAATACTTAAGATCATTCGTTCTGCTTATTATACGTTTTTTGATAAAAAAGAAATTCAAAAAAATCTTAATTTAAAAGAAAAAATGAAGTATTTAGGGAACTTATAAGATTTAAAGAAAAATACATAATACATTGTATTAATTTGGTTTTATGCTGTCGCAATCTGTACTTGGAGAGACAAAAATATTTACTGTTGCAAAAATAATATAATGCACTTTATTTTCAAGATTTTCAATAATTGTTAATAGTCGATAGTTTTAATTAGTAGCAACAACTTAATTGCAAGAATATCTCATACACTCACCAATCTTGATTAAGAAATTTAAAAAAAAATAGAATACTTCAAAATTAATCCTAGGAGTAAAACACGTCTCAAATTAGCCCTCCAATTTTAGCATTTATTTTTATGGGCCTCAAAACTTGTAAAGTTGTTGTGAATTTTACCACCATTTCTTTAAACAATTCAAAAAGGCCCAACAGTCCAAGTTTTGAGAACGTTGACCAAATCTACATACATTCAAGATATAGGGCAAAGATCAATCGAGCTCACAGAAATCATCCGACATGCAAAGCAGCAGATCCTAGCTCGTTCGAACAGCCAATAGAAATGTAGCCATCAAAAAATAATTACTGCGTCAAGAACCGCCAATGATTGGTAATGACACTTTCTTGTCTGTAATACTCACGTTAACACTGCTTAGTTGGCACCAGAGTTCAGAAAATCTATCCAACTTTTCATGTTAAAAACCACACTTTTTATTTTATATATATATATATATATATATATATCGTCACAATCCTGCTATTTTCTCAGAATCCCAGTTCACACACGCACACAGAAATGTATATGGTATTCAAACGTTTGATAATCGGCGGAGAGATTGTTGAAGAAGAAGGAGAGTGGGAGAAAGAAAGATAAATATATATTATATATATTATATATTTCTGGAAGAAATTAAATTAAATCCAGGTTCAAATAAAATTCATCAGTTACCAAATACACACGCGGCAAAGATTTTCAGCACAGATTCTTTCTATCATAACTCGTAATTGCCATTAAACCCTTTTATTCAATTTTCGCCATTTGAATTTTCAAAAAATAGAAAAAGAGAAGTTTCAGTTTTATTACACGCGTGCTTCTCCTCTCATATATATAACAGCCATTTTTCTTCCAGCAGGTTGTAATAACAATGGAGAATAATATTTCAGACCAAACAACGGAAGTCGTGTCTGCAAGATGCGAGTGCTGCGGGCTGACGGAGGAATGCACGGACGAATACATAAAGCGTGTCCGCGACCATTATTCGGGCCTGTGGATTTGCGGGCTTTGCTCGGAGGCGGTAAAAGACGAAATAGCCCGATCGAACAAAGAGATCAAAGACGAGGAAGCCTTGAATCGGCACATGAGTTTTTGCAAGAAATTCAAGAATCTCAGCCCGCCGAAGAATCCAACTGAAGAATTGATTTGTGCTTTGAAACAACTGCTAATGAGGAGTATCGACTCGCCCCGATCCAGCCCGGTTGCAAAACCCGGTAATAATAACATGATTAGGTCTCGTAGTTGTCGTCCTGCTCTCGACTCTGGTTTTCTAGAAACCAGCTGATTTAATTTTATAAGTATTGTCTTATAATTCATAAATCGAATAATAATTGATGTTTTTTTTAAGGTAGCAAGAGAAAAAAAATGTTCCAGAAGAAATATTTAATTTGCTAGCATGAGTTTTTATTAGCCTTGGTTATATATATATGTATATATTATATGAAGCAATAGAAATAAAACTATAATAATTAATTATATTTAGAAAAATAATATTCGACTGAAATAGTTACGATACTAAAAGAGGCTAAGATTGCATTACAGACAGTATGGCAGAAAGAGCAGGTTTCCTTTTCTATTTCTGGATAAAAAATTATTATTATTATTTTTTTAAATTATATTCATTAGTACATATTCTGCATAGTACATTCATTCATCTTTGTACGTTCGTTGCTTTAGGATTTGTACTACATATTTTTCGTCACTAATTAATTAAATTTGCAACAATTAAATAATTCCACATGTTTAATAAGGATGCAAATTCAATAATAATAGTTTGTGGGGTTTCATTTATTTGAAATTCAAATTTCGTTTATTTTTAAAGTGAGAATATTTTTTTTATTCCTTTTGTGGTCCATTAAATTGACCTTTTTTAGCAACATAAAAAATTCTACATTTCTTTTTTTTTTTTTTTTATAAATTGAAATAAATATAATGAATTTTTATTTATTTATATTTTTGTTCTTGTTGTTGTAGTAGTACCTAGGTGAACACCTCGTATTTGTCCCTGCAAAAAAAAAAATTAGTGTTAACAATAATACGAACTTGTTAATAACGTACAAAAGAGTGCAAGAAGAACAAGAACAGTAGTACAACTCAATTAAAAATACACATCAAATTAAATAATTATCTCTTCCACCTAATAAATAATAAATTTAAATAATAAATCTATTCGACGAATCCAAATCCAACTCCACCAAAAAAAAGTCCACACAATTCCTTCTTCTTCTTCCTTAATATACAAACAAAGCATCAAAATCCAAAACCCAATCTGCAAAATCAAGATCCTTTTTTTTTTTTTTTTTTGCAGACTGAATTCTTCATTCAATTTCTGCAAAGATGATGCATATGACGTTTTACTGGGGGATAAGAGCAACAATCCTCTTCGATTCATGGAAAACCGATTCATGGCTGAATTACTCCCTCTCTCTCCTCGCCTGCTTTCTCTTCTCCGCCTTCTACCAGTACATGGAGGATCGCCGCTTCCGAATCAGGCTCCTCTCCAAGAACACCCCGTCTTCCGGCGGCGGCGCCGCCCCCCTCGAAACCCCTTTGCTCTTCTCCAAACTGGGTGGCTCCAATTGGCCGCCGTCGCGATTTGCTGATGCGATCTTGTTCGGGATAAACTCGGCGATCGGGTACTTCTTGATGCTGGCCGTCATGTCTTTCAACGCCGGCGTGTTTCTGGCGGTGGTGGTGGGTTTGGCCGTTGGGTACTTGATTTTCAGAGCCGGCGATGAAGATCGTGTCCTGGTCGTCGATAATCCTTGCGCCTGTGCTTGATCCGATCTCTCTCTGATCCCTCTCTCTCTCTCTCTCTCTCTCTCTCTCTCTCTCTCTCTCTCTCTCTTTGTTGTAAAATTGTGGTACTTTATTATTACATGAATACAGAGGATCTGTATTTCAATTTCCCAATTTGCTTCTTAGTACTGTTTATGATTATCTTTTTAATTTTCTTACATCAAAATAAAATATTTTGCCCAGAATATTGTTGTAACAATATATAAAAACTCATTGGTCAATATTTAAATATTAATATCCTGCATCTTTGTGGTGTACCTTGAGCAATTTAGAAGCAGGTGTACTCTGTTTCTTGATTGGTGAAAAAAATATTCATTGATTAGTCTATTCTGTTTTTGCAATTGTTTTAACAATTTTGACATATATTTGCTGCCCAAGAATTACAATTGCATTTTGGATAAATTTTTTGAAGGCTAGAAATTCCAATAAATCTGGAAATTGTATTTGTATATTTCTTCCTTACAACTTATTCTTGAAGACATTGTATTTAGTATTTATAGTATTGAGGCAAAGTAAGCAAACAAAATCATTCATACTTAGCAATAAGGCATGACGCCTTACTATGGCTGCTGTCTGCTGAAATTGTCACCATTTACGTAATATAAGCGATAAGAATTTGCATATTTTGAACATAATCGATAAGAAGAAATCGATTCTTGTTGCCGACATATACATATGTTCTTTTATGATTGTATATATATACATAGATAGAGAGAGAGAGAAAAGATCAAGAAAGTAACTAAGAGAGAGAGCAAAGGTTAGATATAGACATTGACGCAGGACGGAAGCACGGTAAAGAATTAATTTCTACGAATTAATCCTATAGAACAAAATAACATTCGGAATCCACCGAAAACTCTGGAATCCACCAGAAAAATAGAGAAAACTCTAATATTTTATTAAAATTCGAAATTATTCCAAAATAAAGTCCTAAGGCAACTATTTATACTAAAAAACTGAAAACCCTAATTAAAATAAGAAAATACTAAAAATTACCAAAAACGGAAAAAACGAGTTAAATCCTAATTCTAGTAGATCTCGTAATTTTGGGAACAACCCAATTTACGGAATCCTAATACGATTTTTCTATGATTTGATATTAATTTTCTAAAACTTACCTAAAATAGCAAAAACGAACTTTTAGGAGTCTAAACGACGTTGGATTGCTGAAATTGGACGTGATTCATGAGCAAAGCTCATGAGTTTTGTTCCTTGCGCCGTTTCACTTGAGATAGAGTTCGTTTCATACTCAACTACGATTAACCCTTATTTTTCCATAATTTCTTTCGATATTTCCACCCATGTCCATTAATAACTCTTCTCCGAATTAAATAGTTATTTTCCAACACGAATCCAATTTGACGTTCCTTATCAGACATAGATATAGATATAAAGATATATGGCAGTCTCGTTTCTCCTCTCCCTCTCGAGTAGGTTCCTCCGCCGCTCCATCGCATCGGCTGGCCTCACATCTCAAACGGTGGAAATCGAAGACGATGTCGGTACCACCATCCACTTGTGGGGACCACCTGCCCCCACCTCCAAACCTCCGGTTCTACTCATACACGGGTTGGGTCCTCAGAGCATATGGCAATGGCGCAATCAAATCTCCTTCTTTGCCCGTGATTTTGACGTTTATGTCCCTGATCTGTTATTCTTCGGTGACTCCTTCACCAAATCCACCGATAGGACCGAGATTTTCCAAGCCACTTGTCTTGCTAAACTCTTTCAAAAACTCGGGATTTCTCGGTACGTAATGTATTATGATCAAAATTAGAGCTGGATTTTGGAACAAAAATTCCGAATTTTGCCGATTTCAATTCGAAAAAAATTTGATTTTGGAACAATACTTTGATTTTTCTGAATTTTTTTTGTTGAACGGAATTGGAATACATATTAGATTCCGATTTTTGATCTGATTTTAATTCGGGAACTAATTCCTAAAATTCCCAGTCTTTTTCCAAAATCTATACTTATAGTACCAATAATATTATGCATTTTGTATATTATAGGTGACCAAAAAACTTGAAATCTTTAACTTTCATCAACCTCAATCCGAAAAATAATTTTTATTCTGTAACAAGTTTTTTCATTTCGATTCCTTGATATTCCGTTTTTTCCAATTTTTTTGGAATTGGTTGTCCACTTCCGGAAAAAAAAACTGAGTATTTTTTTTTCAAAAATGCTAATAATTATGATATGATCCGTGTGATTTCCACCCCTAATAAAATTCATTAACCAATCAGTATCTATATTTGAATTAGGTATTCGATAGTGGGGACGAACTACGGTGGATTCGTGGCATACCACATGGCGGCAATGTGGCCGGAGAGGGTTGAGAAGGTGGTGTTTGCCAGCTGTGCTGTGAACATGAGTCGGAGGGACACAAACGAGCTGATGCAGAGAGCAAAAGTCGAAAAGATCGAGGATCTGTTGATGCCGGTCAACGCTACGCAGCTCAGGAAATTGCTCGCATTCATAGCCGTCCGGCCGCCCTACTTGCCGGATTTTTTGCTCAAGGGTTTTGCTGAGGTGGCTGATATTTCAATTTTTCATTGTCCAACGTATATATATATTGCTACTAATCAATTAAAATATTGAATTTTGTTACATTTTATATGGTCCACAGAAATTGTATTCAAAATCCAGGAAAGAGAAGCTCGAACTCTTGAAAGAAGTTACCATTGGAAAGAATGACACTGTCACCATTTCTCCCTTGCAGCTGCAGGTATATATACATATATGTGTATATATGTATGTATATAAAACATAGTGATGATCATGCACCATATATATATAATACAAAATAAGGCTTGATTTGAAGCAAATCCTAAAATTGCAGGAGATATTGATTGTTTGGGGAGAGCATGATCGGATATTTCCGCTAGCAAAAGCCGTAGAACTCGAGAAGTACGCTTTTTTATTGTTGATAATTTAATTTGTCAAAATGAATATGTTTTTTCTAGAAAATAATGTTGACAAAATGCTGGTTTTGTGAAATAAAAAAATTGCAGATTGCTTGGGGAGAAGACGAGATTACACGTGATAAAAAACGCATCACATGCCAACCATCTTGAACAAGTATCCCAATTCAACAACGTTGTCAACAATTTCTTGCATGGCCCATAACTCAATATTATTACCCACTGTTGAGGGAATTACTTTTATTATTCGATGTAAAACAAGTTTATTAAGCCCATTTACGTTTGCCCTTTTTAAATAAAAGAAAAATTAATCGAAATTGGAAAATACGTAGTTAATGTTTAATTAGAGGCGTGATTACATCATTACAAATTAAATAATAAATTACAATGATTCATATTGATTGCTATAATTGAGGGTCAAATATAATGGTCTAAAATAATTTAGTAATTGAAATATATCGCGTCTTCCATCTTGATGTAATTTGTTCTATATTATTACAAGGCAATATTAATTGAAAAAAAAAATAAGAAAACTAAATTAGAACTCGAAATTTGACTCGTAACTGATTTCATCACATGGAATCAAATGTGTCGTCGTCTATTAATTAATTCTAACTAGCGTAAAGGATGAAATCTCTCATCGATCGTCTCATACATAATTTTAGCGATGACGTTTGTCATAAAAATTATATATATATTTTTACTACTTTTATACGACAACTAATTAGTAATTAATAGGTAATTTATACACAGCACATATATACTGTATGGGGATAGTATTAAATAAAATATGAATATATCAAATATGTAACAGAAGATGCAGGGTAGCAGCATGCAACACATACTTAGAGCATCTTCCAACGTCATCACTATTTTTTCACCAAATCCTATTTTTGATGGTGAAAAAATGGGTTTATCTCCCACCCTTAGCACACCATTCTACGATTTCACTACTTTTGGTGAAAAAGTAGTGTATTTAGTCTCCCACCAATTCCATCAAATTTTACACCAAATAATAAAATAATAATATTTCACCATTTCCCTATTTATAGAGAATAGCATTTGGCTTGGTCTCCCATGGTATTTCACCAAATATATCACAAAATTATAAATTTAATGTTAATCATAATTTTAGTCTATTTTAATTTAAAAAATATTGATTATAGATCCGATTATAAGTAATAATTTTATTAATTATATAATCTTAAAATTGTGATAAATTTCAAAAAAAAAAACTATTGAAACATGAATGAAAATCAACGTAAATTATTATACATATAATAAAATCACACATAAACATAATTTCATAACTTAATGCATAAAAATATTACAACAAAATTAATAAAAATAATTTCATAACTTAATGTTAACTAAGTAGTTTATGTGTATTTCATTTATATAATTTGTCTTGTATTTGTGACGTTATAATGTTATGTTTTAATTGTTTTCTGATAATAAATATATTTTTATTTAATAATAATAATAATAATAATAATAATAATAATAATAATAATAATAATAATAATAATAATAATAATAATAATAATAATAATAACATTATTAATAATAATAATAATAATAATAATAATAATAATAATAATAATAATATATTATTATTATTATTATTATTATTATTATTATTATTATTATTATTATTATTATTATATTTTATATTAATATACTAATATATTTTCTATAAATATATTTATATACTAATATACTAATATATTTATATATTATCATATTCATTAATTAACACTAATATATTTTCTATAAATATGTTTATAAATTGGTAATCACATGAAATTAGCTAATATAATACTTTTATATGCTAATTATAAAATGGTGTTAATTACACTAAATCCTATTTTAATTTCTATATTTGATAGGAAAAATAGGATTTGGTGGAAAAAATGGTAAAATGGTGGAAGGGTGGGAGATGCAAATTTCTTCACCACAAAAAATTGGTGAAAATATAGGATTTGGTAATATGGTGATATAGGTTTTGACCACAATGGGAGACTAAAACCAATCATCATAATTTTAGGTGTAATGACGATTTAGTGATTTAGGTTGGGAGGTTAAAAACACCTAAATTAGATGTAAAAAATAGGAAATGGTGTAGGGTGGAAGATGCCCTTAGGACCACTTTATCTTCATCTTCTCGTTCACGTGAACTTTGCCATAACTGAAAACCGTTGGATTTATTACATAACTAATTCTTCTGAAATTGCATGCAAAGATGCTCATTAACACTAACCAATATATTTATATTATTATTATTATATATATAAGTATAACTAACCCCCTTTTCTCATGTGAATAATGCGTATACAATTCGAATTAGAGGGGCGGCTAATATAATAATAATACGTACCCTACCAACTTAGCACCTTTAATAATTTCTTTATGTTTAATTTAATTGAATGCAATCAATTTTGTCCCACATATATGCTGTGGGTGGAGAAAGTAGGTAAGAGTTGAGGAATTCTTCATTTAATTCATCCAATTAATTTTCATTTATATAATATACTATTTTTACTTTCACTAAATCACTAATCAATTTAAAGAACATGAATCCCGTATTACATACACTGTATTGTCCAATATATACAAGTTAGTTATGCACACACATAAATGTGTAGGGTGTGTGTATCGAATGGTTTAGTTTCTCTCTCTCTCTCTCTCTCTCTCTCTCTCTCTCTCTCTCTCTCTCTCTCTCTCTCTATATATATATATATATATATATGGACTGGTTTGTTTAATAATATTTATACTTACATTCCTTAATTCTCATAATTAATTAATTAATTAATAGTAATTAAAAGTGCCGGAATGGGAGCCTCTTGTTTCAGCATCGTATGCCTGCTCAGCAACTTCCTCCGCCGCTCAGCGACGGCCGCCGGACTCTCCTCGCAGACGGTGGAGATCGACGGAGACACCACCATCCATTTCTGGGGGCCCACCGCCGCCACTTCAAAACCTAACCTTGTCCTAATCCACGGCTTTGGTCCTCCGAGCCTATGGCAGTGGCGTCAGCAAATCTCATTCTTCGCCGGAGAATTCGACGTCTATGTACCCGACCTACTATTCTTCGGCGACTCCTTCACCAATTCCACCGACAGGTCCGAGGTTTTTCAGGCAACTTGTCTCGCCAAACTCCTCGAAAACCTCCAGATTCATCGGTAATTAATTAATTAATGAATCAGCAAAAAGATGCGGATATGTATTTATTTATTTATCCATTAATTAAATTTGAATTCGGTTCCGATATGATCTAGGTACTCAGTGGTGGGGACGAGCTACGGCGGATTTGTGGCGTATCTGATGGCGGCGGCGTCGCCGGAAAAGGTGGAGAAAGTGGTGATCGCCAGCTCCGCCGTGAACATGCGGCGGAGCGACAACGACCGCCTGATGAAGAAAGCAAAAGTCGACAAGATTGAAGATTTAATGTTGCCCACCACCGCTAGCGGGCTGCGGACGCTGCTCGACCTCGTTCTTTTCCGGCGGCCGTACATGCCGGAGTTCTTGCTCAATGATTTCCTCGACGTGAGCGTTAATTTTTTTTTTTTTAATATCGAGTAAAATGATTAATAATTAAATGTTTATTGCAGAATAACAAATTAATTTTTTTGCGACAGTGAAAATTATCAAATATAATATTTATATTGCGGAAATTGGTACAGAAATTGTATTCTGAAAACAGGAAAGAAAAGCTGGAACTATTGAAAGAATTGAGAATTGGACAAGATGAAGTTGTCACCATATCTCCACTTTCACAGGTACACGAAATAATGACGTCATAATTAATTAATTCATCACGTAAATTCAATTTTTATTAAATTTGAAAACTGCAGGAAACGTTGATTGTGTGGGGAGAGCAAGATCAAATATTTTTATTGGAGAAAGCTACGGAACTCAATAAGTACGCAATTAATTATTATCAATCGCTTACTAATACGCAATTAATCTATATATATACATATACATAGTAGTTGAGTTGTCAATCACATTCACATGTAATGTAAATGATATTAATTCACGGAGCAAAATTGTGCAAAAATGAAGTTAATGTTGTTTTAATTAACAAATCCTTGTTAGTTATAGTAAATATATTAGTTAGCAAATATATACATATATATAATGTTGGTTTTGTGAATGCAGATTGTTAGGGGAAAAGGCCAAATTAAAGGTAATAAAAAAAGCATCACATTGTCCCCAACTTGAACGTGCAGACCAATTCAACAACATTGTCAATGACTTCTTTGTTCATGGTTTCAATATGTATTGATCTGTTTTTATATACATGGAAAAAAATTTCCATTAATTTCCTAGTGTTACCAATTAAGCTTATTGTGTTTTGGTGATAAATATTTATATTTTTGCACTTTATAGCTTCGAAAGGTTGATGAATGATTTGACAGTTGGTATTCTAAAAGTATACCATTAAAAATATTAAATTACGTTCATTAGTTTTAAAAATTCTTTTGGATGCATTATTCATGAATTGTTGTATTTTGAGGGTGTAAAGTGCTGTTAAATTTTTTTGAGAGTGGAAAGTGTGAAAAATATATATTTCAAGGGTGCAAAATGGGATGAAACCAATTGATCATATAAGCTTGGGCAAATTACGGCCACCCCTGAGCTATGGTCAATTACGAAAACCCCCCTTTTGTTTGGGTAATTACAGCCACCCCCTCAACTATGTATTTATCTTACGAAAAGACTCCTCCAGAGGTAACTTTAGAGATGTTAATTCGGTAAAACCGGACCAAAATTTTGGTACGCCAACATTTCATACCGTTTACCGAACAAAATATACGATTTGGTTCGGTAAATAACCGAATTACATAAATTTTACGTAAAAATATTTTAAAGGAGGGGGTGACTGTAATTACCCAAACAAGAGGGGTTTTTCGTAATTTGACTATACACGGGGTGGTTGTAATTTGCCCTATAGGCTTACAAGTGATTTAAAGATACGGGCCGGGCCGGGCCATACGGCAAACATTCTGGTTATCAAAAGCAATACATAAGTGGGCCAGGCTCATTATCCAGAAAACCCTACAATCTTAGGCCCAAACCCAAAACCATATTAAATAATTAAATTTCATAAAGTGGATCCGGGTATAAAATATATCAGAAAAAAGTTCCAAAATACAATTTATTTAATTAATGGTGACTTATGTCACACAATCAAACAAATAATTCTTCTGATAAATAAATTTATTAATTATTAGGTGGTAAAATTCAACATATTTAAATTAGAAAATCACCAAATTGTTTGTTGGATAATAACAAATTTCCCACCCTTTCATTTAATTTCTTTTTCAATTTTGTTTTTTTTTCCGCGAACACTGAAATATATAGTAAAGAAATAAGTGATTTTGACAACCAAGAATCATCTGGGTCAGAAAAGATTATTCAACTAAAGTGTTTGAAAAAAAGTTAAAATAAATGATTGAATCTGGCGTTGTTTTCCTCTCTATTTACAAAAGCACACTTCACCCATACTTCTTTCTTCCTCTTAACTCAACTACATAAACCCTAATCGATTCTTCCGTATTTTTTCTAAAATCGTTGTCGGAATCATCTTACAGGTTTCTCGATCTTTCATTTCCAGCATTTTTTCTGCTTCTCCAGGTTTATTTCAACTTCCTTTTTCTTTTCGTGCTGTTCGTTTATGTTGAGCTGGAATATTGAATATAGTGAACTTTTTTTTATTTTTATTTTTTTTGAACTGTTTGCATCATTGGGCTGTTGTTGAAGATTGTGATGTTTGAGCTAACTGATCAAATCTTAGTAGGGTAGAATTGAATTTGTGTTTCTAGATCGGGTCTGATTACAAATGCAGCAACATTTATTTCTTCGAATTCGGTTGTTAAATGTCTTGATGTCATTCTGGAGTAGGCGGATGCTTAAATTCGAAAAGTTCTTGCTTATCAGCTTTTGTAGTTGCATTTATAATCTCGAAGGCGCCTTACCTTTTGTATTTATTTATTTGAGAAAATTATGTTCCGGGTATGTGGTATTGATTCTGGGTAATTGAGCTGCATTAATCGTTTCCTAACACAAGGTTTTATGTAAATATCAACCCGAATTGTAAGATATTTTGTATCATGTGTGCCACGTGTGATTTGTGTTCATTAAGAAAAAAAAAACTGTTGTTGTAAGTTCTTAGTGATCTGCTCGAGACTTTCTTCTCAAAATTATAGCCCAATTCTATCGGCTCTGAAGAATCGTAACGTTGTAATTAGGTAAAAAAAATGGATCCGTATAGAAGATTGGGCGAAGGAATTTGTGATTGATCACAGCAAACGCATAAGCTTGAGTGTACTGGTATTTATGTTGTGTACGCTAATCGACAATATGGGGTTACTCTGCAGTAGACATCAACACAATCAAGCTGATTCTGAAGAGAATGAGCAGGTCAATCCTCTTTGCTATGACCTAAACTATTATATCTTTCATGTATAATATTGCTCGGTAACTTCTTTCTTTGAGGTATGGTTATTTTTAGCACTAAAATATAGTCAATTTGTTTCTCAGACTGCAGAAATAGAAAGGCGAATTGAGCAAGAAACAAAATCGGAGAAGCATATTCAGAAACTTCTGTTACTTGGTATACATACTTACACGGGATCTGAATTTTCATTCTGCTCTTTGTTAATTGATTTTGATGTATATTAGTGATCAAATGTAATGTAATCTAATACTTGCATTTACCACTTTTTAAAACGTCTTTGAATACATGATTAATCCTCTTGCAATCTCCTAGATGCCATTGATTGTATGTTAATATTTTCAATCAGTTGAGTTTATTTATAATTTATTTAGCAACATAAAGTTGAAGATCTTTCTTCACTCTTTGACTCTGCGGTATTCAGAATAAACTGTTGAATCTTCCTATGTTTCGGAGTGGTTCGTTTCAGAATATTTTTTGATTATGAGCACCCATTAGCAATTTAATTTGAAAATAGAAACAGATACTTCTTTCATGTTGGTTTCTGCAATTAAACTTCCAAATTCATTCAGAATTACTGTTGCAAAAAGCACAGTATTGAAAATTTTCTCCTCACCTTCGATTTCGATCTTGTTTTTTCTTTATTTGTTTGATATTCATGTAACATGCTATTACTTATTTGTGATAAGGTGCTGGAGATTCTGGAAAATCCACCATTTTCAAGCAGGCAAGACCAGTTATTCTGTATCGATGAGTATCACACGTTTCTCCGTGCATACATGTCTGGATTAGATTGCAGTTGTTTCAAGTATATAATTTCCTTCTAATTAATTGCAGATAAAACTTTTATTTCAAAGCGGGTTTGACGAGACTGAGCTAAAAGGCTACATCCCAGTCATCCATGCCAATGTTTATCAGACAATAAAAGTATGAAATCTATGAAAAAGGGTGTGTTGGTCATTTCCCTTTGATTTATATTGCAGTTGATGATAGGATGCAAAAAGTATTCAAATTACATTATTGTAGATGTCGAGGTTGCATGGCTCGAATCTTATATAGCTTGAGTTTTTTTCCTACAGATATTGCACGATGGATCGAAGGAATTATCTTTGGGCTCAGCAGATTCCTCAGATTTCATTATATCTGATGAAAATAAGGTCTGCATCATTTCTTCATACCATATCTGAAATCAGCACAAAATTTAACTAGTTATCAAAAAGCTGTTGATGGGAGCATTAATATTCATTTTTTCAATTTTAATTTATTTTTCTGTTTAATTTGTCAGCACCTCGGGGAGAAATTTTCAGAAATTGGTGGTAGGTTGGACTATCCACGTTTAACCAAAGAGCTTGCACATGAGATTGAAACGCTTTGGAGAGATAACGCCATACAGGTCGGTTGTTCTTCATCTGAAAGGCTTAAGAATAATCTTTAATCGCTACAACATGAGTTATGGGATTAATTAAATCTGCTTATGGATGTATTTTGATCAACTGTTCGTCTATGATTGGGCAGGAAACATATACCCGTGGTAATGAACTTCAAGTTCCGGATTGTGCTCATTATTTTATGGAGAATTTGCAAAGATTGTGCGACGCAGACTATGTTCCTACAAAGGTATGTGAAACACGAAAGATTTCATATGGCTCACATCACCATTCCATCCCTATCTAATTTTAAAATAAAATATTCCAGCAGAAAATAACAATATATCATCGGCTATAGAATTTGATGAATCCATTCTCTTAATCTTGAGAACGTACTGCAAATTAAATAGAACTTGTTGCTTACTTAATGGATTGATTTACGAATGCAAGACCTCCGTACTATAGCACACCTTTTTTTTTCACTGAAATGTTCAAATCAGTTTCTAATAATTTTTAACATCTCAAATATATAGTACAGAATGTTTATTCATAACCAGTCAAGAAAAGTTCATTTAAAAGATATTTCACTAATTTTGTTTAGTCAAGCAAAATCACTATAGCTCACTTTTTTGGCTAAATATGGCTGAAATGTTCAAAGTTTTTTTTAATAGTTTTTAACACTAAATATATAGTATAGAAGATATTTATTCATAACCAGTCAATGAATAGTTCATTTAAAAGTATTTCACTAATTTATGAATAGTCAAGCAAAATCACAAAAAATTGTATACTATATAGCTCACGTTTTTTGGCTAAAAATGGCTGAAATGTTCAAATATATTTTTTAATAGTTTTTAACACTAAATATATAGTATAGAAGATATTTATTCATAACCTGTCAATAAATAGTTCGTTTAAAAGTATTTCACTAATTTATGAATAGTCAAGCAAAATCACAAAAAATCGTATACTATAGTTCACATTTTTTGGCTAAAAATGGCTGAAATGTTCAAATTTTTTTTAATAGTTTTTAACACTAAATATATAGTATAGAAGATATTTATTCATAACCAATCAATAAATAGTTCGTTTAATAGTATTTCACTAATTTATGAATATTCAAGCAAAATCACTAAAAATCGCATACTTTAGCTCACGCTTTTTGGCTAAAATGGCTGAAATGTTAAAATATTTTTTTTAAGTTTTTAACACTTAAATATATAGTGTAGAAGATGTTTATTCATAACCATCAATAAACAGTCAAGCAAAATCACAACGCTTTTTGCCAAAATACGCTGAAATGTTCAACTAATTTTTAATATTCTTTTACACTCAAATATGTATTACAGTAGATGTTTATCCAGTTTTTCTTATGAAAGAAGTAGATAACAATTTCTTGAGCACTTCATTTACTGAGTGTTGCAGTATGTTTTACATTTCTTTCACGATGTAGGAAGATGTTCTTTATGCCAGGGTTCGAACAACCGGTGTTGTCGAAATCCAGTTCAGGTGATTACTGATCTCTTTTTCTCTCCATAAAAAAATACTAACCATTTTTTGGTTTCGTTCCCCAGTTTTATGATTTTGTCTCCGTAATTATTTATTTTGTTTGCAGCCCAGTTGGAGAAAACAAAAAAAGTGGAGAAGTATATCGACTCTTTGATGTTGGAGGCCAGAAAAATGAAAGAAGAAAATGGATTCATCTCTTTGAGGGTGTTTCAGCTGTAATATTCTGTGCTGCTATAAGCGAGTACGACTATTCTTACCCTCTCGTTTACTTGCAAATATCTTTTTGGACATTTCCTAGAATTTGTAATGTGTTACAGGTATGACCAAACTCTTTTTGAGGATGATAACAAGAATCGAATGATGGAGACAAAGGAACTCTTGGAGTGGGTCCTTAAGCAACCTTGCTTCGAGGTTTTGTATGATCACATGTTACAAAACTGCATATATTGTTTTCGACACGTCACCTAATGAATGTTTAATTTAGTTTTTCTTATATGCAGAAAACTTCCTTCATGCTATTTCTCAACAAATTTGACTTATTTGAAAAGAAGGTTCTGCAAGTAAGGACATTTAAGGTTGTTTCAATTTTTTATGCAATCGACTCCGATGATGTCATAATCTTCTCTTTTTATGTAGGTCCCACTGAATGTATGTGGGTGGTTCAAGGATTACCAGCCAGTTTCAACGGGGAAACAAGAAATCGAGCATGCATACGAGTAAGCACTTTCTTTTCTCCCTATCACAGTAAATTTTACTATGGTACTTTATTATCTCATTTTGTTGTTGTGAAACTTAGGTTTGTGAAGAAAAAATTCGAGGAGTTGTATTTCCAGAGCACTGCACCTGACCGTGTTGACCGAGTCTTTAAGATCTATAGAACAACTGCGTTAGATCAGAAACTTGTGAAGAAGACTTTCAAGCTTGTAGACGAGACTTTGAGAAGGCGGAATTTATTCGAAGCCGGACTTTTGTGAAACTCTTCAACAACAGAAAGAATCATCATTATTACTACCTTAAAAAACAACAAAGATTTTTGGATTTTGACAGCTGAGGTTCAGCTGAAATTTGGGTCTATCAGGTACGGTTTTATTAGTTGTAATGTAGGAGAAGAAAAAAAACACTAGTTATTGAATCTCTTGGCTACAAAGGACATTCCTACAGAAAAAAAAAAAGTTTTTTCCGATGAGGACGGTTGAATTACGGAGTTATATTTGCAATATTCATCAGCTGTAAATGAGTGCTCTGGCTGTAAATCACATTCATTTTGCATCATATTTATCTTATTGTTTTCATACCCTCTGAATTTCTTGAAATGTGAGTATCTAACTCTTTTTAATATATATATATATATATATATATATATATATATATATATTAGTCTTTTTAGAGGTAATTATCGCATGTGATCTTTCGAAGAGCTTCTTGTTCATATTCGTACAGTTAGAATTTATTATTATTATTATTATTTTTTAATTTGTTTTAATTTTCCTTTGTATAATGAAAATGGTGGGGGAGAAGTCTTATTACAGATCTACCTTGCCGACTACCTATTTGTACTTTTAAAGACAGCTAACCTGTCAAAATCATTGAGAAATCTTTTACATGGACGGCAGATGGACAATTTTGACCTAACTTTAGATATTTTTGTAGTTTGTATCTATTTAGTATTTAATCAAAAAATTATATAATGTTCTAATTAAATGCAAGTTTCGATAAAAAGAAAAAGGTTGTCAAATGCCAAAAGTGCCGAATTTGGTGCGAGTCCTATTCAGGAATATTCTTGCCGAAATCCGTCGCCTGAGAGCCCTCCCCGATAGATTTTTTATGGAGAAATATAAATTATGATTTATCAACGGCCCGTTTGAGTTGCGGACATGGAAAACGTGTGGAATTATGACTACAACCTTTGGGAATTAAATCACGATTGCAAAATATATAATTGGGAAAATTGAAATAACATCACATGTTGATCAATGGCCCTACAAGAAGACAATCTGCATTTGCACCAACATTTATTGGCTTCGATTACAAGGACCACGTGCCCTTTTTAAGGTTATTTATTGTACAACAATTTCTATATTTTCATGAAAGGTTTATTTCACTATATGGAAATTAGGTATATCATAACTTATAATGATTCACCTTTCACACCAATTTTCTTTATTTTATTTAATTTTAGAAAATAACATATAACTCTTTATTTATAATATTTAAATAACCAATCTAACACTTTTGAATAAGAACAAATGAAAGTGTATGTGGAGAAGTTTCTTTAGAGAGAGAATGAATGTGAACATGAATAAGGGGCACATGAACAAGAACATTTATTAAATTGCAAAAAAAAAAAAAAAAAAAAAAAAAACCCAAATTATTTGGAGGAAAACAACAACATAGGTCACAGATTTTTCAACCCTTTTGCCTCAATTCAATATTTATTTTTCTTTGCAAAATCTAGGAAAGAAAATATTTGATTCTGGTAAAGAAGAATTCGTCACAAAAGTTATTGAAAAGTTAAAAAGAAAAAAGAAATCACTGAATCTGGTTTGCTTTCCTGTAAAACTATATTCTTTACCTTCCTGTAATTCTTTTCTCCCGTCTATATTACTCGATTACATAAACCCTGATCAAACATTTGGGCAACCTTTTCGAATCCTTTTCAAGGTCATTGTAAAAGGGTTCGCGATCTTTCTCCAGGTTTATTATTATTCCCACTTTTTTTTTTTTTTTTTTTTCTTTCTGTTCATTTGTGCGAATTGAAAAAATTGAATATATTTCTGGTTGTTTGGTCCTGATAAAAATGGTGAATTATTTCTCTCTAATTTAACTGTTTTTGCATGATTGTGATATTGGATATTACTGATCATAATTAGGGTAGAATCGATTTTGTGTTTTATGATCGCTGTATTTATTTCATTCGTCTAATTACCAGTGCATCACCTTTTATTTTATTTTCTTTGAATTCGATTATTAATTGTTGTGCTATTCTGGGCACTACCTCAAAACTATTGATTGATTTCCCAAATGTTTTGTGGGTAATTTGATAATTAAATCCTTGCTAATTATTTTTTAGAATTTGAACAGGTTTTCCCTATCAGGGGTGTATGATAATTAATTGCAAAATTTCTGGATTCTAACAAATAATTCAAGTACTTGTTCTTGATCATGGGAAATGATCGGATGTTCTTCATCGACCCAGATGGTGGTTCGAGTGGCATTTTTCCCATGGACCCACTTCTGCCACACAGTTATATTACATCTTTAGTTGACAATTCCCGATTTCTTTACATACCCGGAAGTTTGGTACTTCAAGATGCTTTCAACTGCATGTCGAAATTCGCCGGTGCGTTAGTTTTATGGCTCGGTAGCGGTGGATCGAATTCCAGAATAAATAGGAGATTATCGGGCGGTTCTCATTCTAATTGCTCTGTAAAACACATTTCTTCTGTAAGACACGATTTGACTGGATTTTTCTTGAAGTCAAAACATCGAACGAAATGGCAGATTCCAGTGGTGCTTGTCAATTTATCAAATTTGGCCATGAAGCACATGTGTAAAGAGGCTGAAAGGCTTCCATCGTTTCATATGTTATCTTTGGCTGCTGCATTGGTTCCCCCAATTACTAATATGTAAGCTCGGCCTACCTTTTTTATTTTTTTTCTTTCCTATTTCTAGTGAACTCGTGGATTTTTCATGCATTTCTAATTCGTATATGTTGTTTAGATCTTCCAATTTTCTAGCTGTTCCGTTGGAACACAGTTCTGTGGAAGCACAGAAATGCATGGATCAAAGGCCTTGTGAGATTGAAAATCGAGGAAGTGGGCCCCGCAACGATCTTCCCATTCAGCATTTAGCTTACGCTAAATCAATCGAGCCCAGAACTGGGGTAGAGTTTCCTACCATGTTGGACTACACTATGTCTGGAGAAAGTGATTCCGGTTTCACTCCAGAGGTAGTCCCACATACTTTTAATCGTTTTGTTCTCTCATTGAATTATACAGTCAACACTTTATTAAATCTCTTTGACTTGAATGTCGTAATGTGTGAAATAATCGACAACTTCTTGGTAATGCAAACTGTTATTTGTGTCCGAGCTAACACATTTCGGATAAGTTAGTGTAGTCAGAAGCAAACTGTTCAATAACAATTACATTCCATTTGTATTTGACCTGGAATTTGTTTATATCGGCTATTTTTTAAATCAGGTCCTCGTTGGTACTGGATCAAGAACTATGACGATTATAAGAATCAAATCTCTCAAAGTCTACGCATTTGGTTTCTGTAAGTTGTAGAACTAGCGTTGACTCTCTCGAAGCATAGTATGTTTGATTTAGATAATGCTCCAAAAATATTTTACTAATTAGGTTTTCCGACAGACGTTCATCCATTCGACGTGTGTGAGAAATTGGGCCAGAAGTATTCTTCCATTCCAGAATATGAATTGAACAAGCGCCAAGATTTTTACCAGGATCTTCTAAGGTTTGTCGCAATATTTACTGAATCTAAAGATTCATATGGTGCAATGCCTATGTTTGTGATATTATTCGAGATTCTTTACTTTCATTCGAGATTAATATGAAGAAACTTTGGTTTTATTTTCTGCAGGGAGGATATCAACATGACAGTTAGGCTTGTTGTTAGTTGCAATGGAATCAAAATCAATACTGTGAAAGAGTAAGTTAGTCTTGTTGTATAGTATGTAAACTATAATAACTGAATTATTTGGAAACGGCTGCATCTTGTAGCATGAAAACTCTCATTGTACTAAGATTTTAATGTTGCTGATTCATTGTATTAATTGTCTCGTGTAGTGCTTTTGAGAAGTCTCTTCGTGCTCGGTTAACAAGGGTATGTTTTATTTTTCTCTATTTCTTGATGGTAGCATTTCTGAATTCGTGTTATGACAATCTTTTGCTCTTGTGTAGACAAACCCTAATGCTGATTTTAGCTGCCTACAAACATTTGGTTCCATGTTCTCACAGGACATTCCCTTACACGTGGTATGAATCATTCAATCCATCGTTTCTTCTTATTTTAATTTTTATTTATTTATTTTAATTTGAGATGATGGACTATTTACAGGGTACAACAATAAACTTCCGTCGCACAGCTGATGGACAACTAATTACTGAAAGTGAGCAGCACTAGATACCATCAAATTGACAAGTATTACTATTTATTTTGAAACTTTCGGAAATTGACAATGTAAACTATTTATTTTGTGCAGTTGGAGGGAATAACATTGGAGCAGTCCAAAGCAAAGATTTGTGCAGTAAGTTTACGACTATTACTCGGTTATTAGAAAGTAGGAAGTTTTAACGTTTCTTATTCTGTATCTAACTGTATGCATATACAGGGGCCTTTTTCGACATGTATATTGGTGATATTCCTATCTGCGAGCAAACGAAAGAAGAAATTGGAAAAAATGTAGCAAGTATAATTAGGATGTGCTGAATCAAGAACAATTATTTTTCGAATTATTCCTGGTTATATACTTGTCTTGATTCGTTAGAGGTAGATACAAAAAGGTCGTAGTTGAATATAGAGCAAGCCCTTTTTATAGTGGGGTTTCTCGCTCAAGATTTCCCGATTTTCACTTGTTTCCGTGTATGATTCTTTGTAGCCCGACCATTGTAGCAATTATCTTCAAAAATTTATCAAATTGATTCTGAAAATTAGTAGTGTGTCCCAATTTCCTCCAATGTTGCATTATTTTCTCGAGCGAAATCGATTTATGTACAAAGTAGTTGTGAATAAATATTTGTGTTTTAACCTATTGAACGTTGATTTTTGTCACACTACTACTCCATATCGAATTTCCCACTGCAAAAAAAGGCATAATAAAATCAGTTCAATTTTAAGCCACCCTCATTTTCGTAGTTGAAGGATTCGAGTTCGATCCTAGTTGTGTGCATACGTATTTTTTTTATCGAGTTTAAACATTGGGATTGTATTTAGATTCGATTGTAGCTCGATTGATCTCGAAAAAAAATGTGGAACATGATTTTGTTTTTCTACATGTAAAATTGAACTAGAAGAAAATATTAATTCAAACAAATTTGATCTATCTTTCTCAAACTTTATATTAACAGCAGATTGGTTGGTCATTTAACAGAACACAATTAAAGAGTCAATGGTTGGTCAAAAAGCCATGAGATATTTATTTATTTATTTAGTAATTGTTTAATTAAGTAGAGTAAATCTAGTGGCTGATCCTCCAAGTTTATCTCAACCAGTAACTACCAAATACCTAACTTTTCAGCTGATTTCCCGCCAATTCACCCAAACAAAACTTTAAGCTCAACACCATTATATCCTCATCAACTAACCACCATTCCTTTTTATCTTTCCTTCCATCGTTTTCTTTTTCGTATTTTTGCTTCTTTCTAGCCGAACCCAATTTCTGTTTTTGTAATAATCTTGACAAAAATGAAGTCAACTTTGAAGAGGATCCATGGAAATAGCTTGGGTACATATATGTATATCGCAACATGGCTTATAATCTTCGTTGGAGGTTTTCTCTCAACCGTAAACGCAGATTTCGATTACCAAAGCGCCCTTAAAAAATCGATTATTTTCTTGGATGCACAAAGATCTGGAAAGCTCCCAGCCAATCACAGGCCTTCTTGGAGAGGAGATTCTGCTCTCCAAGATGGCAGTCTTGCAAATGTATGTGTGTTTTTTTATTTTTTCTAATTTTCTCCTACAAAGTCTTGCAATAATTTTCTTGTAATACATAAATAATATTCGATTTGTTGTAATAATATATAGGTTGACTTGGTTGGAGGGTACTACGATGCCGGTGATAATGTGAAATATGGCCTTCCAATGGCTTTCACAGTAACAACTTCCGCATGGGCTGCAATTTCTTATCAATCGGAGCTTCAATCTTCCGGTGAATTAAAAAATCTCCGTTCTGCTATTCGATGGGGAACTGATTATCTTCTTAAAGCTAGTTCTAGGCGTAATCGTTTGTATGTGCAGGTATTATATATATAGTTTTTACGTACTTTTTCGATTTTTTTTTATTGTGTAATAAAATGATGTTTTTTTTCTTGAGGTGGGAGATCCGGTAAAAGATCACGAATGCTGGATAAGACCGGAAAACATGAAAACGCCTCGTACAGTATTGAAGATTGACCAAAATACCCCTGGTACAGAGATTGCAGCGGAAACTGCTGCTGCTTTGGCTGCTGCTTCTATTGTCTTCAGACGCGTCGATCATGCTTATTCTCGTAGTCTCGTTAACAGGGCTAGATCGGTAATTATTTTTTGTAAAGCTCTTATTTTGGATATATACCACCTTTTCTTTTTTCACTGATTTTTTTTCTTACACAATAATTCCATATTTTGCAGGTTTTCGACTTTGCGAAATCATATAAGGGAACCTATGATGGAGAGTGTCCATTCTATTGCTCTTACTCAGGCTTCAATGTAATTAATCTCACCATTTCTTTTGAATAAAAATAACCAAAAAAAAAAAATCATTTATATTTATTTATTAATCCTTTTCTTTTTTTTAGGATGAATTGTTGTGGGCAGCAACATGGCTATACACAGCAACAAAAAAATCAGTATACATGAAATACATACAAGAGGAAGCCACTAGTTCAACTGTTTCCGAATTTAGTTGGGACCTTAAATACGCCGGAGCACAAATTCTCCTCACGCAAGTAAAAAACCACTAATTAAATCTTTTTTTCTCATCGAAAATTCATCGTATAATATCTTAATTATTAATCTCACAACTTTCCAAAAAATAAAATAATGTAGTTTTACTTTGAGGGCCACAAGGAATTGCATTCTTTCAAGGAACAAGCCGATAGCTTCGTATGTTCGGTACTTCCCGATAGCCCCTATCACAAGGTTTACATTTCTCCAGGTAATTAGTTCAATAAAAAAAATCTACAATTTCTATATATAAGTAATAAATCGATATATTTAACACATGTCGAAAAAAACAGGAGGACTAGTTCACCTAAGAGATGGAGCCAATTCACAATATGTCACAGGCACTGCTTTTCTATTTAGTGCCTATAGCGATATTCTAGCCAAACATAAACAACAAGCCGTTTGCGGAAACAATAAGTTCGATTCCACCCGTTTAATGGCATTTGCCAAGCAACAGGTGAAAAATTCAAAAAATATTTAAAAAATAAAAATATTACCCTTTTCAAATTTAATTTTATTTATGATTTATTTATTTATTTATTTAAATGGAAATGCAGATGGATTATTTACTAGGAAAGAACCCTAAAGGAAGATCCTACATGGTTGGATTCGGTAAAGATCCACCAAAACAAGCACACCACAGAGGTGCCTCTGTGCCTACGATGTCTCCAACGAAGGTCGTTAGTTGTCCAATGAGCTTCGTTTATTGGTACAATACTAACGGTTCGAACCCTAACGAGCTAACGGGGGCAATTGTCGGTGGGCCCGACAAGAAGGATGATTTTGTCGATCAACGCTCTAATTCCGCTATGACCGAACCAACTACGTACACTAATTCGTTGGCGATTGGTGTGCTGGCAAAGCTTGCTAGGCACCATTCTCAATCATGAAACTAAAGGCTATTGTATAGGTACATACATGCCAAAACTTTGTAAGTATATAGATTTTTTTATTTCAATTTTTTTTTTTTTTTTTTTTTTTTTTTTTGTGTGCCCTCCTCTTTAGCAACAATGTTGTTGTTGATTTGGTAGTGGTGTAGGAATGTATTAAGACAGAAGGACATTTTGTTTAAGGAAATCTAGTATTTTGTTTGATGATGTACATTTATAATGTTTTATCAAGTATTAAGGAAACCTTGTATATTCTTTTATTTAATGTTGTCGAGTATACGATATTTTGATATTTAATAGACCGTTCAAAAATTAGTATAACAATATTTAAATGAACTAGTTATTGACTACTTATAGGTAAACATCTTCAATACTATAAATTTGGGTGTTCAAAAACCATAAACAATGAGTTTAAAATTTCACATATTTTAAGAAAAAAATGTGTGCTATAATAGTACACGAATATTTTTCGTGATTTTGCTCAACTATTAAAAAATAAGTGAAACAGTTTATAGATGAACTAATTATTGACTACTTATGGATAAACCTATTTTTTACTAAATATTTGTGTGTTCAAAAAAATGATTTGGAAATTTCAGTATTTTTAGCAAAAAACGTGTGTTATAGTATACATTTTTTTGTGATTTTAGTCGATTTTTTAAAACACAATGAAACAAATTTTAGATGAACTAATCATTGACTACTTATGGATAAACATATTTTATACTATATATTAGTGTGTTAAAAAATCGTAAAAAATGATTTGGAAATTTCAGTATTTTTAGCAAAAAAACGTGCTATAGTATGCGATTTTTTTTATAATTTTGTTCGACTGTTTAAAAAACAATGAAACAATTTTTAGATGAGCTAATCATTGACTACTTATGGATAAACATATTTTTTACTAAATATTTGTGTGTTAAAAAATCATAAAAAATGATTTGGAAATTTCAGGTTTTTTAGCAAAAAAACGTGTGCTTATACCACGCGATTTTTTATGATTTTGCTTGACTTTTTAAAAAATAATGAAACAATTTTTAGATGAACTAATCCTTGGCTACTTATGGATAAAAATATTTTATACTATATATATGTGTGTTAAAAAATCATAAAAAAATATTTTAGAAATTTCAAATTTTTTAGCAAAAAACGTGTGCTATATAGTATGCAATTTTTTATGATTTTGCTCGACTGTTTAAAAAATAATGAAACAATTTTTAGATGAACTAATCCTTGACTGCTTATGGATAAACATATTATATACTATATATTTGTGTGTTAAAAAATCCTAAAAAATGATTTGGAAATTTCAGTTTCTTTAGCATACGATTTTTTATGATTTTGCTCGACTTTTTAAAAAACAAAAAACATTTTTTATATGAACTAATTCTTGATTACTTATGGATAAACATATTATATACTATATATTTGCATGTAAAAGAAAATCTTTAAAAATATATGAAAAAAAAAATGACATATTAGCTTCAATGGAACGTCGGCCGTATTAGTAGTGGGCTATTTTTACATGTGGGCCCAATTGGATACTGGCCCAACCAACCTGTATTGGTTTCTTCGGAAGTGGGCCCAACTACTTACTTCAAGTGACTTCCATATTTTTATCTCGTTTAATTTCACAATTATAATTTAAATATAAAGTATACAAAACGACGCCGTTTGTTAATTTATATGATAAAATTAAATAATGATAAAATTAAATAAAATCAAGAAGTTTGATGGGATCTTATCTTGATTAAGGTAGGAGGACTCTTAAACAAATGAAATAACCATATGCCTAAAAAACCATGTGCGCTCTTAAGTCTTAAGTCAACGGACTAGCTAGCTGATTTTATCTTTTATTTATTTATTTATTTATTTTTGTATTTAATCTTGGTTTTAAGGGTAAATTACAAACACCCCTAAGGTATGGTCAAATTACAAAAAAAACCCTCTTGTTTGGATAATTGTATCTACCCCTCAACTATGATTTTTTCTTACACCTCCACCCTTATGGTGCCAAATTCAACATAATCATCTAAATTTCGTGAAATGTGCTCTAGTTTGTACTCATTTTGTGTAAAAATATAGTTTTCGATGTACCACAAACTGATATATACAAGCTAAAAATCACATATTATGATCATCTTGCTTCATTATGTAGAGTTTGAATGGGATAAAACGGGTACAAAAGTGATAATATTTCATATAATCTCGAAAATTCCACTAAATTTGAGAAGTTGAAAGGTGGTTGTAATATTCAAACAAGAGGGGTATTTTTCTAATTTGACCATACCTCAGGGGTGTTTGTAATTTACCCTAGTTTTAAAGATAGGATGGATCATGGAGGAGAGAGAAAGAGAGTGTGGGTAAAGATAAAGCAATTAAAGATTATAATCTTATCCTTTGGCCATGTGTGGGACCCATTACACTTCTTTATGACTTTACAGATGGTTATTGATTGCAGCACTAGATCATTTTATCAAATGCCACACCTGAATTTCCAACCCAAAATTATTACTTTTTTTTTTTTTTATATATATATATATATATATATATATATATATAATTGTGGTTGAACTTTGGCTAAGCATATTAATTTCAAATCAAATTATTTATTTTTCTCCTATTTCAACAAATTTATTGAGAGAAAAGACTTTTTTCCACTAATACAAATAGAAAGCAAAGAAAAGTGGTTAGGTTTGGTGCACTGCAGCCATAGGACTATTTACAGTCCTTTGCAAAATCAGATAACGAATCAGAAGCTGTATGTTGACCAGATACAAATGTGTTTGGTCTCTTTTTTATGCATATATATTTTAGGTTAAATTACGAAAAAAACTAATCATGTTTGGGATATTATAATTACATTAATTATAAATCTTTCGTCACGTTCTCTTCTAGTGTCAAATTCAACATAATTTTCCACATGGTAGAATATTCTCCAGTTTGTACTCGTTTATTGCAAAAATACAGTTTCTGAAACACTACAATCTAATATTTACAAGTTAAGAGACACATCCTATAATCATCTTATTTCAAAATGTTGAGCTCGAATGAGGTAAAACGGGCACAAATCACAAGGGCGGACGTGTAAAAAAATTCATAGTTGAGGGGGGTCATTGTAATTACCAAAACCTGAGAGATTTTTTTCGTAATTTGACATCACATCAGGGGATTGGCCGTAATTTACCCAATATTTTATTTTGGAAAAAAAATTAGTTTGATTAATATAATTTCCCAATTGAAATAATCAACAAATATAATTTTATTCTGAAAAAAAAAAGTGAAAATCCAGTCAAAGAAGAGTTAGTTAGCAGACAGCTAGCTTATCGTCCAAGCACTAGTTAATTTTAAATTTCTTCGTCTTAAAAAAAAAAAAAAAAGAAGAAAGTAAAACCAGTGGACGAGAATTATAGGATAAGACCTAATCCACACCCCCACAAAAACACAACCCATTTTTTCATCTCATCATTCAATTTATATCCCTCCCTATTAATTATTATAATTCACTCTTTCCCATTACATATTATTCTTGTCTTAAACTCTTCTTTCCTACTCTTTTGTCGTGTTCTAAGATCCAACATTTGTTTTCTGTGTTCTTTCGCGCATTTTTCTTTTCTTTTCTTTTTCATACTGATCCATATATATATATCTACCCACAGAAAAAAGTATAGGTATAGTTGCATTAAAAGATAGTTTCTTGTCAAGTATATTCTCCTTCAATTTTGCTTTCTTTCTTAATACAGAGATAGATCCCATCTTTAATCGATCATATATAGTTGCTTGTCTGGATATTATCCATATAGCAAGAACCCTTTTTTTTAAGGAATATGCCGAGCAGATTTATGAACAAGGGTGGGTTTGATGAGATTCAGAGTGGAGAGGAACAACAGAGGTTTTTTGTTGGGAAAAAGGTGGTTGAAGAAATTAAGGATTCATGTAGCTCAGAAGAATCATCTTCTATTGGGAAAAACAGTGATCTTTCTGACAATAATTCATTGGACAAATCTGAAGATTGTGACGAGGTTCAAAGCTCATATAAAGGTCCCTTGGATGCCATGGATTCTTTGGAGGAAGTTTTACCTATAAGGTTTGTTATTTTGTTATTTACTATTAACTCTCTCTCTCTCTCTCTCTCTCTCTCTCTCTCTCTCTCTCTCATGTTTATCTTTCTTGGATTTTGCTGTTTCTTGCTTCGTTTTTTGACTTTTTTTTTTTATTTTCTTGGTTGAATTTCATTTTGGGTTATTTGATCTTTGTTTAAACACTAGTAAAGCTATGATTTGAGAATAAAATAAAAAAAATCATTTTGAAAAAGTAAAGGAAATTTTATTTGTGCTTGTACAATGATGTTTTGTCAACACACAAAACATATATTTGGGAATAGAAATATCTAACATTGTAGCCAATGTTGTTTTTAAGTCCAATGTTCCTCTGTTTGTCTATTTTCTTGAGCACCATCATTTTTTTCATGAAAAAACCTCACAATGTGAAATTGCCCACTAATACAGGAGAGGAATCTCGAGATTCTACAACGGCAAATCAAAGTCATTCACATGTTTAGCAGATCAATCTTCGTCTTCATCATCATCGATAAAAGACATCACAAAGCCAGACAATGCATACGTAAGGAAGCGCAGAAACCTGCTGGCTTGCAACATTGTCTATGACAAGACAAGAAGCTCAAGCTCAACTCTTAGAGGCATTAATGGCGGTGGCATATCGAAGAGGGTCACTGGTTCTGGCAGAACAGCTTTTGCTTTGGCTGTAGCCATGAAAAACTCCGAAAATGACGATAATAAGCAATTCGAAGTGGGGTCGTCGTTACCTTCTTCGTTATCTTCTTCTCCTAGGAAGGATTTGTCTGCATGGAGATCCTTTTCTTTGGCTGATTTGCAACAATGTGTTTCTGTTGCTATTACTTGTTCCAATTCCAATGAATTGGCTACGACGCCGTCTTGACTTATTATACATATGCTTTGTTTCTTTTCTTGAATCTGATTTTTTAGATTTACTAATGTGGGAAATGATAATTCGAAGTCGAAGATTTCTGTCTCATCATCAAAACGGATATGGCTATCATCAGTTCACCTATTAATTGGCGAAGAAACTGAGTTTTGATTCTAGTATAGTGGGGAAATATGGTACTTTCGATTGGATGGGCTCTTTTGCAGGAACGCATACTGGAAAAATACGATGCTGCATTTTGAGCTGATGAATGAATAATATTTAGTTTTTATCTTTTTTCGTGTCTTCTTGTTCCATAGTTTTCCTGCATTTTTTGTTCAAACCAAAATGGGTATCGAATCTGAATCGCCCGCAAGAAATTGTGTGGCTAATGTACAAAAATAATTCGAACGCCAGAGAAAATTTACAGGTAAAAAACGCTGAGGATATCACTACCATCTACACAAACATGAGCATCAATCCGAATGGAATTACGGAGGAGAAAAAATGTTCATTTCAACCACCCAAATCAAACCATCTCGAGTAGAAAAGGTGACATGGGTAAAGGGGGAGAAGAAAAACGACAAGGATACAGCATAATACCGCATTTACAACAAGACGAACAATGTACAAGGCTTTTGAGTAAATTTGCTACCTTATCCCTGTTACAACCCCATCGCATTCTAAAACGTTGCCTAATCTGCGTGTGACCTATAACATATCAGCTAATGGAACTGTATTACATCACTACCTTTTTCCATCAATCCTGGATTACAAAGTCGCAACTTTGCAGATGGACTGTTGTTCGGTTATAATCCTTCATTCAGCTGATCCAACTTTCCATCCAAACGGAGAACAAAGACTAATGCTTTATATCTTCAAACAAAATCAATCAGCCCTCTAAAAACCTATGTGATGTACAGCTATGCAGTCAAAGGTGGTGGATCATTCAATTCGGATTCTGGAGCAGTAGTTGTGCAGAAGGATATTCAGAAAGGAACTTTGGAGGTTCGATATCAGAAGGTTCAATTGGAGGGATTGCCATATATACATCTTCCGTGGAGAACGGGATGCTGAAAAAAAGGATCATGGAGGAAACAATACAATACATCATTAAGAAAATAATAAGATCCATGTTCCTTTACCCTCTATTAAAGACATTTCTAATCATATAAATAATAATATTTTACCTTAGGTCATCGTCCAATAAGAATGAATTTGTTGAGGACAAATTCTGCGAATCCTTGTTTACAATCTCCCTCATCTGAGACACAACCTGCCGAAACCACAAAGGAAAAAAAAATTAGATGTTAATCACAACCTTGACGCACATAAAGAAGGCTAGCCATCTGTGCTCAGACCTTAGATAACGGTTTTTCACACAATATGGATCCAAAGGTTTCAGTTAAGTAAGAGGAATACTGTAAATTTGCTTTATCATTTTTCTTGGTACATCAAGATGAAAAAGTGGTACAGACATGTAGCAGCCCAATTAGTTATCTATTAATATTTAGATTATTAACAGGAGTAGAAATTTTGGTAGCTTTCACTAGATTAGAAATTTCCAGATAGACCATTGGCAAATCCAGCTGGCAGGAAGTATGGTAAACGAAAAGACTTATTTATTTATTAAAAGAAAAGGAGGATAAAAGAAGTGTATTATCTTGTGCAGACATTTATAACCAGCAGGGAGGGATGGTCAATTATCATTGAGAGCCGCATTTTACTGAGCTAAGAATTGCAATCCATTTGAATTACTATTGATTCTTAAAAATTTGTTAGCAACAAGGAAAAGTGGATTCTTGATTTCTTCGACTTAAGGACCCATGGGGCCATAAGAGGGGTTAGACCTTTCTGTGTAGTTTGAGTGAATGCCCCCGCAATTCTCAGTATTGAATTGTTACAAGACATAGATATTAAAACCACTTGCCTCATTTGACACACTCTGAGTCCCGTACTTATCATCCCAGTACATTGTGCTGATTCGATAGATTTGTCTTACAGTCAATTTCTGCCAAAATTATCAATGAAGACAAAAAAAAAAGCGTGAGAAAATATCAGATGAAGTGATGAATGCCAACAAAAAAGTGAAAAGAAAATTTAGAAATAGTATCTTTATACTGTTTTATAAAAGCCCTACCGGACAGAGATCCTGTCTTATCTCTTCTAAAGATTTCTTCCTCTTTTGATGTATTACCTATAATAATAACAAGATACATTAGGAACTACAAGTTGAAAAGTCACATCGTTAAACTATAAATCAGAACTATGGGCTATACCAGAAATCCAACAGCTTGTCGAATATAATTTAGCTCATGCCAAGAGGTACCTGCAAACTGCATCCAAATTGACTCAGACTAGAAAAACATAGAGAGAATTTGTGCTAGGGATGAGTCAAGAAAAAAAAGCATTAATACCTCCTCCGTTGCATTGACTATCCATTTTTCTAATTCAGCAAGACCAGATTTGACATATTCACCGTTCGAAAATGTGCAGCATTCACGTCGAAGCAGAAGACTGCCAATGACTTTAGTTAAAGACTTGCGCATGTTTTTAGGGAGCTATGTGGAAATACTTGGAATCAGATTACAAACCTGTTAAACAATTGTATATTGATGAAGGAGAAAACCTGCGTGGTGAGCTTCCTGATGAAAAATGAAGGAACCTGGAAATTCACTAGTTCAGCTTACAATGAACATATCAACTAAATGAAAATTACGAGTGATGAGAAACAAGGAAAGTAGAAAAGTAGCATACATGGTTTCCCCGTAAACGACTCATTAGCGAATCCAGGAATTTAATAATGCTATCCCACTCACTACTTGGTGATTGCTGAGGAACACCAACAGGCGATCTAGACGACTTCCCACCATGAACTCGTTGCAATTTTGGTGCCTTAGAGAAAACATAGAATGTTAGCTTGTAATATACAAGTACAATACAAAAAGACATCATTAAAAACGATAAGACAATGATCATAGTGTACATCAATCACCAAGAGGGTAAGATCCTTGATATGGTTAGACACCTTCTATATACATCATATACTGAACCTCAAGCAAAGTAAGACATGGATAACAGTAATAAAGAGGAGTAATTCTCAGTATATGTGGCATAAAAGGATCTCAACCAACAAAGAGTACTTTATGATGCCAAAATTCCAAACCATGTAAGCATAGACTGGGACATGTAGCATGCAAAGTACTTCTTGTAAATTAGATCATGATTACATACAAGTGCCAAGTGAAAGGTTAAAAAGAACCTGAATGCATTGTCCCAATAACGAAGATATTTCTTTCTTGAGATTATCCCGGATCAAACCAAAAATCTTCTCTACACAAGCAGTCAACTGTTGTTTGAACAATAGAGCCGGATATTTAGATTCCTTGTGTGATAAACCCTCATCCATTCCAAGATATTTGAAAGTCTGTTTTGGGCCCTAAGAAGCAGAAGCCTTTCAGTCAAATTTCAAATTGATCAAGTCTGAAGCAATTCTGCATACTTCTATGACGGACCAAAATCGTTGAATATACTAATGAAAAAAAATTAGATGTAATCTGTATATCGAGAATTTAATGATTCATGATCAGTGAAATAGAGTCAAATGTAACTGGATCAGACATGCCCAAACAAATTATTGAAATCTACAAACAGAGTCTTAAACTGCAACAATGTCGTCATGACTCATGCCAAATAACTGAGCCACCTTCAACTTACTTGCGCAAGCCTCCCGTTCATCCCTGTAGACCCTGCAGAACGCTGCGAACCAGCAGTTAGGAACCCATTGGACCGCATGTTTCTTTGAAGAAGGCATAGAAGTGCAGATGTGTTAGATAACCAATAAGGCAAAGAAGCATCCTCGTCACCCTCCTGAAAAAACAACCATTACAGATCAAATGGTTATTACACATGCCCTTAAATAAGTTCTAACAGTATATTTCTTGCATGGAATCACTTGTTTAAACAATTCAGAAATTAATTCCACATATTAGTAAAATCACAAACACGGAAGCTAGAAAACTCTCAGAAACGAGAATTTTGAAATTCATACAGTAGATTTTATGATATGAACGGATACTTACCTTCAAAACATCATTAATGCTCTCAATGATGAAGTCAAAAACAGCTGTCCTCTCAGATTCAAAGGCATGCCAGTGAAGAAGACATTTGTAGACGACACATGCAGCTATCGGTTTGCCATCTTTGAAGCCCAAATTCTCTTTGATGCAGCGTGAAAGGATTTCTAAGTTTCCCTGTAACAGTTTTACCAATTAGAAGTGGAATAAGCACAAAATTTAGTAGAGAACCTCAAAATAGCTAAAGATATTTGTACATGTAAAGCATATTATCAGTGGTCCAAGCAGAAGAATGTGAATACAAAAATAAATGATATGTTAACTAACAGTGCGAGAAGAAAACCTGATTCTTTTCCATCCCTGACTTTGTTCTGCGGGAATCGGAAAAGCCTTTTGATAGAGATGCAATGAATTTGGATGGTGTAGGAGATTCCTGCAACAATTATAAGAAGAACCTCAGACCATAGAAGTAGCTAGTCATGAAATCCAATATTTTTAGAGAAACTTACATAAGATTTCTCATCAGCAGAAGAAAGAACAAGTGCACCAGAGAACTTCGGCTTCAAAAGGAAAGTGAAAATTAAGATCATAGTTGTATTGTGAGAGATCCTCAACAAAAAAACATTATGCCAAATTTGATACTGAATTGTTCAAAGGTTGCATAACCCAACAACAAATTTCTTTAACAGACTTCACTACATGATGGAAGGTGGCTAAGAACAGCTTACATCAGGGAAGGGTTTAACAAATCCTGCTCTGTTGCTCTTCGGAGAGACATTCAGTGTCTTCTGGCGCATGATAAGATTCTCATTCTCTAGATTCTTCAACTTCTCTTCCATACTGATGCAAAAAAAAACCACATGAGCCACAACAAGCACATGCAAATACTTCCAAACAAATCATAACCAAAAGGCCGATTTTTCTCCTTGCTGGCACATTTTGGGAAATGATAAAGGGATTTGCGTAATTCTTTATTCTCTGATTTCGAAGGTTACAGGTGCCAGTCACTTAATGTTTATTTCTTACTATGGGGAAAGGAAGTGTTGCATCTTTGCAGTTTGAACAAAACTGTCGAACAATACCTTCGCAAATTTAGTTGGAACTGCAAACAATGTTTTTCAACTTCCCGCAATTTTGCAATAGTACTACTTGAATCTTCCTTAGATTGGGCAAGTTCGCACTCCAGCATCGAGTTTTTCACTTCTAATGCTTTGAGAGAACTCTGCAAAAGTAAATCATTGAAGTTAATGTGTTCTAATAAAAAGATAATCAGAAAGATTTCATGTTATCTTCTTGAGCCGGTATTAACTGGAAAGTTCAAAATCTCTAGCTGATTTCTGGACCGAAGTTGGAGAGTAGAAAATAACTAGACTAACCAGGTGAAAACTTACTGGCTATAAAAATGGAGAACAGATGCTTCACATTATTTGATAAACATATTATGTCAAAGGCGGATGTAGAAGTTTAAAATACTTACAGATAAGCCTCAGCTAATGAGAAAGTATAGAGGATATATACTGATTTGTAACATCTAAATATATAAGAAAGATCACAAGATTCTGATTCTTGATTCCTCATTAAAATATAGACAACAACAAGATATATAAATTATAATGTCGCACAAATATCAAAAGCTCAGGCAATAATGCATCTGCGTGATAAATTATATCAAACTTAAGAAGAAGACACGTCGATAGAACTAAATAGATCCAACTTGTGCATAATTACCTTCAGGACTGCATTTTCATTCCTTAGTTCAGTCAAAGAGATAACTTCTCTTTCCGATGCAGATTTGTCCTTGGTTGATAATTCAAGCTGTCTTTCTAGCACCATGTTCTTATTAAACTCATTGAGAGTTGCAAGTTTAGCTGCATCTAGTTCCAATTTCAGAGACTCCACAGACTTTTGAAGTTTTGAGACTTCAACTGATTTAGCCTCGTCATTAGACACCTGCACTTAACATCAGCCATTTAACCAAGTATAGGGGCAAAGCATATAAAAAACAAGACCTCTTTACTTTCTACAGACTCTCACATGGGAAAACAATGAAAGCAACTCCAACAGCAACAACTTTTTGCTATGTTATCTTGTTAACCGGTCAACACAGTAATATTAACTTCTTCTTTTTTGCTATGTTGACCAGTCAACACAATAAACTTAGGCGGCGGTCAAACGGTCAAAGGATGAAATCGGAGTGAAATTCGGATTTGAGGGATGAAATTTGTGTAAAATTAAAGTTTGGGGTATTTTTGTATCTTCGGGTTTGAGGGATGAAATTGGAACAAAATTAGGGTTTGAGGGCATTTTCGCATGATAGGCTTTTAGATAAAATTGATTTTTGCTAGACCGATTTGTAAAAAAGTTGGATAATTGCCCCATATCATAAAGCTCTGCATTACATTTTAATGCCATTGGTTCTTGGAAGTGAAACAAATTTAAGCCTCACGTATTTCGAAATAAGAGAGGAAAAAGAAATAAGAAAGATGATTGCTAGTCTGAAACCCTGTGAAAGGAAACATTATATCTTAAATAGTGCAAAGCTGGTACCCGTATTTTTTTCTCCAGATGCAGTCGCCAAGTAAGATCCTCCAGCTGTTTCTCAAGCTTGGTTTTTGCTAAACGCAACGCGCCTGTCTCATTAGCCTCCTGCACAGAGAAATGGAAAGATACTTGTGAGCGAGGAGATGACTAATGGAGAGATTTCAAACATGAATGATCATCATTCTAAAGACTCTGTAACTTTATCCAGCAATCTACTAATCAAAATAAATAACAATAATTCATACATAACGAAGAACGGCCATGTCAAAAGCTATAGAGTGTGTGCGTTCAAGTCTTTTACAGTAGACAGAATGTCATAATTTGACCAGGCTACTGCCAGTAACTGCCATATACAGAATAAGGAAAATGAAATGTTTTTATCTGCTCATATTCCACGCACAGAACATACTTTATGTGGAATGAGCCAGCTTAAGGTACACCTAATTTTGACTGTAAACCAGTCCTTGCTACTCATTAACATAAAGACACAATTTTACCCTTTGAAAATCCAGAAAACGAAAAGCAGATAATAGTGATCAAACAGACTGTATAACAAATTACAGTGCCAGGCTATGAGACTACGATCATTCTCACCTTCTTAAGCTTCCTAAGTTCTCTTTTTGCCAACTTTTGCCTCCACAGACATTGTATTGCAATAATATTATGTTGACGATTACGATAGATAGAGCGGACCTTGAACATCCTCCAATGAGCCTGATACAAATATCAATTAATTAGGACAGCACATCCAAAGAAAAGTAATAGATACATCTAAAGAAAAAGCAAGATAAGGGAACATATTCCTCCCAAGAATACCAGAAATCTGTTATATCATTTTGCTAAAACATTTTGCTTTGATCTGTATGCTACCATTGTCGGAGCAATTGGAAAATTCAACAATTATTATGATTATCCAATAAAATTCCCGTATCATTAGAGTTCCTGACAAAAACTAGGCCACGACTATAATGCACAATACATAAAACAGTCATAACGTCGAGTAAGTAGAGTAACTAATCATAGATCAATTCTCCTACTATTTATAGAACTACAAAAAACCAGTCAGAAAAAAAAAATCAATAAGTTCCGGAACTTGCTAGGTCCCAATAAGCACAATTCTGAAGATTGTTAACTACAAAATCATTACAGAGAAAAGATAACCGTATATATCAAATACAACAGAAAACCTCGAAGGCTCATAACACAAATCTATTTTTTACCTGGATAAGAGTGGCAGCCCTGTCTTTCTTTATATACAAAAAGATCCGGCGAGTTGAGAAACCACGAATACAAGATTGTAGGAGTACCGAAGCCAGACGGAGTTGCATATAAGAATGCCTAAGAAACCAGCATCGAGTATATTTCTGAATTACAATGGCAGCAGCTGTATCACGCATTACAGTGAATATATCTCGAGCAAGATAGCCTGCACAATTTAATGAAATAAGTACCCTCTAAATCCACCTGGTTTCAGGCCAAGTTAAGGTGTCCAAGAGATCAAGACATGGTAAAACAAAATGATTTCCCAAACGCTCGTTTATGTCTTAACAACTGCCAACAAAATCCCATGGCAGCTTGAGGATTAATGAAGGAAATATTTTCATAGTAAGCATTTCTTTAGTATGGCAAATTACACATGTACAAGACAAAAGTTCCTCCCATTGCACCAAGTATTGTACTATAAAAGCAGAAGTACATAGCTCTAGTTAAACACATTTTATCTCGAGAATGTATTCATGTCATATCAACATCCACCAACAAATAAAAATCACGACCAACAATAATTTTATCCACCTTGTCCCTTGACAAGTTCACTACTAGTCATCGACACTCACCAGCATATTCTGAACAAAGTTAAGACTGTTGCACTAAAATCTGTTACATAAATGGTACGATAATACAATTTGTACGACAGAGTAAACCGTTTTTTTGAAAGTTATTTAGTCCAAGCATGAGGATTTTACCTCTACAAGATGCTTGTAGAGAAATTGCAGCAACACGCCTTCTAACAAAATCCCTACGGGCAACAAATGTACGCAGACGACCCTGAATTCGCCTGGCTGCGGAATCCAAAACCTCAGCTCGGCGTGAGTCTAATATACCAATCTGACCGGCCCGAAGGAAAACTTTGGTCTTTCCCAACTGCAAAAAACAAACTGAAGCTGTAAAGTAAATTAAGAGAAACGGAAGAACATTAAGAAACTACAAATGGGCAATGAGTTACAGCAGAAATCAGCCAAAAAAGTTTACAACTGACTATTGGCATAACAAACCTGATAATTCCCAAGCTTTAATCTCTGCAGTATTTTCTCAGTCATGGTTTTATCATCATAACTGAAAACAGATTAAAATGGGAAAATTAGCCTGTGCAAGTAGATAGAACTTGAAATCTGAAATAAAACATGGATGGCACAAGCAACACATGTATATGATGCAATCAATATATTTAAGTACTATGTACCAATCAAATATATTACAGTTAGCACTATCAGAACATGCAAATTACTTCTAGGTAGAATTTCAGCGTACCTTGCATCCATAATGTCCAAGGAAATTATTCCAAATCTGTCAACAAACTCATGGTAAGTCTTCCTCGTGGGGTAGCCTGCTAGACTTATGCGAATAGCTTCTAAAACACCCTGCAAAAAATCAGAAGTGTACAGAATACAAATTACGACCACACTGAAAAAAGATAACCTCTCAATTAAATAACAATAGTTCTCTACACCATATCTTCCTTTTGCTAGCATTAAACCAGCTGCAACTTTTATCAAACAGACAACGCATTTATTCTGATTTATCAATAGATCAACAAACTCAATCTACTGTTCATTTATAGAAACAAAAAAGAAAATTATAGAAAAGATTAAATCTGTCATCTTGGGGTGCATATCATTTAACTCAGTACAACCAATAACTTGTTTATGTCCCACATCCCATATAAAGCCTGTATGATCCAGTGGTAGTCCCATTCACACATGCCCTCATCATTATATTCACCATTCCAGTAGTAATGTCAAAAATAATATACTTAAGTGGAAGAGCACAGGTCCTAAGGCAGACAACAGATAAGAAGATGGCAGAAAAATAATTTCTTGTCCAGGGTTCAATTTTCCTCCAGAGGTGGTCAATTTTGATACACACACGCTCACACTCACACACACACATACATTGTATGAGTCGACTTAGTCTTCAAGATATTAATGAAGTATGATCTTCCCAGTACAGCAGCTTCTTGAGATCAAGAGACAGATTCAACAGAAACGTAAAAAAAAATAGAGGCTTGCTACTGTGAACTTGTGACAGCAATAAGTTTACTCATACTTACCCCACAACGCAATTGGTGTATGATGCTCGCATTCTCGAATCTGTGAGGCCTATTCAGTGAGTTTGGCTTCACACATCTAACATAGTGAGGCTCCGTTGAGCTGAGGGTTTCCATAAGAGATTGAAGTTGTTGCTGTAAACAAGGTGGCAAATGAGTGAGATGTCTAGGATTAATGCTAAGGATGTTGTATTAAACACATGATGTCATAGTTTACAAGCAATTTCAATAAACCAACCGGATTAAGTGCACTGCTGCTCGAACAAGATGGATTCTAACAAGGACGTGAAAAATCAATGAGACAAACACAAACCTTATTGTATTTAAACCCATTTATAACCAATAATGTATATGGTCACATTAAAATGGAAAATAAACACTCTACTGAAACAGTCAGCTATCAGCCACCATGGCACTTGCGAAAATCAATGATAATAATCTGATATGATTACCTTTCAAATGACAGAAGGTACAAATCCCTCAAACTGACAATTTCTAATCCAAAACAAATCCCTAAAATGGCATGGCTTTCAATAGAAGAAGCACCAACACATTAACAGGAGAGAGATTTCAGTATGTGTAGTGTCGAAACTATTCTCATGAGGAGCACATAACAAACTTAGCCGGAAACTACAGACAGTATAATTAATAAAACAGATGGCTCATAACAACATTGACAATATGAGATCACCCTTGTCAATATAATAGTGACTGCTAAATTTCCTGTTTCAATCTTCTCTTAGTTCCAAAAACATGTTTACTTGTAGTTCCAAAATCTTAGATCAGAGAAGCTGCCATGTCAGAAAAGTTCAGATAGAAGAAAAAGCAGTACCTTAAACCGAGACGCCACTGATGAAAACTTGTATGATGATCGAGATGATTCTTCAGGCAACGGTGGAAAGAGGCCTGCTACAAAAGGGCATCCGGAAGAGGCCAATAAATTGCAATGCTCAACCACAATATAATCACGATTTTTGTCTAAAAATTTCTCCGTCTGATAGTTCACCTAGTGACAAACCAATCAGAGAGTAAATAGCCAACAATGTTATAAACTAGAAGATAGTATTAACCAGTAAATAAATATTTCACAGCATAAGATGTACCTTGCCAGCATAGTGAGCAATAGTAAAATCTGTTTCAGAAAACTTGGCTTTTTCTAATCGTTGGTGGGAGCGAAAATTCTGGAATAGCTTGTTCGAAAATGTTTCGTGTGTTGATTTTGGAAACATGCTGCAGGGGAAGGGAGAAGAAGGTTAAGGATAAGTGAGAACCAATAAATAAATAAGAAAAAAAATGAAATGAGAATGGGGAACCACGGATGTACCAGGCTTCGTCTAAAAGACCAATTATTCCTATTGGTTTCTGCATAAGGAGGTTCACCATGGGATTAGTCAAAATGAGAAATAGGTCATGCTGATAGCAAAAGACAAGAAAACAGAATAGGCCCCATAGATCTCCATTAAGGTTTTCCTCTTCTCCTTTAACCACCCTTCCAGAGTTCATGGGTAATAGCATGTTATAAAAGTTGATTCAGTTGAAAACACATATTTTTTCCAAATATGAATAAGGCAAGTCAGCACAAAAGTTCAGTTGCCAAAATACCATGCAAACTTCAAACCAAAACTTTTGATTCTCTTTAAATATCACTCTTGTTTATGGTTTTCAGTTAAGAAATTCAGTCAACTGGATATTTTATATAATAGTGTAGTTAAAAATTCAATAATCCATCAAACTTATGGGTCCTTGTTATTTTAAATTATGATAAGTAAAAAGGTATCATAGAAATAGATAAAATGTATATAGATAAGAATAAGTCAGTTAACGGAATAGTTTTAATAATCCAAATCAAAACCATGTGAGTTATAACTTATATTCAAGACAAAGTTGCATTTCCAAGGTCATTTATTACGTTGTGAAAGTCAGATTACCAACCATATCAACTCTACAAACATGAGTTGTTGCTGGTTGAAAATAGTTAAATTTTGATCCCCGGCACTGACAAGATTAATACCAAATTAATCAGAACCAACTCTACATTTTAATATTCATCAATTGTGTAGCACCTCTATATTTCTTTGCAGCAATGTATTGTGCTACTTTAGGACAACTTTATAAAAAAACATATCTGAGAAGAGAGTAATAGAAAACCTTCTCTATCAAATCCAAAACATCTTGATTGTCAATAAATTCAATATAGCTCCAATTGATTTGTTCTCTTTGATATTCCTCTTGCTCCATCTTAAACACATGCTGTAAAACAAAACCAAATAAAAAGGAAGAAATATATTAAGCAAGGAGCTAGATCATAAATACTACATTTTACTACAAATAGTACCACAAGAAAATCAAGTCACCTCATTAAAGTGTTGTTGGAGCTTCTCGTTCGCAAAATTGATGCAGAATTGCTCAAAGCTGTTTAAGCGGAGCATAACCAACCGATAAGTTGCCAGAGCACACATGGAGTTGAGTAAATATCTTACACGAATAATTAACTTGTATATGTAAATTCAATGAGTTCCAATTCGAAGGCCAAAGAAACATTAAGATGCACTAAACTTCTAGCTGCTTGATAAAATCAGCTCAAAAGTATAATTGCAGAGAATGCAACACAAAGGCCAGACTGATAACTAACAAATTTACCCAGCAAATCAAGTTTCATGAAAATGTAAGAATCAAGAGATTTATTTTCTGTTATACATGGGGACATTCCCAAGTACGGTCCACTGCCTTAATTTTCTAACATTGAATTTACCATGAATTGGTAACCGCCAACCAATCCTATATCTTTGAGAGCTACAATAACATCAGATATGCAGGTCAATCAAGACAATATTTGGGACATTTGACCACATTTAGGCTTCATTAGGATAGGAGCTTTTGAAATGAATGAATTTAAAATGATTCCAAATGAGAAGGATTTGAAATGACTCCAATGGGAAGAATTAGAAATCCACCCATTTGCTCAAAAAAACTTTAAAATGAAAGCTAAGGATTTTAAATGTCCTCCCATCCAAATGCAACTTGAGCTTCTTTACAAGAAGAAGATTGTCCCTGGGTGGGTTTCGTAGTTCTTTAATTTCAAGAACCAAGTTCCCCTTGACAAAATAGTAAGTAGAACAAAAGGATAAAATGGAGGGAATGATTTCATGATAATTTACCTATTCAACTTAAAGCATTCAAATCCATAGATGTCTAGTACTCCAATTTGTATCTTAGAATCATGGTCTTGTCCGACAGATCTGTTTATCTTTTCAACAAGCCTGAACAACAAACAAAATCACTTAAATTTTACCTTCACATTATTAGTTTAATCAAGAAGCAGAAGGTCTTTTCAAACATAGCATAAAAAATTTCAACAGACCAGTCAAACAGCTTAGCATAAACAGTCTTAGCCAAAGCATCCCGACCAGAGACAGCAGCACTAGAGTCCAGAGCTTTGACAATTATCCCCTCACGAGTTTGAATTGAGCGTGTTGTAAGTGTGGCTAAAAGGAGATTAACATCACACCTGAGTTACAAGAAAACCATACAGTTGTCAAGCCAAAAGCATTTATAAAACACTGATGCTAGATAAGTTTCCACCACATTATTCCCCAAGAAAATGGCAAGCAATAGATGAAACCCCCTTAAGTGAATACAACAGGATACTTAAGCACTTCAAACCTCTAAATGAAAGGTAACATGACAAAAGAAATCTGATTGCAGACAGCCCAAAGAAGAAAACGAGAGTAAATATCAGAGAAAAGTATATTTCTTCATTCAGCCTTTGAGAATTGATAAAAGAAATTGGCAAATCTATCAAAATGAAATACATACCTAAAGAGATTGGCAGCCATCTGCAAATGAAAATTAGACTTATCATCCTTGATAACAGAGGAATCATGCTCTTTGCCAGGAGAAAACTCTAAATTTCCAAGATGTAAGATACCAGCCAACGTTCGAAATATTGCCTCCTGGTACCATAAAAAGAGAATAAGGCATTAAGACCAAGACATGACAGTCATGATGCATGATACAGACACAAAATTTTGTTAAACAAACCTGTTCGTCGTCACTAATTCCCACAATATCCATTGCCCTTCTTGTCTTCACATATTCTTCTGCATTGCTCACTCCATCTAACTCATAAGTCTTACTCTGATTCAAGTAATGGAAGTTGCTGGGATGACCTAACTTGTATGCCTCTGCGTCCTGAATAACATAACAGCACCCTCAAATACAAAACATGGATACTAGGAGTCCAATCAAGTGGTATCACAATATAGGGATCCGCCTAGAGGAGCAGGCTCAATGTAATGGCCAAACACACACATACACACACACAGAGAGAAAAAATAGAAAAAATAAAGTATTTAAATGTAACATGAATTTGGAGAGTACCATGCCAGATGCACACAACTGATAGAAAATGTGGTAATTTCTTTCAGGGTCTGTTATTTGAACAACGCGAGATCGCTCTAGAAGGTACGTTCTGATTGCAGCACCTGAAATTCTACCATTTGAATCAAACTGGATCTCGACGAACTTGCCAAAACGACTGCACAGCCAGCAGAATAAGTAATTATAGTTGACATATTTCATACACACACACACACACACACACATATATATATTTGCTAATTGCTACATAGTTGAGAAAATTTGAGTACAAAGTATAATTTCATCGAAAATTCAGGCATCGTCTGCTGAACTGCAAACTACATAGTTATGCTTGAAGTACCCGAAAAAAACCACATATTTCAAACCCATCTAATAGAAAATGTGTCAATTATCCCATTAAATCTCATAAAGTGAAGTAATTGTTTTTCAAGCCAGAAGAACATAAGAAGTTGAACTTGCATAAATCAAGAATGTAGCCAGCATAAAGTTCAGAGGGACCTTTATTTCGGGGAACTTCTAAAAAAGAAAAGGGGGGGGGGGGGGGGGGGTATCCTTTCCTTCACCATAGCATAGGAATTGTTTGCAGATCGAAAATTACCCAGGTAAAGAAAACAGTGCAATACCTTGAATTATCATTCCTAACAGTTCTCGCATTGCCAAATGCCTCCAAAAGTGGGTTTGACTAAAATGGAAGAAAATAGGTAGTCAGCAATTCGCTTAAAAAATTAACGACGAAGATTCTGGAAATAGATAGAATGGTTAGAACATAGTCACTATGTAGCCAAACATCTATAGTTTCCTCTAATCTCATGTGCTTTTTACAATATGAACATAGACAAGAAACAGGTTTCTACTCAACATACTTTTCTTAATGTGTGTTGGATGAACATCAATGCATGTTAATTGTTTAATGCAACCCTACGTTCAACAAGAAATACATAATTGAACAGAATAGTGATCACCTACCTCCAGAACTTGTTGTTCAACTGTTCTGTCATCACTGGCAGCACGACCACCAACATAAGTGAGGTATTGCATTATCAACTTTGTCGTCTCTGTTTTTCCAGCCCCACTTTCTCCACTAACCAGAATAGACTGACTACATCTCTCACTCATCATTGCTCTGTGCCATAAAAATCAGATCAACACTCACCACACAGTACATAAGCAATATGATTGTATTCAGTAGCAATAGAACAATTCAAGCTAGACAAACCTGTAAGATGCATCAGCCACAGCAAAGACATGGGGACTCAGTTCACCAAAAGGAGCCCCCTTATACTGCTCCATCATGTACATATTATATAGATGAGGAAGCTTCGTAAATGGGTTAACTGCAATCAAAATACTTCCTGTGTATGTCTACAATCGGAACAAACAATATATCAGCCAAACTGTAAATAAAAAATTAAGAAAATAAACTCCCAAATATTATAATTATAGTCAAGCTTAGACACCCATTCCCCAAAAGATATATATTCTGTAGATCAAAGAAACGAAGGGAAAAAAAAAAGGGCATAGTTGGAGATAAATGATTAATAAAATTTAAATTGTGAATTCATCAACCAACAGCCGAGCAAACTCTCAAATATGAACATTTAACTAACAAAAATATCAAAATACAAAATCATAAGAATTCTACTACCTAGGAAAGTACAACCCTGTTTGCTGAAGGATCTAGCAAAGCACACTCTGTTCAAATATAGTATATTAGGGCATCAATAATATCCAACAGTTATGGTTCCTGAAACTACGATCACCGCTATATAATTCTCATTAAATAGTTTCCGTGTATTTAGTCCAAATGTCCTTCTACATAAAGTATATACACAACCATTCAACAAAATCCATGAGGTGGCTACAGTTGCCTATCCCAGTAGACCACCCACATTTAATCACTCCCAAAAAATGGCATCCTTGCAACTGACCATAACATGGAACTTCAACCTAATTGCCGAATGCCTATCTTAAGTTAAGTTGCAAATAAAACATCTTCTGGAAAACTAATCAGCTCCCAGTGCGTTCACTAATCAACAAAAACCCTAGTGAAAAATGAGGAAGTAACGAAAGCTACTCACATATATTTCATTAAGCGCATATCTTCTCCGAAGATTGTCAAGAACACCAGGCTCATTCAAATAGGTCAATTTGGTCATATCATCCACTCCTCCAAGTTCCGCTTCCCCATCACATGGCTGCAATTTATCTGGCAGTGCCAAGACCTATTCCACCAAAAACTTTCAGTACAACTCATTTCCCAACATTTAATTTTAGAAACACCACAATAAATCAACCCTAATTTCAAAACAATCGCAAGGAAATGGACACCGTGCAAAGTCAATTTTGAAAACAAAAAAAAGTGAAAATTACAAGCCAAGCAGGAAGAAAGCAGAATCACCTTTTTGCCGGATGAAGTGAGGACTTTAGCATGTTTACCGGTGAAATCAATAACCTCGGCTTCAATCCAAGCCAAGTCTTTGTCTTCCACCCACACTTTCGAACCCTTCCGAAGAGTCATTTTTTCAGTATTTTTCTTCACTGATTCTTCAGTTCTTCCCGACTAGTTTCCAAAGTCGGATAAAATAAGTAAGAACAAATTTGAATTTGACGGACATAAAAAAAAGTTTCAAATGAATTTACAAGCCCTAAATTCCACAGAGAAATATGACAGGAGAAATTTTCATCTTCCCGCCCTAAGAAAAAGGGGAATTCGATACATAGTCAAAACACGAAAATGCAATATTTTATTGGGTAAATTACAACCAACCCCTAAGGTTTGGTCGCATTACAAAAAGAATCTCAAATGTTTGAATAATTACAATTATCCCCTCATCTATGAATCTTCTTACATGTCCGCCCTTATGCGTCAAATTCACATAATCTTCTAGATTCCGTGAAATGTTCGCTATTTGTACTCATTTTGTGCAATGCAGTTTATGATGCACCACATTCTGATATATACAACCTAAAAAACACATCTTATGATCATCTTGTTTCAAAATGTGAAGTTTGAATAGGATAAAACGGTTTATCAAATTGAAAAGATTCTACTAAATAAGAAGATTTATACTTAATGGGTGGTTGTAATTTACCTCAAGCACGGTTGTAATTTACTCTATTTTATTTCTTCGTCTTCTGAAAAAATTAGTGCCCACTGTACTGTTACGAGGTCGCCACAAAATTCAAATTTTGCCCATTATAATATTACTTAAATTGTAGGGTTAAATAAATACGGCTTACAGTTCTAAAGTATACCACATGTAATTTAATTTTTATTGAACCAAATAAATTTTTAAAATAATAAAAAGATAAGCTATTTGAGCAAAAAGCCTAATAAATCAAGGAACAATACATTTATTTATATACAATTATTGATTTTTTTTAATAAGACAATTATTGAATAATTACGACTAAGACAAGTTCAAAATCAATAAATTCCAAATGATTAACTAAGTAAATGGAGCATCGTTACGGATCCATGCATTAGTACGGTTTACAATTGGCAAACTATAATCGAGTACTGCAAGCAGATTTTCAGAAATAAACAATTTTTTTTCCGAGTAAACAATGTGCTCATGTTTAAGCTCATAAATCAAAGTGAACATATGTGCCACATCATCGTCATGACTCATAAGTGAACATGCCCTTAGTGTGGGATTTAGTACCCCTTAATTTAAATATTTATTGACACAAGTATTTTAATATAACTATTACTCTTTTTTCTTTTTTTTTTAATAAATAAATAGCTCCAACTTACAAGTTCGCTGGTTCCCGCCTCACTTGTTATCTATAAATCGTCTTCCTCGTTCGCATTCCATCATTTTGCACCGGCGCTGAAACTTCCGATAGAGTTGCAGACACAATTGGATACTCACCGACCTAAATTCAGGTTCGGATCTCGTATTTCCTTCATACTCTGAACTGCAAAATAGGTTAAATTTCACTTGCACACGGACGAACAGTGAATATCATATTTGTTGCTTTGTTTTGGCGGTGTATGAAAACCTCTGATTTTGTTTTACTTTTTAAATCTATGATCCGAGGTTCGATTCGTTCCAGTTTATGCTTCTGCTACCTCGTTCGCATTCCATAATTTTGCACCGGCGCTGAAACTTACGATAGAGTTGCAGACACAATTGGATCCTCACCGACCTAAAATTCAGGTTCGGATCTCATATTTCCTTCATACTCTGAACTGCAAAATAGGTTAAATTTCACTTGCACACGGACGCACAGTTAATATCATATTTGTTGCTTTGTTTTGCGGTGTATCAAAACCTCGGATTTTGTGGTTCGATTCGTTCCTGTTTACGCTTCTGCTAATTAGTCAGAGAAGGCAAAAGCTACTGTTCTCCGTATTTGATTTTTTTTGTTCTAACTGTATGATTTGAGCTGCTACCGTCGAACTGAAGTTTAAATCATTTAGATCTATAATTGAACAATTCTCTGTAGTTAGGAATTACAATTTCGGTTGATTTTTTTCTTTTAATGACTGTGCTAATTAGCTAGAGAAGGCAAAAGCTACTGTTCTCTGTATTTGATTTTTTATTTTTATTTCGTTGTAAATGTTTGATTTGAGATTTTACTGTGGAGCCGAATTTTCAAAACCTTTGGATCTGATTTTGGCTGATTCCTGTAGTAATGAATTACAATTTCGGTTAAATTTTATATTATGCTTGTGGTAATTAGCTACAGAAGTCAAAAGCTACTGTTCTCTGTATTTGAATTTTTTTTTTCGGTTGTAAATGTATGATTTGAGGGTTTACAAATCCTTTGATCTAAAATTGGCTAATTCTGCACAGGAATTACAATTTCGGTTAATTTTTTTATGCTTGTGCTGATTAGCTCGAAACAGCGACATGTTAATCTGCCTCAAATTGCTTAATATACGGTTTGTGTTTTTTATGGAACATCATTTCATTGTCTTGTAGTTCAATGGCAACATACAATTCTGAAACCACAAGGCCTAAATTCACGGATCATCTTCAAGAGTATTTGGACCATGATCCCAACGATGTATTGGACAGGTACTTGCATTAGGAAGAAATACTTAGTAATGGAAACTTCGATAAATATTACTCTATTTTTGCTCGTTTTCCTTATCAAATTACAGGAGTGCTGCCGTCTTTACATTCGCAATCGACCAATTTATGAAGACGAGGACAGTCAACGGTACCTCATCATCGAACATGCTGTCCAATGGTGATGAAAAGCTGTTTAGTATATTGCAGGATGTTGAAGATCTCATAAAAGAGAATATGTAAGTATTTGGTGATGATTACCATCCAATAGGTCTTCCTCTTACAATTTGGTGTTTATGATCTTCAGGCTAAATCTGACTACCCTTACTGATTCACAAAGGCTAGCACTAGGTGAAGGTATATGTTGCTAGACCTTTAGCTTGATTGGTTCTTTAGATATTGATATCTTTAGTAATAGTTATAAGTCAATATGTGGTCTGTATGTCTTCAGGGAAGCCCAGTCAGTTGAAGGACATGTATGAAAAATATAGAGAACATGTAGAGCAGCATGAAAGCATTTCCTCTGGAAATTTTTATGCAGAGAAAACTTTGACTGATTCAGGCACATCATACTCCATTAAAAACAAGTCTGGAAGGTACAGCTATGTTGGATAATTAGCAACTACAGTTTCTGTATTTTCTTTTTGTTTCTTTTAACTTTTTTATTTCCTCAAAACTTTAGGGTGGGAGTTGCTACTGTACCAATTACTTCGGAGGAAAATAAATTGAATCGAATAAGTACTTCCATTGGGCTTGTAAAGGCCGCAATTTGTTTGCTGTTAGACAACGAAGCAAAGTTTAAGGAAGAATTGAAAGCACGCTACAAGAAGTACGAGGATATCATTGAAAATGTACCAAATGACGAAGGTATGATAAATCTTACATTTAACTTTGCTCAACATATCAGTTTCTAACTATTTCGATTTCTACTCAGATGATAAGCCGATACCATATTATTTCATTCCTGAAGACCTGTTGGAGGGTGATCAAGCTGACAATGAGAGACTCGTTCAGATTCAGACCGTAGGCTCAGCGGACTTTGCACCAACTAATTGCCCATACCTTGTCAACCCCAGCCAGCCACCACCACCACCATCATATTACAACTCAGCTCACCCTAGTCTCCAATTCAATGCCAACTCAGTTTATAGATTTCCTCCTGTCCCACCACCACGACCATCATATTACAACTCAGCTCACTATAGTCTTCCATTTAATACCAACTCAGTTTCTAGCTTTCCTCCTGGCCCACTACCACCACGACATTCACATAGTTTGATGCCCCGTGGAACACCACCACCGTTACATGGAACACCACCACCACCATTACCTAGCTATATGCCACCACCTTTATATGACTTCGAGTACCCTCCCTCACCACCAATGCCTTATCATAACGAGCTACCTAAATCTCCTAATCAAGAAATGTTCAAGACGCGATACTGTGAAGAATGGGCAGTAACTGGAAGCTGTGGGAACGATCAATGCACCTTTGCCCACGGGGAAAGAGAGCTACGTCGGAAGCCATTCGACAAAATGCACTCATACAAGCAATACGTATGCAAATATGTGGAGTCTGGACGAATTTGTAGGCGCGGTTTCAACTGCTACTTTCTCCATGGGTCCGTGGCTGCATCCGACTACAAGCAATAACAGGTATAATGAGCTCTATACCTGCAATCACAATTAGGGAGAAATGACCATCAAAACAGAATATCAGGTTGAGATGAGATGTGTGCAGATCTTGTAATGCTAAGCAACCCCCACATAGGGAAGCCATACTGACAAAAGCAATTAATAGATACAAACATTCCTTTTCCTATCACTCATCATCATAAAGCATGGATATGTATTGTATAGTGCACACATGGGTTGACAGGAAAAAGGTAGGCAGATGGTGGAGATGTCTTATGGTGGTGGTGGGTGATATAGGTGATCCGGACATAAGATTAAAAGGAATGAGAACAAAGAATAAACTTTTGGAGTATTTTAAATTATTTAGGCTAGTGTTAGTTAGAAAATAAATTGCTCTAGATGGGCAAAAATCATGGAGTAGATTTTTCCCAGGAACTAAACAAACCAAAAGTAGGGCTGGAAGTGGAATTGAAAATGATAAATAATTTCCAACCCATTTCCTCGTGCCAAGAGTATGGTCAATGTTTTACCTGGACGAGCCATTTCTTTATGTATAAGGGAAGTCGGCAATATCTGCTCAAGAGCTCTTTCTGCAAGCATTTTCCATGACCAATTTCTCTTCGAGATGGTGCTTCTGCACGGCCAACTTCTCCGACACATGAGGGAGGAAAACAGTACTGCCCAAAATCCACCAAAAGACGCAGTTTCAACAAAACTTCAAAATTCCAACATTTGATTTTTCATGTCAGCTTACATATGGCCTAATAAACAAAAGAACCGGATCAAGAATAGCAGTAAGTTAACTTAAAGATTAGAGTATTTGATTTATTAGATTTATAACTTTGAAAAGGAGGACACTTTGGGACCATCCAGCTCAATATCATTGCTCGAAGTCTTGGTAGTACGAGACAATTCTTAAAAAGCAAGATGCAAACTGCATAGATTATTATATGTGTTTGACCCTTTTGCATATTCTAATATAATCTGTATAAAAAAAGTTTTTTAACCTCAAGTATCCTAAAACTAATTATGAATGCTGAATTAGTCACCTTCTTTGAACAATAAACTAGGTGCGTTGGACAGTCAATTATTCAGCTCTACCTAATTTATAGTTTCACTATTAAATATTATAATATTAGCTGAGATGGCTTTAGCTTAGGTCGAAGCAGGATGCAAGTGAGCTAAGAAGATGTTATCAAGCGAAAGCATCCTGAGATTAACCTATTTCAAGTTGCTAATGCTATGAAGCAACTAATGTTTTATCTATACAAAAACAAGGTAATAGTTTTGCCTAAAAAATGTATGAGTTTTTCAGCAATTTAACCTGAAGATAGAACCTCTTCAACTTGTCGTCATCCACAAGGTTGTCTATTCTCTGTGCCATTTGGTATCATGGAGTGTAACAATGGCTAATAACTACAAACAAAAAAGTAAACATGTAAGAAATACAAAAATAAGTGAACATAAGCACCAAGTATGTAGAATCAACTCATCGCGTAGCTGGATTACATATTTATATTGTTCTATTTCACACTTGTCATGAGAAGGATACTTGTTATGTCTTCACCCATGTGGCAAGGCAAGAAATCTGTTAACAGTAAAAACAAAGTACATTTTAGTCCCAACAAGCCACTAATATAATATCATTTGAAAATGTATTTTAAATTTCCAGGTGCGAGCTCTAAAATTGACATTGTCGGAATTTGAAAGGCTTGCATGAGGCCAGAGGCCAGAAAATGGTAAATATTTGCATGTATTATATTTCTTCGAAGTTAAAAAAAAAAATATCCAGCCAGGTGCTGGTACCTCATAGCAGGGCACAAGAGATTCACATAAAGAACATTTTCAAAAGGGATTTACTCAGGCTCGCAACCTCAAACGATAGAACCAACTGCGATACAAGGGTGTGACTTGTTCAAGGTTTTTTCACCAAGGACAGAGATGTACATGTGGAGAAATTTCAAAAGTTAATTTCTCAGAGCTGAGATCGGAAGAGAAATTTTGACACAACGGTACCAGTTTCTTTACCATTTTATTTGCTTTACTGTGGTCATTTTTCTACTCTTCGAAGGTCTTTCGAGTGTTCGTGTAATGATATTCAGTGTCCCCATTTACAGATTTCTTCTTGGAATCCACAGCGTGAGTTAATAGATCGTAATTGTTCAGGAGTTCTGCCATCACTTCTTTTTTTTTCCTCCCTGAGTAAATGAGAATATGACAGCAAGAAAAAGCTGAGGTTAGGGCTTAACAGCACGAGACCATTACAAAATTTCACAATGTCTTCACTGACGGACCCTTACAGATGATAGAGCATACTTGTTTTGGTTTACTTGTTATCTTACAATCGAACATGATAATTTTGGGTTTACTTGCGGTTTTATGTTTTTTACTCGTACAAGTAGAAAATAACTTATTTGCCATTAACAGACCTAATCATGAAGTCGCTTACAAGAATGTAAACCTCCAATACATGGAAATTTGGAAGTGTCAAAAATACAATAAGCAACTGCAAGTTCTATAAAATATAAACACAAGAGACTACAAGACAAAATATGCCGAACTTCATTAAAACATTTCATGATTTAATTAATAGAAAAGGCCAACAATCCACATAGAGCGTTACCCATAGTATCAAAAAAGATGTTGCACTACAAAGAAATTACACCACATACACTAATCCAGATTCTTTCTAGCATCAACAAGGCCAATGCATAAAACCATTGGCAAAGATCAAATTTTTATTTACAATGATATATATATCGAACATGATATATATATATATATGAAAAAGCCCTTGAGAATATGATATCAGCCTTGGAGAGAGATGAACATTAAATCCTGTGAATCGAAGAAAGAAAATGGAGAAAAGGTAGAACATTGTAAAATTAAAGCAGAAACCCACATTGGATAATCAATCATGAAACTTGATCGCACCCAGATTGAATCGAATGTATGAAATTTGTTGCAGAAAATACTCACCTAGGGTTTGATGGGTTGGATTCTGTTGCTTTTCCGCTCTTCGTTCGTTTTGCTGATTTTCAAGAAAGAATGATTAAATAATCGTGGTGGATAATTCTTGGCCATGGCTTTTATAATAGTTTTCAATTAATCAAACTTGAATACTTCTAATTGAAAACTATCATAAAATCCATGGCCCAATTTTATTAAGCTTTCGACGGCCCACTTATATTACCACTTAAGCTACAACATTCATCAAACTTGTACCATCCACCCACCCGCAAATAATAGGTGTGACATCTTGTGACCAAATTTGAAAATTATTATCATTTGTTTATTTTATTATTATTATCATTTTTTTTATTTTATTATTATTATTATTATTATTATTATTATTATTATTATTACTAGCGTTTTCCCCCGTGCGATGCACGAGATATTATTTCGATAGTGAAAAAAAATCAATTTAATATATAATAAGAAAATATAGTACACTAACAAAGTAAAATTTAATAATATACTTCTATTCCTATTTTATATAATATTAGTTTTTTTTTTTAAATCTTACATATTAACAATTACAATACAAAATACATAGATTTAATGTTAACAAATCGATTTTGTATCTTTATCTCTTAAGATTTGAGATATATTGATGAAAAATAGGAGATTGATAATTGTTGAAAATTAGTAGAGAAAAAATATTAAAAATAAATAATTAAAGAAGTACCATTCGGGTAGGACTTTTCACGGTTTAGTTCAATTTTGATAATTGTTAAAAATGATGTTTAAAAATTAGTAGAGAAAAAAATATTAAAAATAATTAATTATTGAAATACCATTAGGGTTTTTTAGGGTTACCCAACGTTTCTTTCTTTTATATATAAGATTGTTATTATTATTATTTTGAAGTTGCATGCAACCAGAGGGGACGTTAGCAAGCTTGTTCCCGAAAGACGCCAAGCCATGCACAAACAACTCTGTTCCCATATTTTCACGTGGCGCCAATAAGCCAGATGTACTAGTTTTTAGTCTACGTGGACGATAGAGGTAGCAGTAGCACAGAACCTCGGTGCACCCACGTGCTGATGAATTTGGAATCTGTCCATTAAACCAGATTCACCAGATAATTGATGTTTGATGATGATGATAGCCCATTTGATATATATGCTTTCTGAAATTAGTTAGTGCGCGCGGTTGCCGACATTAGAGAAGGAGGAGAAATGGCGGCGGTGTTAGGGTTTTCTTGTTAAGTGATGGGTTAAATGGGTGGTGGTGTTGGAAGCCGCCGGCCGCCATGGATTTGAGCTTGGTTACGTTGTTAGCTAGGGGATATATATCTGCTAGCATTTTTAAATTTTAATCACGGAAAAAAAAAAAAATAGGAATAGTTGCGATAAAATCTGAAAATTTAATAAATATGTTAATTATCTTCAAATTCTATTGCCACCAAGGAAATACAATATTCCCATATAAATAAATTAAAACTTTATTGTACAAGTATATATAAATTA